GAGACTGTTTCTTTCTCGTGTCTTAGTTCTGGTTGGGTGAAGGTACTGTTCGTACCTCCTTAAAGGTGTTGGTGAGGGGGCAAATTGGTCAAATTGCTCGCAACGTCGGATCGTTGCGGATTGCCAAAGCAGACGGACAAGTACGATCCTTCTGATTGATCAGCTGACGAAAGACCTACAGAGTCCATCTGTCAGCTGATGCCCACAACTGCAACCTTCCTGTACGCCTGGAATTTGCTTAGCTTCGAAACGATTTTCCGTGAATTGAGGGGGCGCACAGGCCTACCTGAAGCACCGGCCGCCCCTTCTCGACCGTCCGATCATAAGTTTCGGACGTCCGGCCCCGGGGCTTGAACGCGGCCGGGCTGCTGAGGGCGTCAGCGATGCGCCCTCGGTAGTCATTCTGGACACGTGGCAAGAAGGCATTGGCGATGTACTTCTCCATCCAGGCGCGAAGGGCCTCGCCGCCGCTGTAAGGGGCAAACGGGGGTTCAGAAAATGGTTGAATTTGAAGGGGTATTGCTCGAAGGTCAAAAGCCAATACAATGTGCGCTTCGGAGCGGCCGAAGAGGCAACCTCCACGTCCAAACCGTGACTACTTCCGTCGTGACGTTGGTACCCTGCCCTTCGACTGTTTTTGCATCAAAAACGAACTGCGGCAATCGACCCTCTCTCCCGCTCTGCTCCACAGAATGTGGGGCAGCATCCGGCACTGGGCCCGCATGTCAAGCGCAGGAGTGACGTTATTTAAGAGGCGCGTGCTTTAGGAATCAAATGTGACGCTGTGCCCGGACGCTTAAACCAGCTCTAGAATGCTTTCATAAAAGAAGTCGAAAACGGGTCACCCCAGACCGCCTTTCCTGTCTCAAGACTCATGTGAGAGGTAAGTACTGTAGCCCCGCAGATTTTATATCTCTAGATTGCACTAAGATTACTTCTTGTCCGCAAGCCCGAGCAGGACAAAAACCGGGGTGACAAGCGTCAGCTTGTCGCCGATTCTTCTTGCCCCGGATGGTTCCTCACACATGCCTGCCGCGCAAGACATGAAAGTTTTGAAGCTCACCCCTGCTTGAGTGCCGCATCCTTGACGATCTGCGCGGCCTTATCCGTGAACTGCACGACGGGCCGGTAGACGGCGGCCGCCAGGTAGACGCCCCGTTCCGGCAGCACCAGTTCCGTCTCATACGTTTCCTGGCCCGTGGCGGAAGCGCGCCGGCTGCGACTTTGCAGAGCGCCGTCGCCGCCGCGCACCAAGGTTGACGAACCCGTTTCGGAACCTGCGGGTTAAGGAAGTTTCCCGGCGTTGGAGGTGAGTAGTTGCATGAAGTCGGCACTTGGACGCACGAAGCTTTCTGCTGAAATGGATTGAAGGAGAAGACGAGTAAGCGAGCCAAGCACTAAGGTCGACGAACCCGTTTCGGAACCTGCGGGTTAAGCAATTTTCCACGCTTTAAAAGTGGTCACTTGCATGAATCTGGAGGCACAAAGCTTTCTGCTGAATGGTTTGAACGAGAGTCGCACATTAGCGAGCCAAGCAGTATCGGAACCCGCAAGTCAAGAATTTGAGTTCTTCAAGAGTAGCCTTTGATCATGCTTTCGGACTCGAGAGCGCAACGCTTTTAACAACGAGGGTAGGGACGTACGGAACAGCACACCAAACTCGACGAATCTGTCTCAGAAATCTGCGGACGAAGGAAGCTTCCGTTCTATTGAAATGGCTCCTTGCTTCGGAATCTTGTGCTTGAGAGCGGGGAAACAATGCTGGAAAGAGGGGCTGTAAACCGATTGAGCGAGCTAGGCACGTTGGCCCCCTGTCGGACAAATCGGGCGTGCTTCGCCAGGCTTCAATGGTCTTAACAATGGACTGTTCAAGAACAAATATAACGGAGACTGCGCAAGTCGCTCAGTCAGGGAGTGGTCGACGATACCTCGAATGGAACCAACAGATTGCCGGCTCACAGCGACACCAGGCGTTTTCGCTCTTGGACAGAATCAGATGCCCGCTTCTTTTCAGCTACACTTCCTCCTCTGAGCAGGGCTCAGTGCACAAACGAGAGCGAGCGAAAGTTGGATGTGCGAACATGCCTGCTTTTACAACCTTGCTGAGAATCCCGATTCCAGAATCTCGTCCTGCAAGCCATTTTCACAGTGGTGCAGTAAAGCTTTTCCTGTGATGGTTTCAGAAGCCGGGCTCCCTACCTGGTAAAGCTGACCCCAAGTCCGTGAACCGGAACGCAAACGCCAACTCCTCGTCCTCCCCTTCCAACGCCCCTTCTGCCTCTTTCGCAGCGGCGCCCCCGGGCGCCCCCGCTTTCTTCTCTCCCTCCTTAACCCCCTCGCCTAACCCGGTCGGGTCAGCGCTAACCCCCGCCGGGGTCGCCCTCAAAACCTCGCAAACCAGTGCTTGGCATTCTGACTGGACGCAGCTCCAGGCGACCGCCAGGTTGTACGGCGCCAGCTCGCCGCCCCCTGCTTTGAACCCATCGCCAGAATTTTCGTCCCGGGGGGGTGACAACACCTGGCGCGCGCTCTGGTCCTCCGCCCCCCTCATTTGCATGAACGTGTGCACCAGCCGATGGTTCTCGAGCGCCCCGACGCAAACCCCGAAAACCTCCTCCAGGAGCTGCTGTGCAGCCACCGACGCCGGACCTGTCGGGCCACCCCCCGCCGCTGATGTCATCCCCGCTGACGTCACCCCGATCCGGCCCCCCGCGAAGCCCCCCCGGGGGCTGTGCGCGACCATTTTGGTACCATGGGAGGAGGCGCCGCTGAACGTCATGGGGGATCCCCCGGCGGAGGTCTTGGGGATGGAGTCGACGCGCGGGCGCGCGCGCTCGGCGGCTTGGGCGCGCGCCTTGATGACGTCAGCGATGAGCTCGCGCAGCGTGCGGCGCAGGCGCTGCGCGAGGGAGGAGCCGGCGGCGGCCAGCTTGCCCAGGAGGGCCAGGCACTCGACCAGGGTCTGCAGGTACTTGACACTGTCGTGGCTGTCGGCCCGTGTGATGGAGTCCTGCACAAATGTTTGTGTCAAGAGTTTTCATGTGAAGAAGACTTCAAGCGTGTTGCAGAGGTTGCGAGGCAAATGAAACCTTGCGTGGGAACAAAATGGTGATCACAGAAACTAGGTCAAGGCTCCGTCTGCACTCCTTGGAGCATGGCCGGACGGGTGCGGTATCTCACAAAGTTGGCTGAGAGGTGCAAGAGGGAAGCCTACAAGTCACAGCCGACTCTGAAACTCTGCCTCCCTTTTAGGGGATTGGAAGCCAACCGTAAGCTTGGTTTTTGTGGCGTCCGGGAGCCAGAACGGAAGCTTGAGAAAATGCAAAAGGGAAGCTTTTCAAATTTTCGCCGCCAGTGGAATCGACCTCCTGTACAGAAAAGTCAAAGTACCAACCGTAAACTTGTTCGGTGTTTGGTGAGTGAGCCAGAACGGGAGCTTGAAAGATGCAAGAAGGAAGCCTAAACATCCTCAGCCAATCTACGAACCAATCTCCTAAACAGAAAAGTCAATAGCAATCAACCCGTTGATGTGGCGTCTGTGACCCATTTCAGGAAGTCAAACACTCACCATGAAGTCGTCTGGCGTTGCGCCTGAAACCCAGTTCGGAGACTTGAATACTAACCGTGAACTCGTTTGGCGTTGCGTCTGTGAGCCAGATCGGCAGCTGCCCCGACTGCTGCCGCGCCTGGCTGCTGCTCTTGCGCAAGATACTGCTCGGAAGGCTCGCGATGTCGCTTCCGGTCACACTGGCAATGATGCTTCCGGAAATAGACCCGTCCTCGCTCATGGCCCCACTGCGGCGGAAAAGACCAAGGTTGCTTAGAGAATGTTTGGGTCGTCTCATTTTCAAAAGTAACCTGGTTCCAGCTCTTTAAATTTTATTTTATCCAGAAGACAAAAACAAAACTACATGAACATAAGGACGATAGGGTGAACCTTAGTAAGCGCTGTAGTGGACATCGGGCGGGATACATCGAAAGGTACGTACCTCACTGCAGAAAAGCAAGGTGCTGTTGGACTTTATCAAGCCCATGCAAACCAGTTCCCCTAAGCTACGCATCTCATGAAAGACGGCATATGCTAGTAGGTTCCCGAACATTTCATGTATTCCCAACCGTCAACTCGTGATTGCTTCTCACTTATACGCACAGCCGTCTTAGCAGCCCGAAAGCAGGAAGGCAAGACGTCCTAACAAGCGTCCGAAACACTTACTCGTGGTCGTCCCCCCTAGGCCGCCCGTTCCGGTCGGGGGTTCCCCCCAGGCGCAGGCGCACGTCGTCGGTGGAGCCCACCAGGCGCAGGGGCGAGAACGGGCTGCCCTTCTTCCTCACCGACCGCTTCTGCCCGGGACGTGCGTCGTCATCCTTGTCGGCGATGCGCGTGGAGGCCAGGCTGCAAAAAAAAAGTAATGAGCTTTTGACTTTGTTCTTGTGAAACTAAAGAAACAAGGCTTGTTAACAGCTCGTTTCGAGTAACCTGCCGGTTTGAAAAGATGCGGGAAGCCTCGAAGTGAGACGACGAGGTTGATCAAGACTGCAACACATGTGGCGATAAGAATTGTCAATTGTCTTCGAGGCTTCCGTTACTATCTAAAACTGGCAGGTTGCTCGGAATGAATTGTAGCAGTGAGTGCCTTGTCTCACGGTCGGAAGTGCCCTTCAAAGCGCCAAACGATATTTCATTCTCTGGTCCTGGTCTCTGGTTCTCTTTCATCGAGGCTGATGCATCCTGCCCCTTTGCTCCCGATCACGAACCAGAATAAGTGTTGCAAAGTGGCTGCGAAGAGGCTTACTTATCAGAAAAACAACGTTTTAGAGGTCAACGAGATCCAGTATGTCCTGAAGGCTAAAGCCCGGATTTACACTCCTCACGCCCGTCCTCTGCAGATCACCATTTTCAGTAAAGAGCAGCGTGCGTTACCTGTAGGTGCCTTGATTGTAGATGTGCAGATGCAACTCTTCCATGACCTTGGTGAAGAGGCCCTGCCGCAGTCGCTGCATATCCGAGCGCACATCCCGCAGGCCACCCACCTGGCACACAGGCAACGGGGTAACAGTGTCAACCTCTCAACCTTGACGGAACAGCATGGATGTTTGACACTTGATAGTCCACGGTCCGAGGCTCGGGCATTGAATAGGATGTAGATCGAATGCATCTACCGGACACAACTTATCCAGATTTACTCAAGATACATCTTCTGATGCGGCCTTCATGTGTAGGGCTCTTTCCTCAACGAGAGCCTAGTCCCTTCCCCCTAAAAATGATGTTGCGGCTCACTGTACAGTGATGAACACAATAGGACGTGATGGAAACGAAACGACGGATGCGGCTTAGGCTACTATAACCTTTGTGTGGGCCGCTGACGAAATGAAGCTCTTTGACTCACCTCCTTAAAGCCTTCCCACTTCAGCATGCTGCTCGTGTGCAGTAAAGAGTCCGTCGCTGCATAGTACTTCTTCTGAATGGTGGTGCTTTTCAACAATTCTGTCGACCGAATTCAAAGAAGACAACCTTTTATTCTGATCACGGGGATTTGGACTCTTTCAGGGGGGGAGCAAACGCTGCTGGAACTCACCCCCTGGATCCCCTCCCGCTCCAACATGCTGCTCGAGTGCAACAACAGCTGCGTCGCCGCGTAGTACTTCCGCTCGAGCATCAGCCGCTCGATGCGCGCAGGGACTTTTGCGACGCTGTCAATCTGGTCCAGCAGTTGCAGCACGTGACGTAGGGTGATGCTGCGATACCACTGCTGTTGGAGCGCCTTGTGCCGCGCCGCCAGCAGCCGCCGCGCCTCCCCCAGGTTCGTCTTGAGGCCCGCCATCTTTGATGCGCTCTCACTGAACAGCCGCAGGATCTGAAGCGGGAGGGGATACAAAATATCAGCAGAATAGATAAAGGGTTTTGTATGAGTTGCCAGCGTGACATCATGACTTTTAGAGAAGCCGCCGCGCCTCGCCTGGGTCGTTTTCAGGCCCGCCCTCTTGGACGTGCTCTCGCTGAAGAGCCGTAGAATCTGAAATGCCGGGAAGGAAACTGTGGGTCATTCAAGATATTGCAGATGGATCTCGAGTTTGGTAACGAAAGATTACACAATGGCCATTACATCAACCGCCGTGCCCGCCCAGCTTTGTCTTCAGGCTCGCCAGTTCTGATGCGCTTTCGCTGAAGAGTTGCAGGATCTGGAAACGGCGGAGAGGAAGTGAGGGTCGTTAGAGGACATTGGCGATGAAAGTTGATTTTGGAATCAGAAGATTAGAATTTGGTCGTCGCATTTATTGCCGCGCCTCGCCCAGCTTTGTCTTCAGGCTCGCCAGTTCTGATGCGCTTTCGCTGAAGAGTTGCAGGATCTGCAAACGGCGGAGAGGAAGTGAGGGTCGTTAGAGGATATTGGCGTTGAAAATTAAGTTTGGAATCAGAAGATTAGAATTTGGTCGTCGCATTAATCGCCGCGCTTCGCCCAGAGTCGTCTTGAGGGCCCCCGTTTTGGAAGCGCTCTCGCTGAAGAGCCGCAGGGTCTGGGGGGCCGGGGAAAGCGTGTGTCAGTAGACGACTTTGAGGATGAATTCAAAATAGTAGCACTGACTTCTTCGCCCAGATGGAACATAGAACGTCACATAAGCTGCCATGCCTAGGTCGTTCCGTGCATCCAAGCTCACCCTCCCTTTGGAAATCACGATATCTAATCTGAAAAACAAGTGGCATAAAAATCATATAGGGCCAGAGATCTGGGGCGTAAAGTCTGTCAGATGTTTGTTTGACTCGTGGAAAGTGGCAGATATGCCGTCTCTTTCATGCAAACCAGGTCAGGTGACCAAAATCATCGACGTCGCAACCATCTGAGCACCTAGACAGGTTTTCTGACGTCAAAAGCGCAGTCCCACCTGGCACCTGAACACATGCATCTTCAAACTAAGAGCGCATTCCCACCTGGGAGTAGTTGTGGATCGCGCGGTTGAACCCGTTGTGGTACCCCTGCACGACATCGTCCACGAGCTCCTCCACCGCGTCGCGCTGCTCGCGCAGGCCGTCCAAAATGCCGCCCTCGGACGCGGTCAGGACGTCCACCACGTGCGGGAGGGAGTCGAACCTGGGCCAAAGTTGGAGTTCTCAGCTCAAAGCAGCTCAAGACTGGCTGAATGCAGATCTGAGAAATGGCTGGGGGACAAGCCTCTTGCTGGCACCAGCGTCCAGCTTGTTAACCTTCACGGATTGGACGGCGTAAATCGCTCTGTCAAGAGGTCCTTATTTCGTGGCAGGTCCTACGTGCTAACAGCGAAAGCCTAGATTGCACTCTCAGACAGGCTTCATCAGCTGAAGATCGGACGGCTGTGACAGCGTTTCGGCCATCGAAGCGGGTCTGCGGTCCGCTTGTAGATAGGGGCAACTGTCCAGAGACCTTTCGAAAGGACTCCCCAGACAGCTGCTCAACAACGGGGTCCCCTGGCAGAATGCAAGTGCTTCGCTTGTGGCCAAGTGCCCCTTGGTCTCATCAGTGAAAGACACTGCCCCGTGTTCAGAGTGGTGGCAACTTCGAATATATTTCAGGAAACAGGAAGGGAAACGTAGGTGTCTGGGAAAAGAGCCTTCCTGTCTGGGAAAGCAGAGTACATTGGTATGAAGATAAGCCCCAGATGAGCTGTAATCTTATACATAGAAAAATTGTGAAGGACTTGGAAAACGAGCAAGAACATTGGAGACAGCGAGCCATCCAGGCTTGCACCCTTGAATGCATAAGGAACCGCTCACGTCAGACTGCATCCGATGCAAGGGCACTTCAGACGTCAGCATCAAGAAGAAAGACTAGAGGCCTTAGCAACAATCAAGCCATACAGGCCATACGCACTGAATCCGTTTATCACAGCTGGTCTTGACATGACTTATCTCTTGCCCTGGCAGCAACCACCCCCGCTTGAACTATGTGCAAATTCTAACGATGTTCGAGTCGCAATTCCGAGGGCCAAGGCGGGAGAAAGAGATCCATAGTAGCAGAATAAAAGCATAGGCAGTGGACCGAGCCTGAAACAATTAACAAGAAAACGGAAAGGAACCGAGATTTCGTCATCTTGTGCAACAAGAGGGTTAGGCATGCTATTGAAAAGCCAGTTGACACATGGGGAGAAGCGATTGATGCAGTCCCTTCTCTGTGAGGTTCATTATTTTTCAGGACTTGCTGACCTTCTCAGCTCGACATGAGAGCCTGATTCTCCCACAGAACCATGAAAATGACTCCCCAGACAGCTGCTCAACAACACCTCCCCTGGTGCAGAGTGCAAGTGCTCCAATTGTGGCCCAAGTGCCCCTATATCTCATATTGTGAAAGACACTGCCCCTGATTTGGCACCCCCCCATGTCGAACAGATTAGCCTCTGAATTGTCTGCTCCAGGGAATACAAGGGATAAATTGGCCCCCCTGATAGCCACCATTGAATCAGCATTGCTGCTGCAATCAGCATCTTAGAATTGAAAGCTGGACGTCTGATCAACAGCGCAATCGTGTTCATGACATCCGCTCAGGACTGACCTTGCTTGCTTCCATGCATCGGGCAGTTGGCTGAGTTCCTCTTCCACAACCTGCCAGTCAGCAAGGGGAGAATCTTTTGAATCAATAGACCCTGTGCACTTTGTGGAGTCCTTCACCTTATCTGTTTGAAAGGCCTTTTAAACAATGGTTACATATCAAACTACCTCACTAACTCTATCAGATTAGCACCGTTATGCTCCATATGCCATATTTAAGACTAGCCTCCCATAATACCCTAAGTTTACTTTCAAAGTCTCCTGTGCTGAAGAACCAGCCTTCTCTCATACTTTCCATGCTATTTCTAAGCGTGATCATCTTTGCAAATACGTTATACCAGAATTATTCGAAGGGACTGCAGTGTCAATAGGGCATTGAGCACACCTCAACTGTTGGTCTGCCACACCTAATGCAGCATGTTCCCAATCAAGTCAGAGAGAAAGAGACATGTAGTGTGTGCTCCATGACCTCTCAAGGAGCTCAATCGCTGCCAAGCTAGACAAGCATCATTTTGACATTGCAAGTAGCTGGCCGCAGTGCTTACCTCCCAGTCGACCTCTGCATCCCCCATTTTGCTTGTTAGCGGATTCAAGAAGGGACAAACCGCGCCGCTGTCTCACAGCTGGATCATCACAACCGTGCAATCTGCAGGACGATGCAAGCACCAAGGGCGCCTTGTTGCTGCAGGCTGACAACGGCTGGCTTCACCTCAATTCAGTCCTCGATTGTGGCCTGCTCAGCCATCGACTGTGGCTCCTGAGTTGCTGAACTCGTCTGTCCATGGCAGCAGCGAGGCCCAGCCCTGAGACAACCGAGTTGCAGAGTCGAGGGGCGCTCCGCAAATCTCAAGGCCGTTCTGCATGTCCGTGTGAATGCGTTTGACGGCAGCTTGCCGTTGTCGGCCGCTCCTGCAAATTGTGCCGAATGATTTTATGGAGCTCGTCCTTGAATACCTAGGAGAACCGTCAACGGGGCCGTTTGTGTCGTGTACGGTGTGACCTACGCGGGTCTTGGACTCGGAGTCTCCGGAAAACCAAGGATAGCCAGGGGGGTAACTTCGGAAGAATCAATTTATTAGGTATACTTTAAACCTAGTGTTTGATGTGAACACGTTCATCGAACCAGTACCATTACCGCATTCTGCTGCCAGCTGGCTTCCGTTCCAGCTATAACTTAGCAATTTGCAGAGGGCTCGTGTGCAGCTTCAGCTCTTGCCAAAGCTGTCCTTTCAAAGGTGCTTTGATATTCTGAAGAGTAGAGCGTCTTTTGAAGAGGATCACTGTAGTTCATCCATAATCCGGTTAAAGTTAGCTCCTTTGCTCCTCTTACCAGAACCACAGGCACGATGATTTATGACATCAACTCCGCAGCCTTCCGGCAATTCCTGAGCACGAAGGGCGCTGACAAGTAAGTGCACTCCATTCTTGCATCGGCTCCTCCTGCGTGCACGTTTTTTGGTTTGGTCTGCTTTCAGAGTTGCTCATAAGCCTCTAAATAGCTAGTTCGTGAGCGGAGAATCTGGACACTAAGAGTACTCAACACCACTTCATTTGCTGGCTTCACTTACACTCAGCGTCCTTTCTACGTGTTGCGATATCATTAGCACTTGCTTGGTGCCCCATCTGTAAACCGCGAAGTGAACGTACCGCCGTTTGCAACTTTTTTTGAAGAGGGTGTGAACATCTGCTGGGCCTGTCCATTTGCAATAATGAATTTCCTGTGGGTCTCCTGGAGACGCGTCTGTACGATAGAAAGTTGCGGTTCAGGGGGTGGCGGGAGTGACCACCTGTGAAGCGAAAGTGATGCGTAGACTGTACATTTCTCTTGGCTAAGATTCAATTGGACTTTCTCCAACTTTGACAAAGAATGGATTGCTTTCACCCAAAAAATCACCAGCCTCTCATCAGAAGCAGCTGATGACATGGTCCTAACCTCTTCTGCAACTTGTTACTACAATTGACCCCGCACATCTGTTGTTAAAGTTGTTACTAGCATGCTGTCAGAGTGTTCCAGCTAGTTCTGGAACTTGTCTGCCTTACAGCCTCACTTCAGAGCTAGACGCTCAACGACGCTGAAATTGCTTTCTGACTGTGCTGCAGCTTGATATTCTGTCCTGCTTATTCGCATTGGTGTAGATTTTGTTGTGCCCGGTTGATAAGCTTAGACCGCCTATAGATGGGTTGCTTGTGATCTGCCAGGCAATGTTCAGCAGAATGTAACTGCGAATGTCTTTTGTGGATGGGATGCCTGGTAATCAGTCAACGTTAGTCAGTTTAAAGCGCATCTCATGCGTTGCGAGCATCCAAACGTTGAGGTCTGATGCCTGGGCTCAATTTGTCCATCCTGCAGGAAGGCTCATGGAGAAGTTCCAAAGCCAGCGAAAGTAAAGTCCAGTGAAAACAAGCCGGTGATGACAGAGTAGCAGGCTGCAGTTATTTTCTCAGAAGAAGTAAACAGAGCCAATAGCTATATGGGTTTGAGCGGCTGTTGTGACGTAGCTTGTTTACAGTCGATGAAATATTTGTAATTACAACAGATGCCGTTAGTGCACAATTGACGCCTGACCGTGGCGGCCGGGTCTCGATCATTTCAGCCTGTAGGGCAGCTTCCGCACCTTCTTAATCATAACTTAAGATCGTCTTTCAGGCTTTCGCGATCGAGTCAGTGCAAGCTGCTACAAGGCATATACTATAACCGGTATTTCCATGAAGGCCAGGCTAATTCATCAAGTTGACATAGCCAAAGCAGAGCCAGCACATATGCATGGTGGAAGCTGAATCATGCACAGTCGCGTCGCGCGTGCGATTATCCAACCTTATCTGGAAGTACGCATACCCGGTACGCACCAGATTCGGTACTTGCGATAACCGAGCAATAAAGCGCATGCCGGCGCAATCGTGGTCATGGGCGACAAATAACCGGGCAGCCTTAGCGCTACCTTCATGTGGTCATGCAAAACGGTGGCTCATGGCCACATGCGCAAAAGGGAAGGAAACCCTGACGACGTGATGGGTGAGAACCCTATATGCGTAAATGGCGAAAAGCCGTATAACTAGCATGATGCGTAATTGGCACGTGTAGCCGAGCCGTCACAGCAACGAGACCTTACAGCGTGACACACATTGCACAGTTTTAGACTGGAATTAAGTTGCAACTGCATGTATATATGATGGCTCATGCAATCCCGTTAGTCACACACACGAGCCACTGGAAAGAGTTTGTCTTTCCATGATGAGTCGGTGGCAGGGCCACAAACACATACCGTTGATCGGGTCGAGCAAACAAATCCAAAGACAATCATTCCGCAATCGAACATCAGTAACAGGTTCACCCCTGATGAGGTTTACGCACGACAAGAACAACTAATATACACGAGGTTCTAAAGACAACTTGTCAGGCATTTTCAAACCATCCTAGCCAGGTGCCAAGGTTCCTTCGAAGCCTGTATGCACACTTTCACTCTGCCGTCTTTCGGAACCCGTATTACAACAAAGCACCCGAACTTTGCCGCTCGGTGGGGCATCCTACACGAACCATCGAAGTGAAGTCGACAAAGGCGGCTACTAATACGCCCTTGCTTTCCAGCTACTGGTCCCCACCGCTCAATCATGGACCTGCAGTCATCTGCACTACTTCCATAGGTGCTCGGGCCGTTCATGCCCGGGCACAACTCCTGATTCTAACGCACCGGGGCTTCTTCTACTCAAAAGCACAACCCCCGGGGCTTTGCCTTCCTCCGCCGTAACCCGATCCCCTTCGCCTATTATAGGGCGCCACCAAATTACGCTTAGTGCGAGCCGCACACTGCCCTCCACCCACCAACGGAGGCGCCACGGACTACCCTCCACAACCGACGCAAACCCCTACAAACCTCCCTCCGAACCCTCAAGTGCCCCGCACACTCTCCGTCGAGACGCCCGAGCATCCCTCCCGAAATACTCCAAACCCCCCCCCCTCTCGGACCTTCTACACTGCCCCCCCGCCGCCCTACTTAACGCTCGCAGCGTCCTCGCGCTGCGCGAGCGGCAGCTCGATGTCCACCCGGAAGTACGGCTTCCCCGGCTGGTTGACGTACGCCACGTCACCGCCCATCACCTTCACGAGCTTGCGGCACATGCTGAGCCCCAGGCCCTCCTGCGTCTTGCTCTGCGCGTCGGCGCGGTCGAACATCTGGCGGTGCAGGTCTTCCGGGAGGCCTTCCCCGGAGTGGCTGACTTTGAACTCCATTTGGACGGTCTGGATGCCGCCCATGTGCTTGGTGCGCACCGGGGTCGCCTTGATCTCGACCCAGCCGTTCTGGGGGGTGAACTGGATCGCGTTCTGCAAAAAGTCCGCGAGCACCTGCGTGGGGGGGGAGAATCGGGAGTCAGAGAGAGGGCGCAATAAAGAAGGCTGGGTTCCTTAAAAGCGGGAACCGCACACTTTCAATGGAAGAAACGAAAGAGAAGTGGGAGGGGGACAACCGGAACGTGATCAAAACAGAGCGCACACGACATGGTTGCTTTTTTTTGTCTGGGGTAGGATTGGCAGGCTCCGGAACGACGAAAACGAGTCAGCAATCTATGATGCAACGGTTTAAGTGAGAGAACCAAACACAGACGCCCAACAATCGTTGCCAAGTAGCGCCCGTTCAGAGATGCGGAGGTAAATCCGAACACTGCGCAAGCTGTCCTCAAGTGCAGGCAGCGTCTTGCAACAGACCCAAATCCCTCCCGTTGAACGACAAAGTCACCTTCAATCTCCACTTGTGTACATCCTGCTACTGACCTCCAAGAATCAAATTCTTCAAGAGCAGGACCCACTGGGTGGCAGATCAAGAACTCCTTTTCTGAATGGGGTAGTGTGTTCTCCTAGCTGAACTGGACAAGAATATTCCCCCCACGTTCTGTGCGAACGGTGCCTCACCTGCTGCACACGCGAGCTGTCCCCGAAGACGGAGAGTGTCTTGAATTCGGGCGGGGTATCGCAGAAGAGCTGCAGGCCCTTCTTGCTGCTGGTGATCATGCCCTGGCTCACCACCGCATTCAGCACGCTCGCCATCGTGAACTCCGCGCAGTCCAGCTCCAAGTAGCCCTCTTCGATGCTGCAATAAATAAGGAACATTTTCAAGGATTGATATCATGACTAAGAACATTTCGGTTGGATTGAGCGGGGAACCAAGCGAGCTGTCGTAGAATCCACACAGTCGAGCTCCAAGTAGGGTGCATTGGCAAACCAAGCATGTTTTTGAACCTCCATGCTGAGGGGTCAAAAACAGCCGTGTTGAGGTTCGCAGTCTCCGATTCCGGGCTTTATAATTTCGAAGTTGACGCGAAAAGTCGATGAACGAACAGAAGGGCTGAAGGTACAATAATAGTCGGATGTAGAGAGCTGAAGGTGGAGAAAGAGGCCACCAGATTGAGGTAATCGACGCAGGAAATCGACAATAACGCATCAGCTGACTGCGCCGTCAAGGCGTGAGCTGAAATGGACTATACCCGACAATGAAGACGTACACTAGACATCGAGGAGCGGCGGCGGAAGACGAAGACAGGACAGCAGTGTCAAGCAACAACCAAAGGACTCGGGCACAAAATGGCTAGCAGTCAAGGACCCCTTTCCACCCTCCCACCGCTTGAATTTTCTACTCCTGTTTCTCCGGATGTCTCTCCTTTTGCATTTGTTCCTCGGATCATCAATACGTAAAAAAACAAAGGAGATAGTGAGGCGCACCTGTTGAGGTCCATGTCGTCGAGGATCTTGCGCAGCTGCTTCTCGCACGTTGCGCTCGTCTCGACGAGCTGCTTCTGGTCCTCGGTGAGGTCGGTGTGCTCGATGAAGGAGCGCGTGAACATGATGCCGTCCAGCGGGTTCTTGATCTCCTGCCGGATGTACGCCAGCTCCTTCGCCTTCGCCTCAGCAACCTTCTGGGCCGCGGCCTGAGGGAGGAAAAAGTACTGCGTTAGGAAAGCAAACCACTAGAGTGGAAGCTTTTAAAAGCAAATTTTCTAAGCCAGGCTCCTCGCCTTCACCTCCGCAACCTTCTGGGCCGCGGCTGGACGGAGCACAACATTTCGACTTCAGAAACGAGGAAACAAGTTAACAGTAGCCTTGGCTAGTTTCTCTCCGGATCGGGTCTCCCCGCCTTCGCCTCCGCAACCTTCTGGGCAGCGGCCTCGGGCAGAGACAAAGAGCGTAAAAGGAAGGCTTGACATCAGGAACGGACAATGAAGGCTTGACCTCTGAACAAGACGAGAAGGCTCGCTCTCGACTGGAACCTCTCTTCTCATTGAAAAGTCTGAACCAGGCTCCTCCGCACTCTGGGCCACAGCCGTGGGCGGAAAGGGGATGGAAGGCCTCGGTAGTTTGGAATGAGTAATTGCTACACCCCTCGGATCGTGAATTAAGGCTTCTGGGAAATGCGGGCTGGCAATCGTAAGGGAGGGCTTGGGTCCGGAAATAAGGAACAAAGGCGGACCGTGGACACAAACAAGAAACCTAAGATAAGAAAGAAGAGTTCAGAACTGGATTTTCTGTGAATTATTGCAGTTTGGTAGAAGCCCAATCTGAATGAAGGGTAGGAGAACATGCACGAAACCCATCCACACAGATTTAAACGGTTGCACGTTCAGCACACCAGCGTTCAAGTACCAAAAACCAGACGGAGGTCGCACAGGCACTGAGAGTGCCAACCGGAGAGGCCAAGAGTTGGGGCGTTTAGAACCAGGTCATCCATGCAGACAATGAGAGAACAGAGGGGGGGGAAGGAAAAAGCCTTCGAAACACACCTGGACGGCAAGCGCGTCTTGGAGGTCCCGCGACGCCTGGTGGATGAAGGGCAGACCACCAACAGACTCACAAAGATAACTGGCTTTCCGCTGTTGTAAAGTGTGATATTGGTAAGGGACCAGAAAAAGCAAAGAATAGCCAAACCTACCTGCACCGCCAGCGCGTCTTGGAGGTCTCGCGACGCTTGGTGGATGAAGCAGAAGACGCCGGTGATGGCCCCGTCCGCGGCCACGCGCTTGTTGACCGTCAGCAGCACCTCCTGCAGCCGCCCAAACTTGTCCAGGAACGCGAACGGGAACTTGTCCGTGCTCTGCCCGTCCATCGCGCCGTTGAGCACGATCATGAACTTGGTCAACGCGTCTTGATCCTGCAGTTGCCGGAGGGTTTTGATCAAGATTTCCAATCGCTTCAATCAAATTGTTTATCTTGGGGCGAGTAGACAATCAAAAGAGACGTGGACTATGGATAGAGGAGATAATTAAATTCCTGAAAGAAAAGCAGAAACTAAAAGAGACCTGCAGGTTCCGAAGGGCGGAGCAAAAGGCTAGCTGAGGACGGTGTTGTCTTGCTCGGTTGTGTGACACACTCGCCGATTCTTACGAGTGCATGACGTCACCCACAAGTATAACAAGCAAATAGAGAGCACAATCGCAACGGATGCACAGCCCTCAATCCCATTCGAGATCGAAGACCACCAATAGGGCACTGTCAGAACAGTGACTGATCCAATAAGGACCTGGCACCATCAAAACGCGAGGAAAACGACAACCAGTTTGCATCCAACTAATCTGGACAGTCTTAGCATCGCTAGTGAAATCATGGCATAGTAAGAACAGACTTCAAGCGTTCCTGGAAGCGCTTCGGGCACTTTCAGAAAACTTTCGGACACCTTTGTAGAAACAGGACACCTTCATGATAAAATTCGGACGCAATCGGACGGCCCACCTGAAGGCAGCAAAACATCATGCTTCGACGCCTTTGGACCACATTCAACAGGTGACCACATTTTGAGACCTTTCGGACACAATACAGCACATTCCGAACATTTTCGGACGGTCCACCTGGAGGCGGCAGAGCATCATGCTTCGTTCTATTACAATTCATTAGGTCGAACACGTTCGGAAACCACACAGCGCATTTCGGAAGCTTTCGGCCGGCCCACCTGGAGGCGGCAGAGCATCATGCTGAGACCGAACACCTCGCCGACCAGCATCTTGCCCACGACCTCGTCGCGCGGGTACCCCGTCAGCTTCTGCATCGCGGGATTCCACTCGGTTGTCGTCCCGAACTCGTCCGTGCCGAAAATTGGCGGGATGAGCGCGTGCGGGTTGTGTACGATCGCCTGCAAGAAAGCGGAATCTTAGCACGAGGCGGGAGGTAAGCCGCGTCCGTCTAACCAATATGGACACTGCACTGATCTTTCTGAAGCGACCTCGCCGTTTGACGAGGGGAAATTTCTGAATCTCTTGCAAATTTTGAAGGAAGCCGTGGAATGGGTCCCCAGGGGAACATCTGAAACAGCCGAGCCCCTGCGAAGCACGAGCCACGTATCCGCTGCTAGTTTCCATACTGTAGCTTCCACATGAACCGTTCAGCAGACCCTTTTCCAGAACAAAACCTGGTCCTTAGGAGCCCGCTCATACACTACCAATCAGGTCCAGAGTACGGCTCCTTCTAACGAAGAAAACGGCCGGGCAAAAATGAAATAGCAGGGAAAGCTTGCTTTCTCCAGATAAACCGACCCGCCTTACCTGGTATTCGCCCACATGCGCGTGTCCTTGTCTTGCACCATCTTGTGGCTCGCGATGTCTATGTTAACAAAAACTTCGGATAGCCTGCTTCTGACAAGAATACGAGCAACTAAGATGGGCAGACCCAGAAATGCAGATCTCCAAGTCGCGTGCCCCGCTTACCTGGTAGTCGCCCATCATGCGCGTGTACTTGTCCTGCACCATCTTGTGGCTCGTGATGTCCTGCCCCACGAAGCACACCCCGACCACGTTCTCGTTCACGTCGCGCGACGAGCACGCGTTGACAACGAGGATGACGGACTCGCCGCGGCGCGATGTCGGGTCCATGTCGGTTTCGTCAGGCCACGTCTTCAGCCGGATCTCGACGTTCTGCTCCTCTTCGCCGTTGAGAGCGAGGTAGAGTAGGCGCTCGACTGTTTCTTGGAACTCGGGTACGATGAGCTCTTTGGAGAGCGACCGGCCCATTGCGTCTTCCACTTTGAGGCCGGTTAGCTCAGCCACCTTGGCGTTCCAGCCATTGACCTGGAGGGAGACGGGCGGCGACATGAGAAAGTATAATTCGTTCCGTGACATGACGAACCGGCAGAATAAACGTTTGTGAAAGAAATGCGGAATGACCGGCCCCCAACATATGGTCTTCGGAAATCTAGATTCCACGGATCTGAGGGAAAGAGAGGATGACGAAACGAGGAGATTAGGAGTTGCGTATTGAGAACGGGAAACATGAAGAGCAAATGGGAAACAGCATTTCCGGGAAACTTTAGCACATCCATACGTGCCCAGCCGGGTTACTTTGAACATTCCTGGTTCCAACTTGGCTCTTCAATGGAAGGAAACCATAAGACAAGGTATACTTAATGAGCAGACAGGCTCGGGACCGGAACACAAATCCAAGCTCTTAAACGCATGCTTCGAAGCCCTTCTCACCTGTCCGTTCGCATCTACCGCCAGAATCGGCGCCGTCGCCGTCTCGATCAGCCGCACCATCTCGTTTGCAACAGTACTCAGCTCATCCATTCCCTGGATGCGCAAGTCGCTCAACCGCGCATGGATGAGCGACTTGTCGTTTTGGCTCTCGACGTCCTGGAAGCTGCCACGTAGGATCAGCTGCAGCGAATGGATGGCGTCCATCTCCGCGTCCTCCCACGGCAGCGACCGCGTTTTCACGACGTGGAGGAAGGCCTGGAACGACGAGCGCGGGTGCATCCGCCGCCCGTCGTCGCGCTCGTCGGGGTTGTGCTTGGCGCCCGCCCATCTGCATAGGGGTGAAAAATAATTCAGGAAGAGAACACCCATTGGAACTTGTATGCCGATGACCTTGCCTTGTTCATTTGAATCCAAGAGATAGAGTACCTCCCGTCATCAAGGTTCTGCCTGACGCCCGCCCACTTGCGGGAACACTGGTAGAAGCTCAAAGTTGCCGATACTTTTGGTCCAGATTGAGAGCCTGATTGAGGTAGCTCCCCAAAGGACCCACCTGTCCAATGAACCCAACCTTGAGCAAGTTGAGCGTCTTTCGAGAAAGGTCTGAGGGGGGGAGACTAAATCTGGCCTGCTGGCCGAAAGACGAAATTAAGCTTTCCCCAGGACAAGGATGGCAACCATCCAAACCCACAAGACAGGAACTCCTTCTGAACCACACAGCACGCGGCTTCCCTACCTGATCTCCTTGGCAGTGTTTGACCGGAACCAGAACAGGAAGTCCTTAGCCGTGATCCTCGCCGCGGCCAGCCCGCACACGGCTTCGCCCAGTTCCGCTGCCTGGGGGTATCCCGCGTCGACCAACGAGTCCGTGCTCAGCCCCGTGCTGTCCTTGTGGTTCTCCAGCAACCAGTCCGCGATGTCCTTGATCTGAGGCTCCGTGGGAGTCGTGCCCAGTAACCAGAATCGGCCCTGGAAAAGAGAGAATGCAACGTTTTTAGCATCGGGTTTTAAGGACCCTTCGCCTTGGTTGGAGAGAATCCAGGACCTAATATGCAGCTTGGCTTGAAGCTTCAGATCGTGAGCAGTCCACAATCGAGAGGAAGAGCCGTACACTTCGGAGAGGCCCCTTTAAAAACGCAAAGAAAAGCCGCCACAATAAAACCCTTCACAGGTGCGTCAACAGGCTCTGTGGAGGACCAAGAATCGAATCTACTCTGCAATAGGGCGCCCCAATGGTATGCTGCTGAACAACTACGATGTTCCGGCAAACAACTAATATGTTTGGAACGCTTTGCTGCAAAGAAGTCTCGCTTAGCTCTGATGATGAGGACGGCTGCGAAAGACCCACCTGGTAATAAAGCGCCGCGCCGTCGCACTTGACGAGGTCCATGATGCTGGGGGTCTGGGTGACGATTCCGACGGGGGCGTCGCGGAGCAACATGTCGCAGAGGAGCGTCTGCGTGCGCAGGATGTGCTTCTCGCGCAGCTGTGCTGCCAGCTCCACCTCCATGTTCAGCTGGAGACCAAACACCTGCAAAGGGCGAAGGGCGGATTACGGGGGGACTCACAGAGACATCGCACCAGTCTGAGTGCGAGCAATAGTACAGATGCTTATGACTTAGTACGTATCTGGACTACAAAAGGTTTCCCAAAGCTTGCGATTCAGCACGCTCTCTGCGAACACTTCGAAGCCCGACAAGCTCCGACTATTGTTATCCACTGGTCAGCATACCTCTTTCAAGTAAGCATTCCCCCACACAAAACCAGACGGCGCAGGGCCGCCGGTGAACAGAACACAAAAGATTCCGCACCACGCTTGACCATCAACCCCTTTCCGTTTGCATGGCCCAGAAATAACCTGGGCGAAACACTTCGGACCCCTCACCTCAAAGCTTCAAAAGCATCGCCGTCCAAACGCCGATGTACCTCTTTCTCAGGTGACCGTCCCACGCCAAAAATCCTGCCAGCACATTCAACGGCAAAAAACACCGCTTTTTTGACCGCTCACCTGCATGAGGAACTCGCAGGCGCTGCGCAGGGGGAAAGGCACCATGCGGGGCGTGGTGTGGTGGCACACGACGAGGCCCCAGAGCTTGCGGCCCTTGTTGGGGCCCGCGCTGGCGGTGGACGCGCTCGAGGTGCCGGTGACGGTGCCCGCGTCGTCGGGGTCGTTGATGATGACGGCCATGACGAGGGACGCGATGCTGCCCATGTTGGCCATGTACTCGCGGTGGCAGCCGTGGACACCTGGCGCGCGGGGATTGGTTGGATTTGATCAGGGCGATCAAGAATGGACTTACGTATAGGTGACAGTGGATCGAGGTTTACAGATGCTGGAAAGAGGAATGTGACGCTGCAAGTGTTGGCGAAGTAATCGCACGCCGCAGCGGTGGACAAACGACATGCGCCATGCTCGAAGCCAGCAACTGTTACAACGATTGCCGGGGTACTTTGAACCAAACGATAAGGCCACGGAGGTCAATGGCCCCCAACAAATCGCGCCTGTCCTTTTGAAAAGTGTCCGACTTCGATCGGAACCCTGCAACCATTTCAAACCTCACCAAATCGAAAGACCCACACAGACTTGTCTTCTCTGAATTTTGCCCACCTCGGATTTGGCTGCCCGCCAGGCTGATGGGCTGCTGCAGCTTGGAGTCCTGCACAACCTTGCTCTGCTCCGAGTGGCAGTTGGCAATCATGCGCACCCGGTTCTTCATGAACAGGAACCGGGAAGCCTGGGGGATGTCTGTGGCCGGGTAGTGCAGGCCCAAGAAGGGATCAAGATCTGACCGCCGGATCTCGGCGATGACCTGTTTTGGAGGGGGAATCGAAACCAATCAGAGGTGAGGGCCGAAGTGGAAGCGATCACAGGTGAACGGTGGAAGAAGGCGGGAGTGCAAGCAGTCAGAGGCGAGGACAATCATAACCCAGGCGGTGGACGAAGCAGTCAGAGGCGCCAACTTCCAGCAGGGGCACCTTTTGGAATGCGGAAAACGACGTCCGGAATCCAGCGAAACAAAGCATCTGACGCCCACTTGTCCAGATTTCGCAGCTTGCAGGACTCTGTCTTACAAGGCGCCTGCCTGGGACGGGTGAATTTGTTTTTGTGGGGGGTACAGGTTCGGAGCTGATAAGCTTTGCCGATATTTCAAACTTCCATTTTAAGCGCTTTCTTGTGATACATATGGCCCATGTAATTCATAGAGTTGAGAGCTTTCCACATTCAGCGTGCGCAGCTGCGCCTCACCTCGCCGTGCTCGTCCTCGTGGAACTTGTACGCCATCACCCGGTCATACCCCGTCAACTCCCGCACTTCCTCCACGACCGTATCGCACAACAAATTGATGTCCCCGCTCGGCAGCGCCTGCAGCCGGCTTATGGCCTTGGCCGCCAGCTTATGGCTCTGCAGCGCGCCCGCCGCCGAGACGTTCGCGTCGGTTGGCCGCAGCGGCTCAAAGTCGATTGCAATCCCAACCTCGATACGGTGCATGATGGCGTAGAACGGCTTTTGGCCGGATTTGGTGGTGACGAAGATTGGGTTGACCATCGCCAGGTCAGCAGACCCGGCCGCCTTCTCGAGCGCTGCCGCGCCCGAGGGTGTGAATAGGCTCCGAGCATCAGTGCCAATTCCGAGGGCCTGTAAAGGATGTTGCGGATGGTGCGTCACCAGCCATGTACTGACCCGTACTGATCACGTGCAGGGTGCCCAGAGTCAATTTCTCCATCTCATCGCATATTCAGTGGAGAAGCCAAAGTACCTATTGCAGGGGGGGAGTCCAGACAGATAGTGCACCAACAGAAAATTTCAAATTTTGCCAGCTCAAAGAGTCAAAAAAGAATCGTGTGCATAGGCACAGAGTAAGGTACTTTCAGGGCCGAAACACCTCTTGCAAGTTCCAACAGTTTGATTGCAACAAATCTACATACATGTGCAATGTCAAGTTGCCTTTTCCAGGGTCGGGCACTCAGAATGTTTGTGGAGGCACTTCAGAGAGGTCCAAGAACAAGTAGATCAAGTCCAATCTGGTTCCAGAAACCAGTTACAATAACCCACCTGCTCGCCATCGATGTTTGGGACCGCCTGTGGGCTGAGCTCCAGGATCTCAAACGAGTTTTCACTCAGCGCAAGGACGCGGAAGCTCTCCTCCTCTACCACGATCATGCAACCGAACGACTGCACGTACCCCCCCCGCTGCATGCGCTGGAGATACGCCGTCACCTGAAATGGGCGGGGGGGGAGCAGGAAAAGGATTAGTGGTGTGCAAAAGGGGGGCACAAGATGCATTGATGAGAGATGAGGGGTCACATATGCTTCATTCAGAATCGAGGTGCATGCGCCGTCACCTGAAATGGCGGGGGGGAAACAGAGGAAGGATAATTGGGGTGCAGAGGGGGGGTTTGGGGATACAAAAGACATAGGGCACAGCTGAGCCGGTAGTTGGGAAGCTACTAGATGAGGTTGATTGACCTTGAGGTCAAAGCTTGGAACTCAGAAGAGTGCGCGTAACGTTCCCCATTGTAATTGCTGGAGCTTCGCCGTCACCTGAATCAAAGGGAGGATAAACTTGCATTTCAGACAGTTGAAAATGTATTTGGAAAAGTATTGGGGGCAGAAGAGAAACCGTCACCTGCATGGGAAAAGTGGATCAACGGTGTTCAAAGACTGTGGGGATGTAGCTGGAAACTGGGGGACAATGGAATGCACGAAGGGTGTGAGAAGGCAGCTGGAGGGGAAGAGGCAGCTGGAGGAGGGGAGGAACAAAGGTGCAGAGAAGCCAGGCGAACTCCAGAATGACACAAGGGGTAAGGGCATGCTGGTTTGCGGTGAATGCTACAGCTTAGGTGTGAAACATCACCAAGTAGAAAACAAAATGCAGAACGGAGCCCCTTGATCCTGAAAGAATCTGTTCATTAGAGTGAGAGCCTTGGTTGTACGCAAGTTGATGTGCGAAAACCAAACCGTTGGGAAGAGCGCCCCCTGCTGGTCATGTAGCTAGGTTGCAGTGGTTTATGCGTCGCTAAATCTTGAAAGTTGGCTAAGCAGGTTGCTTGTCTGTAGAGGGGCAAAACCCCCACATCTGAGGTCTCCTCCACAAAACCCCGTATCTCTCAACTCTTTCCTTTCCTTGTCCCATGGCCAAAACTCACTTCAATAGGCCGCACTCAGATCGATAAATGATAAAGTACTGGGGTTAAGCTCTCCTTTCACAGCATAATGGAATTCATCGAACTTGTTCACTGCCTGCTTTGCAACACTACCTATCCATACATTACGTCAGACTTGCCTTCCCTGATCAGGCAATCATTGTGCAAACCAGAACCCTGCTAGACATACCTACCAGATCCACTGCCACCGCGCACCCTTCCCCAGAACCCCAAAACCCTAACACACTACGCCCCGCTGCTCCTCACCTGAGAGATTGGCAAGCTCTCGCTATTGGTCTTGCTTGCATCCACCGTCTGCGTGTAATCAAACGACCCGGACCCATTCGACGCCTCAAATGCAGCATTGAGGCGCGCATCAGCTGATGTCTGGGCTGCCCGGATGCCATGCTTGCTTTTGGACGACCCCGAAGAGGCCCCCGAAACGTGCGAACCCGAGCGGGTAGCACCGGATGTTGACATGGCAACTGCACAAAGTCAGACATGGTTTCGACTCCGATGGATAGTCGTGGAACTTATTAAGCACTATTTAGGCTGTCTCCAGGCTCGTGTTGGGCTTCATTCACTCTCCTTGGTTTTGTAAAACTGACATCAGGGCTATGTAAGAAACCCCCAGGAAGCCTGTATGTCCACTGCAAAGTCGCTTCAAAGATTCTTGACATCAGACTGAGACTGTCTTGAATTTTGAACAGCTGCATTGAAGCTCACATAATCAAGGTTTCCGGAAAGAAGTACAAATGGGCTTCTTGAATAACGTTGTCGCGATATGCAGGTTGCAAACGCTTCAAAAGGGAGGGAGCAAACAGAACAATGAGCATGATCAAAACAGACGAATGGATGGTCACTACAGAGCAGGAGCTACGGTGAAATAGCCTCCTACAGAATACACTTGCCTTTGACGTGTAAACCCAATGCTGTCAGACATTCATGTAAGAATGCACGACAATTGCACCACATTCAGAGTTGCGGAAGGTTGGCACAATTAGTCAAGGTACCAAAGGTGAAGGTATTGACAGAACAAATAAGGATCATCAAGAATGCACGGACGGTCTGCAGACAGAGTGCAACCCGCGATCAGGGTCTCTGCAGAAGAGACACTCTTCTGGTGCTTTATTTGAGACTTGAACCACTTCCTTCAGACCAATTTGGCAGTTATCAGCATTCTGTGCAAGCAGACACCACCTCTCAAGAGAAGGGGTGCTGGCACCAGGATATCAAAGACAGACATGTTGAAGCCCTTTGTCTGACTCCAACTGATGACCGGTGCAACTTATCTGTGAAGGACTTCTCAACGAAGGCAGTGTCAAAACATGTCAAAATGCATTACTTGCAAAGAACACAGTTTGCTTGAGATGTCAATGATGTTCCTCAACCCATTTCAACTGTACAGCTTCCACGAGCTCTAGTCACTGACAAAGAATCCAACTCACTCGTCTAACCTATTGCTATGCTGAAGCTACCATGATGGGTGGCCCGCTTTTAAGAATGGAGAGTAGCAAAATGAATAGCTTAATGATTGGACGTCCAATCGCACAAAAAAACAAGCGTAAAAAAATCACAAGAAGCGCTTGCACAATATTGATTACTGAGTATTGCTAAATTTGAGGAGTATCAAAAACTGGAGAAGCATCCATGGAGGTAGCAAGACCAACTAGCACCAAAAAGTGCATCATATGGGTTTCTGTACGTCGGTATTCTCCATAGACCTCAACATACCGAACACCCGGGATGTTGTGCACAAAAGCAAAACTCAGAAGAGAACCGCTTAATCATATTAGAGTTTGTTAAGAAGGTGGCACCAACAAGAAACTTATTGAAAATAGTAGGAGAAGATGCGCTCACCTTACTTGTGCACTTCACCTCGATTGAGCAGAAACAAGCTAGGAGGCTCTACAATTTTAAGAAGTTTGCGTGCAACTCAGTGGTTCTAGTGCGAACTATCAAAATTGCAGTGCCAATGGGCACCCCACAACCGCCATATAACTGCGCGCCTAATCAGAGGGCCCTTTCTATGCTTTCAACTTCGCTGCATCATTAGGAGCCTACTCCAGCTTTACATTCAACAAGATTTCTAGTGTTCGCCTCCGTTTGCCCAGTGTACAAAAGGATGGAAAGCCGGTGCCTTCTCAGTGGTCCTTACTCGTCCACCTTTCAGACCTTTAAACCACCAAAGCCACGGCTTCTGCGAGAAAGCTGCAAAAAGTGCTCCAATAACTTGAACTTCAAGGACCAAAAGTCGCCCCTTCAACTTCAAAAGCACACCATGAAGTCATGACTCATGACCTTTTCTTTTTGGGCGACCCGAGGATTTGATCTGTTTGCTGACCACTGATCAAATCCTGCACTGCAAGATTGCAGAAAGAGGCACACTCGTTCTGCCGTCAGATATATTACATCGGACGGCTCGGAATCTTATAGACGGTAAACGGACAAAGACCGTCCGATGACTGACATAAGCAACGATCCGATCGAAACCGTCTGGAGACCATTTATGAGCGGTCGTACCGTCCCCGTCCGCTGACATCATCGTCGTTGAATCCGTCATCTTCGCTGACGCGCCACACGTGCAGAGGTCACTCTTTCCATGGCGAATCAGAGTTTGCCATATCGGCAGGACAACAGTCATGTTCACGTGAAGGGTGCCACACGGGTCTTTGCATGTCGTCCGATGACGAACTATCGACGGTGAGTGCGGACAATGCACTCGCGCACAATATTATGAGCCCGGAACTGTAACAGTAACGAACATTCAAACCCCGTCGAAACCTCCAAGAGTCGATAACTGTAAGAAAAGTAAGCGGGTGGAGCCCGCCCGCCGCGCCGTATTATATTTGAACTGGGCGCACTTATGCTGTCGTCATTTTGACGGTAGTGGCGGTTTAGGTACCTATTCTGATGAATGTACGTAATTGAACTACCTATTGAAGATGCTGCGTAGTCTTTAATTTTGTACATCGATTAATGCGTATAGACCGTGTATAGACCATGCATGATATGTATGCAAAGAGCAAACTCGACGTGCTAACTTAGTAATCATTGATGCCGTAAAACCATCCGCAAAGTATACGTCCGAGTCGATCTTTCTGTCAATGAGAAGTATACTTACGTGCTTCAATCCCAGACTTTGAACAGAACGATTTTTTTGACGCTCCTTGTCCACATCTATCATTAAAAGGCATCATGAAAGAAGGACCAGTTCCTTATTGCGTTCGACGACAGCCGCCATGCTTCATTTGCGGACAGCCAAGTCAATGACGCATATCAGTTTGTCCTTTGATCATATGCGTGTAATTCTGCGTTTCAAAATCTATTATATACGTGTGTGCACTGGCCAGGCCCAAGTGCGACCAAGCAAACTCGAGGCGAAGCTCAAAGGGCGAATGGCCTGTTGCAAGGATGAACTATGTCAACGGTGCCCGGAGGTGGCAAACTTGGAAGACATACTGCAAGCTCTCCACACTATCAGCAACCCAAGAGTCGCACAGTTAGATGGAGGTGGTCTCTCAGTCCTGGCAGGAATCAAAGTAACTGAGATTAACGTTTTTCTTGGCATCCTATCCGTCACATGCGACATCCACATTGGATAGCGAGCGGCAAAAATACTTTTCCGTCACCTCGTAACAAGTGTAAGTTTCTGAGAGCAACCCCTTTCCGAGTGTTCTTGGACTCAGGACTTTGGTGCGCTGTCAAAAGCACGCGTCAAGTCGGCTATAAGGTCGTCGACGTCTTCGATCCCAATCTGCAGAAAGAGAAAGCAGAAGGTTCAATCACTGCACATGCAATTGTGAACATCTGTTGATGTTCCTAAAGAGGCAAAGCCGCGTTTTTGCGACCGTCGCCCTCAGCGGAGACATAGACTTCTCTGTGAAAAGCATAGAGTGCTCGGCAAGTTGCACAATCTCGCACCACCGACCGTTCAGTGCCTTCAGTTTGGAACAATTCTCTCGTAACGGACTTCAGCAGCAGAACCATGTAATATCGTCAGTTGGTGCGAATAACCTGGAATCATAACTCTTGAACTGACACCCTTCTGGTGCAATCTCATACCATTCCAGGCAGAGTAATATGACGAACTCGAACGAAACCTTTCCGTCTCTAATCTGTGCGCTCTGGCTACATATTGAGTCGATCGCAAGAGCCGCACTTACCGAAAGGCGTATCAGGTCTTCCGTAAGCCCTCGCTCCTCGCGGATGTGCGCAGGTATGCTGGCGTGCGACATGAAGCACGGCAGGCTGATGGTCGAATGCACGCTTCCTGTAAGAGAACGTCACAACCGGCTGACTACGGAATCTCGTTACCCGTGCTAGGATGAATTGAATGCACGCTTCCTGTAAGAGAACGTCACAACCGGCTGAATACGGGATCTCGTTACCCGTGCTAGCCTGAATTGAATGCACGCTTCCTGTAAGAGAACGTCACAATCGGCTGAATACGGAATCTCGTTACCCGTGCTAGCCGGAATCTCTTAGATCTGTCGAACCGTTGATTCAACTGCTTAAGCTCTCACCACGGACAATCCTCAGGGCTCGATAGGGCTACGATACGAGCTTGCTCCTTGAGCGGAGACGACATGATAAGCTTCTCTGAGAACAGCCAGCCAGCAACACAGGTGCCGTCAAACCGCGACGAAATGCCAACGACAATACTTGAAAGAGCCGTGTACAGATCAAGCTGCGCGGTGCAAGGTCTTGGGTCCAACGAAGTAGGCACTAGTATGGAGACCCCCGTGGCCCGACGTTGCAGCGGCAGTCCACCAATCTTTGAACGATAGTCTTTCCGCCAGAAGAACTAGAATTGTGCTGCCTTGTTCGGTCCATCAGGGGCTTTTAAACCCAAGACTAAGCGGCCCAAGCAGTTGAGTGCGGCGGGTGCTCACCGAAGCTGACCGCAATCTTAAAAAGCTTGGTTGACTCAACGACGTGCTTGGAACGAGGGAGCGAGCCGGTGAGGAAACTGAAGACGGACCCCGCGCCTTTGGCCTGGAAGAAAAAAGACGTAATAAGATTGAAGACGAGACCCAGACGGTGTTATATTCAATTTGTCCAGGGGATTTTTTGGCAGGTCCCGACAACCACTAAACCTGGAGGCTTGGCCCCTCGGGAAGTGTCATCATGGTTCGCAGAAACAGACAGAGGCCGTGCAGAGGAGGGGCCCATTTGATGACTCAAAGAAGCATCAGAAGAATGAAACAAAGAGATACAGAGATAACTACAGAATCTGCATGACAGAAGAAAGCTGCGCGCGGCAACCGCACCTGTCGAAAGTGCAGTTCGTGGCCCGGGTGGTCCGGGAGCCCCACGTGGTTGACACGTGTCACGTGGGGGTGCCCCGCCAGGAAGCGTGCAATCTTGTCCGCGTTCGCCTGCTGCCGTTCTATTCGCAGCGCCATCGTTTTGATCCCCCGCAAACACAGGTACGCCTCGAACGGCGCCAGCCCGACGCCCATGGCGTTCTGCTGGAAGTAGATAGCGTCAGCCAGGCTGCGAGGAGCAAAGAAAGATGACGTCAGCGGGCGTGGAGGTGAAGAATGAAGAACGTCACCCGAAGTGAGTTCCGCGCAAACACAGGGACGCCCCTCGAAAGGCGCCAGCCCTCCGGCAGGACGTTTTACCTGGAAGTACATCTCGTCGGCTAGGCTGGCATGCTGACGTCAGCGAGGATGCATGTACGGTTCCAGGACGTCAGCCAAGATTGCGGGCAACGTACATTTCGAACGACACTTTTTGCACGCAATGCAGGCTGGTCTGACAGAAGAGGCCATCGCCCTCTCTGTCAGCACGTCACTTACTTCGTCGTCCATCGCCTCTCTTCTCGACCTGACGCACTGTCAGCCAAAGCAACATCGGCCTCAAAACCTACGAAACTTGACTCTGAGAAATCCGGGTTAAGCAGTCGTGCAACTCTGGCTAAGCGAGCGACAGCCCACCTGTCATCGTTGACCGCCAGCACGCCCGCCATGACGTCACTGTGCCCCGCGATGAACTTGGTCGCCGAGTGCATCACGATGTCCGCACCCAGCTCCAGCGGCTTGGACAGTAGCGGCGACATGATGCTGTTGTCCACCACTACCAGGGCGCCCTTTTCGTGCGCGATGTCTGCCACTGCCTGTATTAGAAACAAAGTTTGAGATGAAAATTTTGACTGGATATATCGTACTTGAGAGCTTGGGCAGGAGCGGCGATATGATGCTGTTGTCCACCGCTTCGAAGGCGCCCTTCTCGTGGGCGATGTCTGCCACTGGTTTAACAGGAGGGCGACAAGATGCTTTTGTCCACCACTACCAGGGCGTCTTTCTCGTGGGCGATGTCTGCTACTGCCTGTGTTAGGAATACGTTTGAGGATGAAAACTTTTGAATGGATGTATAAGGCTTGGAAAAGCTCGGACAGGAGCGGCGCCATGATGCTGTTGTCCACGACTACAAGGGCACCCTTTTCGATAACGATTCCCGCCACTGCCTGGAACTGAGTTTGAGAAACGGTTGGGGAATAAGCCATTCCAATATTATTGAGACGGATTCCCTGAGTTTGTGTTGAAATGTGCTCAGGTGCTGTTGTCCGCCAGGGCGCCCTTTGCATGGACGACGTCCGCCACTGCCTGGAAAGCTACCCGGGCTTCAGGATGACTTCGAAACGAAGGTGTCAAGCTGGACGAGTCGGATGCTTTGGATTTGATCAAGTGGGGTTTAGGTGCTCTTGTGCACCACTTTCCAGGGTGCCCTTTTTCTGAACGACTTCCGCCCAATGCGTGGAAAAGTGCCAAATGAAAGGAGCGTCTGGTAGACAGGTTTAACAACCTTTTCATATGCATGATGTTGAGCACGATTGTGATCAACGACCCCATGCTGCTCTTTACCCCTCCCGGGGGCGCACTTCGCTATGCAACTGGAACGGACGGCATACTTCGAGGTCAACCAAAGACATGCGTTTGCAACTTCTGAAAAGCCCATGTAAAAGGCACTGCTTGCAGAGGCTTACGGCCAGAGCCTCGTAAAAAAAGAGCGACAACATGTTGGGTATGGAGTCCGCCCAGAGCAAGCAATCCCCAGAAGAATTGCAGGGAAAGAAGACAATCGCCGAGATCAAATTGAGGCGAACAGCCTTATCGAGCAGCAAGCATCAGACAAATCAAAGGAAGCAGATTCGATAGTACAGCGGGGATATTAAAAAGGGAATCAATATGAGGCAAAGAATCTTACCAAACAGCAAGCATCAGGAGGCCTTCTGAAGCAGATCAGTGAAGACCAGCGGGAATCCATGAAGCAAACCAGGTACGACGAGCGGAGATACAAGATACACATCAGGTACGACAAGCGGGAATCCAAGAAGCAAATAAGGTGGAACAAGCGAGGATTCAAGCAGCAAAAATGGTGAGACAAGCGAGCATTCTAGAAGCGAAACAGGTAAGACTAGCGGGGATTTAAGAAGCAAGTCAAGCAAGACAAGCGGGATTTCAACCATCAAATCCGTCAAGACAAGCAGTTCAAGTAGGATCTTGGTGACCCACCTCACCTGGAGGTCGCTAACTACGAGCCGGGGATTGGTGGGGCTTTCCAACATCACGAGCTTCGTCTTGGAGGTGATGGCCGCTCGCAGGGCGTCCAAGTCCGTCGTGTTAACACGCCTGCACAGCGGCGGTTTGAACTTTCTGTCAGCCGAACTTCGCTAGTGTCAGGCTCTAAATCGGTTTTCGGAGTAAATGCATATACGATCCTCACCCAGCAAGGAGCGTCCAATTTGCGCACTTTCTGATCCAAGTCCTTTCGTCGTTTCGCAGATAGCTCTTACGTTCTCTGGTGAGAGGACTCTGCGTACTCCTGACGCCGACACTCGTTTCAAAGGGACCAAGTTCGAGCAGACCATGGGGCCAGCTTTGCAGCGGTGTAAGTTGGTTCAATGCAAGGGAGGAAAAGAGAAAGATTTCTTGTGTCCAGGCCTCGCAAGAGATTGGTCTTAGAGCGTGTGAGTGTCAGAGTGTGTCACAATGTTAATGGGAGAGGAGCACTCCCCGACTTTTTACAACTTTACAAACGCCAAGCACGGGTTTTGGTACGGAGTATGCCAAGTGTCACAGCTTCGCCTTGATTAACAGCCCGGGGCAATCATCCCATTGGAGAATCAGGAAGGAATTGACGCTCGCTGCGAAAGCGGCCGTGCAAGTGCGTTGTTCTTGTATACCGATCCTGGGTGTCAACCTTGTCGATGTTCTCAGGAATCGGACGGCACACGCCACGTCTTAACGACACGCGATGACAAGCGCCCATGAGTTGACAGAAATCTGGGGCCGCACATGCCGATAAAAGCTAAAACTATGCAACGAGCACACATGGAACCACTAGTCTTCGCAAAAACTATGTCGAACTTCGCGTTTCAGGTTATGGTCCCAAGGTAAGAGGGTTGAACACCCCTGCAAACTCACTTGACCGTCACCCCGCTCCTCGGTACCACCTGCGACAGTAGCCGGTCCGTGCCCCCGTAGATATCATCTGCCGCCACTATTTCTTCGCCTGAATCAGCAAATGAAGTACCGGAGATTTGGAGAAAGTTTCGGAACGACTGTTGCTGCTACAATGGGCCAAATACTGACGGACGAGTGTCAAGCAGAGGAGGGGAGCCAGAACAAGTGAGGTGTGTGCTGAACTCATCCGGCTCCACGACTGAAGAGAAAAGGCAAGTCGAAAGGACTTGTAAAAAGAGCAATCGAGCAGACAGCATCGAAGCTCACGGGCCTTAAAACGCATGTCAGTCCTAGGACTTCGAGAAGCATTGGACAGAAGCTGCCCATAGAACAACAATGACAACGCACCTGCTGACGCCAGGTTTGTCACGACGGCCAGCGCAGCCATGCCTGTGGTGAACGCAAATGCGCGCTTCGCCCCCTCAGCATCTGCCAACACCCTGGACGAAGATGAAAATGTTCTATGTATATGTTGGCGAACAGAACCCGTGTTATCAAACAGGCACCAGAATCCAATATTGACTCATGTGGAGGGTTTTCGTGAACTGCTTCACTCGACAATCTCGATCCCGAGATGCACTACGCTTAGGTACCACATCCAGAAGAGGCAGCTTGAAGCGAAAGATGGCAGGAAGACGTACTTTTCGAGGGCTGCCCGAGTGGGGTTTCCGCTCCGGGTGTAGTCGTACGGCCCATTCTCTGTAGCGGAGGGCTGTCAAACCAAGGAAGCGGAATTATACAACGTGCCATGTACATCGTCATAGAAACCGCTCACCATGATCAGCGTTTGCCCAGCTATCAAACATGGGCCCTACGGGTTTTCGTCCGACTCATCTTGATAGATCTACAGCAAGCTGTGTGCATCTTAGCAACATCAATCCAACTTGGTGTGAGGTTTTACCAAGAAACGGTTTGAAGAACCAAAAGATGGAGGTCGATTGAGCGCAAACTTGGGTCATCGAATCAAAAAACGGAGGGCACTGTAACCTGTAGGCCGGATGCAGATCCAAAGTCGACCAAGGGTGCCACCTAACGAATCAAGGTTTCAAGTATCTTTTCAAAAGTTGTTAGCTTTTGACAGCGACAGAAATTCTCAATTCTCAATCTTTCTCCCTTTTCAGATTGTAATTTCCCTGGACAAAGTGAGTGAAGGAAAAGATATAAACTGCTGTATCATCACGGAGAATTGACAAGTGCAATTTGCTGGATTTCACAAGGAGACTCAGCAGGTCAATCGGCACTTGAACTCAGCGTCCTTCAACCATTCCTTTTGAACTGATCAACACAGAGTTCACTCACTTGAGCAAAGGTGGCGGTCTGGTAGATGGGCGTGCTCATGGCAGAGTATGGGTCAAAGTCATTGACAATCTGCAGTAACCGCGTGCTTTCTTGCAACTCTCTAACGTCTGGAGCATCTTCACCTGGATTCACACATGACAAAGATTGTAGTATGTTGGTGAATACTGGAATGAGCATGTGCCACAATGGGGAATATCTCAATTGTGGTAGAGTTGAGCCACTAGGGACAAAAGTGGATGTAAAATTGGAGCAGGATTCTCCCTGGTGACAGCAGGAATCCCCTCTTCGTGGCCGAGGAGAGACCTGGTTTCACAACCAGATCGAAAGATTGACACTAGATTTGAGTGTGTTTCACTTCTACAGCCAATTGCAAAACCTCTGCAACCATCTGAAGTTCCAAGGTCAACGACAGCTGTTTGCCACCCACTCTGAGCTGTTGGCGCCACTGATTGAAAGGCAGAAATTTTGATAGATGCAAAGATAGATGCAGGCTTTTCGAGTGATGGTGACAAGGACCACCTATCGCCATCTCCCATGGAGCCCTATCTTCCGGAAATGCAAACAAGATCCTGCCTTCCTCATGAGAACTCATCCGACATTGCTGATATCTTACCAGAGCTTTCTAGGCTGCCAACACTTGCCATCGCTTGTAAGGGCCGCTGCCTTCGCTGTCTCTCCTGCACATTCAGCAGTCCCACCAAGGAGTCAACTGACTAGCTGCCTCCAGAATCTTGGACTGCCATCACCTCAATGTCTCAGAAACGTACATCCGAGCAGCAAACAAATGGCTCTGAGTCTCTCCTTGCCACCGCCATCATGATGCCCCACATTTGAGTTCCAGGGACCAAGCCACTGCTGTGTCCCACCACCGTCCCATCGACGGAAACAAAAGGTCAGCAAGCAAATTTCTCGATTGGACATTGCAGTGCATTCAGACCAGGAAATTGATTGGTTTTGATCAGTGGTCAATACCAATTGAAAGGGGATGGGTGGCGCCGTCCATAGATCAAGCCAAAGCAATCTGATTGTTCCATATTGAGACAAAATTGCAGCCAGCTTGCCTTGGCATATCACTCACTCTATTTTTTGTTGAATGCACAATCCTCCGCCACTTCTCATTTGGAGTAGGCCGGAACAAAAGCTTGGAATTTGGAAGTGGACAGCTTTTTAGGTTCTTGCCAGCATTGGCAGAACATTCAAGAACGGCCAAACTCAAACCTCCGGAGTGCAGCTGGGAAAGCCTCCAGCACTGCGTGAAGCTTGCACTTGACGCGGCCATCAGCACTGCAAAATCCTGAGCCCCTCTGCAAGCTTTTGCTGCACCGTGACTCTGACTCTGAGCCCCTCTCGAGAGCGCTCGAGGGAAGCAAGAAGGGCCAAGCTACCGTAGTCCAACGTGATGATTCCGAATAAATAACTAATTATTTGCATTCGGAAAGTCAGAAAATCAGATTTCTCATTCGGAAAGTGGAAATTCGGAAAGGTTAAATAATTCGAGAATGGTCCTCGGAAGCCCCAAAACAGCCAAAATCAGCCTTAAAATCCCCTTCTTACTGAGAACATAGGGCATTCGGATTGTTGTCGGAATCTGCACAAATAATTCCGCTTTTCTGGTCGGATTGTTGGAAAATAATTCGAAATAATATCGTTCGGAATGATCACGTTGGACTACGGTACTCACTGAGCAGTGAGCTGGCACAATGGCAGCTGCTTTTCTCACTTCAAATTTCCTGGAAAATTCTCGATTTTCCGCGCTTTCGACGGACGTCGAACTTGCTGAGTCGACTCGGGGCATCACAGCTGTGCCATGATGCCACGTCGGCGTCGACGTCGATGTGTCAAGGCGGAAGTCTGCGCATGAGGCTAAACGAGCCTTGGCAAACCTGTGCACAAACGGTCTCCACTTTCCAAATTCCAGTTGAACAGCAAGAAAAGGGGCGCCACAGAGAGGGCGGCAGGGGCAACAGAGGGCGGCTGGTATCGTGAAGGGTGTGAGCCTCTTTCATCGTCACCCAAAGCTAAGAATCGCAGGCAGTTCGCGTGTTTTGGCAATTGAAGGCGGTCACCATGTTGGCCCGGCGGTTGCTGAGTAACCAGGGGATCGGCGCTGCGCTGAAGCAGGCTGCCGCCGGCGCGTTGCATCCAGTGAAGGTCATCTCCACCAGCGCGGTAGTCAGCGCCCCTGAGCAGGCGACTGTTGGGACCGGCAAGCACAAGGAGCCGAGCCTAAAGAAGGTGCAGATATACCGATGGGACCCCGCAAAGGGCGAGAAGCCGTACATGAAGGAATACACGGTGGACACCAACGCGTGCGGGCCGATGATGTTGGACGTGCTGATCAAAATTAAAAACGAGCAGGACCAGAGCCTAACATTCCGGAGGTCATGCAGGGAGGGGATTTGCGGTTCATGCGCGATGAACATCAACGGTGGGAACACTCTTGCGTGTCTCTGCAAGGTGGACCCGAACCCGGCCGATGTTGCCAGGATCTCCCCGCTGCCCCATATGTTTGTGGTCAAGGATCTTGTTGTGGACATGACCAACTTCTACAACCAGTACAAGTCGATCGAGCCGTGGCTGAAAACCAAGAAGGCTCCGAAGGACAACAAGGAGCACTTCCAAACGAAGGGGGACAGGGACAGGCTGGACGGATTGTATGAGTGCATCCTTTGCGCATGCTGCAGCACGTCATGCCCGAGCTATTGGTGGAACCCGGAGAAGTTCCTGGGGCCGGCCGCTCTTATCCAGTCATACAGGCAAGTGCTTTGGTGCTTTGGTGGTTTTCTTGCCACTCATACTTGCAAGTTCTGCAACAAGTCTTATGTGTAAGATACAATCAGCAGGGTGCCTGCAGTATGTGGTGCTGTTGCTAGTGGTCAAGCAGTACCGCTTAGAGATCAAGAGTCTTCTATTAGTTGGTTGCACACTGGTTTTTGTGACCAGAAAGTCAGTACAGGATGATTCTTGTTGAGTGACGACCCTTTTAAAGTCAAATGGAGCTACTCTCAAATTCCAAGCTTGCTCTGGTTCTGCTGTTGCTGGCGATGCAGACGAGTTTGCTTTGATTGCCAAGTTCCTTGTTTTGTTGATTAAGCTGGTGCTCGAATTGGTATTCCAAATCCACGTTGCAGACCGTGTGCAGCAAGATCAGCATTGATATCGTTCAACTGGTTCAAATTGCCCCCTGACTCCACTCGTTTGTTTCCTGGGTCCTTGCAGATGGATTGCCGACACTAGGGATGATTTCACAATGGAAAGGGTGGAGGCGCTTGTGGATCCATTCAAGCTCTACCGCTGCCACACCATCGTAAGTAGCTTTGAGGTTACCATCAAAATCCCATGTAGATGCTCACCTCGAACGCTGGTATCAAGTTACGCAGAGAGCATTTGAGATAGGTTTGCATAGCAGAAGACAACAGTCCTATTTGACACCCTCCTAGTCTTGGTGTCTCCATTCTCAAGCTTCTGTTTGAAGGTCATCCAATCGTGACTTTTTTGCTTGATGGCAGACAAAGTTCTTGTAATGCAGAATATCGGTTTCTCCGCTGACAAGACATGCAAGATCCCAGTTTTCCTTTGATAAGTTCAAACGATTGTTGTTCTCTTTCATCTTGCAGATGAACTGTGCACGGACATGCCCCAAGGGCCTGAGTCCAGGAAAAGCCATTTCCAAAATCAAGAAGCTGGTGGCCGGTTTCCCTGTGGAGAATTCAGGGAGGTCTGCACCTTAAGAGAGGGCTCGCCTTGTGATTCTTAAGGCTCTGAGGACATTCAAAAAGGTAAAATTCAGCTGTACATTAAGCACATAAACTGAAACCATGCTTTTTGGGAAGACAATACAAGGCCTATTCTGATTGAAGAAAAATAGTGGTGATTACAAATACACCCGTCACGATCGTGGTCCAGTTCCACTGCTCTGCCTGCCATGGCAACAATCGTTTCAATACACCGGCGTTCTCAAGATTGTTTCAGCTCAACTCTAAGAGGTTCAATGTATCGAGGTTATTGCTTGGCTCAGGTGTGTAGTCACCGATTATCATCCATTTTTTTGGTTTTCAGTCCTGTCATTAACGTTATGTCGATCCTAAGCATATCTCTAGATACACTAAGCTACACTGCATTTATTTAGAGCTTGCCTCAAGCACAGATTTAAAGAATTGCACCAGAGTATGTTCAAAAAGATGTAAGGCGGCGCCCAAGTAATGCTTTAAGTGCTTGAAAATCAAAAGGTCGCTCTTAACTTGGAGAGCGGGGGGGGGCGATGTGGATTTCGATTGTGCTTGAGCCTTGCCTTCTGCACATGCTGACGCAAACATGTGAAGATGCGCAGCTGGTCAGCGCGCATTCTTGGATCCCAATGATATAGCTCTTGAAGGGCGGATATATATCATGCCGTCTTTATGCCCTTCTGTTTGAAGATCTCGTTGTATTTGCACTAGCTATAGGAAGTAGCATGCCCATGCTCCGCCAGCTGGGTGGGGCCCTCGATACTAATACGTATCTAATGAATACTACTTGGTGCACATCATGCATTAGCGACAGGGAAAAAAGGGTTTCAATCATGGAAAAGGAGCATGCAGCTTGCAGACTCCTCAGCTTTAAGCTGTAATTTCTCCACAACTCGTAACAACGATTGAAACGGCAGCTACCCCATCCTGTCTACCATACGAGTTCATCTCCTCTACAACATCCATCCCGCTTATTACTTCACCGAAGATAACAAATTTTCCATCTAAATGTGGAGCAGCATCCATCTGCAACAGATGACAGCAGAGATTAGCGCCTGCGTATAGGCAAGAGGATCTGTAACTAAAGAGAACGCGAATCTGAATCAACTGGATACATCTCGGATCATATGTACATCGGATTTGAAACTTACCAGGATCGAGAATTGGGACCCGTTCGAGTTGGGGCCCGAGTTTGCCATGGAAAGCAGCCCCTTCTGTTGGAAAGAAAGCGCTACTTCAGCTTGAGCTGTCATCAGTATGTTAGACTGTTTGATTCAACCAATAATTCTTTAGAGTGGTTCTTTAAGAGGATCTCAGATACAACTGTTCCACAAGAGATGCCATACTTGCAGAGCTAAGAAGCACCCACACTCGGACGCTGGTTGCGCCACTGCTTCATCAACAAGACTTTGAAGCATTTACCAAGAAGTACGGAATCATCTTCGCATCAGTCTATTCGCAGAATTCTCGAAGTGCTACCTCGACTCGCATAAGCGGGCTTCCACAACCGGCGCCCTCCTCAATAGATCCACAACCAGGAGAGTGTTGGTCAGACATCTTACTCGATCGTGTTTCAGTTTCAGACCACTGGGCTCGTCGTCAAACGTCGGCCCGTATATAGACTGCCCTCCTTGACCTGCACAGGGCAAATGATTCTTCGCACTGTCATTTCTTGATGCTACTGTGAAGCTCCGTATCTTTCGAATGAAAGGATATCTTGACCGGCGGTTTGCTTCAGGAAGCAGACTATAAGCGGGCAAAAAATCTGCATTCAGATGCTCGAGAAAGTTGGAAAGCTGTAAGAGGAAACATGTCGATCAAAAAGGAGGCAAGGTAACAAAGGTGCTATGCCAGTCAAAATGGGTAGATCACCAAATCAAGTCTTTTCACGACCTCCTCGCTCCGATTTTCGAATCGACCAGGCTTTTCGTCGCAACCTGTTGCAGACAGACAGATTGGTTTGAATCAATCCAGTTGTCTAGATCAGGAGGGTTGGTAATCTTACCATCTAGATCGCCTCCTTGACAAATGAAACCTGGAAAGATTCGATGGAACTTCGACCCCTTGTAGGACAACTTTTCGCCGCTTGCGGTTGTCCACGTCCCACTGGCCAGTGCTCGGAAGTTCTCAGCGGTCTTGGGTACCTGCATATTGGCAGGTATTTGATGCAGGTTCTTGAGCAGATAGAAAAGCAACTACATGTAACACTCCGAACAAAGCCTTGCACAAATTGGGCTCAAAAGGGAACAAGCTCCTTCCCTTTTCGAACCATATCCTCTCGGATACAGCCTGAAACGAAAAGCAAGAGCCGTTTGCCAACGCAAAGGAGTTTTACAAAACAAGCACTAGATCACATCCATCCCCGAGCATAATTAATGATTTTGTCCAAGACTCACCGCAAGGGAACCAGAACTTATTGCGGTCAAACCTTAACAACAACTTCTGTACTTCACATAGTACGAGTGACACATGTTTGAAAATCTCATGCCTGAGGTGATAATAGACGCTTGTAGTAACATCCAGTAGCTCACCCGATCAGCATAGAGTTCAAAGACCACCTTGCCGGCTGGGCGCTCATCTATTGAGATGTCGAAGTAAACCTGCGGAGAAGAACCACGAAAAACGGATGAATCTTCTGTTTCAAGGAAGTGCTCAATCTGGTTGGGCAAGGTCAAGACGGTCAGAGGAACAGTCCACTTCTGTGAAACAGAGCAGGTATACCTCCTGGGTAGCGACTGTTTGCTCTACCAAGTTATTCTTTTGGGGTAAAAGTGACTGCTCGGCCCGCAGCTTGCATACACCGGCACTTCTGTTTGCAAAGGTCACCCTAAAGAGGCGGTTGAGTAATTTGAAAAGCCTTGCACTGTCAAGCTGCTTGTGAGTTTGGGTTGTTAAAAGTCCATTCATGTTACAGAGAACTTTTGCAGGAAGGATATGGTTAGAAAATAGAGAATTGAAAATTTTCAAGGTTATCAATGGCAGCACGCTGCACCTTTGTGATTGACTTACTGCTAGAGACCGCCACTTTCACCGATTCTTCTACATTGAGGGCCCAATCAAGGGCGGGTTTTTCTTTTTCCAGGAATGGCAATGCATCATCCTTCTGGAATCTTGAAAACTTTTGACAAGACTGACGACACCAATCTCGAACACTCAGCAAACAACTACAGACACTGAACTTTCTTAACTCAGAGCTTCGGACATGTGCTTGATGCAATCATATGCCTCATACGAGTGGCAGCACGTCGTTCCTATTCTACCTGCATTATGTTTGAATTGCACCATCCAAACAATTGGCAGAGTAATCAAGACGCAAAGGACGCTGCAGCTGTCTCTCATATTTAGCCTGCATTCTAAATTCCACCGCTGAGCTGCGCTTGCTTCTGCCACTGAGCTCTGTGTAGTTTTGCGATGGTGCATTGGATGACATCATCGAGCAGTGGAGCAAGCTTACTCTGGGATTTGCATTCTTCCTGTCAGGAAGGCCCTTGTGCTGCCGGCCCTTGTCCGGATGTAAGAGTGCTTGGCTCTGACTTTCTGAGAGGACCTTGATCTTCCGGTGAGGGTCCACCCCTTCTTTCTCCATGGAACTGGCGACTTTGAAATAGCTCATGACCTGGAACAAAGCGATGAAGGCCATGATTGAGGCCACAATCATAAACAGGTTGCGCTTGTCTTTTGTAAGCGCCATCTTTTGCACCTGTAGTTGTCAAAGCTCAAGCTGCGAGGCTGCTATAACTAACGATCTCGGCGCAACAGTTCATGCTTCTCTTCCTGATTCTTCCGTTCGCTCTTGTGTCATCGATCAGCTTGTTTTCTCCAGTTGCAAATGAAAGGACTCGGCTGGCCTTGGCGCTTGTCGAGGAAAAGCGCCTTGCTTCGAGCACATTGTGCGTGAGCTGCGATATCGTAGCTACCTTAGCTCGCACGACAAGAGAGCTCCCCCTGCAGCCCCCTTCGTCCATCCGGGCCGTCAAATGTCTTGGGTAACATCCAAAGGTCATGTGGCAGCGCATTGCGAAGGCCTTTTCCCCTACCGTCGATCTGGCGAAAACGTCAGGGTTCGTATGATCGACGCTAGGTAATATACTGCTATGCTTGAATCAGACGGTATGAAGCACACTCAGTGAGGCACTGAGCCAGTGCTCCGACATGCATGCACTGCATGCTTAAGCGAATTCGAAACTCCCGGATACACATTGCGTGAACGGGCTGTGTGAGAGATGCAGGCATGTGCCTATACTGGAATGCTCTTTGCATCCGATAACGAGGCTGAGCTACCACGTCGATAAGCACATGGAAGAGCGTCATTGCACACGCACACACACATACAATGCTGGCAAATGAACGGATTGTTGGTTGTGACGGCCAAATAAAACGACCATGACATCATGAATCAACTATGTTGGACGCTGTCCTAAAGCGCCTGCAAAATTGGCACATCAAGAAAAGGAAAAGGGCTTCTTTCTCCATTGATAGCGCGCACGTCTTAGGTCACCAGATTTACAAGGCCTACCTTTGGATGCTTCTATAGATCAATCATGAATGTCGTTCCGATTCTCGATGAACCCGTTCTGCTTTTGAAAGGCTCTTCCCCCAGAGATTCTATGTCTACTTTATCTGAATCACTTTCTGCCGTTGGTTCGGTAACACCCTTGACTGCTTCTTGTGCTGCTTGTGAACTGGTCGGAGCAGGACTGGGTCTTTCTCCCTTGACGATCGTCTCCGTGACAAAGTTATGGTTTGTGTATATGCAGACGTCCGCAGCTATTGTCATCGACTTTCGAGCTGCAGGAGGAGACGATGAAAGGTGGTCATGATTCGCTTGAGCTCGGTCTCCTTTGCAACCCGGCTTTCTACCACATACTTTCAATCAACAAGCCTTTCGGACGAAGCAAAGGCACTTTAAGCGAAGCATCTGAGCGACCAGGGATAAGAAACACCAACTTAATCCGACACGGACGGAAAGGACATTGCCAACCTTGCTGCTGCTGCCTTGTGGCAAAAGCTCTACAATCAAGAAAACAAAGCAAACGGCTTACAACCGCTCGGCCTGTCAGGGTCTGCCAAGGCCGGTGCTCTCCATCCCGCTTGACCAAAGTCGACCAGTTTAGAAAACAGTCGTACGAAAAACAATCGTGTGGGAACAGCCGGACATAGTAGCAATCTATAGATGTGAAAGCTGATCCAGACACGGGAGTTCGGTGCTTTTTCGTCCTTGCAGTTTCAAAACTGCCTCTGAGCCTGATTGCTAAAAACAGAATTTAAAACTCAAACGGACACTCAAACAGACATCCAAAAGAAAGCTTACCGATTGCCTCAGCATCCATTCCCGGAATGTCGATGAGTGCCCGTGCAGCCGACAAGGCGTAGGGTCCCCCAGATCCAATTCCTGAAGGCAACTTTCGATTTTGTGATCACGAGCAAAGACAACTGAAAGCACTCCTTTCAGACAATATGACGCACTGACTGGACTGAAAAGAGCGCCAAAACGACAAGCTATCGGTTCCTCTGAGCTACATGGTAGATGGACTTATGTTCGTGGGAATATATGCTTCCGCCTGACTCAATTCATCGACTTTAGTCAAGGCATATTGACGGAAGCTGCACTAAAAAATCCGCGAACACGAGAAAACCAAAGAAAGCTCTCTCTAGTCAGGGAAGCTGACGCCAGGTCCAACGATGCAGTCCGCATCTGGTAGGTACGGCTTCCTTTCGGAACCTCCATCCAAAACCGAGCTTCACGGAATGATAGCCGCATTCCTAAAATCGTAAAAGTGGAATACAAGCACGAGAAGCCCACTGCAATCCGCCAACCTGTAGTTACTTTTTGTTTGACGGCTTGACTTCCACTCGTGTTATGCTTGACTCGTGTGAGAATCTCGGATCTTATACGCGACTTTTCCAAAGGTCCGAAGAACGTCCTGAGAATTTCCCCCTTAATACGATACTTAGCAGGCTGAGTAAGTAGATAACTGCAGTCGGCAACTTGGATCACGGTTCAAGAACGGCTCACCTATGACCCCATCGTGCGGCTCCAAGACGTCACCGTTTCCCGTGATCGTGAGCGAGACGTCCTTGTCCGCAACCACCATCACAGCCTGGGCGCAGCAAGCGAATAACCTTCAAACGTGCTCAAGCCTGCTCAAAGCAGTGGCCATTCTTGAAGTCTTACTCTGCTTTTTTCGTCCTGCTTGAGAATGCTAGAACACGCAGGATTAGAGGAGGGAAGTCGGAGAAGTACATCGGAGACGATAGCTTCGAGGTTACATTGCTATATGAGGCAGTCAGTGAGAGCAATTGCCCAGTACAAGCGCTTGCTAAGAAGCGCAGACTTACGTCGAGCTTTCGCAAGTACTTATCCGTTCGCCAGGCCTTGGCAAGATCCACTGCTGCCCGTATCAACTGCCAATGAGACACAAAGAGTTCCTTCATCCGAGGTCCTAGGTAGCGGAAAACAGGTAATGATAGCGGGAACCACTGGCAAGAAACCACGACGATCTGAACATCTGCATGGGTCGACTTTTCAACCAATGAGCAAAGCCTTGGGAAAGCACAAGTTCGTTACGCAAGTCACGACGGCAGTGGCGCCCAGACGCGCAGTGGCACAAGGACAAAATACTTGAGCCCCGTTTTAATCCGCTGGCCTTGGGCCAAGATGCTGCTTTTCTCTTCCGACAGAGAAGAGCGTTCTTACCTGACCTGCAAAGGACGAAGAAGTGTGTCAGGCTCAGGCTTGCGGTACCTCGAAACAGCATCAGCCGGCACATGCGGATGAGAAACAGAAACGAAACAGAAGCTTCGGGCGTAAAAGTGAGGGATGATAAGGAAGCCATGCGACCGAGACAAAATGGCAACAGAAGAGCGACTTGTATGAGGTCCTGTGAAGTTGCTTCGAGTATAGTAAGGCCTTCAGGGAATACATACCTTGGTTCTCATCGAGCTTGTTTTCCAGCCGCTCAAAGAGCGTGAATGCGTCCGCCGTTGTTCCTGAAAAGAGAGCGGAGTAGGTGGTTAGTCCTGCAAAAGACTTTCTCTATCAACCCCGCAAAGGTCATTACGACAATCGCCAATGCCCATTTGGTTGAAACAACTTGTTTCAAAGAACTGTATAGATAACTTACTTTGGTTGAATTGGAGTTTGAGAACCAAATCCTTCAAGAAGAAGGAGATTCATGATAGGCTAAACAATCAAAGCAAACAGCGAATCTTGAGATCACCCAGCACAAATTCAGCGTCCTTCATGCGAGTTCAGTAGCTTTCGAAGCTAAGACCAGTGGGAGCCCGACGTTGATATCATCTGAAGAGACCTTTCATGATTGTGCTACGGTGCTGCACACCTGCAAAGCCTCCAATCACTCCGTCTGCGATCCTCCGGACCTTCTTGACATTGGGCTTGATGATCTGCGACCCCAGGGTGACCTGCCCGTCCGCCATGATCACCACCGTATTATCCTTTCGGACGCACAGGACAGTGGTGTGCCGGACCCGGCGATCGTCCGAATCGTAGGACGCAAAGCGATGCTGTTCCAGCCTGCAGGCGAGACAAGGAGATTGGAAAAGCGGCGTTTTGAGCAACCAAGCACGACCACTTACAAGAGGTGCGACCGGCCTTTCTTACAACATACGATTGTTCTGGGGAAACAAACCGGTCGTGGCTATCGTCAGTACGGTTCCACTAAGGGCAGCCAGTTCTGATCATGAGGCAAGAATTGCTAAGCGGAGTGTGGTGTTTTCCTTCTGCAACAGCATGCAGGGGTGTTGCAGATCAAGATCCAATCATCAACTCGGGGGTGCTCAAAGCTTACAAAACTTTCTATACCAGATTCTGATCGACTTTCTCACTCAGGGGGCTCACTACGCAAGAATCTCTGTGCGCAACGAACCTTCAAACCTTTCTCTCTACATAACCACTTTCTGCACGTTGACATGCAAGGTCTCCAGCAAGCAGTAGGGTCAGATTCTCTGAAACTGATGAAGCAGGGAGTAGCCATAAGAATTGACGCCATTTACCTGAATGCTGTGGAGACACCACTCCAGGCTTGTTGCCAAGACCCTGGCAAGTCTGAGACGATACCACCTGCAGATGCAAACATTGCAATGCTGAATCTTGATTGAGACCAGGCTTGTGGTGCACGCCCAGCTACTGAAGTGTGTCCTTTCACGTGCATGAAAGATAAGTAAGAAGGCAAGTGGCGCACTTTTCCATCAAAGAAAGTGTCTTCCTCTCTAATCTTTTGTTGCCCCGCTCATCACAATCAAACTTGACGTTGGAATTAGTATTCTGGTAGGACGACTGTCGCTTACCACCTCTTGTGGACTGCACCCGTTGTGCAATTCCAGCCAGGCGGGCGAGGTGGCGGAGACCCATCCCAAATGCCACCAAGGCCTAGAACAGGGAGAGGTTTAAATCCTCTGCAATCCGCTCTTCCTGGATATCGAAACCAACCTCAAAAGAACATCAACGTGCGCGCCTAGTGCTTTTAAAAATTGGGAGGTGCAGCAGCTGTGTAGCACTTCAGCTGCTGTGGCGGGCTTTCAAGTTTCAACTTGAACTTGAAGTGCAAGCAGCAAGACGTGGAGGAACAAATGGTGTGGTACCTACTTTATTCTGTACATACGCGTTTGAAATCATTCAAATATAGCCCTAGATGTCGATTAATTAAAAAGGACGACAGCTGCCGGGATCTCGCCTGTGGCTGCCGCCTCGCAACGGTTCTCTGTTCCGGCTTCGTTTCAGAATAACAATGATGGAGGGGAGCGTCAGTTCGGCTCCAGAAACGGCAGCACCGTAAGCTGTGCTTTGAAGCTCGACAATAAAAAGGTAAAAGGCGCAAAGAGGTTCGCATATAACAGAGCAGCTGATTTCTATCCTTGAACAGGCTTCTTAGGCCGGCATTGTTTCACAGCCAGTACGTAGAAGAGGAAGCAGCCATCGTCCGCCAAGTCCACTCACCCTTCTCTCCCCCTCTCCTTGCTCTGAAGACGTTACTTGCAACCAGCCTACGAGCTCTGTATGCAGAACAATCAACCTTCAGTACCCAAAGTATTACTTGCTATGCGAAGCGGAAATTTGTAGCGAGGGGGCCAGTTTCAAGTACCTTATTCTCCTGCGCAAGTCACATGAGCCAAAACAGCACTGACGACGGGGCTGCCGCAGAGCAGCTGAGGGAGAGAGATCACAGGGAAGATGGTGGCTGCCAACAAAGAGATGGCCGTGTACTGCTTTGACACACTCGTGGCCTACTTCAATGGTGCAGAGGCTCCACCCCCTGAGTTTGAGGGAGGGCGATTGTGAGTGCCTAGCTCCTCTCCTGTCGGTTGGCAACCGAACTGTCTGTCTTTTATTTCTGACAATCTGCAGTGTACAGCAGGTCACCCTGGTCTCGACGCATCCAAAGTTTGTGGGGCCTAGTGATCTCATGCTTCTAGTGCTCTGAATTGGCAGTCGTATGTCGTGATCAAGTAAGGAAGCGCTCGCTTCCCTCTGCATCTCCTGTAGTTTTTTGGTCAGCCTTTGATTTGTCAGTTCTGTCTGCTTGTGACAAACTTTAGTTAGTGTTCTGGCCTCTCTAAACTGCACCGTTCAATCGATCATTCTTGTCAGGAAGGTTGTGTCTCATGCTTTTCTTTTCCTTTTTGCAGCCCTCTGTTCGTGACCTGGAAGAAGCACTCAAACGGCCGCGAGCCTCGGCTGAGGGGTTGCATTGGCACGTTGGAGGGGCGGTGCATCCTGACGGGTTTCAAGGACTACTCTCTTACCAGGTACTCCCTTGCACCAGTTGACGACTGCTCCGTGGCATTATTCAAGACCATACGAAACGCTTTCGGTGACCGCTTGGTGGATCTTATATAGAACCCTAGTCAGTCTCTTTCCAGCACACTCAGATTGTGATCTGCACAACTTTGTGTTCAGCATCCTCTGCTTTCCAGGGTGCTTCTCTCAGCCGAGTGATTTGCTAGCCATTGATGAGCGTTTTAACCAAACTAGCAAAAGAAGTGAAAAGTAGGGTGTTCAACGAGGCACCAAAGCATTCTCTGTGCCGTGGTCTCCCCAAGACACTGTCTCCTCTTGGTTAGTCAATTGCTTGACTGCAATGCTGTTATCTTCACGTGCAGTGCCCTTCGTGACGAGCGCTTCCCCCCCATTCAAGCCAAGGAGCTTCCTTATCTGCAAGTGACGGTTTCGCTGTTGACGGACTACGAAGTTGTCGACCATTACTTAGACTGGGAGGTAAGGAGGGCCTTATGCAACATATCAACGGATGTCTGTTGTATGAACGGACGGGACATACTATCTACAAGTGCGGCTTTTGTGATGCTGTTGCAAGTGAAGCACATGGATCGCACTTTGATCTTCATGCTTCGTTATGGGATTGCGGATGGAGGGGTTGAAGTTCAGAGAGGCCAATCAGATTGCAAGGAAACATGGCCCCAGAATCGTCCAATGTGTGTCCGTAAGTCTTCTTGTCTGCTTTCGGACGCTTGCTTTCTAGGTCAGCTTGAGAGTCAGTGCGCCATTGAGAAGTCGTCTTTTCAGGGGGATATCTGGCTATCCTCTGTAATTCGCCCTTGTACTGCTCAGAAACACGAGTAGTTCAGTGAGGGACTGAAAACCTTAGAAAGGATGAACAGCGGCCCGCTCTTGTCATCACAACAGTGAGGGTTATCATTCACCTCAAAGAGTTTCTTGCAGGTAGGCAAGCACGGCATGATCTTGGAGTTCATTGACCCGCACAATTACAGGCGCAGCGCCACCTACCTGCCGGAGGTGGCACAACACGAAGGTAAGCCGCAAGCATCCTTTTTTGGGCTCTTGAATAACGTGGGCCATCAAATTGTTGCTGTCATTAAGCTTGTGGGTTCTTTTTCATGACCAGAAGAAAGTGGAAGATCCTGTGGGCAGTCCAGGCATGGAAAGGGTCCGTAGTTGATGACAGGTTTTCGAATATCGTCTGGTTTAACAGCACTTTGCTTTGAATGGAGCATATATTCGGGAATTTTTCTCTATTACAACCATTGGGAGATTTCCCCTCTGGATCCACCCTTTACCCGCTGTCAACTTTCATGTCTGCAACGCCAGTTGCTCTATGATAGAGGCTCCAGTTTTTGACCCGCTCGACCCAGTCCTTCACGGCGAGGTTGTCACACACACCCTTCACTCGTGGCTCGGGCTTCACGTGAAGCATTGGTGCTCTAAAGCCCCCTTTTATCGAGCGTCCCTCCCGTCCTTCGTTTGTTCGACGCCTCAGCGGGTTACAATCAGTCCAAATTGTCTAGAAACCAGTCGTTAAATATTCGGCCAGTATGCTCATGCTAGAAATGGATACTGGGGGGATTTGTTACCGGGCAGAGAGTATGATTTGAAGGAGTTCCGAAGCGTTCCATGCCAACGTGCAGGATGGACTCAGATTGAGGCCGTCGAGTCGCTTGTGCGCAAAGCTGGCTACCTGGGACCGATCACCGACGTACTGAAAAGCAAGTTCAGAGTGACTCGGTACCAAAGCTCCTTGTACACTTTGACCTATGCTGGATATGTTGATTACATCAAAAGAACGAGAAGCGTTGCGAGTGTCAGCACCAGCCGATCATCCGCTCGCGTAGCGGCTAGGAGGTTTGCCTAGGTTAAGAAAAGGTCCCGGGGGGCTCGCATTGCGGCACTCTAGACGGCAGCGCAGGGCAGGTGTAGGTCAAAATGGAAAGATGGGTTCTGTGCCCGGTTGTGCGATTCGTCCAACATTGGACGATAGAATGGACAGTACAGGGAGAAACGTGTACATACATACCAGGTCTACGTTCTGGGATTGTAGTTTATATAAGAAGTTGCGAGTACGATCGCTAAGTTCTCATGCTGGCGAAAGTCAAAGCTACTGTAGTCTGTGCAAGTGAAGAATCGGCCAGAAGCTGAAATCCAGGCTACGTCATGTGCTTCTTGCAGGACTGCAAGAGATATGATAAACAGAGATTGTCAAGGTTCATCGTTAATGTTGCAATCGAAATCATCTTCTAACGCGAAGTAGACATTGAACAACAGCGTGCACCATGTCACGCGCCATGATTGCACATCTAAGTGCATGGTTCGGCCGCATCTCTTCACGATTGCTGGCGTGGACTTGAGCAATACGCCGAGTTGCATGCAGTGAAGTTTTTAATTGGATATATGACGTGACGTGTTAAATCTACTATCACATCAAATTTTGCAGTAGCTCTTCATTTGCGCGTGCGCCGCTGACATGGTCATGCTTGCCATGATCCTTCAGTGCATCATGTTCATACACTGACATTGTTGGTGCATCCGATCATGCAATGGAATTAAAACGAATATATATGTCAAATTAGCTGATCGATCAATATTCTGATTGTACGCGTACACGGTATACAATACGTACACATAGAGATTGTCGCCTATATATAGTGCCAGGCATATGTAGCCAACAGATGGCGCGGCAGCAACGATGTGCATGCATACTACCTAATCGGAGCATCATAGCATGGTAGTCGGTGCACTTCGCAAACGCATACTAATCATCGATCGGTCACAGGATTCATTGCATCCATGGCACATAGCTATGTGCCAAGTCTGGAAATTTGCAATAGGTGACTCTGAAAAGTACATCAACGTGCAATCCTAGATCGTTTTACTTGGTATTTTGGTGGTCATCATTTCCAACTAGGGGATAAGAGACCTCAGATAATCACTCCATAGGCTCGTCCGGGCTTTTAGAAGGTATTTTTTCAAGTGTCAAGTTGAACAGACTGTACAACAATCATGCAGATTGAATATTTTCATGCAAACAGGGGCCCAGAACGTGCGTGTCACAGGCCAACCCAAGGCTGCCCACTTAGAGCCACAGTATGAGCACCCCCAGTGGTAAGGCAGACCCTACGCGTTTTCAGATGTCAGCAGTATTTGAGAGAATTATCTTGTGGGTTAGTGGAATGACGCTGCCGCTCTAAGCCAGCTCCGTCCAGAACCGAGATGCACGTTGGAAAAGCACCTTTCCGTTGATGAATCGTGTATCGGCCCTTGACAGGAACCTGCAAAAAAGAAGATGTAGTCGACCTGAGTACACGCCTCGACACTTCAATGAAAGCGTTGGAAAGGAGCTTGATGCAATGCGATTCTTCGCCTCATTATGTGACACTACAATTTCTCCCAAACAGTCTCATGGTAGCTTCGATAATAAGCAGCAAACGTGGAGCTCAAAGCGTTGATTTCAAGAACATCTGAATGCGTCTTAATAAGAAACACTGGCAACTCTGTCATCACTTGTAAACACAGCAATCTCGAAATCTCTGGAATCATTCTTGACCAATGTCCTCGAACTTGCTTAACCAATAGAAGAAATTGCGTAGCTTACATGAGACATCTTCCATCACCCACGAACGAAAAACAGACAACAAGAGTCCAGTTGCAACGCAAGCACCCTCCTCTTCCAGATTCTCCTCGCCTCAACCCAACCAGCAAACCCCGGGGCGACACGTGGCTCACAATCGGTCCCTGGCCCGCGTAATTGCCACGTAGCAGAGGCGGCGTTCCTCCGCCACGAGTTCCGGGTAGGGGATGCTCTGGTTCACCGGAAGGAGGCCCTCTTCGACGCCCACCAAAAAGACGCACGGGAACTCGAGGCCCTTTGCGGCATGGATTGTCATCAGCTTGACGACCGGTTGCGCCGCCTGCGCGCTCTTGCCCTGTGATTAGAAATCCGAAGTTTAGGTTCTAAAATTGCAGCTTCCATGTAGGCGTCTGGACGCCAAATGAATCGACGGCGTGTAAAGAGTCGTCGATTTTACGACAGCCTGGGCAGTCTACGAACTCTCGAGAATAACCGCACTCATCCGCTTCATGACCTCGCTGAGCCGCCTGCGAAATTGTTGCCCTGAGGAGAACAGAAGGACTACTAGGATTCTGAGGCAGTGCTATACCGACGGGCTCAAAGCTTCACGATCTTGATGCTATAGACGTTCATCCAAGGCCCGTGGGCGGGTGTTTCAAGATCAGCTTCATCATCGGCTGGGCCTAAGAGGAGAGCTTTGTACACTGGATCTGGGCGCTCACGCTTTGACACTTCGGTGTTGGAGGAGGTTAAAGAAAAAGACACAGACTGGAGGTCGCGTGTATCCACCTTGTCGAGTCAGTGAGAGGGAGGGGGTCATTCTGCGTGTCAAGGCCTCCCTGATTCCTTGTCGAGCGCCGTCGCAATAAGAAGAAAATAGAGTAACTCTCGGGATAGGAGAAGGATACAGGACTTGGCACGCACAACCTCCAGCGCCTTAGATACCTCTCTAAAATATTTAGTAAGCTCAAGTTTAAAAAGACGAAGCTAACACTTTAAACCTGAACCCCAATAATCACCCGCTCCGCACCCGTACCCACCCTAACCACTTTACTAACCCTACCCGTCCCAGTCCTATAAGTTGAGCTCACCATACCTATTCGAAAGACCCACGAGCTTTAGGGTCGGGCCCAGTGGGAAACACAATTTACGGGTCAGTCCGAGCACCCACCGCTTTTTTCGCGCCCCCCTCCACCCCTTCCTCGTCCACCGCGGCCGCGAGCGCCACGTCCTCTAGGAACGACGCTAGCGCGGCCGCCCCGGCCCCGTTCTTGCGCTCGTGCTCGCGCGCGGCCTGCCGCAGGTCCTGGACGTGCTCCCACCGCTCGCGCTTCTCCGCCATGTCCTCCGACTTGGTCGTGAAGATGTGCGCCTCGTATTCCGTCCTGGAAAGTAGGAGAACAGGCGCGTTGGGCAGACGAGAACACGACTTTGTCGGGTTTCCTTGAAAGACTGTGTCGATTTGCAAGTCCCGTCCACGTTCTCCGTCTTGACTGCGAGGATGTAATGGTCGTAGTCCGTCCTGGACAGGCACAATTCAGGAACTTCGTCAGTCATAGAGCGCGCCTTGTTTAGGAAACCTTTTACGTGGGTCCGCTTGCGAGATGCTGTGTAGGTTTCGCACTTTCCGTCCATATCCTCCGTCCTGGTCGTGGGAACGTGCTGCTCGTAATCTGTCCTAAGGACTGCTAGAGAGAGCTTTGGATGAAATATCAAGTTTTCCCAGAAGTCAATGAGCTGGGTCCACGTCTGATCGGCTGCTTAGACTTGCAACGTTCGTCCATGTCCTCCGTCTTGGTCGCCAGAATGTGTTGCTCGTAACTCATCCTCAAACGGATTGAAAACAGGGTCGTTATGGAAGATTGGACGCGACAACTTCAGTTCAATCTTGATAAAATCCAGTGGAAGGGCTGGAAAAGCTTGCAAAGACCGTCATCGTCCTCCGTCCTGGTCGCGAAGATACGCTGCTCGTAGTCCGTCCTGGAAAGCAACGAACAGAGGCTTCTTATAATCATGAAAAGGCATCTTCTCAGAAACATCGAGGTGTGAGAAAGCACCAGCTGTTGTGCTGATCACCCCACCCGATAGTTCAAGGGACTTTCGTAGGTTGTTGTGAAAGAACGATCAAGGTCTGAATGCAACTGAGAATCGCAAGTACTGAGGATCACCAATTCTTGATTTACCAGCGGGGCTGTCGGACCGCCTCCCTGATTTATCAATCTGTCTCCAAACGCGCATCAAGCATGGTTCCTCCAATCGCCTCACCTCTGCAGAATCTCCCGTATCAGCACGTCCAGCGACTCGGTTTGGCTCATCACGGACAAATGATCCATCAGCAGAGTGAACCGCTGCACGGCAGACCTGCACGAAACCAACAAGAATAGTCAAAACGCACATGAATTCTGAGAAGGCGCGTCCGCCTTGCAAGGTCAATGAATTCGCAAGCACCTCCAATGCTTGCTTGCTCAGGGATTGGCTTGTTAGCGAACGGACTGAAGGACTTCGACATTCGCGGTCCAAAGGCATGGCGACGGCTTCCACCGGCGCTTACTCGTTTCTGGCACACGGACCCGTCAAGTAGCTAATGTTGGTCCACGTCAGATCTGAGGCTGGTATTTGACCACACGAACCGACCCACATTACATTCATAGAATAGGTAATCTTTTTCTCTGCTACCGAGGTTATTTTCCAGCGACAACGAAAAGTTCTCCAAGACCGATAAGGAAGATTGTGCAAGAGCACGAAGACCGAGCAGGCTAACTGGAGCCAGAACTCACTTGATTCGGCTGGTGAGAGCGAGACTGTCTGGCAACTGCTTCCGGTACTCCTGCACAGTCAAAGGCGGTATTATCAGCCAGAATAAAGAGGAAGCGTCGATCGAGTATGCCCTGGGTTCCACAAAGGTGAAAGAATCGGCAAAGTAAGCCGATTTGCGAGAAGCTAAAAACGTGCAGAACCAGTGCTTCCAAGCAAAGCTGAAATGATAGCTCGAGATGGAAGGACCAGAAGTGATGGAAGAGCGGGATGAATCAATGCTGTTGAACAACGCAACACACCGCTTTTCCCGCAAAGAAGCTCGGGGGTAGGTGAGCTTTTGCGAGGGACGAGACCACTGCGAAAGAGTGGTCGCAATTTGTGAAGGACCTGCCACTTGCAGTCAAGTGCCGTGCTCGAAAAGGCGACACTTTGAGAAACACGCCCTCCTGAGACTTCGGATGCTTTTTCAACGGACGCGACAGCATGCAGCCCCAGCAGAGCCAAGACACGCCGTCGCTCGTCCTCAGACAGATCGCAACGAAAGCTGTGCGAAAGGATGCTACAGCGGGATGATAGAAGCTTGCTACGATTCCTTTTCAAAGCCCTGAAACCCTATAGTCGTAACTGTTTCGGAAGTAAGAAAGAGCGCATGCGCTTACATGAAGGGCTTGCGGGAGCGTCATGTCAAGGGAGGCAGCCCACAGTTGAAGCTTCTCCACCGACTTCTCCCCAATCCCTGCGGTTGAAAGAGGGGGAAGTCAAGCTTCGCTGAACTTTGCTGAGCAGAGTGAGACGACATCTCAGACGTTCAAAGTCGGCCAGAAGGCACCCCGGTCTGTTCGTGAACCTACATGAGGATTGTTTCAAAAGTTTCAACGGGTTTGAGCTGGTAACGCGCAGAACCAGATTGAAAGCGGGACAAGTTTATTTCCGACGCTGCCCAGCTAATCCAAATGGTGGGCAGTGATTGTGAGCCTTTGCAAGGAAGCGACTGTCCAGCAGCACTTCCTGATTGTTTCCGTAACAGGATACTGCAAGCCCCTTAATGACGAGCAGAGAACGTCCTGACAACAAAGGCCATTCTCACCTCGGCTGGGAACGTTGAGCACTCGGTTAAGCGCGACCTCGTCCAGCGGGTTGGCGATCAACTTCAGATAGGAGATAATATCCTTGATCTCCTGCACTCAGCGAAACAAGGAAGAGATTATCCAGCTTCAGCTTCCTTTTTTATCCAAAGCCCTGCAGAGGTCTTCTCCACCTTCTGTCAAGCAAAAAGCAAAGCACATGATGGATCTGACCCCTGTGCAAGACATCCATATCTCTTTGCGCAGTCTGCAAGTAAACCTTCCAAACGCAGTGCTCGACGCAGATTCAACAAGGGCGCGAACTAGACTGGGCGAGAAAAAACTAAGCTCAAAAGTACTCACTTTTCGTGCGTAGAAGCTGAGCCCTCCTACCACCACGAAGGGGATCCCCCGCGCAGTCAGCTGCTGCTGGAACTTGCGGGACTGCATGCAACAAGATTCCGTTGTAACGGTCTGACGTCTTGAGGGTCCGAGTTCCGAGCGATGACATCTGGAAGCCTTAAAAAGCGATTCGCAAGGGCGGTAGACTTGAACGTGGCCTTGCGCGCCTTTGCAGCTAGCACTCGTTCGCAGTTGGCAGTGTCTTTTAAGCAAGCAGAGCTTGCGCACTCCCTTTGACTCGCAGAATGAACCTAAGAGCCTCGGGAACCAGCTGACGAGGATTTTTAGACAGCTTGCCACACTCTTTGGTGGTCCTTTGTCCCCATGAACGCTTTTTGCTTTACTCTGCATCATCAGCTATCAGCTACGGAGGAAACAAGCGAAAGGGAGGAGTCATTATGGAATTTTGAGACGTGCAAACAGGATACCAATCCAGGTGTGGGCCCATGCCTGAGACTATTGGTGCGGCAGAGCACGGCCGTGTCCCTCGAGTATACCAGGCCTAACTTTGAGGCTCGAAAATTGAAAGGCGATTTACAAAGTTTGCAACTGTAACTTGTAGGCTCAGCATGAGTGTGGACGTTACATTTTGGGGGGGGACCTTGGTGTAGTCGAGAACCGCCACGTCCCCCCAAAAGGGATCTAAACTAGTTGCAAAACAGAAGCTCCGCTTCAGAGGGGTAAGATTGCCCGCAGAGAGCACCGCCATGCTCCCCAAGGAATGATCCGAACTTGGTGCGGAACCCCCGAACCAGGGGGAATAACGTGCCTGCGAATAGCCCCACCATGTTCCCCCAGGAGTGCTCCAAAGTAGGTATAGAAATCCCGATTCAGGGGGGCTGAAATGCCAGCGAAGGGCACAGCCATGGACCCGCCACAAACCCGGCGCGAAACAGAATTTTCAATTGGGGGGGGGGGCCACTTGCCTGGGAGTTGGTGCGGAAGAGCACCGCCACGTCCCCTTAAGAGTGAAGAAACTAGGCGCGGAACAGAATGTTTGATTTAGGGGGTGCACGTGCCTGAGAGTTGGTGCGGTAGAGTATGGCCATGTCCCCCCAGGAGTGGCCCCGCGCCGACACGAGGAGTTGCACGTGGCTCACCACCATTGCCGCCTCCTCATCGTCCGTTGCGCTCTCGAGGAACTTGATGACCGGCCCGTGAGGCTGCAGAAAAGCAGGATTCGATGTTTGTACACCAAAAACCGGAGTTCTGTTATGGATTCCAGGAAGGGGCCCCGGGCAAAATCTTGACACACCCGCCGGCCAAAAGTTCTTTGATGACATCTCTCGGCTAGCAGCTCATTGCCCAAAAAACTGCAGAAAAGCTCGTAAGTGGCTCCACCCTTTCTTTGCATGCCCAGTGAAGCTTTTCCCTCTGCAGAACTCTGCAGGTGCTTCGCCCTAATTTCCAAGACCGTTCGAGTGACCTGACTTTTCCATCATATAAGCAACAAAGACTCTCTTTGACTGGCCAAGCTCTTCACGTGTGCTTTGTCACACTCACAGAAAGGCGGGACAACCATAACGCAGCGCTACATAGAAAGCGTGTTCCTCCGTTCAAGAGCAAGCAGACGCGTCACTCGCCCCACTTTTGCTCGTTAACTGCCAAATCCTCCAGTCTTTGGAAGCTCGAAGCTCCATGTGAAACTTTCATCAGAGATACCCATCTCCAGAAATGCTGCTCGACCTACCTTCGTGGGGGTCAGTTGCAACGGCTTGTGCCGCCCAATCGTGCGATCCACTTCGCTTTGCCGGATGAGGGCCTCAGCAGCCCGAAGAATGTTTTTGGTCGAACGATAGTTCTTCCGCAGCTGCAAGGATGTGCGGTCACTTTTGAGCGCGATACAAACGAAGGGCTCAGGGTCTCAGAGGAGAAGCAACCGGACGTAACCAGTGTCGGCGAGCCACAGGGATTGCCGAACGAGGGAATTAGGATCGAAAAGCAACCAGTCTTGACGGCAATGACATAGAGGATACGGAGCTTTATGGTGAGCAGAAGAGCACACGAATATGCAGTATCCATAAGAAACCCCGGCACTGACCGAAAAGGCAACACAGGAGACGGTACATCTTTCCACGGAGTATGCGAAGTAAAACTTAAAAATCAACCTGGCTGCAAAGCAATATTTTGCCTCCAAGGTCCGCAGCTTTTGATACCTTCGACCCTGAAATGAGCACCCGCAAACACTCTTTCTAAGTACTGACAGCTACACTTACAACCAATCATTTCACAACCCATTCCCATTTCACCTGGTAATCATGCCCCCCTGGGAAGTCCCGTTCGAACAGCAGCTGCATGTTGCGGAAGTCGGCGCCCCTCCACCCGTAGATAGACTGGTCCATGTCGCCCACAACGAACACGCTCTGGTTCTTCTCGCCCAAGAGTCGCACCAGCTCGTACTGGGCGAAGTCCGTGTCCTGGAATTCGTCCACCAGAAGATGCTGCCATAACTCGCGGTACGCCTACAACAATAGTCGAGTATATATTTCAGTTCTTTAATCCAAATAACATGGGCTGTGATTCTGGAAGTTTGCTCAGGGCACCAGCTCGTACTGGGCGAAATTCGTCTTTTGGAACTCGTCCACCCAAAAGATGCTGCCATAAGTTGCGGTACGCCTACAGTGTATTGGCAGATTCCTTGATGCTTTTGGATCCTACTTTTCAAATGCGTGCATTTCGAGGACTGTGTTAAAGTCGCACTTTTTATTGCAGCAGTAATGGCATGATTGCAGCAATCATTGCAGACAACCGTGTCCTGAAAGTCGTCCACCAGAAGGTGGCACCAGCAGTAGGCGAGATCTGTTTTGAAATTGAATGTTCAGACTTTCAAAGAACGACTGCCCTACTGAAAGATTCTATCAGCTGCACCAGCTCGTTCTGTGCGGAGTCTGTGTCTTGCAATTCGTCCACTTAAAGGTGCGACAGCCTCCAGTATGTCAGTATTGAGAATACTTGAGGCTTGATTCATGGAAGCTTCAGGATGTTTGTTTCAGAATCGTTCGTCTTCCAGCCCAGCAGACGGCAGCAGCTCGGGAATCGACGGATGTTACCCTGGAACGCGTCCCAAATATGGTGCCCGCACTGTGATTCAACTTGATTGGCTCTTCAACTGTTGACTTGGTAACCTAGGGCTCGAGTTTCAAGTTATAACCCAGGAGCCGCCCTGGCTGGTAACGTGCAGAACTTTATCGCCAAATACAGGTGCCGCAAGCCCTAGGATGCCTCCCCGATTGGAAGGGTTGGGGACGCTGACTAATTGACCACCTCAAAACGTTTGACGTGTGGACTGCGGGTGTTCCAAATCCGCGCATCCGAACGGGCCGGGCCTCCAACGACAAGTGTTGAGAAGACGTGAGCACAGGGGTCAAAGGCACGGCCAAGATTCGGGCTCACCTGCAGTTCGGACGGACACGAACGCAGCAGCCGAACGGCCCATATCAGCAGGTCCATAAAGTCGAATGCGTTGCACTTGCGAAGCTCGGCCTGCGAAGTTAGGTTGGGAGTTGCGTTAAGCTACTCTCTTACATCGGTCCTCAAGCAGATCAGCGGAATCAAATCAGGAATTGGTTTAGGCTACAAATTACTTCTTGCATCGGTCTTCGAGCGATCGCGCAGTATTGCGAAGTTCGAGCTGCGGAACGAGTTGAAGAGTTCAGATCAGGCTATCTACCGCACCACACGCACAGACCAAGGGGAAAGCTGGGTTAGGAACGTCAGTTTGACCTCGAGCACGTGATGTGCCATATCGACAACGACAACCAGCTTGCCTCCACATAATGGATGAGAAGGTAAGCTGAAGGAAAAATCTAGAGGCATGGACAAAACATGAAGATGCAGCTTGTGAACCCGAGTAACCCTTTCATGCAAACAGACGCTTAAGCACTGAGAGCTCAGTATAAGCCCGAAAGAGGCACACCAGCGCAAAGCTGCAAGGAAGAAGAGCAAGAAGAGTAACGTTGGTAGCACAAACCTCATACTGTGCAGCTATGGACTGGAGTATGGGATCCATCCCCAAGGGAGACTCCTCCCCTCCTGCGCTGACAAGTGCTGACTTCAGTGGGACTACGTGGCGGCCGGAGGGATCCCCCTGCTGGCGGCCGTCGATCTCTCGCCTGAGCCGCCACGCCTTTTCTTTCCCGAGACGGTCCATGAGGTCCTTCACACTCATCTTTGCCGGGTCGAAACGCGGGACCTGAGGAGGTGGGAACACGCGAGTCAGCTGCCGTCCAGGTAAACGCTTAAGTTGTTAAGGGTTACTCAAAATATATAGCCAATCAGCTCAAGCAGATGAGACCGTCAGGGGCACCTCAGTGCCGATTGACAGGCTCAGCTGCAACGACTAAGTTGAAAAGCCGAATCGAGAGAATCGTAAGCTAAAGACGTGGAATCGTCAAAGCCTTGTGCAAGTTCGGATTCAAAGCCGTCCAGATGAACCACTCTCCTTTCAAGGGTAGAAGATGTGCAAGGGTCGGGAGCTTTCAAGCCTTCAAAAAGATTCTAATCCACACTGGCGGATTCTTTTGCTCTGCGGATCGGGGCAGAGGACACCCTGCGCTGAAACAGCGTTAAAGAGCAATACGGCAGCCTGACCTGCGGCGGTTGGGAGAAGCAAGCTGACCAAGAACTTCGCCACGTCGAGTAAAATTCCGAAAGAAGCTTGAGAATGCTGATCAGTTGCATTGACTCGCAGCGTACCTTCTTGAGAATGTTGCGGAGGAGGGACGCGGAGTCGGTTTCGTCATAGATGACGTAAGTCGTGGTCCGGCCGCAGTCGGGCATGCTCGCGACGGACTTGCGCAGGATGCGCGCACAGATGCCGTGGAAGGTGCCCACCTGCGGACACGTGGCACGAAGCTATTGGGCCTGATAACCAACTTACTTTAGGAAGAGGATTAACCTGAGCACTGAGAAAGATGTCTTGTTTACGACTTTTCTTCAGCGCGAATATAGACTTGACAATACGAACATAGACTAGACGTAGGCAAGATAAGCGGACTGCTCGTCTTTCGGCTGGATGCATCGCTTTTGGCAACGAGAGTCGCAACAAATCCCGTCGACTTACCTGCCAGATTTACAGCGCTCGAATCGTCAGAAGCTTGGAAGACATAAGACATGCCGACCCACTCAATCGCACTCTGCGACTCTAATCCTCTGTCAGAAGCACTCAGGACCGATACCTAGTACTATGTGCAACAACCAATCGTCAAGCACACTTTTGAGCAAGACGGCTTCTGCTTTCGCGGGCGTCGAGGTCTGACCTCATAGACTGAGAGAAAGGTTTTATTTGAACACGCGAGAGCGAGCAACATCTGTAATCTCGAGACGCCACAACAGGTGATGTAACATGTAAGAAGTAAGACAAAAAAAAAGTGTTGCAAATCACAGTCCCAGGTTGAAGATCCTGATCTAAAACAGCGATTGAGAAAGAAGGTGAATACTGGCGGCAGCCATACCGATAGTGTCAGGATGTGGACCTCAGCAATCAAGGAGTCGCCATTGACACCGCCCGCTGTTACCACAGGTGGTGTCTACGACAGCGATACTGATACTTAGACATCATAGGTCCTCGACGCTCAGTCCAAAGAGATCGTAGCAAAAGTGCAAGGATTTGTCCATGCATTGGTTTTTCGGTAGTTTTACAGTGCTTCGGACCGTTACGAAGTCGTCTCTCTCGCGAGAAACGAAAGACGCAAGAACGTAACCGAGAACCTGACCAGAACGCGAGAACAAGAAAGGGTGCGGTATCGGAATTCCATAAGATCCCGGGACAAGAAGATGCCGACTCATTGCTGGAAACATCAACCGATACAATGCCGAGATTGACTAGAAGAGTTGCGAGGATGTCCTCCTATACGTTTGAGGACCCAAGGTTACTTTGTTCCTTGCTCGAAGGTGTCCAAAACAAGTGAAAGTGTAGTGTAATCTCCAGAAGGATGAACGACTTGCAGTGGAAGCATAAAGAAGCCACCAACAAGCAATGATGGGCAGAGTCGTAGATCGATCCAAAAGCCAAGTCCAAAAGAAGGGTTTGAATGCACAGTCAGAGCGTACTGAGACTGAAAGCAGAGCAAGTGGCAAGCATCACACGCTCTGCAGTGATCTTTCGCAAGACACGAGCATCAGACTTAACCAAACCAAAACCGCAGCAATTTCATGCCCGCGCAAGATCACGATACAAAGAATAACCGACAAGCTCAAGACAGAGACCAGCGGTTCGTACCGCAAGTCGGCTGGCCATGTGCTCGTCGAGCATTATGCCGAGCCGCTCCCGCATCTCGTAGGCCGCCTTATTGGTGAAAGTGATGCTCTGCAGTAGCGAAAGGAGTGGGATACAGATACACAAATTCCAATTTTATGTTCCAATTTTATGTCAGGCTCAGACTTCGTCAGGTGGGACGGTTCCTGCGGTACCCACCTTTTCCTTTTTCCACGGTGGAGATTTGACCCGCTTTGATGAGGAGGTGAAGGACGCGGCTTTTTGGAGACTGGGGGGTTGGGAGTACCGTTTGGCTCAAGAGATAAAAGGACCCGTGCTAGTCCAAAATAAACCATTTGCTAGTTTTGCAAGAACGGCTCAAAGGGCCCAACGAGAACAAAAGTATGCTGCTTACGCGAAAAGGATTCCTTGCAGGCTTTGCAAAACAAGAAGGACAAGCAACAGGCGCAAGAGAGCCGTCAAATAACACGGCAAGTCCATTTTGTTGATGGTCCTCTCGATTCGCTGTTCTCCAAACAATCGTCAAATTCAACATCTCGGGAAGCTTCCCTAGGGCCGCACTTATTAGCATGTTCAAAGGCTCACCTTCTTTTAGTCAAGAGTTCATGAAATTCGACAGCCCGAGACATTTTCCTAGGCCGCACTTATCAGCAGGGCTTCACCCCCCGGTCAAGCACCAAGTGCGCAACCCAGTTGGATAGCACCTTGGTTTTCCCGGACCAGATTTGACCCGCTCTTATCCAAACGTTTCCAGGAGGCGTCAGTGATCAGCACGTTGGTCAGACATCACCGCGAGTGCGTTTGCCAACAATTCTCGAACTGCCTTAATCTGAATGTTTCACAAACCCAAAGACCGAAACACACTTCCCGGGCCGCACTTACCAGCGTGTTCCAGGGCTTCACCCCCCGGTCGAGCACCAGGTGCGCAACCCGGTTGGTCAGCACCTTGGTTTTCCCTGACCCGGGTCCCGCCACCACGCGCACTGGACCCACCGGGGCAAACACCGCCGCCAGCTGCTCCTCGTTCAGTCCGGACGCTGCCGGACTGCTCGGGGGGCCGTCCGATTCGCTCTCCCCGTGTTGCGTCCGCTCGGTTGTCAGGTCCGAACTCGCTGGCGAACCCGCAATCGCACCGCTTTCAGACGCAGTGTTTGAGCCGGCTGTGGTTGATATTGCTCGAGTACGGTCTGTACCGTCAGGAAGGGTCTTCGCGACTCTTTTGATTCCGACCGGGGCTGAATCACCGACCACGCCATTGGACCCTTGTTTCCCCGCGCTTGTAACGTGTCCTCTGCCCGGATCTGCACCCTTGTGCAAACCCTCTCCCTGCTTGGTGGAAACACCCGCATTTGTCCGAAACAAACTTGGTAGAGGCGCCTGCGATGCTGTCAGATTATTTCCTCCGCTACCCTCCAGCGTTGGCGCACTCTTTGTCCTCCGTAGCCTGACTTTCCGCACTTTTGGTGCGTCAGCAGACCCTCCGTTCTGCCCCCCAATTGCCCGTGCTTCCGCATCCGGTATGAAAGCTCGTCGCCCAGTCGCCGGATTCTGCCGCGGCTCCAAGTATCCAGGGGAAACAACGCCGGGGAACTCCTTTTCCCACCAATTTACAACCCGCTCACTTTCCGAACTTACTCCGACCCGAGCAGTAAATCGTTCCGCGCTCTCACTCTCCTCATCATTCCTTGCTGCAAAATGCAGCGACTCACTACTCCCCAAAGGCTGCTCCCCACCCCCTTTTCCTACCACAACCGCCGACCTCCTCCGAGGAATGGCCAGCGCGCCTCGCTTCACAAGTGGCGCCACTGGCTTCCCGTCCAAAGCCACGTCTTCGTCCCCCGCCGCCTCCCCGTTGCTGTGCGCGGCTTCCCCTTGACCGCCGCGCACTGCGCTGCAAACGAAACCGTTGGACCTTGTCGACAGGGAACGGACCTTTAGATGGGACGACGACCATCCGAGCCCGGTGCCTGTCTCCACCGGCCCTGGTATCGCACGCAGAGCCGCTGCTCTCGTGGATACACTGCCGGGTGAGAACGAGCCCCCTTTTGCGCTTCCGAACCTTGGAGCTGTTCCCGCAAAGTGTTGCGACCCACCAGGACCTTTGCTAGAGGCTTGCAAAACTGGCCTCGTCTCCTTCGGTCTTTCAGATCCGCTTCCCCTCTTTGTACTTTCGAACAATTTACCCATCTCGTTCCGCCCCGCGTCATTGACCCCAGATCCCGGTACTTCGCCCCGAGACCCTGACCCCGCGTCTACCCCGGACCCACTAATCCTTGTCTGCTCGTGGGAAGCCCCATCTACAGCTGGGTCAGGGTCCGAAGTCTGGACAGCTGGAACCGGCTCAGCCCCCTCAACTGCCGCTTTCACCCCCGCCCTTCCGAGTGCCATAAGCGCCTCGTTAGCGTCCTTAACCCGCCTCCCGTCGGGCATAAACGGCCAATTAACCCGCCAGCATTTCTCCCGGCCCAGCCGACGCGCCAACTCCTCGGCCAGCGCCTGCCCCGGACCGTCCGCATCCGTTGCGAGTACGAATTTGGACGCTTTGCTGAGGTCTTCTTGGCAGGTCCAGACGTATGAGTACTTACGATCACTGAAAGGGGTTGGCGCGGACGGGTCTGATGATACCTTGGCGGGAGCCCCATCTGCAGACACAACACTTTTGAATAAGATCTTTGAATAAGGTTAGGGCAACGACGTTGTGCTCTGAAAGCAGCATGAGCCAAAGAGTTCGTAAGCATTTCGTGCGGACAGTTGTGAGGCTTCGTAAGTGAACGCTAAGTCTCCAAAGCGACGTGGCAAGCACGGGCCCATTTCTACTCCCGGCGAGAAGAGGCGGAAGCCCTTTAAGATGGAGGAAATCTGCGAAGGGACCTGATTGTTCATTGAAACTTCAACTGCATATCTGGTTTTACAATTTTCAAGTTTAGCATACAGGGGCACACGTCCCCAGCGTAACACACCTCTCCATTGGTCCCAGACAACCGGATCAAGAAGAACGAATTCACCCCGTAAGCGGCATGTGTCTAAGGAAGGTGGACGACAAGGTCGAACTGATTTAAGGCGAACCGGGAGTGAGGTTGGGCTGAACAACGTAACTTCCAGCTTGGAAAGAGCAAGTTCCAATTTAACGGCCTTTTGAAAAGGATGAGATGCGCAGGCATTAATGAGAGCAGTGGTGATGTAACACTGACCTGGCACGCTGACGCAGTTCCTGTAGCCGGCCTCTTCCAGGGCCAACTTGTCCATCTCGCCTTCCACAATGATGACCGTCTCGCTGTCGATGACGTCATCGATGCCGTAAAAAACTTTCTCGGCCCCCTTGATCTGCAAAAAGCAGCTTGCGCACAAGTGTCACGAACTTACGGTACAAAAGTGGGGACTCATTTCAACAGGAAGCTCTAATGTTCCAGAAGAAATGGAACTTGAGAGTTCTCGATTCCGTCTTTCGTTCTCACAGAACCGATCCAAAGCTTTTCGTCGAGAGTGCTCCTTCTCTGGTTCCCCCTGTAACCATTTTGATGTAAAATTTGAAACCAGAACTCCCTCTTGAATGATTGCAAGACAATCTGGTGTAGGATTTATGGCTTGGTGTGGTGAGGACATTCACCTAAAGGTGTGACATACAGCCTCCACAAGGTCGCATACGGAATACAACAGCGCGGGGGGCTTACTTTGCAATCTCCTTTCCCTGACTTTGATAAACCTCACCAACTCCGTTTCAAACGTGCTCTTGAAAGTCGTCAGCTAGGAGGGCAGAGGATCTGTCCGACAATCAAAAAAACACGTCTCACCTGCCAGAACTGCTTGTCCAGTGTTCTGTACTTGGCGTTCACCAGCTCGCCCCCCCAGTAGTACGGAAACACGACCGCCGGCACCGATTCTTTCTTCTGGGGGCAGAATGCGACCTGCATCCTAACCCCGTTCCGCGCTAGAGTCGCCTCGCTTATCCCCCTCCCATTGAAGAAGTCAACCATCTCCGGGGGGAGATCCAACAGGTCTTCAGGGCGGGGCAGCTTGGGAGGCCGCTTTGGGGGGCGCACGAAATTACCCTGGGCGGAGCCTGAAGGAGCACCACCTTGAGAGGAGGAGGGAACATATCGGCTGGCTCCGGCACGCCCCGTCCAGCCACAAGTGGCCCGATGGCAGCACCAGACGGCGGTTCCATTGGAGATGGTGACACTGAGGGCAGCTTCTGCGGAGCTTCCACCATTGCACTGCAAAGCGAGCGAGGTCTTATCTTGGTGAGTGGACTGGCCGCCGGATTTGTGAAACGAGAACGCACGTTGCTCTGTACCAAGAATGCCGTCCTTCCTGGGTGAACAGGCGTAGATTACTGAAGTTTGTCTTTGCATATTTTGAGAAAGGACAGCTCGCATCTTGAATCTGCTCCTGCACGGAGGCCATCGAGAGAGAGACATCACAAGGCAAAAAGCAGGGGCAATGCAGTTGCCCATCTGGATGTTGATCCAGTGTAGTAAGCGAAGATTGCCAGGAAAGAAATCAATAGCTCAGAAGACAGTCAAAGCCTACCTTTGGACAGAGGATTCTATAAGATCCTGGCCCATACTCTGGCAGGACGATTCCCTTCTCCCCCAGTTGAGCCTGCACGGACTGCCCCCCACTCCCATCCGGCTTCCGATCTGCCGATGTGTGCCGTTCGACGCCCCCCCTCCTCCGGCCCCCTTCTGACCAATCATCTTTCAGCAAAGGCAGAGAGGCAGAGCCCCCCTTGACCTTGAGAAGCTTCTCTACAATCGCGAGCGGCGGAAGCGGCCGCTTCTCAGTTGCGCTCGACTCACCAGGGGAACGGGCCCTGTCTGCCGTCCAGCCGGAACCTTTTGACACACCGGCCCGATGCTTGTTCAAGTTCAGAGCAGGGGGGCTTGGGGAACGAGGATCAGAGCGGGACCGTTCATTGGTTGAGATCCTTGGTGTTCGCTCAGTCTCTGATGTGGCCCCAGCACTCTTTGTGTCTGCGGCTGTAACAGTGCTCGAGTTCCGAAAGGTGTTCAAAGCCGGTCTGGACACTCGCCCAGTCAGATGGTTCTCAAATGCTGCAGCCGCACCAATCGCTCGCAGGACGGCAAGGCCTCTCATTGTTGAGCGAGACGAGTCGAGGCCGATTGCTTTGTGAGGAGAACCATTGGCGGTGCCATGAGTGACGGTCCTTTTCAACTTGCAGAGAGAAGCCTTTGGGACACCTGCCCTTGGAGTTAGACTAGATTGTTCAGAAGCCGCAGCACTGCTGAGGAGTTGCAAATGTCTCTGAGTGCCATTCAAAGTCACATTCTTGTCAGTAGTGAAGGCAAAGCGGCTCTGAGTGGAGCCCCAGCACCCTTCCTTCCAAAGGCTCGTTGATGACAGCCCCTTCCCCATTACCCCAACAAAAAGATGGCCGTGATTCTGGTGGTTCCGGTTCTGATAATGTTGATAGTCAAGTCTAGGTGGCTCTAGCGGATCGCTGCAGTGCTGGGTGGCTCCAGCAGACGGCTGCAATACTGCGGAAGCCCCTCTCAAAGTGTTTCTAAAAAAGAGGCTGTTGACAACTTGTAACTTGAAGCGCACAATGCATTCTCCATTAAGCAGGCACCACCGCGAAAGAAACATTCTCCAGCTCGGTGGTCATCTGGGCCGGAAGAGAGCATGCTGGTCCAAGGGTAAGCCTGTGATCGAGGAAGGGACATGGCTGTGAGCTCGGCCTGACACAATGTGGCTGTGAGAGGGACTCAACCAATGCCACTGGACGCCCTGCCGCTTGTGTTTGCCACCTTTCCTGAGGCTGCAGTGGGTTTCGCTGTGCAAGTTCCACTTCGCCAAGATACGAGGTGCACCGTGCTCCGCAATATTATTGCCCGGTAGGACGAACCGGCTGAAACCAAGTGGGAATAAGGCCCTGGAGGACATGACCAGGAGATACAAATGGGGTGCAGAGAACTTGCAGAAACTTGCAGAACGTGCAGAGAAATTGCCATTGGTGCAAATCAATGATAGTGTGAGCAGGGAAGACGCGCTGGTTTGAGGCACTTTCGCTTGCTCAAGAAAGTCCTTCCCTTGACTCGGACTGAGGGCCTTGAGGTGGCTCACATGCAGCTGCAATCTCGTTGGATTAGTTTCTCAACACTCTCCTGCAAGCTGATTGCATCACGATGAAAAAGTCAGGCGGCAAAGGCAAGTTCTATGATGATGATTACGATGATGGATATGATGACGCATACGCTGATGAGGAGTATGAGGAAGAGGACTGGAGTGCTTATGGTGCACCTGGTGAGTTCATCGTTCACGACCTTCGCTTCTGATGGACTTGATCACCTTCAACTTGGGTTGCATTGCATGGCTGGGCAGAAAGTTTCAGAATAGGCTGTGCTACTGCATATCCAGACACTTCGGAGGAATCATAAAGTATGCTGCCCTGTCAGTGTTGGAAGGGTCCTTGCGTTCAAAGGCCCCTTTGCTGCCGTTCCAGTCTTTTATATACCACCTTCGCTGCTGGCAACTTTGACCACAATATTGTTTCAGCATATCCTGTCCGTTGTCCTGTACACAATTGAAGTCTCAGAAATTCCAAGCCGCATTTGTACAGGAGAGCATGCCGGTGCATCAAGCACTCCTGCGCCCCCAGCCGGAGCATCCCATGCCAACCTCCCACCGCCTTCCGCTGGCCAATGGCGGTGCCCTCTCTGCACGTATGACAACCTAGAGCAGCACCTCGCATGCGACATGTGTGGCACGCCTCGCCCTGCCGCAGAAAGTGCACAGGAAGGAGCGAGTTCTGCAAGCAAAGCGCCTCCACTTGATCCTGGTAGGGTGTCTCTTCATTGTAATCTATCATCCTATTTGTACACTGCCACACTTCTATCCCAGACCGTACTTTCGATGCTCCTACTTTGTGGTGTCTTCCATAGTTTGTCGACCATCTTGACATCAGAGAACTGTGAGGGCCACCTCTTGATGGTATCTTTTCAATCAGTATGAAGAGGGACAAACACAGACCAAAGAACAGTGGAACTACACCGGGTGTGCATACCAATCAAGAGTTTTGTATGCCTCAATTTAGTGATGCTTGTTCTGTTGCTAGCGCAATGGGTTCATTTCTTGCTCTGAAAAGTGGCACTCATCAGAGATCCTCCGCTGGTCCAGGTAAGCACCCTTCTTCCCGTCTGGCGCTCTTCTTGTGTAGTCCGCTTCCACGGGGTCCTCGGAAGCAGATAGCCAACAGAGGCTCGCAAGGGGAGGGGCACCTGATAGCAGAGACTGAGGAGGAAGAATACATAGGTCAGGCACCTTCTGTCACGTCTGATGGGTGCATCTGGCTTCAATCCTCATGGTCGCAACTTTATCTGCACCCAAGTTGCCGGAGTCCTCAAGTCCTCAAGCCCTGCAGTTCCACTGAGCAGCAATGACTCGACTTTCAGCCAGCTGTGATTTGGGTTCGAACCATTCTGTTGTGATCAGCGCTCTCCTCTTGCTTCTTCTCTACATGCCTGACTTCTGTGCCAGTGCTACAAAACGTCCCATCCGTGCCTGTGTTGTTCTTGAAAGTCAGAATGAATGTCGAACACTTCCCAAAAATAGATTTTCTTGACTTTCTCCGAGTGCGGTCAGACATACATCAAAACCGCTCTCCTCACTTGACACTCTTGAAGAAGCTCTTTGGAGCCTCTTCACCTCACCCTCCCTGAATTCCCCTAAAAAATATATCCTGCGGTCCCGATTGTCTTCAACTCAATCTCGCTTCTTACTCAACCTTGTCCCCAATGGACTCTAAAAGACTTTGTTTCTACATGAGGGAAACGTGGTCCTTTTCTGCCTTCTCGCAGCCCCCTTTGCATTCGATTCCCCCTCCCCGGACGACCAAGTGCTGGCCGCCCGCCGCCGCGGTACGGGCACTGCCAAGAAGCCTCCCGCTTCGCTGAACGGAAAACCGCCCCCCCTCCAAGCCGTGGAAACCAAACCGACCCCGAAGCCTTACGACCCGATTCGGAACCGAAGGCAGAGCGCGCCCGCCGTAGAATTGCAAGAGAGTGCCGCTGAAGGTAAAAAGGAAAAAAGAGGTGCTGAGCAAGGTGTCCGAAGGCTGAGTTTGGACGACCAGGTTTCGGACAGGGGCCAGGGGGAGCCGAGCAGCTCGGGCAGGGGGGAGACTTCCGGGGCAACTCTACCCCCCGGAAAGAGGAAGTGGCAGTCGCTGCCGCTGAGCGCATACCGGCCGGACGAGGAGCTGCTGGCCGAGATCCGCAGCCGGGGGGGCGAGAAAGACGTTTTGAATCTGATCATCGTGGGCCACGTGGATGCGGGGAAGTCGACGCTGATGGGGCGAGTGTTGCATGCGCTGGGCCAGGTGAGAGGAACATGGTTGTCGCGACCTGGCCGTCGAAGGTCTATTTGGACGTTCTAATGCCGGTTTTCCGCTGAGGACTTCAGGTTTTGGCTGGCAGACTGGAAGGCATTAAAGAGGCGCTCGAATACGGGCTCCTGTGGCAGCCGCTCTCTTCCACTTCGTGACTCTGACCAAAGGGGCATAGCTTTGCGACTAGTACGACTCATTTTAAGAGATTCGAATGCGTCATGCTGACATAAAGTCTGGTCAAAAGCCTCAAGAGTCTGGGTGTGGCCGAAAAGATTTGGCCAGACAACTCGTGAAGGAACGTCGAAGCTTTGTAGAGCACGGTCTGAACGTCACGGATCTCTTGGCGCTCGGAAACAACCATTCTCAAAGCTTTGGCCGATATGTGCCGACTTGGTGCTCTCGTGTCAAAACTAAGTGGTTCTGAACAGCGATTGACATGTTATTCCAACTCCCTCATCAGGTGTCGCAAAAGGAGATGCACAAGAACGAGAAGCAGAGCAAGGAGCAGGGCAAGGGGTCGTTCGCCTATGCATGGGTACTCGACGAGGGCGCTGAGGAGCGCGCCCGGGGGGTCACCATGACTGTGGCCGTGGCCCACTTCGAGACCCCCCAGAAGCGGATCATCCTCCTCGACGCCCCGGGACACAAGGATTTTGTCCCGAACATGATTTCGGGGGCTTCTCAAGCAGACGCTACGATACTAGTGGTCGACGCCACTCCAGGGGGGTTCGAGGCGGGTATGGAGGGGCAGGGGGGGCAGGGGGGGCAGACGAAAGAACACGCGCAGCTGGCACGGAGTCTCGGGGTTGAGCAACTCATCGTGGCGGTCAATAAGATGGATGCAATTGAGTACGACCAGGAGAGATTCACCGAGATCCAGGCGGGGTTAGTGCCCTTTTTGCGGCAGTGCGGGTTTAAGGACTCGGCGGTGCGCTGGCTGCCCGTGAGCGGGTTAGCGGGGGAAAACTTAACCGAACCCCCAGAAGCAAAAGAGCTCGCGGCGTGGTACCGGGGGCCACATCTCTTGGCGGCCGTGGATTCGTTCCAGGCCCCAGTGCGGTTAGTGGCTAAACCGCTGCGGTTAGTCGTTGCGGAGGTGTTCAAAACCCGGACGCTTGGGAGCGCGGCGATCGGGGGGAAGCTGGAGGGGGGCGTGCTGAAGCAGGGGTCTAAAGTTTTGGTTATGCCAGCAGGGGAGGTCGCAACTGTGAAGGGAGTGGAGCGGAACGGGGAGGCGGTGACGGGAGCCGCTGCGGGAGATAGTGTGGACGTGGGTCTGTCCGGAATAGAGCCGAACGTACTTTTTGCCGGTTCCGTTCTCTGTCACCCGGATTATCCGGTTCCAACAGCGACGAAAGTAGAGGTGCGGCTCTTGACACTGAACATCGTCATGCCCCTGCTCCGAGGAGCGTCCCTGGTCTTGCACGCTCACAGCGCCAAGCAACCGGTCAGGATCTCGGAGCTGGTGTCACTGCTGGACCCCAAGTCGGGGCAGGTCGCCAAGGCGAAGCCCCGAGTCGTTACTAAGAATCAGAGCGCCGTTGTAGAGCTGGTCGCGGAAAGGTCGATTTGTCTAGAAGCGTACACTGACTACAGGGCGCTTGGTCGCATCGCCCTGAGAGACAGCGGAAAGACGGTCGCTGTCGGCATTGTGACGAAGATTTTGGAGACATAGACTTGATCGTTTGCTTCGCACGAGCATGTTGACTTTCCCTTCTAAGCAGCCCGGGCCTTCAAAGATCGGATCCGCGAATTGCAGTTACTAATGGCACCCATGACTGGGAGCTAAGTCATCACACCCTGATGAAGCAAGCTGTACGTAGGCGCATATTTCAACGTTGTATGATGGTATATGAACTCTTCGCACTCGATTTAATTATACGCTGATAGGAATGATTGGCAGTGGCCAGTATGTAGCTAGTGCATGTGTATACACTAATTATCTGCAGCCGCGGCATGCTTTTCTTGAACGAAAACTGCGGGTATCTGATTAAGTTTGCACGCGTGGGCGAAGTAAACGTTGTTAGTACGTACTCATGTAGCAAATATTGCATGCCACATAGCTGGCTCGAAGAGGGTGATGTAATACGAGATCGTACAATGAGAGCACCTGATCATAGGGCGCCAGAAATATTTTGTGGTACGTCACGATCGCCTTGATTGATCCGATCAAGATCGATCGAACTTCAAAGTTTGCGCTTCCAGCGGGCGCCGACTTTAGCTGGTATGAGGACATCATCAGTTTGAAAAGGCCGAGAGCGGCGTCGTCTCTTGCACGAACAAAAGCTTGGCGACGAACTAATTCAAGAGGAGTCCTGCTTACGTCATATAATGCGGTTCGTCATCAGCTGCCGCGCGACTTTTAAATGAACTGGTTTGTGGAGTGAGGAGGAAAGTTGGTTGATGCATTTGGTCTCGCTTCATCTCTGTCGCTCATAGGGCTCGGTTTCCTGAGACGATTGACGCTCCTGCCAAATCTCCAAAGTAATCCAGCGTTGGGTACTTTCTCAGGACTTCGTTCTTCAGTGCTGAAGATTTCATAGCGATTGCTTGTTTTCTGTGCTTCGAAGTTCGCGACTTTTCTGCCAATCATATCAACCTTTGATAACCGTTTCGATTCGGTTAAGGAATCACTTGTTCTTCAGAGCTATGCTTAGACTCCTTCGACCAATGAACGCCTCGTGCTCGCGATCAGGCCGCTGAGATGCTTTCTGGCAGATTATTGGTCGGTCAGACAGGAACTTTCCTCAAGACCGGCCGTCTCCAGAAAATCGGTTTCGAAACGGCGAGCCAATTTTGGCTGCTGTTCTTTGGGGTGGGTCCGTCTCACAAGGATTTCGAGCTGACTTCTCGTTGCTTTCAGATGTCCATCAATTATGGAGGGTCATCTTGAGAGCTATTCGCGGGCGTCGCACCGGATCTAGCGCTGGATATACATCTCATAACATGGGGGGTGATGGTCTATCAAAGAGAGGGTTGCTGTCAGTAGTACAGTTGCAGAAGGTACCCGTGGGATGTGCAATGGGACTGTCACCACATATTTTAAGGAAAAAAACCTTTTTTTTTCAGCCGAGCGAAAAATAAGATCGTAACTTTCTCATGTGTGCTTGAATCTTAGCCAATCGTTCAGAGTCTCCTTTGTGATTGAGAGCGCTCTGCCAAATGCGGAATTCAACAGTAAAAACGAGACGATTGGGAGCCAAACGCCTGCTGATGTAAAAGAAAGCCTAGCCCAAACAGAGATAACATAACACGTTGTTCATGCTTTTGGGAGATATTCGAAAGGGCATGCACATGTTAGAACGTAGTCGTACTGTTGTGAAACGTGCCCTCATGTCACGCTGAGCGCAAAACGAATTGGAGTCCAAGTCCTCTTTCTTTGAATAGCTTTTTCGTCCCGAAGAAAGATTGCGACCGCGGCCTGCAGCTTTGTGAACCGGTCCAGGTACAAGCTGGTTCACAAGCTTCAGAATTTCAAGAGTCAAAGTTTTCAAACACAATCTGCCAGGTACATAGATCCCTTAAAAATTGCTTATTGTCTTGGGTCTTTGCACTCTGAATTAGGCGTAAGTATCCAGATTCACGTACAGACTCTGGCGAGTAACTCACTGCGGACTCTCAAGCATACTGGGGTCAACGCTACTTCTAAGATCAGCCTACTTCACATCATCTGGCGGCCAAGCGAACCCTTTCCGCCCCCCTAAACCTCGCTCGTTATTCATGTCTGATTATGTCTAACCAACAATCCTCAACCCTGCCGTTAGCTGCTTGATCACGTCATCCTTTAGTTGTCCTGATAAGTGAAGCCACGACCGCACCCGGTGTCGCTAGTGCCAACAGGGTTCCCGGAAGCCGGGAAGTTCTGCTTGATGGCTTCGAGAGCAGCCGCCTGGGCGTTGAACGCGACCTGGGTAATGGTTCCGGGAATGCCGCTGGGCAGGAACAGTGCGCTGCCGACCCTCTGCAAAGATGTGGGAACGAGTGTAAGCGGTACGATAAGCATGGTTTTCAGCATCGGACGGTTGAGAGGGGAGGAAAACAAGCAGCCGGGCTTTGACAATTTGGAACCCGGGCAGTGCTAGGGGGAGACAGTGCGCTGCCGACCCTCGAGAAGACGAAAGTGAGCCATACGATAAGTTTGGGTTATGTGATTGGACGCTTTTGGCTGGTTGCGGGAAAGCGTAGCCAAGCTTTGGCAGCTTGAACCTTGTGCTGGGGGCTGAAATAGTGCGCACTAAGTCGAGAGGGAGAGACCTCGAGGGGTACAATGTGTTGGGATTACATGATTGGACGGTTGCCGGGCGAAGGAAAAGGTAGCCGAGGGTTGGCAAATCCCAACCTGGGAGACGCTGATGGGCAGAGAGTACATGCATCCGATTCGATTACCCCGCAAACGATAAAGGACAGGAGAGGAGCGGATCAGCTCCAGCGATTGGTGAGGTTAGTAAGCTTTAAAGTCGTGGACAAGTGGAGCCTTTCAGCGGGCAAAAACGAGGCTCGCTAGTTCCTAAATTCTGGCTGTTAAGCGCCGCAAGCGCCCTGGCTCCGCTGCCGGGGCTGGTGACTAACTAGGAATGAATACCCCTCAAAGTCGGCAAACCCATACTTTCAACCCCAAAATCGCAAACCCCGGTTTGCTAACCTGGGTTCCCGGGTTCTGGCTGTTGAGCGCCGCAAGCGCCCTGGCTCCGCCGTACGGGCTGGTGTTCTGCTGGAAGTGGATCAGACCGCGGGGAAAGACAAACGCGTCACCCGCGTTCAGAGTGGTCGAGAACAGGGTGTCTAAGGGGAAAGAAAGGTGACGTCAGCGGCTGAGCAGGTGTGACGTTAGCAAGCCATCGTGCTTATGGATATTGTATGAAACGAGAAGAAGTGGTTTTGAGATGAGATGATTGAAGTCGAATGGGTGGCGATTCGAAGACCTGCGGCGTTTCACAGCTCGGCGGAAGACGTGTAAGAACCAAAGTTAAGAAGTCCTTAGGGAGAGTATCCATCTTTGATGACGAGGCTGTTGATGCAGAATGGAACGTGATCACAATCGTCTTGCTAGTCCTGATCGCACATCAGGACGCTCTGTGAACGTCGGCCAGACGACCTGTCCGAGCGCACTGCTTTCAATCGCCACACTTTGCACAGTCTTGCAATTCGCGTATAGCAGCCCACAGATGTTTGAAAGAGTGATAATTGACACCAAAGCAAGTTCAGGTCGAGCTTGCAAAGTGCAACTCACTGTTGGTGTCAACGAAGCCGACGTACAGCTGGCCCTCGATCACGAACAGGAGCTCCGTGGCGCGGGGGTGGGTGTGGATGGGGCTGCGCAATAAAAGCGGACCGGATTCAGAGACGTATATATATGTGTGTACAAATTTTTAGGGTAAAAAATCATCATTTATGTACGATAAATCCTGCTTGGCAAAGAGGGTCCTGTGCAATTGCCCAACACATATGTGTCTTTGAAAATTCGAGCTGTTTTTGGGCTGACTTTGAATAAGTCAATTTTGTTCAGATTGTTAAAATGTTGCTTGATTCAGAAATAACGTCGTATCGACGGTCCTGAGAAACTAGAATGGAGAGAAGGCTTGTAACTCACTTCTGACCGCAAGGAGCGTAGTTGATGTAGGTGTACGAGATACCCTGGACCTGCACAAGGAAGCTTCCCTCAGACGTCAGACTCAGACTGAAATCGTCTTCTCTGCAGACATCTTCAAGATTGCTAATATTTCGTCCAGGACTTTGCAATTGTCCTGATCTGCTTCTTTTCTCTTTGATACTTATCTTACGTCTTCTGGCGCGTACGATCCCAAGAACAACATTTGGCAGAGATTTCAAGGCTGCGTACTGGCGCAGTAGGAGAACTAGCATGGTACCCAGAGAAACTACTGGTCAGAAGGCAAAAAAATTGCTTCAGCAGCACCGCTTCTTCCCGGTTGTGAAATAGGAGAGCTTCTGCCCAAGACTGCATTATGGAGTGCTCACAGGCAAGGCAAGCAGCTTTTTGATCAGCCTGCGCAGTTTGTAACAACTGCGAAGGTGATTGGAGGGCTCTCCCCCCCATACACAGAGTCACCAAAAAGAATGAAACGGTGGCGCCGGCCCACAATCCGAACAGCCCAAAACAGATTCTGTTTTCTCCTGGTGAGGACGTTGGGAGTGGCTTACGTGAGAGCCGGGAAAGTCGCGACATTGGCGGACCTGGCACCGCTCCCCTGGCCGGACGTGACGTTGACGTTGTTCAGACCACGGAAGGCAAAGTTGCTGCCAGTAACTGCAGGGACAAATATGAGAATTTTGATCTCAATTATTGAGATCTACAAAGTGAGCGCTTGAATGAGCACATCTCTAGATTTCAAAGGGCTGATGTAGACATAGTGCTTCAGGACGAGCCATCACAGTCTTCTGAGGACAAAAAAAGAGAGCAACCATCAGTTCTCTCCCTAAAATAAGAGAACCAGACCTGACAGAAGTTCCAGTCTCATTGGTGGGGTCCTAATTTCACATTCTGGCTTCTTTGCAAACATGTTTGGTGGGGTCCTGATTCCACATTTTGTTTCCTGTGCAACAACTTATGTTTGCAAACCACCGACTTTACATTGGGACAGCAATCAATGCAAGCAAGTGATAAAGTGAGGAGATGGATCCATGAGCACATCGTCTCAATTCATACATGGCATCCCCAACTTCAAGGTGCCTTTCAAGGAGGGAGGACACATAGGAGAAAAGGGAAGCTTCTAGCACCAAACAAGCAGGGCGCTTTGAGTAATGCAGCAGTCTTACCGGGGCCATTGGCTGCGGACAGTACAAAGTCAGCGACCGGGTCCGCATCGGACGCAAAAGCCACAACGGCCACCGCCGCCAAGACCAGCAGCAACACACCGGCGCGAGCCATTCTGCTGCTTAGAGAACTAGGTTACGCGGGTGTTTACTTGTTTCTTTCTGATCGCAAGGTGCTGGTAGCAGGCAATGTGGATGTTGAGAAGAGTGGCGAATTTGAGGGAAAGTAGAACGGGAGTGGAACGGTGAGACTGATCTGAATGAGCTGGCTAGCTTTTGCTGCTTTATAATCAGAGCTTGATCGACCAGGAAAGCTTCTCATGAGGCCTTTCAGCTCCGCTGTGTGCTTCCTTCGACCTGTTGCCCCTTGGAATTTCAAAAGCTCAGACAGTAGATAGGTAGCTAGGTATGTTGCCATCCGTGGCACCATCTGCAGCCAAGAAGAAATGGTGACAGATTCCTGTGTCACCGGTTCCGCTGTCATGCTGATACTGCTCGGTGCTGGCGTGTGTAATGCGCTTGTGCCCGGTGCAAATGCTTGTAGACTGTTGTAGTAGTACTCATGTAGGCTAGGCAGCAGACTATACAATCTCCTACTTCTTGCCCCGAGCTTTCACTTTCAAGTGCATTATGCGGATCTTACTTCTCGTGGCGTCACTTGTTAAAAAGAGGCAACGGTAAGTTAACGGCAATTTCACATCTACTATGATCGGTCATCATGCTCGCGGCCGCGGCAGTGCTTGCTACGACTCAACCGGTGTTTAAGCTGGACCTGGCCTGCAGAAATGACAGATACACCGGTGCCGAAGGCACCCCACCGGCTGGACAGCTGGCAAGAAAATGATGGGCACCTGAGGAAGACCGGCGCCCGGTGCTTTAGCCCGGGCGGCCAGCGGGTAGAAATGTGGGAGGGCCGGTAGACAGCCGGCACCGGTGAAAGTTGGTGGCAACTTGCAAGCCCTGTGTGCAAGCTGAACCCCACCCCCCGCGCGACGCCCCCACCTGGCAAGGTCCGCGGCGAGCTCGCGAGGTGGGGCGTTCGCGAGGCCCAGGGCCAGCTCGCGACACCCCCACCGGGCGAAGTAAAGGGCAAGCTTGCGAGGTGGGGCCTTCGCGAAATCCAGAGCGAGCTCGCGAGACCCCCACCCCGCGAATTCCAGGGCGAACTCGCAGCTACTCGCGATCCAGCAGGGCGAACTCGCGAAGTTGTGCGATGGACCTGGAAACCTGGATTGGGCCGCGAATCCTGGTGCCATGTGGCGAGGCGAACCTGGACGGCCCTGTCGCGAGCTCCCCTCATGCTGGCCGCTCAGGGCGAGCTCAACTCAGGTGCAGAGCGAAGTGCCACCTCAAATTTGACGACTTGTGGCGAGGCAAACCTGCGCGAACTGAACAGTGGCGCTGCGCGGGGCGAGCCTCAGGGGCGGGCAAACTTTAGCGCCCCGCCGGGCACACTACTCGCGGGCCCGGCACATATCAGGTTGGGCCCATCTTTCTCAGGCGCGAGGCGAGCTCGCCTTGGTGCATCTTTAAGGCTGGTCGCGAATCCACCTGAGTTGGGGCAAGTTCGCAGCTGGCGACTGGAGGGAGTTCGCAGCTGGCGACTGGAGCGAGTTCGCAGCTGGCGACTGAAGGGAAGTTCGCAGCTGGCGACTGGAGGGATTTCGCAGCTGACGACCGAAGCAGTTTCGTGGTTGGCGACTGGGGTGCAGTCGCCGCCGCGACGGCGCCACGCCGCGACCTTATTTTGGGCCTGATGTTCGCGAACTCAGGGATTTGCAGGGGTTTCGCGAGATAGGCATTTGAGATGTCGCAGTAGAGGCTGAAAGTTCGCCTGTAGGCTGACGACATAGATTTCGCGAACCGAGGGCACCGATTCGCTGCATAGGGATAGGATGGAGCTGATTGGCTCAGTTCGCATCCCGTTCGCATCTTTTGATTTGCTGTCAGGCTGTTCGATTCGCCCCGTCCCGTCCATGACATTTCGCCCAGAGTTTAGTGCACTTGCAGTGCCCCTGCTCACTAGCGCCTAGCATCTATTCGCCTGACTTTCGTTGGCAGACTATAGGGCGAGGTTCGCCTCAGCTGCAGGTAGGCAAGAGTAGACCTCAGCTTGAGTCAGTAAGGGCGAAGTTCGCCTGTAGGTATTAGCAGACTTGATTGCAGTGACTTGAGATATTCTTGACTAGGAGTTTCGCGAGGTTGTTCGCGCAGCATCTGAGGCGCTCTCTGAGGCATGTATTTCATGGCGCCCAGTTAGGGGCTTGCTGCTTTTGTCTTCTCCTCGCTCTCAGCGAACAGCATTGTGCCGCATGTTTCCAGGTGTTGTGTATTGCATGTATGACATGTCTGTGTGAGGCACCAATCGCTGGATTCTCATCCAGGCGATTCAGGGCGGTATGGGACGCCCCTGAGTGTGCCGCGACTCAACTGAATGTTGAGGGGGCTCGCTGCATTCGTCACTAACTTCCGCTGCTTAGGCAACTGGCGAGGGAGCCAGGCGAAATCTTGATTTCGCCACTCTGCTCGCGAGTGTGCCGTTGCTCTGCCCTTGCTGCGAGTTCTCGCCCAGGGTGGGGAACTCGCCAGTGGAGGGATTCTCTAGCTTGTACGCCTGGGCCGCGGGCCGGCGGTCTGGCGACGGTCAGTCGTACGGACACTGACTTTTGGATGGGGATGCATAATGCTGGTAGATGCTGGTAGCGTGGTACCGTTCGACAGCCGTCCGATGAAAAACGACGGTTGCAATCTAATACCGCTCTGAATGCCATGTCGACAGCCGGCGGGTCTGGCAGACTGGTAACGGTCAGACGTACGGACACTGACTTTTGGATGGTCTGCAATGTGCATAATGCGGGTAGCCTGGTACCGTTCGACACTGGACAGCCGTCCGCTGAAAATCGACATTTGCAATCTAGGTAATACCGCTCCGAATGCCATGTTGACAGCCTGCTCAGTGCTGAGTCAGCCACGCTGTTTTATAGTATTACAAAAACTGCCCGGAACAGTCACTGCGCAGTGCGAAATATCGGAAGTCAACGAAAGAAGTCGACGGAAGCTGCGCGGAGCACTCCCACGCCGGCGGCCGAGGGCAGGTGTCACGGTGTCACCTATTTTGCGGTACCTATTTGACTCTGCAGAGGTACCGGTAGTGCCATCTGCACTGGCTAACCTTGACTGACTCTGATTCTGAGACTAGTCAGTCACGCAAGGGGCACAAAGAAGCCAAACATTTTTCGGAACCGCAAGAGAGTCGGCGAGAGACACCCTAAGTCGTTCCGCCACAGCCCACCCCAGCCCACCCTAACCCGCCCACCAACCCCACCAAAGTTACTCGGTTGTGCTGAATGAGCAGTGCCCGTTATGAAATTCTATGCGTCGACGAGCAGTCTATTCCCAAAAATGTTTGGCTTCTTTGTCCGTTTTGCGTCAGTCACCTTATGCACGTCATGAATTGTAGCTGGTCGTCTCCAGCAACTGAAGAGTCCACGTGCTCTCCACAGACTTTCATACAAAAGCTTGAGAACCAGCGACACATCCAACAGTAGCACAACGACCCGAGCTGTTTCCAACAAATCCTCTCACAACTCTCCACTGACTGGCAACAGTCCTGAGATTGTCAAGTACTGCCCAGAACTACCAAGACTGGCAGCCCAAAGTCGATACTTAGATACACGGAGCATCGCCTACTGGCTGCTCCGAGTACCCCACAACACCAGCTCTAGCATTCCCACAGATCGGCAGAATCAATAATCCACGATATTCGTGCGTGCAGTTTGGCTTTTTTCGCTAGAGTGGGCAACGCGAAGAATTCGCTTGCAACAAATATTTAGTAAGGCATTACAGAGCCCTAAGGCTGAATGGCCCTGAGCTCTCGCACTGCCTTGGCGTTGCTCGTCCTCGCGGCGGTTGCCGCTGTCGCTTGCGCATCGGATGCGGACCCGCTCGTTGACTTCGTACTGTCCGGAGCCAATGGGGCCCCAGGTGAGATTTTAATGATCTTTTTCATGAGGTTAACGCGAAAGCGCCATGATGAGTAACTCATGGAGTACGGGTGGTGTTACCGGCCAGGGGAACCTGTGCAAAGCATGTGATTTTTGGGTTACTAGGTTTTATTGGGTTAGGTTTCTTGTGTGGGCTTTTTGAATAAGGTATTGCTGTCACCCTACCTTTCATGACATCGACTACATGACCCAGGTGAGACCGGAGCAACTTCTGAAACGGCACCTGCTGAGATTGTGAGGTCCGCTTGGCAGCTTTTGTTGATGCCTGAGTCTGTGTCCAGCTCATAAACATTCGCATATACGTCCCCGATCAGCCAAACTCAGTTGGCGTTTTGTTGGAGCTTGACTCACAGTAGATCTTAGCTCCGCTGCCTTATGGCAGGCCTCATACCGGTGTAGGCAAGTGGCTCTGTTCGACAGCTCTGAAAGTCCACTAAAAATTTGCTCCAACCCCTTGTTGAACGACGTTGGGCGAAACCAACTGTCATGGACACCGTATTTCAGTCAATACAATTTCGGCGATCTTCGACCTACCTACCTCAAGATCAATTGCCCTGATGCCGTTTGGTGTGCTGCAGTGACGGGCGCCAACTTCGCATTTCGAGGGCTCAACAATGTCAATGTGACGTCAGGCCAGGGCAGCGCCGCCAAGTCTGCCAACGCCGCAACGTTCCCTGCTTTGACGTAAGGCTTTCGAACCCCTCCAGTGCCTCTCCAAGGGATCCCTCAGTGTCAGGAAAGGTTGATCGCGCATGCAAGTGCTGAGCGCACACGGCTTTTCGTCGTCATTGCGGATTACTCAACTCTTGTGTGGGCTGCTCGACAATTTCTATCATCTCCGCAGAGGATACCCCTCTCCAAACTTGTTGTCCTAGTGGGCTGATGATAGATCTTCTAAAGGCTTAAAGGATACTTCTAATCAGTTGAGAAAAAAGTAGTTAACCTATCACCACTGAACTGCCATTGAATATTACGAACCCGCCAATCGAGTCGAACATTGTTACCCGTGCAGGTCCCAGGGCATCTCTTACACTTTCGTCAACTATGCGCCGTGCGGCCAGAAGTGAGTCACTGAAAATTTTCAAGATTTTTCCAGCACGCTCCACCCGTGATTTTGATTCTGATAGTTTGTGGTGCTTGACAATGATCCAACAAATATAAATACTGCCTGAACGATCTACCTGGAGCGTTCTCCAGGTCCAAACCTGACCTTTCCTTTGGGATTTTGTCCAGCCCGATCCACACCCATCCTCGCGCAACGGAGATTCTGTATGTCATCGAAGGCCAGCTGTACGTCGGCTTCGTTGACACCAACAGTGAGCCTCGCACCCAGTTTTGCCTCATTCGATCTGTATCAGCGACTCAGTGTCAGAGGGAATTTCAGTCGCCTTGAAGGCGTTCACTTCAGCAATCCGCTTCTTCCCAACAACCTGTCAAATCTGACTAATAGTCTCCGCTCCTGTCTTCAAAATCTCCAATCAATTCTTTCGATCAATTCGACGACATTCTGCAATTTGTAGAAGCTTGCAGATGCAAAGCTTGGTTCCAGAGTCCTTGCTTGAACGGGTGCACGAAGATGGCGATTCGTATTGAACACTGATTAAGATGAGCGGGACTGCAGCCTTCGCTTCTGTTCGCACCCGCCGCCAACATAAGCAAGACTTAGCACTCATCTCCCTAGAAACTACTGATGCTGACGTCACCCTGTCTGCCGGAAACGCTGCACTTACAGGACGCTCAACGTGAGCATGCTTTCCTTTCCCCGTTTCTTACGTCACCGTCGTTTGCCCCACTTGCGTAGTCCGTCTGCTGACGTCATTGCTCTTCTCCCGCAGACACTCTGTTCTCGACGACCCTGAACGTGGGCGACGCGTTCGTCTTCCCCCGCGGTCTGATCCACTTCCAGCAGAACACCAACTCGAACAGCGGAGCCAGGGCGCTTGCTGCGCTCAACAGCCAGAACCCGGGAACCCAGGTTAGTAAACCAGGGTTTGCGATTTTGGGTTTGATAATCGGGTTCAACTACGTTTGAGGGGTTTTCATTGCCGATCAGTCACCAGCCCGAACAGCGGAGCCAGGGCGCCTGGCGGCCCTCAATAGCCAGAACCCGGGAACGCAGGTAAGCGAAAGCTTGAGAACTGCATACGAGGCCTCATGACGTCACTCGCTTGTCTTTCGCTGTCGTGGGCAGTCTGCCGTGTCCAAGGCAGAGAGATCAGCGGTTGTGAGACGGGCGTTCAAAACTGGTCAGAACTCTCCGGCATGAGCCTAGGGACACGCAGCTTCGAGGTAGGTTTCCGTCCCAACGGACGAATCAGAAGCAGGGACGTGTGCATACTAGTTCCTTGTGCGCCCCTCTGTTATTCCAGCGTGTGTTGATTCGGCCAGTCGAGTCAGGCTCCCTTTCCGTTCGCCCTTGAGATCTTAAGCGGGAAAGACCTGGAACTCTCACCACGAAAAACACCTACTTTCTGTCCAGACTTCTGCAGATTCTGGTGCAATCCACCACGTACGCCCTGCCAACCGTCCGATCGCAACGCAAACGTATCGTGCGGCTGAACACAGTCGCTCTTACCGTTTGCAGAGGATTGGGAGCGCAATCTTCCTGCCTTCCGGCATCCCCACCAGCATCTCCCAGGTCGCGTTCAATGCGCAGGCGTCCGCCATCGAAGCCATCAAGCAGAACTTTCCTGCGTCCGGGAACGCGGTCGGTACCGCCAACACGGGGTGCGGACCTTCCGTGACGTACCCGTATGGCAGGAAGATGCTGTGATTCGGGATAATCAAGAAAGTGGGCTCTACTGGATCTGTTGGAAAAAAACTGGAAATAACGTTCCTGATTCCCCGTTGCTTTCCCCGTTGCTTTCACCTAACCAACTAGAAGCTCATACTTCACAAAAATGACTAACTTGCTAATTGATGTGTAAAAAGAGAGATGGATGTTATGCTGAAGCGCCCAGAGACGCTCACTTGACAACTTAAATTTTCGTAGGATGTAACTGTAGAGTGTATTCGTAGGTATAATTGACCTTGCTTCGAACTTCGAACTTCCAAGTTGTTGCCATATGCGGATCCCGTGCATTATTCTTCTGCAAAATTCGCAGTCAGGTGATCGGTTTCTCGCCAAAAAACTAAACACGTTGAATGTCTGATGCAAAATATGTACATGACCTGCATGCCTTCTCGATGATAATTCCACATGTGTCGGACGCTGAGTCCTGAGTGAACAACCTTACAATTCTCTTCTGAACCCAATCACGACAAGCTTACAGCTTGATTTTCGTCGTGAGTTTGTGCATTCTGGCAAACCTGAACTCATCGATCATGAATCCTCATGCACAACCTGCGGCCGGCTCAGGCGCAGGCTTGTTAGATTTATGTCCGTTATCCAACAAAGACGTGACGAACTATGGTAGTCAACTATGCAATTAATTAAAGACCTGATCGCATCCCTTCGTCGGCAGCCAAAAAAGTCACATGCATGCCATGTTCTGGAAGCATGCCATCCGCGGGCCCGGCAGGCATGATGGCAAACTAGTGAGCATGTAAGGGCAATTAACATTTACTTCTGCATTCTCGGCGGGCGGCCATGCAAAGCTATCATGGCAATAGTCGAGCACTCTTTGAGTGCCCCGTTGATTCGGGACGCCATTGATTGCCAATTAGCGGGCCGCGGATATGATTGCATGCAGATCAGAGAAGGCTGAACTATAACTTACATGACTCCGAATCTACTCGATAGAACCGCGCAGCTTCGAAAGTAGCTATAGCAATGCAGCCCAATCACTGCATCCACAACCGATCGCGCCGTGCAGCAAGGCGACGAGCCGTTTAGGTGTCCGGGAACATGCACGGGCGACGGCGGTCTTGAATACTAAGCTCAAAGGTGGAACCTCAATGAAAGCAGTGAAAAGTAATCCAAATGCCCCTGGAAACTCCACGTCCTCAAATCCGAACAATCAAGCAACGCGCATGCACAACCTAAGTACTTACAGTTGGACTCACGAATCCGAATTTAATCTACATGGCGGGACGCCACCGTCTGTACAAACTCTACAGCTTTTCTACTTCAGCATACGTGCCAAGGACATGCCCATCTCTTCCTTGGCCCCTTTGTCGAAGGGAGGGTCCCCAATGTACAAGTCGAACAGGGCGTGGCCCAGGGCATGACTCTGGACAGTTCCAATTTTCCTGCCGTCAACTGCGTAAAACAACGGAAAGAGTATAAGGTCCTGAAAAACTCCCAGTCAAACTGAAACCGAGTGCTCCTTGCCAAGCAACAAAGTTGCCACCATTAGGTCGTGCTCTAGAACATAGCCCTTCTCGTTCTTGCGTGGGCAGACCAGAGCGGTCCTTCAGCCTGCTGCCGTATGACTACATCGGAGTGATCATGACCATGAAATCATTTGTCGCGCCCCTCTGAGGCGGGTTGCCCGCCAAGTTTAAACGACCAGAGAATTTTTGGGGATGGATGGCAAAAATGGCCCATCGGCCGTGCAAGGGACGGGGCCCTTCTTTCACGCTTTCAAGATGCTCTTCTGGCGAATTGCCTTTCAGGAAAAGTTCATTATGAAGTGACTCCGAGCGGTGTTCGTCTGTTTAAAACAGAAATCCTTTGCAGGATTCGTCGGCCATGCAAGAGAAGGAGCCTTTCTCTCACAGCTATTAGATGCTCTTCCGACAGCCTCACACTTTCCGGTGACACAAAGGACACCAAGCGCTGTCCATGTACTCAAAGCTTTGCATAACGTCATGCAATTGACGAGCCCAAGAGATGCCTTCAGAATCTCGTTGCCAGGATCCCCTTTTATACCAATCCACGCCATGTAAGTTTCTCTTTTCTTCAAACCGCTCCAAAGGCACAGTCCGCTTCCCTTACGCAGCTAATGCGCAAGTCAAGATCAATTGTTGACGTGGTACTTACTTGTCACATTGAGGTTGCCGGCACTCGTCCTGCGGAGGTCGATGATCGTGCCCCGCTGCAGGGGGATGTCATCCGAGAAGAGGTTGGTGAACTTTTGGAGCACTGTGTCGGAGTTGTCCGGGCTCACTTTCCGGAGGCGCTCCCCAACGGACTCCTCAAACGCCTTGCGGACGCTGCCGATCTTGAGCTTGCTGTAGTAGATCTGGACGAACAAAAGGGCGACTTTGAGGAGTGTCCGACACGAACTCCAAGAAAAGGGGGCGCAAGACGACACGATCCCTTGCCTGTCCCTTACCTTTCGAGAATCCCTACATAAGCTTTTCACGAATGCATGAAGATTGCGTTCCGTACTGCCGCATCCAAGCGAGAAGGAAGGAGGAGTCGCACTCCAATTTCTAAACTAAAAGAGTTCTCTTAAAATGCTTATCCGTTTTCAGAGCGAGATGAGCGGAATTCAGTAGATTTTGGGATTGGCTCCGAACGCAGGAGTAGTAACACTGTCAAATGACCAGATCAGAACCTTTGACCAAGTGTTTGGACTCCCGTGAAGGCAGTGACCGGACAGCAACGAGAAGAAACAATCAAGCAGAGCTCAGAACTCTTTTCGAGTTGCCTCTGAATGTGAGTCCGGGTTTGCACTTAGAATCAAATCCATCGTTTGAGCTGCTTGTGTAGATAAGCAATAACATGTGCAACGAGGTAACCAGAACTTCCTGAATCCTGATACGAAGTAGAAATGCGCTTCGATCATCCGTACTATGAAGCAACGTCGATCCGAGCCACGCTTTCCAGTTTTCGGAAAATCTGATGAGCAATCTGTTCAAGAAGGCGTCCAAAGAGAGCTGCTTCGAGTCCATTTATACCCTCAGCAGAACTGTTCCGACGGCACTATGTTAACTTCACAGGTTCCGTTGACATGAACAGAACCATCCACAATTCTGCAACAGATCCGTCTTTACTCTCTCAGCAGTGGGATTTCCATAGGGAATCGCTCCGCCAAAGCCGTTTTTATCTACCCAGACAGAGCGGAGTGAGTCAGTTTGGAACCAAGCCTAGGGGCTGTCGGAGGTGATGCTGAGGCGGAATCTGGATCTTTTAAGGGGGCCTTATCCAAACAATGAGTTCCTGGATGGTTGAGTGACAGCAAGACCAGGGTTTCGGAATCAGACCAACAAAGCAGATCAACACCATCCTAAGAACAAGACCAGCAAACACTGACTCTCTTTGTCCTCGAATGGATGATTTTCGTGTACTCGAACTCACCACCAGCCGCACAGCCATGTCGTTCTTGCTGGCCAGCAGATCCTCAAGGAACCATTTGTTGGACTTGAGCACCTCGGGCGAGAACGTGCCATACTTTGCGCAGAGGGCGTCCTTGACAGCACCGGGTTCTGCGTACAGTCCAAAGGCATACACCTTTATTGACTTGAGCCCAAAGAGATTCTTGGACCGCAGGCCCAGCCCGGCCAGCTCCCACTCTTTCCCCTTTGGTGCGTCCTCTGGTTTCACCTGCACAAAAAGTGTGAATGCACACGGTCATGCACAAAGTGTGAATGCACCCAGTCAGAAGGTGAAGAGGCGTTGGAATGCGGGCTTACATTGAAATTCACCTCAAGAAGTGGTCCCAGGCAAGTGAGAGCTGTCTTCCAGAGTGATTGATCAAGCTCATACTAATCATCCGGCGATTGTCTGACCTCCAGAAATCATTTGGTCACTGTCTTTTTGTGGTACTTCGTGAATAAAAGGGCTTGATCTCACAGTGACCAACATCTCCAATCTGCAACCTAAAAAGCAGTGGCCACGTCAAAGAATTGGGGTGAAATGAATGGAACAACCAAGCGCTTGGGAAGAATCCTAAGAGCGAAGATATGAAGGCAGGCTGTGTTGCCCCCACATGAGCTCCACATCATCCAAAAAAGATTCAGAAGAGGTCAGGATGCCGGGAAGGGGCACATATAAACACCAAAAATCCCAACCACAAGTCTTCCCAACAACACAGTATGCTTGAGCAACTTCCAAGCATAGGCTAATGGGCTCAAGGTCTTTGAAGCTTGCAAGCACTGACAAACGAGGGCGACAAGTAGGCGCCTTTTCAAGACGCGCTGTTTGATGATGTATGTATTGTGCAGTAAGGCATCTGATACAGCTGCTCTATTAATGCACCCGGCGCCACCACATTGTACTAGCAGGTTTCAGAATGCAGACCTTTTTAGGAAACCTCAACCCCGTCCGGGGCTCCACAGCGCTTTCCAGACTGTCCGATGCCCCAGCAGTTGTGCTCGCCATTGACACTGACGCAAGCGACAGAGATGCCAGAGCAAGTGGAGCGTGCAGATGCCCCTGCTTCTCCTCATCCTCCCCCCCGCTTCCCACCCTCAGCGCGTCATTCAGAAATGCTTTGAATTCCTCCAATACAGAAGGTTGTCCCTTCGAGCGACGGTAGTGGTCATAAGCAACAGCTGCGGTCGTCGCAGTTGCAACCACAACAGCGCCTCGTGCAGCTAGGCGGCGATTGGCGGCCCTCCTGCTGACATCGCCCCCTGCATGCCTGCTGGCGGACGTACTGACCCCTCGCTGCAGCCACCGGGATGCATTGGACCAGGCATGTGAGAAGGAGCTTGCTCCAGGTCCTGGCATCCTTGGAGAGCGTAAGACGCCTCGCAGGCTTTAGTCCAACTCTTGCAGCAAAATCACAATGCCGTCTTGCATGAGCTGGCCGGGCTGAAGCTCATGGCGCAAGAATTGAATTTGAAGCAATCACTCGGAGTCGGGGACAACATTGGCGTTGGCTAACCCTAGCCTCTAGTCAAGTGGCTGACGAGCGCACCCGCCCCTTCAGTAGTACGCAATGTAACCTAGTACGTCAGCAAGAAGTGGGTTAGGGAGCAAACCTGCCACAAAACGGTGACAAACCCCTCGGGAAAGTGAAGGGAGAAGATTCCTGGGCAGTCACAATGTTCACAGAATGACGACGTGTTGTGTGGGCTGAAGCGCTTGCTGGATACATAATGGGGCTCAAATTCTGTAAGATTGCAGCCAGAACCTTTTAGTATTCATCTGGGAGGGTTACTCCTGAGCTAAAGAAGCGCTGAAATGGTATGGTGCAGTCCTGACAGCAAAGTGCTGTGCGAGCTTGAGAGCGGCATCCAGCCTATCTTTTCTCGCTCTGAGCCAGTTACAGGCAGACGCAGCTCAGAGGGACCGTCGTCCTATACCAATCTACTTTCTTTTGTTAGACCGGCCTCTCAAGAAAGTCAAGATCAGTAAAGCATTGTATTGATTGCACATAGCTATGGCGCCCCACATGAAAACAGGCTTGGCTTTATCCTTTCTTGTGCTCATGATGGCGGAGAGAAGCCTGAGTGAAGGGGGGAGGCGGGATGCCTTGCCCTCAAGTATGACCCCGGCCTTCGGTATGACCACTCGCAACGACAGCAACGCCGTTCGTGCCCCGCCCGTCTTGCTCACTTTCACCGTGAGGTATAAAGTCTGCGGCCCTCTTTTCAAGTGAAGGCCTGCGGTGTCTTGATTCCTCAGCGAAGTGAAAGTAGAAGATGATCAAAGAATCACTGAGCACTTGCGTAGTTGATGTGCGGAACGAGCCGTGAATGTGCAAGCCACCTGCCAATGCTTCTTGGAAGGACAACGCTCGCCACTAAGTTCAGGAGATGATGTGCACCAAAAACGAGTTTGGCGAGGAGCCACATTCAAAGCCCCTCCACAGAGTGTTTCAAAGTAAGGCAAGCAATCATTAAGCAATCACAGGTTTGATCGCCGTTTGATGCTTCTTGCAGATTCCTGGATGGTGTGGTTGTGCCTTTTGCAATGGCTCAATTGGTTTCCGAGAGTAAGTCAATTCTATCTTTGAATCTACTCTGGTGCCTACAGAGACCGTATCCAAGAGAATGCCCCCTTGCAAACGATAAGCTAGTCGAAGGGCTTTTCCTTCCAAGCTGAGGCCAGGCCATGATGAGGAGGCCCATACCCATTGAGGGTCTCGTTGTTGTTCGGGCAGTCCCTGCTTCACCTGCTTATTCGCTGATTCTTAGGTCGGAATCTCACAGCATTTGGTCCTTGGGCCCTCTTGCACCGCCCAGGATACCACTACCTGGCAAGCCAAACCTTGAGTTTGTTGTAGAAGACATCGAGGACTTCAGGCTTTTGGGCTTGACTCCACAAGTGCAGACTGATCTGTTCTTTTTTTTGTTCGGATTGCTGTCAAACGTCTCTTCTTTCTTGACAGCAATATATATTTTTTTTGGCAGATTCCATGCAACTCAATCAGACCCTTAGCGACGGCACCTCCTCCTTTTGGGTTGACCCGACCTGGACATACAGGTATGATGTTTGCATCCTGACGCTTGTGTATCAAGGTTGAGCCAATTCTTTGATCAAGTATCTTGGATAACCTCGTTGATGCGACCTTTGTAAGTCTCTCCTGCCGCGAATTGTAGGCTGGACTATCAAGTTCAAAGAGACTTTGACGAGTGGCCCTTAATGAACTATACCTTGTATTTTCGGGAAAGGCCTTCTCCGTTGGTCCTTGACAGATGAGTCCTATGTTGATCAAATAGTTTTCGCTGGACGTTTGCCGCTTTTCTGCAGGGACATCAATTCTCTTTTTCGTGAAGTTTGACTGTCAAGCTGACGCCGACCAGTATTTCGCTGCAGCTTGTTTCTTAGTGCCGAGGGGAGCCGAATGGCAAAAGGCCCTATCCACCTGAGGTAAGTCACTGCCTTTTGATGTGGCGGCTGCTGCTGCAACAGCGTTATGAAAGTCTTTGCACCGTATGCGATTGCACTCGCATGAGCACTTCTGTGGTGCGGGGGGAAGATGGACTTTCTGACATCTGGTGTTAAAGGGAAGCTTACCGAGCGAGCACCTATTGAACGATCATTGTAACTGTAGTAAGTAGCGATGGGGGCTCGATTCATGCCCACGGTTTGAAGAGCCTTCACAAAAAAGTCATCATGCTCAAGTGACTGTCTTGATCGACGAACAGATCGTTTTCAAAAGAAGGTGTTGACGAACCGTTCCTTGCTTTGCAGGAGGCCTATTATCATCTCGCCATCCAATGCCGCTGGCTTCAAGGGCGACATCGACCTCGGCAGCATTCCAATTGACTACTCCAGCTTCTGTTCGGGCGCCGAGACTGTTACCGGCAATGGGGGCGGCGTCATTGCAGGGGGCGGCGGCGGCATCCAGGTACGTGCATCATTAGTTGATCCATAGATGGATCGTCAGAATCGTGATAGCAAGCTGCCAAAGCGAGGGCAGACGACGAAAAAACAGAAACTTAATGCGGCGTTTCTGCAGTATCAATGCCACATTCCGGCAGATACAGATCTATTAGAGCGAAATATTGTTTTAAGGGAGTGGCATGGGTATGCAGGGAGATCAAAGTTACCACCTCGGAGCTGAGTATGTTCGTTGTTGTATCTTATCCTCGTAGTTGAAGTTGCCCGGTTTTAGTGATTGCCACTAGTTCGACAAAGAAAATCAGGTCCTTCTGTCGTAGCGAATGGGGTTCAAGTAGAAGAGATTTGTGATTGATATCTGGTCCCTGGATCAATAGCGGGTCAATGGACCAATTGGATGCGTTTGGTATACCTCTACTAAAGTTCGGAAACGGGACCATGAAAATTTTCCCAAAAGCCTTCAGCGCACCCAAAAGCGGGGCGCTTATGAAGCGTACGCCGTTACTAAGTCCCCTTGTACGGGGACAAACAGCGGGCATGAAACGAACGTTTTGGAAACGAGCCACCGTCGAAAATCATCGACCTCACTTGGAAATGTCTCTCCTCTTTGGAGCTCCTTTATTCGTTCCTGACTTGACTTGGATTCCTGTTCCCTCCATGCAGACCCTTCAGATTCCGGGCCAGACTTGTACTTGGGCGATTGGGCCCTTCAGCAACCCCGGGACAATCGTGCTCTCCCTTTACATGCTGGACCTCACTACGGGGAACTCTCTCACGATCTACAGCATCGACAACCGGAACAGGCAGAGAGTAAGACTCGGCACCGTTTTTCAAATCTTCATCGTTGTACCTGACAACCGTTGTAGAAATGGTAGTTCGAACATTTTGCAGGCTGTGAGTCAAATTGTTCGTTGTGTCCTCCCATGGAACTTCGTCGAACTTGAGCTGCCGCAGAAGTTTCTAGTCCTGCACCGCGTTTGACACGTACCATATTCCGCTGTGCGCACCGTCTGCGCGTTCGCGGGTGGACTCTCTCTGTGACCTGGTTCTCGCCCTAATCGCGTATTCCACCTTCCTGACTTGGTTTTTTTTCAGGCGTCTCTGGCTAGTAACCCGGTTGTCCCTCAGCACACACCCGACCGGATTGCCTGTCCCTTCGACCGGCTTAAGATCAATCCAAAAGCATTGCAACAACGTGAGCCAGTTAGTTTCTCATATATTGAACTTAGTCCCGCTTTGCTCTCCCAGGTGGTGCTTCAAGTAGGCATGGGGTATCCCAACACGTTCTCGGGGATCACCACCGTCCAATCGCTGAGCATCTACGACCCGTCGGTGATCGTCGCCTTCTCTACGGGCCCAGGCTCGGACTCTTTGACCAACGGCTTCATGGTGGGTTACAACAACAGTCGCATTATGAACTGCTTCTTATATTGTCTTAGGAGTAGCTTTCCGGTTGATTACACCCGAGGATGCTGCTTGGGTCGTCCTTTCTTGCAACGGATGCACAGAACCATTGGATCAGCTTGGGTTTGATTGGGCTGTAGAGGCCGACCTGAACTAGAAATTGTTGAACAGGGCTTCCTATGAGCCGGAACGCCTCGGCGACCGGATACCGCAAAATAGGGCAACCTGGTCGCTGAGGCAAACTATCATTGTGGTCCGTCCGATGAGGGTTTTTGCCAGGACTCAGTTGCCACTACTGCGCTTTGAGATTTGACGCCCTCTTCAAGGAAAGCATGATCGTACAAGACGTGCTAAACGCCACCAGCCCTGGTCCGTCTAGCATCACCGCCAATCATTGTTTTCGCTGCCGGCGGGCTACTTACCAATCCGATTACTGTACTACGTATGTCAGAGTTTGTTCCTACCAATCCGCATCGATCCCACGACTGACCGTTTCGTTTACCAACATCACTGCCTCCCCTTATGGGATCAGCACTCTTTGCTCTTTTGAATGGTTACATCGCATCTCCTCGTATGCAGATGTCGTACAAGGTGGACCGTTTCATTACAACCGGTCGCGTCCTGGCACTCTCGGTAAGTTCCAAATGCGCTTCAATCATACCCAAGTGTCTTTGCTTGTTCTGCCCCATATGATTCAGGGCAGACGTGCGAATCTGCGCTCTTGTCAAGGTCAGGTCGCGGGCTCTTCCTGCTCCAGCGTTTCATTTGTTATGATGTTCCGGGGCTAGTCGTTATGTATTGTTTCAACCTTCCATCATCATCCTGAAGGTCTTGAGTAGATCGAAGGATAACGTCTCTCGCTAATTTCAAGCAGTATTCGATTAATCAAGAGTACGCTGCTGTCTCTTTAAAGCGTGTACAGATCTGTTCGTCATCTGGTATGCCAACTACTATCCCTTAAGTTACGCGAACCTCCGCATGGTACTAAATCCGGTCTATGATTGTGCTACTTGTTTCGCGACTCCTCTTATATAAGCACACTCAGTCTGTAGGACCCATCTATCGGAAATCCCTATGTGCTTTCGTGGTTTCGCGCTTTTTGGATGGCGTCCAGTCTTAGCAGCCGGATAGCATGACTTGTCACTCAAAAGAAACTTCCCGCCTTAAGCTCACAAGGTTTCCTGCGCACTTTGTTCCCACCGCAACTGCCAATCAAGCCGTTTCTTATAGCCAGTATCTATTTTGCAGTCCCTCGCTGCCACTTCTGAACCAGTGTCGACGCATTTACATACCAAGTATCAGTCCTTAACCCCGCGTTTTTGGCGCTCCTTTGGTCGCCGGTTCCGTTGCCCTCCTGCTCATCATTGTCCATAGACCGACACCTCTCTTTACGTTCTTTTTTATCAGGCAACGTCTTCGGTACCACCGAACCATTGATTAGCCAGCCCTTGAAGACCAATTCTCCCCTCAGAAACCTTTCTGCCTCTCATCAGGGCGGGCGGCAGCTTCGCCTTCCTGCTCTTCACGCTGCTCCAACGGCGTCAGCACCAGATCTTTGCACGGAGTTGTTAACCAACCTATCAACGACTAGACACTTTCCCAAACCCCCGGGTTTGCAGCTCATCTGGGCGGGCGGCGGCTTCACCTTTCTGCTCATCATCTTCCTCGTCTTCACTCTACTCCAACGGCGCCGGTCAGGTTATCCGTAACCAGCTAACCACCAACTAACCAATTTAAATCCCCGTGTTTGCAGCTCATCTGGGCGGGCGGCGGGTTCGCCTTCCTTCTCATTATCTTCCTCATCTTCACTCTACTCCAACGTCGCCAGCGTCGAATCCGCGCCGGTCAGGCGCCGCCCCTGCTGCCGTGGGAGCGGCCGCGGCCGGTCGCTTCCGCCGAGCCAGACCCGCTCGACCATGACGTCATGGTGGTGAAAATCCCCGGGGAGGAGCCCCACCGGATGGCCCTCCCGCAGAAGGTGACGTCAGCATTCTCGAGATTGGATGAGTGGCTTAGGGGTGGTTACTGTCGTAGGATTGGGTTGGCATTCCCTGTGCGGGGGGTGACGGTTTGTCTGGGCAAGACCGAGGGGCTGTGCAGAGAGCTTGTCGCAAAAATGAACCTGACGAGCGTCGATTGAAGTCGAGAGTGCTTGTCGAGTGAAGAGCTGTGATGTCTGGAATTCCTTTTCATAGGTTAAGGTCTCTTTGCTGAGTAAGCTCGCAAACCTCGATGGTCTTGACTTCCTAGACTTCTTCCATCCTGAACAAATGCTGAACAGGTTTCCGTCCGTACCTAGGGCTGCGGCCGGTACTTGACTCGCGAGGCTATCTTCCTTTTAATGATCACTGGAGCAATAATCCAGGTCGACCGCCTTTTCCCCAAGGTCCCGCAAAAGCCTCGGTAAGGCGGCTGACGTCACCCCCTGACGTCATCTCGCTGATGTGTCCGGCTCCACTGTGTGCAGGCGTGGCAACCAGGAGCCCTTAAATTCGCCTTCCAAGCACCGGGCTCGGACCTTGCGAAGCTGCACTTGGACGTTGTCGGCAATCTCGCTCCACCTTCACAGGTGCAATGCTTAGAAGAGGCCAGAAACCGGGATACACGTTCTACAACGGGCACACAAGGGCCCCCAAGTGAACCGTCAATCCTTCCGCTCGAAAGGGACACGATAGAAGATTCAATTCGCGGGGTTCCGGACGTCCGTGGCGCTTGGGGCCGCCTTCTACCTTCCCTGAGTCGCAAGAGCATCTCTCGGGAGCAGCAAGCTGCAGAGCTTGCGGACAGGCAAAAAGCTGCCGACGACAATCTGAGCCGGGTTGCAAATCCAGAGAAGCGAGTTTCGGACGCTCACGCGGACACTTTAGAGCGGTCCATGGCGTCCGAAACGCACCGGGACGACGGGTCCTGCGGCGATTGCGAGGCGTGTGCCATCTGCCTGGTGGAGTACGAGGAGGGGACCTGCTTGCGGCCGCTGCCGTGCGAGCACGCCTTTCATACAGGTGACGAGAAAACCGATTCAGGGAACGTTCATTTCTTGTGTCTTCCCAAGAAGCTTGCTCATGTGGGTGCTGTTACTTTAGCTCGTGCTTGTGATGCCCTTGCACGAGATTGTCAAACAATTGGCGCATAATTCTTCCCGGGCTTGAGTCTTTTGCCGCAAATTACCCTCGCTTTCACTTGTCTTCAGAATCTCTCAATTGTTTGTGTCTGCAGATTTTCCTCTGCTCCCAAGTGCTCCATTGGACGCCCTTTTAAGCATCAGGGTACACCTAGCTTGTTCAGCACTCTTCTAAGCTACTCAGAAGTTCTCTTTGGCGATCTCCTGATCCGCTTTGGACTACTTATCAAGCAAACGCGTATTCGCTTGGTGCTTGGACTTATTGCTTCCGAACCTAAGATCCGACCCCTCTCCCGTGTTCCCCTGCAGCGTGCATTGACATGTGGCTGAAGAAGGACCCCTCGTGCCCCCTATGTAAGCGTCCGCTTTACACCCCCCCTTTGCCTTACAAACCCGCGCCCGAGGAGAGTCCCGGGGCTAGTCAACGGGTCACCGGTTACGAAACCGGGTTGGGTCAAGCGAGCGCGCAGGCCCCTTCAAGCACCGGAGCAGACGACGGGCACACCAGCACGGCGACCGACCTGGAAGCGGGCCCTAGCACAACACCTCAAAACGGGTTAGCACATGGTTTAGTGGCAAGAGAGGTCCGGGAAAGGACGGAGGAAGATGAGCGGGCGCACCGGCAACGCCCGATGAACCCGGCTTGGTATCTGCATCAATGGCTGGGGTGGGGTTGGTGAAAGCCAAATACTTGGATTGCTATGGAGATTGCTTGATGGAGCCCTGAGTGGGCCAGGGTCTGAAGTGAACTATTCTTTATCACAAGAGAATGGTTCGCTTATACAATGGCACTAGTAATATCCTCCTGACGACGCAAAAGCACATTATTGTAGAGTAAGGAGCCCATACAATGATTCATGTGTTGTCTTCAACGTAAATGTCAAATTCACAAGAGTCCGAGAAAGGTCAAGGAACAACGTGTTGCTGAGTAAAATGTGCGGCAGTACGACTCGACGTTTTCCAGAACTAGTAATCAAAAACGTCGTTTGTAATGATTATGAGAACATTAGCAATGGCAGAGCTTAAAGGCGAAGTGCGCTACACAACGGCTTCATTGGACTTTCAAAATTTCGAGACGAAAGTGGACGCGTGTAGCGCCTGAGCGTGTTGTGCGGCACGACTTTGTGATTCTATAAGGAAGAGTCAGCTTCCAATCAAAGCTTGTATGCGGGACGTGCACTTTCAAAGCAGGGAACTTTGCAGTCATGTATGCATATCTTATATCGCATGATGATCGCGTCTAATTAATCGGCAATCGCAGATCGTAACTGAGGCGCCACCATAGATTTATCTAGCTGCCCGGCGCGCTTACATTATAGCTACAAGATCGTTATATCGAGTCCCTACAAGTGCAAGCCCGCCTAGAGGCTAGCTGTCCGCCTACATGTTTCCCATGTATTGGATATATCGGCATGATCGATGCACTTGAGGTGCTAAAAATGGAGGTGCATATCACTGAGGCCAGGAAGGTGATCATGCAGACATTCATCAGTGCATGCCGGGGCTGATATGATACAGTCTCCGGAAAGAACTATAGGCTTGGCTCATGCACGACTTTGCAAACGGCCGGCCTGACAATTTAGTCGTCCGGTCACAGACTCAATGCACATATTTTTGGGCCATCGGGCTTGAAAGATCTTACACAGTCAGGCCGCTCGCCGTGCTGACGAGTATATTCAGGAGGCCTGTTATCTTTCAGATACATTGAGCGGACTCTAGAGATTTGCGATTTCTCTAACCTCTCCTCACAAGCTGAAGCGGCTCGATACAGTCCAGAATGCGAAGGAACTCTATGAACAGCCCCGAGAAGTCTTCGTCCGACTCCGCTTCCGGTTCGCCTTCCGCTCTGATTCCATCAAACGGCATGCCAGACCTCTCGTCAAAGCCACAACCACCAATTTCTCCCCCACCCACCAATCCGCCGTTAAACGTTCCGTTTCCGTTAGCGCTCGCCGGAACGTCCTTAGCCACGACAAGGTCGATCGGCCCATCTGCTAACAGCCCCGCAATCTCCGCCGCCGACAGATCCCTCGGATCCGCATAGAACTTCAGCCCCGCCTCAGCAGACGGGTTGTAGTGTCTCCACCACTCACGGACCGCCACGTGGCAGGCGGGATCCGTTCCGACGCACACGTACCGCCGGATTCCGCAGCCCAGGCTCTCCAGCTGGACGCCGAAGCTCTCGTCTAGGGCTCCAAACAGAAGGACGGTCAGGCCCCCCGGGGGGATCCCCCGCGGGCTGGAAAAACTCCCCGGGGGAGTCTCTCCGGGGCTGACATAGCCCCCCGGGGCCGTCTCTCGAGGGCTGGAAAAGAAGGATTTCAGGAGGGTTGTGGTCGGGGAGTCGCTCGGCAGGGGAGGGTGGGGCCCTACCGGGAGGTTGTGGAAGAGCCTGAGAAAAAAGAGGAGATTGTTAAACTCTTCTAGAGGGGATGGAAGATAAAATTCTGACCAGAGAGGCGAGTTGCATTATCATGCTGTCACGGGGAGCACAAGGCGGGGCTGGATTCAATCGGCCTTTGAAAGAGACGGGGACGATTGGGCTCACGGGGCTGAACATTCCTCTGCACTTTCGCTAACTAAAGACATTGTCAAAGGCCCAGAGAAAGGCCGACGTGTTGATCCCTTGCAAACCCGCGCGAACAATCAACGTAAAGACTCACTTGGGAAGGCAGGATGTCATGGTGTCATGGCAATGCTCTCATCGACTTGTTAAGCATTACATCGACAAAAAGCGAGAAGCCATTTGATCTAAAATGCACGTTCGTGAGAACTTTCATTTTCGGTCGTGCTCTGAAACCGGCGCGCTGAGCACATCACGCACCAATGTATCCTCTATGACCTCTCCGTGCATTCTTAAAGATGATCGCGCTCAAGAAAGTAGTAAAGCATGACGTTGGCTTGGCAGTCTTTTCTGAGAACCGTGGATGTCCAAAATCAGAAAGGACATCTGCCAACAAAAGTAAGACACTTTCACGAACTTTCAACCTGCAGTGTCTCGGGACTCTCAGGTTAAAAGTCCCCGAGGCAGACCGCTAGGGACAATTGATCTTTGCTGATTGATCTGTGGAAACTGTCTTTATAACGTAAAACAAGTCGTTTCAATCTAGAAAAGGTACATCCGGATAACCACCGGCACCAGCTGTCCTCACCTTGTTCCGCTTCCGTCGACCGGCTCCGGCGGAATACCAAAAAGGTGCCGTTGGCACCCGTGCAGAGTCAGAGCGCTCGGTGCCGGTTCCGTTTCGATGACGAAGCGGAAGCCGCTCGGGGCCAACTCCAGTGCGCGCGCATGCTCCTCGAAACTGAAACTGGGGGGTTCGACAGGAGCTCTTTTTCGGAATGTATTGACCCCCCCACCTTTTGTCTCGACCCCTCTTACCATCCTGGGGCTCCGACCCACATGTTCCGGAGGCCACTCATCGATTCCGTTGCCATTCCGGTTGCTCCGCCCTTCCGCGCCTCTGCCCCGCTTCCGCTCCCCGTCCTTCCGCTTCTTTCTCTGGGGGTAAACGGATTCCGGGGGGTTGCCGAACTCGTCGAACTCGGTGTGCTGCAGAATCCGCGTTTCGAACTTCGACAGATCCGCCCAGAAAGCGCCCGTCTTGGGATCTTCAAAGAAGGGGCAGATCTTGTGTTCGCACGTTTCTGGGTTGTACTCGAGAGCTTTAACCACCCGATAGAGCTCCTCTTCGGGCGAAAGTTTCACTCCGAAAGCGCACACCGAGCACATCAGCGCTTCCCCGAGCACCGCTAGCCGAGCGCCGCACTTCTGCTCGACTTCCATTCCGCCAGAATCCGCTTCATTCCGCCCCGCGCTCAGGACGGGGTCCTCGTTCCGCTCAGACTCCAGCTCCGGCGGAAGCGTCTCTGCTTCGTTCCAGGACAGCAGTCCGCGCGGTCTGAAAGAAAGTTCTTCGGAATCTCCTTCAAAACCACCGGTTCTCTGCATCCTTTCCGCGTCGAGGGGATCTCCAAACGGGATCAGTTCCTTACATCCTGCACTCTCCTCCCGCCTCGCGCCTGGTTCATGCCGTAAGCCGCCGTCGGAAAATGCACCATATAAAGGGTAATCTGCATTCTCCCCAAGACCCAAACCGGCCCGACGCCCCGGGTTTTTCTGCCACCTGATATTGGGATGCCCTCCGAAACCGGGCATATCTCGACAGGAGAACCTCCCTGCGCGCCCCATTTCTTCTTCGCTCTCGTGAACCCCTTCTTCGGGCATTGCTGCAAAAGCTGCGCCTATTCCCGCCAGCTCGTGCCCTTGCCGGATGTGTGCCGGGTGTGAAAAGGCCCCAGGCAAACACGGGGGCTCGGGAATTGCGTCTAGAAGGTCTGCAAGCTCCACCTCAGGATCTTCCGGAGCGCCCTCGGTTCCGGACGGAATGTGCAGTCCGACGGAACCGGCATGGCCCCGTTGGATACTACTTCTCATAAAATCTGAGTGGGAGTCTCCATTCTGCGGCGGAAAGGTCGTCTCCTTCCATGCCTGGGAATCCGCAAATGGCGGCTCCTTCAAACTTTTCCCCATATGCTCGACGACTAATCCGTCCTGATGCGTTCTTCCGTCGCTAGAAATCCCAAACGCTTTCAATCGGCCATTTATTACTGCGCTGGTTTCTTTGTGCCTGTCTGGATAAAGTTGTGCCGGCCCCCCCCCGAAATGCTCTTCAAAACTCTCGAGGCTCGGCATGGTGAGCAATTCGGAGGATTGGGCACGTGGGCGCTCGGTTCCGTGCGAGAAGGGCGGCGGACGGAACTTCCGCCTGTGGGCGACCAGCGGAACGGCTGGCGACTCCTCGTCTTCGGTGGGGACGTCGGCTGAAGTGCTATTGAAGAAACCCTGCACTTGTAACAATTGAATGCATGAGATGTAAACATCTCGACTGCCTGACGAAGGTATTTCAATTTTTGAGAGCGTGCCGAAGTTTTGAGTTCCACTGAACCGTACTGGAAGGCAGGTTTACAATTCAACCCGCAATCAGCAGCTCACGAATTCCAGAAGTGACACGAACAACACTCAGCAAAGAAATTCTGGCAGTCAATCAAGGACGATTGCAGACGAAGTCACAGAAACTTATCTCTCTCAGGAACAGACTACAAGAACGAGGTCAAGTTGCATGACGGCTGTTCGAGCTCGAGACTCTTTTCGTTGGAGAGACCAGACCCTCCAGGTATCGATTCCTGCAACGTCACCACATGACGATGACACTCAGAAGTGCGAGCGCTCTCAGCTCGTAACGACTTTCTACAGACACACTCGCCTCCATTCCTCCAAGAAAATTCGTTCTACTCTGAACCCGACGGAACGGAGTGCCTGATAAGCGGGTCCGCACACGTGAATACCTTTTCTGTTCCCCGTGCGCTCAGCCGTTCTTGCGCATGGTCTATATTGCGGTCCTCCGCTGTTGGCAGGGGCGCGTCCCGGCGGCTCTTTCCGGCGGCCCCGCGATGATTGCGTCCAAGTTTTCCACGTGGCGAACCGATCCTGCGCTTCCGTCAGACGTATCCATCTCAACGTCACAGTTGTGGATTGGGCTTCTGAGAGACTTTTCAGGATTCGAAGAGCGGCTTGAGGACAAGCCAGTCCTACGTATCTGTGGGCTTTGAAAGCCGCAGCGTCTCGGTTCCTGTAACCTTTGAGCTGAAGCTTATGCTGAAGGGTTTGCGCGAGCGCTAAGGTGCGCTTTTCTGATTGTGCGCTTATTGCGCAATCTGCTAATCATGCACTGGGCGCTCAATGGCGCCGATAAGCAGGGGTTACGCTGCAAATCAGGCTCAGGTCTTAAGTCCAAAATGCTACAGGAATCATAAAACCGGTCCCGTTGAAGAGAAGAGTCCTGTCAGGGAAGCCTTCGACGTCTCGACCGTTCCAGGCTTATGAGAGGCACGAGCTTTGACACTCCCCTTTTCGGCCAGCCGGCCCTTCGTGTTCGCGACATACGAAAGGCGCTGCGGCTAAGACTTGATTGAAGCCACAACTCAAGGCCTTCCGCATCCTCTCTATATTACCCGCTGCATGATCATTGATGACGATGGACGCATACAGCCTGACCAGTGCATCGTATGTGACAAGCCGCACGGGTGAAGCAAAGGTGAATTAGCAAACGTGAAGCAAACCAGCCATGCAATAATGCAACTGACCGGTCGAATCTTCGACTTCGTACTAGCTCTGCATCAATCATGCAAGAGAGTGCTTAAAGATACTCGAAGGGCTGCCCAAGACGCGTGCAACATGAGATTGTGAGCAAAGCCCAGCGTGGCACTTATGCTAGCTAGCGCTGCGCTGGCTCTAAGTGAGCGCGCGGCTCAGGAGCCACGCGGCCGCGCAGCACACGCGCTAAGCGGCCGCGACGCGGCGGCTACCTTCTGGGCGACCCGAAAGACTATCTTGCGACCTTGGCGGTCGCTCTTCGATGCGAACAGTCTCGACTCGAAGGCGACCACCTCAGTGTACACTGCACGGAACTTTCTTGCCAGCATTCTGCTTCGCCTCTGGCCGCAATTGGCGCAGGCAGGGCTCGTGCTCCTAGCTCAGGACATGGCACGAGCTACTTAGCTCAGTAAGGCTTTGTTCTTTACTCCCTTCCTTGGGGGCTGGGACTTGCGTGACAACCGCTGCCAATGATCCTTTTGTGGAGACTTGCTCAGCAGTCCTTTCAGAATAGTTGCCCAAGTTAAAAGTTCCCTTATATCTGCACTTCTTGGGGCCTTCTGTATACATCGTGATGATCAGAAAGATTTCTAATGTGCCATAGAGCTAAGGCGATCTAGGAGAGAAATTGTATTGGAGCAGAAGGATCCTAGGGGGGCCAAAGATGGTGGTTCTCAAAAGCTTACAGTCCAATGTAAGCAGCCAGCCTGGGAAGAGAATCTTGGCATTGCATCCGCTGAAGGCAATATTGGTTTTGGGGTTGATGACGTGCTGTGGAGCGGAGGGAGGCTCTCTCACAAACGTGTCAGTGACAAGTTTGGGACTGCCCCAGAGCTCTGGCGTAGGTTCGATCAGCTCTACGAGCAACAGCTCCATCTCAGCGGCCAATTCTGCATTGCTGACATTCCGTCTAAGGTGAGAGCAGACGGCTTGTCCCTCTGTCAAGATGAGGGCAGGTTTGGGGGCTGCTTTATGTATAGGTTGAGGAGGCCAGCACAAACGAACTGCCTCCTGTTCCCACCCTAGTTGTCAAGGATGCCACCACCACATGACCGTTGGGGAATGAAACACTTAAAAGTTAAGGTTCCCTGACAGTCTGTATTGTTAATCCATCCCCCGGTGTTTAATGGATTCAAGATCCCACTTCTATCGATAGAGAGGCTTTAAAACATTCTATGTGTAATGCATCTTCTCTTCAATGCTGGATCAGCCTGCCTGTAGTGAAAGACATGCTTTAAGCAGATATTTAGATCTGCCTTGAGAAGGCCATGCCATGATGCGGTAGGCTCAGGAAAGGAGAAAAGGTGAACGAGGAAAGACATTTGTGAGGTCAAAGATCGTTGATCTTTTTGCAGATTTGGGGATGGGCCTCCAGTGCCTGCCGCACAAGCCCAGCTTATCTCTCAAGGCAAGTTCCAGCTGATTGACTTGGCCCCTTCAAGGGGGCATTTAAGGAGGCCCCCTTGAAGGGGCCCCATTTAGCTAACCCCTGCTTCTTGAAGTGGATCTTCAAATACAGTCCATATGGAGATGAGCCTGTATTTGGCGTCGAAAAGTGTTGAGCTTCGACCATCTTGCGGTCTGCTGTAACCACTCCCTTCATTTTCCCGTCTTCTGTAAACAGTGAGATCTCAAGGATGCACAACTTCCTTGTGACGCACATTTTACCAGGCTGTGGGACTGTCAATACATACTCAGGTTGACCCTGTCTATCGTGAGATTGCATATGATATGTTACTCATTATAGATATGTTACTCAATATACCTCGGGTTCTTTGGCTGAGCCAGACACTATTTCAGCCTACTTCTGAGATAGTAATTTTGTGCCTCATTGGTCGACTTTGCAGATGGCACCCGTCAGTTCAACACAACCGCCAGCGATGGCAGCTGCTCCTTTGTGATCAACCCTTCTACAACGCACAGGTGTGTCAGGAATGTTTCCTGCGCGTGAGTATTTTTGAGTATAAGCAACTGGCCAATAAGTCTGCTTATAAGCCTGCCGGCTTCTTTTAACATGGTAACTGAGATATGGTGAACAAGATGAGTTTTGTACTATTGGGGCCAGTCCTCGTTCTGTCCACCTTTTCAAGGTGGCGAGCAGCCAACGCATCGGCATTGGCGTTTGCAAGGCCCCTCGTTGTCCTGCTGTGCAAAATCCCTTGATCTGAGGCTCCCTCCCTCTTTGTCCTGCCATAGGAAACTCCTCCGAGGAGCAACATATAACGTATGTCAGCAAGCGAGATGCATCTGACCTCTTAATTGAACTTCCTTTGGGGCGCATGGTCATGAACAAGTCACTGGCAGAGCGGATGGGCAAATTGTCGACTCCCTTAGCTACACACCGCCGGAATTGGCGGTTTGTCTTTGTAGATTCAACCACTTCGGACTGTCGATCCAAAAGCTCATAGCAAAGGGGCTTCAAAGGGAAATTCCCAGGAGTCCCTGTTTTCTCCCCTTCATTCAAACAAGAAGCTTGCCAGTGTTTCCACGAATATGGAGAGCTTCCTTGAGACGAACTATCTTTGTGCACACTCACCAAAGCTTGTTATGCTGGTGCAGCCTTTTGCTGAGTGCTGTTGGCAGCGCCAATTCTGCGGGCACAATCCCCCTCAAGTAAGCGCTCTGGAAGCTTCTCTTAGAGCAGGAGGTTTGCAAGGAAACGACTTGAAGCGAGAGAACATGACATATTCTTTCTGTTGACATCTGGAGTGCAGAGTAGGTAGAGAGGTGTCTGCAATCCTGACAGCCAGTTTCCCTGCCGCCTTCAATTAACGTGCCTTGTCGGATCCTCCTTCCTCTTTCGGCTGAAGCAGAGTTTTCTAGCATCTCAGTCAAAGTCCCGTAAGAGGATCTGCTCAGTGGCCTGAAGTCCGCGTTTGTCCGCTGCCAGTCGGCCCATCGCGATCTCGGCATTCGACGCCAAGGCTTCCAACGGGGTACGAAACCTGGGCGACATCACTATCCCGTTCGTCAGCTTCTGCAAGGGCACGTACACGATTCAAAGTGACGCAGGGGCAATCATTGCAGGCACCGACCCTCTGCACGTAAGTTGCTTGCTCGAGCGCACATATCCCAACCTCAACTGAATCTGTTTCACAAAGCAGAATCTTTATTCCATCTTTTGAGGTTTTCAGTCTTCGTCGGTTGTTCGGTGTCTAGTTTGCTTGTCAGACTTTTCATCACATCTTTGCCTTTTCCGGTCTTTGTCGACTTGTCAACGTCTGATGCGAACATTGGACCACACCAATAAGTGATGAGCTAATGCCTACGGAAGGAAGGTAGTCTACCACTGTCGACTGACATATATCCTTCAGCTAGTGCACAGATTTTCGCGTTTTGAGCATGTTTGGACCTCCCTCAGTGCCGAAAATACAGAGGCTTCAATGAAATTGCTCAATGTCGTGGACGCCCGAACTTTGGCATCTGTTCGCGTACAAAACCCTTTCCATTCATTGTTCTTTGCAAAGTGGCGGTCCTCAAATCGTTATCCTTTGTCGAAGCGCGAAGCGCTTTGTCTGATCGCGCGCAGTCGCTTCAAGTCTCCTTTCATATCATTCGTTTCTAAAATTCTGAGATCCTCAATCTGATATTGTTCTGTCAACTGAGGCCCGAACCGCTTCGCGTGCTCGCTTGCAGTCGCTCCAGATTGCCTTATTCAGATCATCGATCTTTGAATCTTTGAGATTTTTCAGAATGTATCGTCGAGGGCCGACCCGCTTTGCCTGCTCGCGTGCAGTCGCTCCAGGTCCCCTTCCCATCTTCGATTTCGAAAAGTTTAGGTCCATAAGTGAATGGTTGCCATTCTTCGAAACCTCGAGATCCGTAAATGATCATCGTCGAGTCCCGAACTGCTTTCTCTGCTCGCGCGCAGTCGCTCCAGGTCCCCTTTCCAACATCAATCTGGAAATTTGTATATTCATGCGTAAACTATTGCCATTTTTCGACCTCGAGATATATGTAATGATCATCGTTGAGTCTCGAACTGCTTTGTCTGCTCGCGCGCAGTCGCTCCAAGTCCCCGGCCAGACGTGCACCTGGGTGGTGGGGCCGTTCGGCGGCCAGGCGTCGGTCGATCTGTACATCCAGTGGTTCGACCTGAGCTCGGGCAACTCCCTCAACGTGTCGGGCTCCGATCTGAACGGCATGCCGCCCAAAGTGAGCCTCTGTTCCTTCTGAATCGCAACAGCAACGGCTCTGAACGACTCATCGATATACCTCCGTTCTTGACATCAGCAGTTGCCAATTTTGATGCGAGTGTTTTGATGCGAAGTTTACACGAAGCCCTAGCTCCTGCGGGTTTCTGATGCCTCCAGCATATCTAGGAGGCGGTTCTTCCATGCAATCCTCGAATATTGCTTTGCCGGTGCTAAAGCACATTGCTTTGTGTCTGCCCAAGCCTATGCTTCAGTTGCTCCGCTTCGTCTGACTCGTTCCTTCCTAACGGGCATCAAACCTGAGCCCAATTGTGCAATCCTAGGCTCGAACCGCTCATTGACTTCAAAACGGAGTCCTCGCGTCCAACTACAGTAGAACTCCAGCCAATTGGACAAATGATTCTGTAAGCGGAGGAAAGAACTTTACGCCCGTTCGTTCTCCCAGACTGTGCTCCTTATGGGCCCGGGCCTCCCCAACCCCCCCCCAAACTATCTGGCGGTGACGATCCCCGCACGCCAGGCGACCGTGGTGTTCAACACAGGCTCGGGCCCGGACGCACTCACATACGGCTTTGTGGTGAGCGTGCGGAGTGTATCCCTCTAGTTGAAATTCCGGCCACCGAAAGTTGGGATGGTTGAAGGTCTAATCCACACCCGCAGCCAACCCCAAACCCCCTAGCTAACCCCAGAACTGCTCTCTTCTGCTCACTGAGCTTAATGTCCACTGCAACAACCCATGTGCGGATTTTGATGCTTCGCTGCCTTTTCAGAGCCCTTGGCAACCTAGATTGCTTGATTCTTCCAGCATCCCGCTTCTGTGTGTTTGTTGCTTTGTGTGGTGTTCGTTGTTTGTGTGTTTGTGTAATGCAACGAGAGGCCCTTCTAAGTCCATGTAGTGTGATAGTCACACGCGTCCAGGGCTTGCGGTCGTCGGTTGAAAGAGGCGTTTACCTAAGCGAGCTTCATGACGATCTCACGCTATCTTCGCAGATGTACTACAGGGTCAGTTACGTCGACGACACGAGCCCGCTGCTGACTGTATCGGTGAGTTTCGCTGCCATTTGACTCCGTTGAATCTGCCGCTGGCCCTGGGTCCCTGACAGCTGCATGCGTTTCCACATTTTTTTCGACTTTGGGGATTCTTGAAAGCATGCCGATCGGGGTTTGCTGGCGCCGCACTGAATGGACCAGTATCATGCTTTGCGAAAGAGCCAGCACATGTGTTTTCAAACCTGCCGCTGATCAAGAGAACGGGCACAAGCATCCTTCGATCGTTTTGAGGACGAGTCTCTCGTGCGAGCCTCTTGTTGCAGGCGGCCTCAGACTCTTCTCGGAACGCTTTACAATATGCCGCTGCTGTTCTGGGCGGGACAGGAATCGCTTCTACATCCATACTCTTTTTCAATCGAAACCTCGACAGTTATCTACAACTTTACCGCCTCTAACTTTACTTTTGGGCTTATTCCGTCTTTCGGCCATCGGTGTTATTCTAGTATGCCCTAACCGCAGTGTGCCCTAAGAAAAGCGCCCGGAGGACGGGTGGGGTTGGCCTGGTGGTTAGGGTGGGTTGGGGTGCCGAGCGCGTAAGTATTGGGCTAGGATTTTCAGTTTGGTGTCTCGGGTCCACGAAACTCAGGGCGTACATGCCACATAGTCGTTAGGGCACACAAGAGTTACCAGCCAATAAGCGAAGACAAACCCCTTTTGAAAAAAGATTTTTAGTATCTTTCGGTCCTTACAGTTGGTCTGGGCGGGCGGGGGCTGCCTTATCATCATCGTCGTGTTCGCTGGCATCATCATCCTCAAGCGGAGGCGGAACAGTGCCGGTCATTTGCCCGCCCTACCCCTTGAAGAAAGAGCAAAAGTGACGTCATCCGCGGAGCCGGACCCGCTCGACCGTGACGTCATGCTGGTCAAATGGCTCGGAGAGGACCCGCGCAGGATCTTGATTCCGCAAACGGTACGAAGATGCAGTTTGCGGAGACCAGTATACTCTCGCTAGACGCAGATTGTTTCGGAGTGTGCAATGTATCAGGATTTGAGGTGACGGAATATTGCAGAAAGTGCGCTGAGGTTGGAAGGTGATTGTCAGTTTTGGCCTGAGGCTGATGTCAGGCAAAGGGCCACCAGAGGTTGTGCCGTCCATTGTGGAGATTCGATGTTTCGATGTTTCGATGTGCTTTTGGAGCGCTTAAGAGTCTGAAGCGTCACGAACACCAACCGACAAGGACCTCGAGATGAGATTGTACTTGAATCTCTGCTTCGGCCAAAGTCATCAACCAGACCGAGCCAAGTTCTGACCACGTGCTACCCTTTCAAGGTCATCAGCCTTGCATGAGCGTACCCTTTGCTCGTTCAGCGAGAATGTCAATGACAAATCAATATCCATGTGCAGGTCTGGCACTCGGCGTTCCCCCACTCGCCAGCCACGCCGCCAAAGTTGGGCACAACGTCGTCTGAATCGGGCGCCTCTGCGAGCAGCAGTATCGGGCCTCTAGAAACACCCCGGCCCCTCGGTCCCGAAGCCCCGGTACAATTCCGGCGGCACCAGGACTCGGAATCAGCGGAATCCGCCCCGGTTCTGATTCCGAGGCCGTCGGGCGCCGGTTCGGAAGCACAAATGGATTCTGATTTGGCAGAGGGGCAGAAGGGGGCTGCTGGAAGCGGGGAAGCGGAAGAATCGGGGGGGCCGCGCAACGGGGAGTCGACAGAAGGGCGTGACACGTCGTGCGCCATTTGTTTGGTGGATTACGAAGAGGGTGCGCTGCTGCGGCCGCTGCCGTGCGGGCATGCTTTCCATACAGGTAACAGATAGCATTTGGCCCTTGTTTCTGCGTTTTTCTCTCTCTCCGCTCTCCTTCTGGTTCCGGTACCCCTCCGCTACCTCGGCGTTCTACTCGCAGATTTTGCTCTATTCACTGTTTCCGCTCGCTCCTTCGATCTTTCGTTATTCTGTACTTGTCCCGCTATTGTAGGCAACTGTCCTTCTACCCCTCCACGGGCAGGAAACATACCGCTAGTCAATCTTTCCAGCGACTCCTCTTCGGAGCCCTTCTGAGCATTCTTCGTATTTATTTGCCCACCTGCTGGTCGCCAACGCGCGTCTCAAACATCTCGGTCTTTGCGTCTGCAGCCTGCATTGACACGTGGCTGAAGAAGGACCCCTCCTGCCCGTTATGCAAGCGGCCGCTGTACATCCGAATCCCTGTGCCGCAGACCGTTGCAGAACGGGGCTTGGAACTGAGTCAACAGTCGGCGGAAAATTTACCGGGCTCCTCAAGCGGAGGCCCAGAAGGGGCGGAGACGAGTGCACCACCCGATTTGGAGGCGGGGAACACGCGGGAGAATCAGGAAGATGCCGGTTCCGCTCATGAGGCGTATGAGCGGGCCGAGACCGACCGACGGGCGGACCGTCAGCGAGCAACGCATGCTCCCTGGCATATGCATCAGTGGTTGGCGTGGGGCTGGTGATTGAGCATTTGCAGCTCAAGAACCCTGTTATAGTTTCTTTGTTTGATTGTAAATCTGGTACATACTGACACGCATTGAAGGTGATTAGAAAAGAATGATATATGAACGGTATGGTTGTAGTTTAGAAGATGTGATGTCGGGATCAGCCAGCCCAAAATTAAGCTCATTGTGAGAGAAGCGCTGGCAGTCGTGGGTGTACCTACACCTTGGTAAGTTGTACAGCAATGACAGGCTTTGTTCAATTGCGCTAAGGGGGTGCGCCTTCCTTGAAAAACACCTGTATCTGATATCACGCCATGCACATCAGAGCTCGACTGATAAGTACGTACATTTGTTCATATCCGCATGAATGCCGATCACGGCGACAGAGAATATATATACATTAGTACGTACAATCAGGGCTTCATGCAATCGGAATGATCCTCATCATATCCGACAAACATATGTTTGGCCGCTGGCATTGAAGGCCGCTGCATGCTCTGCCTTAACGTGATAGCAGCCTACAGTACAGTGCGAGCAACAATGCGATTGGATAACCACATAGGTTAACTCGGTCCTTGCTTTACTTCTCTGCAACTTCTGTTGATGCCATGATGGCCTTCGTGAACATGCAACGGTATCGACCAACTACTGGAACCTGCTTTTTATCTCCTGATAGGCATTGTTCCACTATGTCTAGGACTGATAAACCATTCCCAATACTATACAACAACCGTCCATGATACTACGTTTATAACTATTGATAGTGTACAAAAGCCATGGCCGACCAGAGCCAAAGCCTTACTCACCCCCCCCTCCCGCTTCCCAAGACACTTCCCATATTGCTGCCCCCAAACTACGGGGCGCGCTTGATGATGATCACAGCAAGAACAAGTACCACCATTACTCCCACTGCCTGCAAGTACGGGTCATGAGGTGCACAGTCCCCCTCCCCAGCTCCGCCAACCCCGGTCCCCAGGAGCTGCTTCTGGATGAAGGCCTGGATCCCATGCACCATGTCCATGCAAGTCTCGAGCAGTCGGGAGACGCCGTTGCTGATGTGGCCGAATAGAGACTGGAGCTTGACGCCGGAGGTCTGTACGCTGCCTTCACGGGGATCATTTGCAGCAACTTCTGCAAGGTGATGGTACATTGTTAGATGTAAGTGATGGAGAAAAAATGCGCTTATGCAGGGTAAATTCAAGTCCGATGCTACGACCAGGCTCATCTGCACAAGTACACGAAGAAATGCATACCGACTTTTAAGAAGGGAATCCTTGGCAAAAACCACAGAGATCAAGCTTCACAAGCTCTGCTCAAGCCGGACTTCCAGCGCAAGTGAATCTGTCCCGTCCACAGAACGTCCAATCTGACTCTCGCACCTTGGGATGTTTTCAGCAAAGAGTGACTTCTCTAAGAAAAGAATCTGCATGACATTGCTTCCACTCACCGCCAGCATTCGGCAGATGAGCGCCCTCACCATGGATCCGTGCAGCCTGCCGCTTTGCACGCAGGTTGCGCAGGCTCTGGTTGTTCATGACAGCCGCCCAAATGTTGGGATCAGTGGCCAGGTCCACAACAGTGTCCTGCAGCCAGGGAGTATGTGTGGGCTTAAAGGACGTGCAATGGAACAATGCGCAAGAATGTGCTTCAAAACCGGCGATCGCGACAAAGATAAATATTGACATTTTCCCCAAAAACAGAGACTCGTCTGATCAAAAAGCAGTCGGACATCGTCGCAGTCTCGAGTACTGCCTTGATTTTTGGCCTCCTTCTGAGAGAACTTGACATGAAGGGTTAGACAATGGTAGTATCTGGAATACTTACAGAATGCTGCTTACAGAAGGCGAAGAATTTCAAGGTTCTCCGTCAAACAAGTCTCTAGCAATGTATAGTGTATCAGCGAGTCAGCCAAAATCTTGGACAAACCATGGTGATTAACGGAGCGCCCTGCATTTTTGTCTTGAAAGAGCTCAGAAACTCACCCTGACTTCAGGGTCCCGTTCCATCAGCTCAAAAGCGCGGGCCACGACAGAGCGTGCTCCAGATTGCCTCCTGGCAATAGCCGCCGTCTCAGAAGGGTCCCTCCAGTGAGTCATGATTGAGTCGACACCACGCGTGCGGGAGAAGGGAATTTCCTCCTCCATGTCCTCAGGGGCAGGAGAGGCCAGCTCGGTCTCGGTGTCCGAGGAGGCACCGCTGTCATCATGGTCGCCTTCCGCATAGCTCTCCCTGCAAGATATGGCCGTCTCTATTCATATTCCGATATTCTGGTACATATCCCAATGGTATGTTAGGAAGGGCTTAAGCGATTGAAACAAAACGTCAACTGAAGTCTTAATCTACTCATTCCTCGAAAGAAGCCAAGAGGCAGCAATCCAAAGCAAATGCCAGCATTGTATAACACATTTTCAGGAAGAAGTGGGATGCTCTTGGAGGAGTGGACGCAAGAACAAAGAGGCCACCCATCATGGCCACCAACTTGCTGGTCTTAAGACTTTCCTTCATGTCCAAAGAGAAGCGTGATAAGAGCGGACTCAGCAGTGCAACAGTCAGCACTCCCATAGCGCGAAGACCGGAGAGGGGGTTTATAAAAGCTTTCCGATGCATCTGTCAGATTGCATCATCGCAGCAACTTGGCTTTTGCAAGAGCGAAGTCATTTGGGATTGCGACTGAAACCGTCACATGACGCAGCTCACCTCGCAAACATTGCCTCCAACTCCCTCGTAGCCTCCTGGACCTCAATTTTCTGGGGAGGCCTCTCCAGCAGCTGAGCCACAAACTCCCCATCCTCTCCTCTGTCAACGACGTTCCATTCCTCTTCCAGACCAAATTTAGGAGCCACGGCTGATGTGGATGCGTGTGCCTCGAGCGCAGTCGCATTGACAGTCTTTGCTTGACTAGCACTGAGTGCTCCCAGCGAGGTATTGAGAGCATTGGGAGCCTCTGGACCCCTGTAGTCTGCATGGGCAGAAGATGCGAGGCCACCGGCGGCGGTTGCGGCCGCTGTTGTGAAGGCGGGGCGGAGGACGGCGCGCAACATGGCTTCTCGTGCAAGGAGATACGGTTGTTAGAGATAGCAAGCTGGAATTGGTCAATTTGATAAGTGCGGATAGGTACTCCTGCTCCAAGCCGCCAAATGCAGAGAGAGAGAGAAGCTGATGGATGACTCAAAAGGTGTCAAAAGTTAAGGTCCAGGACCAAGGGAATGGGCGCAGATTGAGACCGCTTTTCAGCTTTTCCCTTTCGTTTCCTTGAAAAAGGCGAAATTTGTGGGAAAATATCTCCGACGGCGTTTGGAACTTTGGATGGCCCCTGCGGACACCATATCGTCCGCAATTGACTCATGCACCGGCTCGTCCAATCAGAATACCGCTTCGTCAATTGACACAAATAGATTATGGGGCCTTGATTTGGAGTAAAGATAATATGAAGTGCCAACTAAAAGGCACATTCTCATGTGGTGAATTCGTCCGCATCCCAGTCACGGACCCTGAGTCATTTACCTGTTTGGTGACGTATCCTACTCCGTGGCATGCGGCGATTGGACGAAACAAAGCCATGTGACGCAACAAAAAGTGCACATATTCTGTCATGGCGCCAAAGCCTCACTCAGACTGTCAGAGTCAAGGCAAACGCAAACCCATAAGAAGCTCAAAGTTTTCCATTTTCCTCCCCCACAAAAACGAAAAAACAGACTCGAGCTCTGCGCAACAATGCTGTGAGAGAAGTCGATTGACCATGCTTCCTGCGCTTGCTCGTTGTTTGGGGAGGTCTGTGCATTTAGGACAAAGCCAATACTAAGTTTACGAAGAAGGCTGCACCAAAAGCTGTTCTGCAACGCTGCGTTGCTGTTGCGGGGGCATGAGGGTTTCTTCGCAATAACTCCTGCTTTTGGGAGCAAATATTTTAGTGCCTTTGTCCACTCGCCCTGCTTTTATCATGGCGGAAGCAGCTTTGAGACTGAGCCGCTGTGGTGTGAAGGCCCCTTCCCCATCAGCAGCACAGAGTAGTGCAGGCGCTAATGTGAAAAAGACGGGCCCCAGACTGCCTGCTTATGCGCAACCTTTTTTTCTGCTTAAGCCAACGTCCTTCTTTTCAAGAGCCGTCCGCCCAAGAGGGGGGCTGCAGGCAGGGTTTAGGGAACCGCGGTCGGTCGCCCCCTGCCGAGGCTTTCTGCTGACCCCTGAGGGGAGGAGGAGGAGTTTGGGGAGACGGCAAGACCAGGGGAAAGGAGGGCAAAGGGGTTTGAGATCATTTGGGCGGAAAGATGTGGAATCAAGAGAGTATTTGAAGCCGCTCCAAGGGTGCGAGTCTCGCAAGCAATATGATAAGTCCACCCAGGCGGGGGGTAGTGAAGCTGAGGGGTCAACCGAAGGTGACGATGAAGAAGTCTCCATTTTGCCACAGTATGCACTGGGACTAGAGAGCCCACAAAGTATGTATAAAGAAAGGGCCGACGAAGGATCGGACGGCGAAACTGGACGGAAGGGTGATCAAGCCGTTGAGATTGAGAACGAGGCTGGGGAGGAAGTGACTGATGGGCAGTGGGAGAAAATTCTGGTCATGGACCCCAAAGTTGCGGCGCGGCACCCGCTACATCAAGCATTCTTGCAGGTAAGCCCCACACGCTGTCCTTTGAAGCAAGTACTCAGGTCTGTGTTTCACATCTGACCCTGATGCAGGTATGAATTTTGGGCTTCCTCTGTCTGCATGATTGTAGAAGCCTCCCTGCCAAGACAACTTTTGCATAAGAGAGTGTTCCCCTTTGACTGAAAAGGCCAACCCCAGTATTTGTTGGCAGATCAAAGTGGGATTACGGCTGTGCACTCTACCTTCTCTACAATTGGGCATGGGCGCAGACCTTGACAGGACTTTCATAATGTATGCATTGCCCTCTGGGCTTAGTTCTTAGAATTTGCTAAATCAGTGTGGTGGGCAGTTTGTTTTGTCAGCGCTGTGCAGTCTTGGAAACAAACGCTTTGGTTTTCATACGATCCTGTCAGGAACTGTTGCCACGTATGGGGCAGCTTTTTCAAACATTTATTGCACACCTTTCAGGAGGCTGCCAAGATCGCGACCCATCAGATTTACTCTTCATGAACCATTTCTCATGTGCCTCTTAAGATCCTTCTATCTCATATGTAAGGTAGAGGTGTCACTGTAGTGTAGCTGCAAATCTCAATGACAACATTCCCGAGGTCCCAGTATGCGGACTACAAACCTTGGTGATCCGAAGTCAGTGCCCCTGTCATGTCAAGCCAATCCGTTACAATAGAAACAGCCAACATGGGCGACTGTCTGTCTCCTGTTTGCAGTATTCGCGCTGGATGGCCAAGAAAGTGGTCCGCTACGGGGTCGTTTTTAGCTCCACGTTTGCTGTCTCCTGCACTGCCGCTCAGCTGATAGGTGAGACGCGCTGACTCAAAACGTAGAGCGCAGAACTTGTCCACCGTGATAAAACGTCGGAAGTCCATGACAATTCTATACTTTTCAATTTCTCTGCCTTTCAGTCGCCACTGCGTCCAAATCGTTGCAGATCTATCGGATTGCTGCGTCAGAGACGGGATGTCTGTTACATCTCCTTTGACTGGTCCATGAACCTGCTAACTCAACGTTTTGACTACGCACATAAGCCCCACTTTATTTCTAGACCCACATCGCATTATTTCCTTGCTTTCATTCTACATATCACCACCATCGAAGAGGAGAGTCTCTTTAAGAAAGGCATGGAACATTAGTAAGTTTCTGCTATCTTACGCGCTTTCTCCTTCAGGGTCGGGCGATTTCAGCTCGCCCGTCGTCAGCGGGTGGTTGGGCGGCTTTGTGATTGGCTCGTTTACGAGCTCAGCAGCGATCTGGCGCTTCAAGCTCAACTCAACCCAGAGAAATGTTGTCGTCACTGGCAGGTATATATTGATCTTTGCATAAGCTTTGCTTAGTCTTGATGAAAGCCCCGCTTCTCAAGTTTCAAAGCTAAACCCCCTAGTCTGCTGGTAGGAAAGTTTACGGCACATGTCTCTTCCTACCTTTCTACTTTAGACACACGCCCTCGTCTGCTCTGGCATGATGAATGATCAGAGAACCTTTGTGCATCCTAATTCCCTCCTTAGGCCTCAAGATGAGTCGAAATCGCCCGTCATAGCGATTCTTGATTCGTAGGTCTAATCTTCTTGTCTGGGCAAGCAAAGGGAACCTGACTTTTTTGTTAGCTTGGTCGCTTTCTCCCATTTTTAGTGACGGCTGCTGAACATAATGATCGTGATCCGAAGATCCTCCTTGCTGGCTATAACCAGAGACGGTTCTCGTTTTGTTGCAGCACCCGGGGCTTGGGCAAAGCGCTTGCTCGGGAGTTCCTCCGCTTTGGGGACAACGTAGTCGTCGCGTCCAGGAGGTGAGATACGGGCTGCTTTTGGTTGACGCAACTTCTGAGTGATTGCGAGCGGAGCTTCGCCTGGGGGTGCCGGACGGCGCGCTGTGCCAGCCTAAGAACATTCAAATCCACCTCGCATGTGCGGTCCCTCCTGAGGTGCAATACAGAAACGTTTAGACGATTGAGACTCTTTTGAAGTTTTGACTTTGGGACAAAGAGTCCCCTGCTGCAACGAGCTTGTACGCCAAAGCGGAGTAGAGCAGCGCAAGGAGATGTTAAGGACGTGCAAGGCGCACCTCATGTTGGACTTCATTGGATCATGTAAGAAAGTCGGGACACTTGCTGCACGCCATCAGACACCCGCTCTTGTGCAGCGAGGAAGCCACGTGGCGGGCGCTAGGACGGGATGGGCCAGCCAACAAAGCGCGATCACTCGTTTTTATTGTGGACGCCCTTCAATGCCAATTGAACATCTTTTCCAGCTTTTACATTTCTCGCATTTTGTTCCCTCTGGCGAGGAGGCCGTTCGGCGGACCGTAGCGGAGCTGCGAAAGGAGATGCTGATGGATGGGCTGGGAAAGCGGACGAAGCGCAACTGCCGTTTTCGTTTTGGACGCTCACTAAAGCAATTTGGACACCTTTTCTCAAATGCGGTGTTACCTCAAATTCTAATCTTGTAGCGAGGAGGCCGTCCGGCGGACTGTAGCCGAGCCGCGCAAGGAGATGCTGGGGGACGGGCTGGGGCAGCCCACGAGGCGCACCCACCCGTTTCTAATTCCGGCACTTTTCAGCGGAATATTCGAACACTATTTCCAGATATACACCGTCTTAACCACTTCTTAACCTCGTTACATATCCTTTGTGTAGCGAGGAGGCCGTCCGGCGGACCGTAGCGGAGCTGCGCAAGGAGATGCTGCAGGAGGGGCTGGGTCAGCCCACGAAGCGGGACTACTCGTGGCGCAACCGCAAGCGCGAGGCGAAGCCGCACCGGGTCGTGGGGCGCGCGTGCGACGTGTCGGACAGCGCAGATGTCCGCCGGCTCGCGGAGTTTGCGCAGAGCAACTTTGGCCACGTGGACCTCTGGGTGAGCACGGGCAATCTTGGACCGTCGTAATAATCGACAGATAATTGCAGAGTCTGTGCAATGAAGATGCTATTGCTCTACAAGAATTTCTGTGGGCATGTTATGAAACTTTCGGGTGACAGCTCATTTCGGTAGTCACGGTTTGCACTTGCATTCCCCTGCACGAAGCACTCCAAACCATGAGAACGCCGATCCTGTGCACTAGAATTGCTGTTTTGACAAAGTATTAGGGTTGATCGTGAACGTTCCGTGAGGTAGCCCGTTGTGGAAGTCAGCGTTTGTCTTACCGTTCCTCTGCACGGAAGCAGTTGATCCGTTCAATCGCTGAACTTGACACCGCCCGCTGCTCCCCTTGCAGATCAACAACGCGGGCCAGAACCCTGGTGCCAAGTCCTTGATGGAGTTCGAGGACGAGGAGATCAGCAGCGTAAGTGCAAGGGTGAAAGAAAAGCCCATTTAAATGGTGCCATGACGTTCCGACGCTTGTTTAGATTGCCCAGTTGGACGTACTCTGAAGGCATGCATGAACTTTTCTTGTCATTGAGGTCTCGGAAGCAATTGTTGATGGAAGTGCGCAATATTCAACGTCAACTCGAAGCACACTGGGACTTCGAGTTCAGTCCTCCGTTTTGGAGATGCATGTTCCCGTCTGTGAGTCTCTGCTTCGTAGTATGATTCAAATTCGGCGTTGCTCTTCTGATCGAGCGACTGGGAGTCCTTTGTGCATGACTCCGCATTACTGAAAGTCCTCACCCGCAAAATGAGCAGATCACATGGGATTCTTACACCTCAACCGCTGGCCGTCCCTAGTTCTTACTGGAGGCCTCCGTCTATTTCTGGCAGGTCGTGGCGACGAACCTGGTGGGCTCGCTTGTGTGCACCAAGGAAGCCATCCGGTTCATGCGGTCCCAACCGACGGGGGGCCACGTGTTCAACATGGACGGGAATGGTTCGGGCGGGAATGCCACCCCGCAGTATGCCGTGTGAGTGGTGTTTGCTTCGAGACGACTTTGCCCACCAAAAGTAAACCTTTACAGAGCGTCGTACGATACCTCACTCTTCCGTACAACCCGTCAACGGCTTCCGTATATTCCTTCCTTGATAAATGGTTATCTCAATAACCCGGAAGGTAACCGCCCCTTCGCCCGCTGGCAGGAGGAGGTAGCAGACCCAAACAACCCCGGTATATCTCGAGTTGGGTTTCGTATGTTCCTCTACTGTTGGTTGCGGGCCTCAGACCTCATTTGGCGCAAGTCGTAAGAATACCGGTCAGCCCGGTCGGATAGTTTTCCGCGACGGTTTTCAGCTGGCAGAAGCCTTCAGTATCGGTAAACATGATACTCGCACAGCACATTTCTCGTGTTGCGTCGACTTAACAGCCTGCTTGAAGCTCTGGGCCTTTGGACGTCGGAGATTTGATTTGTCGACGGTTCCGTCGTTATTCGCCTTTTCTTCTTCTGTGCCCGCTTCGCCCGTGCGTGACATTGGCCACAGCAAGCTTGAACGTCCCGTCATGCTGACGCAATTAGCGCGCGGCCTTCTCTCCTTCTAGGCAACATGCTGACGTCAGCTCTCCTCTGTGCAGTTACGGTGCCACGAAGTGCGCGCTGCGGCAATTGCAGCAGACGCTGCTCCGGGAGACGGCCAGCTCCAAAGTGGGCGTTCACACCGCGTCTCCCGGAATGGTCCTCACAGAGCTGCTCTTAGCGTGAGTGACCTTGGTGTAAATGCTTTCAGTCGTGATGCCATTGTTGTAGTAAATACTGTCCTGAATCTTCGTGTTGCGCTTTTGCTTGGGTATAGTTGGGGAATGCAAGATTTCGTTCCATCCAGATGGCGCTGAAAACCGCGTCTGCTGGAATGGTTATCGTGAGCTGCTTTTTGCTGGGTTTTCGTGAGCGATACATCCCAGCAGATATCTTATTCGGTGAGAATATCTTCAAGAACTCCACAAACACGGTCTTTTAAGGCAGGGCCCACATAATCTCACTCAAACAAAACTTTCGAGCACATTTGGGTACCTGTTGTGGGCCCTCGCTTTCTCAAGCTCCAAATCATGAGCAGTGGCCGTTGTCTGTTATCCTTTCTGCTCCAGATTGAGGAGAGTAATCTGGAGGATGTGCTGAAAGCCTCATCTCATGTTCTGTGCAGCGGCGCCACTCTGTCCAACAAGCAGGCCTTCAACTTCATCTGCGAGCAGCCCGAGACGGTCGCCAAAGCGCTCGTCCCGCGCCTCCGCCGAGTGCGGGGCACCGGGGCAGCCATCAACTATCTTACGCCGCCACGTGTCCTGCTCGCGCTCGCGCTCGCGTGGTTCCGACGAGGCCGCTGGTTCGATGCGGAGGTGAGGGGGCCGCGAAGAGTGTTTCCATGTTTCCATTTTCCCGCTCTTTTTGACGCTTCCCTGAATTTCTCGTTTTCAATACTTTTGAAGTCCGAAAGCCATCTGCGATGGCGTGGTTACTGAGAGGTCGCTGGTTCGTTGGTAAAGTAGAAGCCGCGCAATCTACTCAACCCTGACCAAGTTCTCGTTTGGGTTCCATGCTTTCATCCGCAGGCTTCATGATTCTGTGAACATTGAGTTCACTTCTGCGAGGGCGTGACTCTGATGAGGTGGCTCATCATAGCAACGACGAGAGTTTGCTTGAGAGCAGGGTTTTTCGGGATTCTTTTCGCTTCCGTTCACCACCGTTCGAATTGTTTCCCCCGTTTGAATCGCGAGCCCTGAGTCTGAGCTCTCGTCTCATTACGCGAGAGCGCGGTTCTCAAAGACACATGTACGTCTAGTTGCCTCCCTGAGCTGCTGATTGGACCTTGCTTGATCGGCGCAGAAATGGTGCTCGAGAAGTGTTTATGCTACATTCTGATGCTTCAACGCTTGCTTTTTTCCCCTCAGGGGCCGTGCAGGACGATCAAAGAACAGTCGACAATTTGAGAAGCCTTCAAGCCCTTCTCAAGTTTCACTTTTCAGTCTCCTCGCAAAGAGCATCCTGAAAAAACTGTGTCCTTTTTTTGCAGGGCCGCGCTGTGTATGCTGCCGAGGCGGAGCGGCTGCGCGCGTGGGGCGAGCCGAAGCGGCCGTCGCCCGAGGCGGCCGCGATGGAGCTGGTGCCCGCGAGCGCGTGGCTCTGCCTCAACTGCTCGTCGCTTATCTGCCTCTACCTCGTGCTCCAGAACATGTCGTCATCCTAGGGTACCCGTGTGACGTCATGGTGACGGCGATGTGGCGTAGGGATTTCAAGACGTTACGATGATAGCATGGGAGTTCGTTTGCAGTGAGCGAGTAAGGGGGAAGATTGGGGCGCGGGTGTCTTTAGGGTTTCAAGGAGGGATCATTGGAGGGCCACTAGAGATTGGGCCGATAGGTTGACTGCCATCGATTCTTGCATTCTTTTGAGAAGCTAGAGGCGATTGTGGAATGTAGACGATGATTCGATAATCGACTTAGCTGGTTGGTGGATTATGTGTACAGTTAAAGTTCCAACATTGTAGGTACTACATAGGAGGTGAAGGTTTTAGTTACGTACCGTCATATCAACGGTGGCACGCCAACACCATCTCGCGGACGACAGTGGTCTTAAACAGAGTTACTTCCAGAGAGTAGATTGCGCTCACTTATGGGGAACGACAAGGAACCATCCAATGAATAGGGCCTTTCGAGCAGATACCAGCAATCCTTTGCAAGACGGTAGGAGCGGTTTGTAACTATACATACGACATTCACAGGTGATTCAGGTTTTCTTTGGGGACTATTATGTACATAGATCGCTCAAAAGGACGGTTTGGCGACGTGCTCAATCAAACCACAAGTTCGAAGTTCTACCGGTCATACTCCGGCAAGTATAGCATCTTCAAGTACGCTAATGCATTGTGACGCAACAAAAGCGATCAGATCGGATCCCATCATGACCATTACTGTTATATAATGTAATATTCTGAAATTCCCATCATGACCATTAAAGTTGTATAATGTAATATTCTGATCAAACGCTCCATATCGCCATAGGTCACTCGCGTGACGTGCAAAACATATGTGCACGGAAACGCCGCGCGGCGTGCAGTGCGGCCGGGCGCATGCACTAATGCGTGGTCCATCGGCCGTTTATGCTTAAGTAAACCAGCACATGCAGTGGTCGCGGACCGTGACCGCATATGATCCGGACGGGCCGTATGAGCGAGTGAGTCCTTTTTTGCCAGATCGACCGTGCACCGGATCAAGTCCGACCTCAAAGTGACGACGGTACAGATCCACAAGCGTGCAGAAGCGGCCATTCACTGCCTCCTGTATTCGTAATCTAGATGAAAGCCTCCATGTGCGTCGTGGACCTAGTCAAGCAGAGGCGGGCTCTGCAGTGCACTCAGTGAGAAGGACTGTGTATTTGATTTGAAGTCGACCAAGTTGAAGTCCGAGTTGCCGATAATGATAGCTGCTCCACTCCGCGACCGAACCATGCAGTGCTTCAAGAGCACGGCTCCCATGCTTCGCGATATTTCATGTGAAGGAAACTTCGAGGGAGCCCAACTCCGCCAAAGGCTTGATTATTCGAAGAGGCGAACAACCGGCCATTCGACCGATTCAAGAATCAAGTTCGGCACTTTGCAGGGGACGCTTCCCCGACAATAACGCAATCGTTCACGAGCTGCCAAAGCATAGTCTCGAACTCTCGAGTGTCTACATGGATGTTTTGCCGTCGTGCATGGTCCCTGCAGGCCCGCACACTGTGACACGTGTCCCAGCCAAGCCAGGAGTAAATCCACAGCAGGGGCGACCAAGGTGGCCCCGAACCCAACACTTGGAGATGCGTCAAGCGAGCCGCGTGGATGTAGTTGCCAATAAAGTTCGTATAATACAAGTACGGGAAGACCTGCGAGCAACGAGCGGTAGCGCTTTCTGCTTGAATTAGTTGCACTCCTTTTTAAGCGAGGACGTTATCGGTGTGAAATGGGCCCCTAGTTCTGGTTCGCATCGGGTTTCAATGCTGATGGCATTTTCTGACAGGTAACCACACGAGCCAAGATCTGAACCGGCTGTTTGATCAGTGTCGTCCAATAAGAAGATAAACATTATGAGTCAGCAGTACGTGGGGTGCTAAGTGCAACTAACGGACGAGCAGGATACAGAAATTCAAAGGGCGGCCTTTTATTCCGACCCGTAAAAGAAACTGGGATCAGACTCTGTGGGCTGGCATCAAAAACGAACGAGACGTTTACTTCCGAGAGCCTCAGTACTGAACAGCAAATGCTACGGGCAAGCAATGGACCCACATCTAAAGCCTGGATACTGAACATACAACCGGGGGCTAAAAGCAGACTCAAGAACGAAGACATGGGATTGAATACGAGTATCGAGCTTTCGTAGAGGAGACTAAGGATTCCAAAGCGAACGGACGAGCAATGGCAGGCAGCAACCAAGGGAGCCCGCACTCACCTCCATCACGATCGCCCCGGGCTTCGCGAATATCAGGTTGACGTTTAGAGGACCGTGCGGCACAACGAGGAAATCCTCAGACGCAATCGCGCGCACCTGCGAGCGTAAAACTGCGTCAGGCAGAACGAGAAGGTTGTCTACTCCAAGGCCCAACTTTCCCAGACACGAAGGGCACAAATCTCGAGCAGATTCAAAAACGGCGAAAGAAGAGGGATTGCTTTCCAATGTGAGGGTCTGATGCGAGAAAGAATAGCTCTATCGAGAGGACCATAATACTTCCAGCGCTGCCGACAAAGCGGAGATGACTGTAAAAACCGGGTATTCTTCTCTACCAAGCGCTCTGACGCCGTTTCTCCTACCGAAACGTACGTATCCCTACAACCCCGCCTTTTGGTTGCCCGGCGTCAGCTTGATCTCAGCTTGTCCAATCAAGTGAAATGGCTGGATCCTCGGCACTTTTCCCGGAGACAAGACAGCCTACCTGGTCGCAGAAAGCCGTCCCCTCGATGCGCTTCTGCGCCACTTCCAAGCCGACGATGTCAGTGAGCAAGCGCGCCAACTACAAGCGAGACAGAGTGTATACTCGTTCAGCAAAGTTTCGAGCACTGAACTCTCGGTGACGTGGTAAGAAAAGCCGTCACTTCAACTTCACTCTTGGAGAAACAAAAAGGTGGTCGCAATTAAGCAGACCTGAAAGTACAAATTCGGAACTCGCAGAATATACGAAGCCGTCCAGTTTCCTCAACGTATGAGCTCAGGGAGCGAGCGTCTGACTGGCAGAGTCTTGTAGAGGTCATGATTAAAGAGGTGCTGTTTGCGCTTGCTGGGAAAGCAATCATATAATTACCAGTCCTTTTGAAGCCATGTTTTGCTTCACGGTCGATGAAAAGCTTCCTGACGAGTTATACAACTTCGACAGAATCGAAGAACGGGGAAAAGAGAACGCTAAAAGGAAAATACCTCTGCCTTGTTTATCAGTGAGCCTTGACCACCGGGCGGTTCGAGAATAACCGCTGTCTTGACCACTTTTGGCGCCAACTCCTGGAAAGAACGAGAGACTTATCAGGGCATGGCCCAAACTTAAAGTTTCGGAAGATGCAAAGCCATTTCAAACTGGTGGGAACAAGTTGGACCACTAGCAAACGGGAAGACAAAATCGTAATTTCACAACGTGCCTTGTGAAGCCAGCGGTGTTTGTAAACTGAGGCTCTCCCAACACTCATTTGCAAGGGCAGCTGTTCGAAGTGGCCCACACCAGGCTGACGTCATCCAGGAGGACGTACCAGAAGAAAGGTTCGAATTCAATCTGCATAAGTTTGGAAATATTTCTCTTTTGAGGTCAGGCCTGACCGTGCTCTGAGATGTCGTGATCGGACGCTTGTAGAGGGAGTGCATCAATGATATTGCCAATTAAAGACCACAACCGCCACAACTAAGCGAAGATATGTCAGAAATCTTGGTGAAGGTGGGTTGCAACGACATCCAGCTAACGGGCATCAACTTCATGTTGCTGCAAGCTTATCCACGCGGCTTTCGCGAGCGGCTGCAAACGTGGAGTCCCGGGCAACCGGTTGCCGTGTGGGACATGTTTTAGGACGTCCTCTTTAACCTGTTCAACAAAGGGATTCTCTACATGAACCGCTAATGCTAGGAAGGAGGTTCCTCACCTCTTTGACTCCACAATATTGTAAAACCTGTGACCGCAGCCAATCATTGGCGGCGTTGTTCGGAATGATTGCCCCGTTCGTGTGAGACGTCAGGAGGACCGCATCATCGAAGCAGACCGCGGGTGCCCCTTCCCCGGGGGCACTCAGGAAGTTAAGAAAAGGGGTTTCCTCCAGCAAACCCTCGCCCTTGTTCTCTAAAAGACCTTTCTCCTCTATCTTGCTGTTCCAAAGGGGCGCCTCAGCTTCATTACTGTATAATTTTAAACCCTCATCTAGTATTGACGAAGCATTGTAATGGCTACTGTTGAAGTCAGCGGTGTCTGATTCTGCGTCTCCCCTGCTTGAAGGGGCTCGAGCCCTGTCTTCCATTCCAACTTCGACCGTGGTGAAAACTCCCTGCGCTATATCGAGCCGAACTACACCTGCTTGGACTACTTCTTTGGACCTTGACACATTGACGACACGTTCGCCCCTATCCCAACCCTCGTGCAGATTTTCATGGGTGACAAAAGTTGGGCTACCTGCAGACTCGTTTTTTTCTGCCAACGTTGCCCCACCTTCAACCTGAAGGAATTGTAAATGAACGATGCCGTTCCTAGCTTCAGACGTGCCCCCCTGATCACACTCCAAACCTTCGCCTTTGGCGGCGTGCTCTGAAGCAACCCCAGACTCTTGCCCTTGGTGCAGGGTGTCCCGCCATCTACTGGAAATGTTGAGGGCTTTCAAAAGGCCTTGTGTCCAAACTGACACCGTTGCAGGCTCTTTAAACCAGAACACCTGTGGGCGTCCTGTTGGCCAGTCTTGAAACTTTGCTGGAATGTTCAACTTACTCAAGAGGAGGGCTGGGATGAGTCTCTCGGACTCCTCCAAAGGGTCTGGCATAGATAACCTGTCATCAGCTATGAAAGCCAGTCCAGCTTGCTTACAAGAGTTGTCGACCTTGTCAACTGTGCGTCTCTGGCACTTGGCAACGGTGACGGGCAAGGTTAGGGCCCCATCGGATAGAGCCTCGGCGCCAGCATCATTCACACAGAGTCCCACCTTGTCCTGTCTTAAGCAGACGCGACCCCCACGGACGCGTGAGAAGCACACTGCAGACGGTTTCACAGGACACAAGGGCACTCCTGCACCTGATGATGACTCCTTACTTGCTCTACTTTGAAAGTTTCGCGGGTCCAGCGCACTCCTGGGATTGACGGGCGCATTTCCCCCTAGTTGATCTCTGACTGGATGGTGCCTTTTGCAGGCTTTGAACGTTATCCTGCTCCCATCAACCTCATTAGGCACAGCCCCGCATACCCTTTGCTCTTCCCAGACATAAGGTGGGCTTATTGGCCCCTTCTGGCCCTGGTCTTTGTCCATTGATGCATTGGCACTAAGGTGCACGGCATCAGAAGTGGCTTTGTACGCCCTCTCAGCAAGCGATCCTTCAAAAGGCATCTGCAGTCCAACTGAGGAACTGGCTCCATCCTGGAGGTGTCTCTCCCTTGAGTAAGGATATCCTATTGGGATGGACAGCTGAAAGATCTCCGTACAGAATGCCGTGACTAAGAGCGCGGACGTGCCGAGCAGAACGCTGGGAATCCTGCTGGCGAGGACCCGGAAGTAGAGCAGGCGGAAGCAGGAGAGGATCGTGCTGCGGAAGGACGGACACATTTCAGACGAGGCAAGTCGGCGGCGCCCAAAACGCGAGGGCTGCATGACTCAAGCTGCAGCGAGGGAAAAAATGCTCTCTCTCAGCCCTCACACTCATCAGAGCTGACTGTCTCATCAAAGAGTGCTGGCACCAGCGCCCCTGCCAGCGCCTTGCTCTTGCTCCAGCTAGCTTGTTAATTTGGCACCCATGTGCGCGGTTAGCTTCAGAACTTGGTTAGCTATAGCCTATAGTCCTTGCCACATGGCCTGGTCAATCGCGGTAGTCAAGCTTTGACTGACGTACCGATTCTTTAGCATGACTTGGAAAATCGAGTCTGTGACGTTGGGTCAATACACAGCTACCTATGTAGCCGTTCAAGTTCTATCAAGAATCCGGGTCGCTCATCTGGTTAGTTCTAAGCAAGCAAACGTGTTTAACCTTGCCCCTAAGTAGGTACGTTCAACCTAAGTTAAAGATTAACCAGGTGTGACCAGGTATGAGACGGACAAGAAATACGAGAGCCAGGATCGAAGAGCTGGGCAAATGCGCCTGTGGCAATGCATGGGAGCGAGCTGGGACGCATTGGGGGCCATGGAGGCACAACGTTGAAATTCACAACCGGCATGCAGCAGTCCTGTTGACGGGCTAAAACGCTGGCGTTTCAACCTGCCCTGGTAGCTCACTCTTTGTGATGCCAATTTGCCAAGAGGGCATGCGCAAGCATCAGAAACCGCAAGTTGAATGATCTGCTACTTGGGTTGTACGACTTTCACATCTCTGCCAAATCAGCCGTCCTTTCCTGTTGAGCGGCTGCGCTTTTGAGAAGGCAATGGAGTACAGTCCTTTCCTTGACCGACTCCAACAGCAGAATGGGAGTCAACCTCCCTTTCAGCTAGACCTAACCCTCAGCGAACCTGCAGACCTGCATTCTCCAACAGGGGAGCCATTGCGAGACGGGCCATTATCTGCCCAATCAGCCATTGGGCCATCCTTTGCTGAAGCCTTCACTTCGCCAAATGTGGAGATGGCAAGCCCGCTCTCGGTGCGAGCTTTTTCAGGCAATCCTTTCGGGAACCACAATCAGCCACGCACTTCTGCCCTGGCTGCACAGCGTCCAGTCCCGCTGTCAGCTTTTACCTTCTCCTCTCAAGCTGCAGGTCCTGTAGAGCGTGAGGCAGACCCCATGGCAGCAATGTCCTTAGACCCTTTGGACCCCCCTAGAAGGCAGAGGGGTCACCGGCGTGCGCAATCAGACTTCTTTCAGTATCCACAAGGCTTCCTTGAACAGGAGGAAGCCAACAATCTGGAGTACCACCACCAGAGTCCAGCTGAGGCAAACGACCATGACCAGAGCAGGCAGATCGATCTGCTGGAGCACATTGATGGCCACGTTGATTTGGAGGAGCTTCAGAACCTCCTGAAAAGCAGATCAGCGGAGAACCTGTCATTGGATCCAAAGAAAGCGAAAAGGTTGGTCACTGGATAGCTATCAATGGCTTGGAGACAAACATTGACAGTATCTGTGCCGCACGCAGAATCTTAGAAGCGCTTTATCCCAGAGCTTTTGCACTCTGTTCTCCTAGAAAGTGCCTCTTTTCCAGGCTGCTTGCATTCATCCCTGCAAAACGAGTATTGAGGCCAACGGATGACTTAGGACCACAAGAAGAAAAGTCAGGGAGGAGTCCAATCGAGTAGCCCATGTGTACGCCCTTACAACCCCCCAACTTGCCAAGTTGCAGCCCATTGCTGTGTGATTGTCATAGACAATCTTTTCATGTTCTCTATATTCTACTCGCAGGATCATTGCCAACAGGCAGAGTGCTGCTCGCTCGAAAGAGAAGAAAGTCAGGTATATTGCAGACCTTGAGAACCGGTTACAGGAGTTGCAATCTCAAACCACCTCTCTGAACACGCTAATGAGCGTTTTACAGGTGAGACCCTTGTGCTGTGTACCGCTATTATTTGCTGCTCTTTTGGAACCTTCACAAGTCGTCCATGCCATAGTCTTCAATAAATTGTTAAAGGGCCAGAAAGTTACAGACGGTTTCTTTGTTTGTGGTTTTAACATTCAAGGATTAGTGTGTCATGCCTCCAGTACTGTTGTTCCATCCTCTTACTTAATTCCGGACTCTCCAGATGTAACCCACTTCATCATCGATGATACCGGTGTGTTAAGTTATGTCAAAGATACCTTGGACCGTGCTTTTGAAGCCAGCATCAATGACTACAACAAGCATTCATCCTGTGCTCTTCAGAAAGATACGGCATCCCTGGCATCTGAAAACAAAGAGCTCAAGCAGAGTCTACAGACTCGAGAAGCTCAGGCTCAACTTCGTGACGGTGAGCTTTCTCGTGCGCCTGATGTTTGTTAGCCTTGTACACCTCCTCGTTTGCCACGTTTGCCTACTTTTCCACGTTTTGCCCTTGACTGCTCTCCACTGTCTTGTGGCACATGGCAAATGCATGAACACATCTCTCTGCTCTTAGCAATGATGAGCCGTCGATGCCGGTCGTATTACGAGCTCCTTAAGGTTACCCACAACAGACGAAGCCCTTCTCAACAATCTATGAACGCTCAAAGCATAAGCATATTTGAGTGTGTACGATGCAAGCTGACGTTTGGAGGTACGTCACAGGTTAGGTTGACATACCAAGCACTTGGTTTGCAGGGCTGAATGAACGTCTGAGGCGGGAAGTCATGCTGTTGAAGCAACAGGCTCAGCAACTTCAGCAGAGTCCTCAACACCAAGTCGCTGGGGAAAACGCTTTTTCACAGGACGGCTTTGGAGACCAAGAGGCTGAGGCAAGGGTGGCTGACTTTCTAAATCCGAACGGAAACGTAGACAGCCCGACTCCCAACCCCAATCGGGGGCAAAACTTTCAAATGTAAAGGTGCAGACGAATACTTTGCAGAGCAGGACAGAAGTTATCGTGGGGTACAGTCACATGTATTGAAAGGAGCAATGTTAACCAAACCTGGTCCCCAGCAGACAACGTATAGTGAAAGTCTTATAGCAATCTCGACCGCCCCTGCAGATCCAGCTGTTTTAAGTGGCCTATAAAGCTTTCAGAAGCGCAAATAAACCTTCAGGAAGTTTAGCTTGTATATTACCGTAGCCTTCACTCGATCGTTCAAAAAAACGTAAGGTTTGCCACAAAATATACGGATGCTGTGTAAATGATGGTCGAGCTGAACACGGTGTCTTATCTTACGTACCTTGTGCGTTAGTTCTCATACGTCCCATTGTGTTTCATAAGTTCAGTCCAACGTAGGCTACATATGTTCTATAGGTTAAAATTGTACGCGAGAGCTGATCTTGCGACTTTTATCATCATGCAAGCGTCGTGCTTCCTAAATCAAATTGTTTTGGTGATCGAAATTAGAATAAACCTCTAGCTGCCAATCAAATGCGTAGCGCTGCGGTGCAGTGCATGCATGCCAATCCTTGCACATGGACTTCGAGTCGCTAGACGGTCGCGCATGCATGGCCGCCCCATCCAGGGTCTCGATTAAGCTACAACCTGATGTAGGTTCATCTTCATGGATGCACGTGCATAATTTGTCATTGTCTCAATGCGCCCACATAGATGGCATAGGAATGCGCCCACATAGATGTACGTTGTCCATGACATGCAGAGACGAGATGACCCCGGGTACACAACTTCGATTGGGGTCACTGCGCGGCGTAAGTATAATGAGAGTGCCTCTTCTTCACACAAAGGCTTTTGTTCTCGAATTCCAAAGACCAATTGACCAGCTTAGGGACAGTGATCGCCCAGAAAGGGCTCATTACTACACGCGTTACTTCAGAAAGCACCTGAATCTCCGTCAAGCGAACCATGACTTTGTAGATTGCCAGTTCAGCTGTTAGCTTGAGTTGCACCCTGGCTTTAGGGACTTCTCGGGCCGTCCTGATCTTTCCGTGGCAACGCACGAGCCTCTTCACTTTGTCTGAAAAATGTTTTGAATCATTCCCCTTGGTATCCGTGTTGAAGCATCGTCTAACGCTCTGATCTCTCCGTCAGTAAGTCTCCAACCTAAGGCTCCTAGATTCTCCTCAGCTTGCACGAGCGACTTCGCACCCGGAATTGGTATGGTCCCCTTACAAACGCACCAGTTGATCGCCACCTGCAAAATGCAAACGAGAGTGCTCAAAGTAACATCCTCCGTTGTACCATGGAGTTTTGTCGGCACCTTGTACGCACAAACGGTTCATGAAATCCGAACCCGGCCCATTTTGGTCCTTTTTGGTCAAAGCGGCCGTAGCAGGACGCTTTAGATTCCGTCCAGCTGAAGCGGAAGGAACACAAATCAACGCCTGTCGACTGTGAAAAGCACGTTTGCGCTTGGCAATTCCTTCAGAGAGATGCCTACCCAGATCAGCGAATGAAGTGAGAAAAGCCTAGAAATCGTGCATACCAGGAAACCTGCAAACGGTTCTTCGTGTGGGGACAAGGAGAAACGACCAACCCAAAGTTTCATCGTGTTTCATCGTGTTTCTAATTTCCGTCTTTCGGCTTCAGAAAGATGGCAGTCCCTTAAAACTCCGAACAGCAGGAATCCAGTCAAACACAGAGTCGTGTTATTCAAGATTCGAAAATGGGCTCTGATGCCTTTGATCACAGTGGCAACCTTCACATTGTCAACCGATTCTGGCACTACAGCTAGTAACTAGAATGAGTCCGTCAACAACTCAGCAGACCGTGGTAGAACCTAGAAGTCCCAGACTCGACGAAGTACCGAGCTGAGCTCGTGATATAGATACAATATCCGGTCCAAAGTGGCGGTAGGTGATGCTCGCAGCAAGCACCGGTTTCGGGATGACAAGCTCAGAGAAATCACAGCGAAAGGCTTGCATCAACGATGTGAACCCAGGAAGCGCACTCACCTGCGGCAGCGTCTTGCCTCGGCCCGCAGCAATCGCTCGCATAGTCTCGAGCAGCGGTGTAAGCCCCGGAAGGATCTGCCTAAAGAGCTGGCCGCGGGGACCCTTCGGCACGTTTTCTGCGGAGTACTTGCCGGTCAGCATGCCCAGGCCAAGGGGCGAGTAGGAGATCAGCCTGCAGGTAGATGGAAGCACTCAAGCCCACTGCCAATGACAAGATGGTTGCATGACGTCCAAGATGCTGCAACGAGATGGTCAAGATTGTACCGAAGCCCATGCAGAAAGTGCGCGATGAAAGCGACGATAATTCCGAGCGTGGGCTCTTTTAGAACATTGATTTGCCGGAAATCGTATATCAGCAGGGAACCTTCAGCCGACGTCAAAAACTAACGTAGCAGACGTGTTTCAACGGTGTGACCTTCCCGTCCGTGAGAGAACGACATGAAGAAAAGCGACCCTCAAAAGGACACGCCTTGTCCGAAAATTGTTTGTCCGGCTCATTTCCACCCGTGCTCACTTAGTATGGAGAAAGAACTTGTTCTCATGCGAACACAGATCTGTATTCTGAACACTCCAAATTCGGGCGGATCCGCACCTGATTCCGAGGTCGTCGCATACGGCCTTGATCTCTTGCTGCATCCCCCCTGAGCTGATGAGACTGTACTGGACCTGCATGCGGATAGAGTCAGTTGCCGAAGTTGACATGAAGACGGGCTTCTTCCACATACTCCTAGCATTGAAGCAAAAGAGACGATCTTCCAGTCACCCCTTCAAACCCTCCGAGTCGATTCTTGCATAGGCTTGCACCCACTTTCCAGAAATCGCGGTTTGCCATCGCCAACGAACTTCTAGAACGCACTGAAACCCGTTGCTCAACCGCTCACACCAGTAAGTCGTTTGTGACCGCAGTATGCAGCGCGCCCTCAAGCCAAGTATTACGTTAAGGGAACAATGAAAGCGAACGCATTTTGAAGACAAACAAAAGACAACATGCTCACCTGTGCTGATGCGAGAGGCACGCCCCGCACCTCTAGATATTTGTGGATCTTCAGCATCTGCTTCGGCCCGTAGTTGCTCACACCCACTGCCTTCACCAAACCCTGCACCACAGGAGGAAAAGCGTGGCGGATTGAGGACATACAGTACCTGAGGACCAGGCGTCTCCGATCTGTTAAGGGAGTCCATCCAGAATGCGTTGCGTTGATTTCGAGGGATTCCCTAGATCCACTTGTCCAGGTGAAAACCGAAGGCAGCACCTTACCGCCAGCGTTCTGCGTGACCAAACCAAACATAGCGGATGAGGACATTCGTTAAGTACACAGAGTTACAGCTGTGCACGTGGTTCGAGATACAAGGCTGTCCTTGACCCAGGCCACCTCGAGAATAATCAAGCACGTACCTCTTCATACATAGTCGCCAGGCCGTCCCACAACACGCGTTCTTGCAGCGGCTGATAGTTGGCCGTTGACCAGTGGAGCTGTCCCACTGAAACCTGCTCCATTTGCAGTCTCTTTGCCGACGCTCTGCAGGGAATGATAAAAGAATGGATCTGCAGGGCGGATTGGTCAGAAGAGACATCCGATAGAGGAAGCATCAGATGAGAGGGAAGGACTGGCAACAACGGCCGTATCTCAGAATCGCCAGCGGTCAATCTTCAACACATCAAATTGCGACTCAGGTGAAAAGGCTGCAGACGAAGTTATGTCTGCGATCACTCACTTACAGGCATCTACCATTTGCCCAGTAGTGATGCGCCAGGGATATGGTGCGAACTTTGAGGCCACATGTATGTTGGCCTTAGATTCTTCACTTCCTGCACACAGTAAATTGAAAATTAAATCAATGAAGGAACTTATTGCAACACAACACACTCTTCTGGGGCACAAAGACCATGGACAAGTGCTGTAGACAGGGAGACACCTGCAACCTTGACTGCAACTAACGCACAAGTCCGAGCACTTTAAAAATCTGTCCCATGCATATCTTACATGGATCTGGACATGGTTGTATGAACTTGCCTGGGTACTCCCTGATGAACTTTCCTAGCAAGAGCTCGCTCTTGCCATTCAGCCTGCCAGTTCCATAAGAATCTGCACATGACGAGCTTTCAGCAGGCTGTGATATCAGAAACCAATAAACCTCAGGCCCGCCCACTTCCATTGCTACAGACTTCAGCAGTAGGTCCAAGGAGAGTCGCTGACAGTCCAATCTCCTGAAATCCAATAGGGGCAGTCAGACTTAGATCATCAAAAAGACATGATGCTCCCAAGAATGCTCACCAGCTGTGTCGAACAGATTGATTCCCCGTGACACCACCAGGTTGAAAACATCTTGGAGCTCGCCGTCCATTTCCTCTTCGTATCCCCATAGGAGACGGTTCCCAAAGGCCCAAGTACCAATTCCCATAGGGGAAACTTTCAAAGGTCCCAGAGTCACCTTCAAATGTGAAATCATGTATTTCTTGCTGCCCCAAAAGAGTTGCAGAACCAACCACTTTTTAAAGGTTTTCATGAATGTTGAACATCTGAAGTGATTGACCTGTATCCTGAAACTCTAACAAACACCGTAAGCAAAGTACTATAGCAAGAGCGATGCACACTTCGACGATGCCTGCTCACAACGGGGACATCGAGTAGCCACTTTGCCCCATTGCTTAATGTGACGTTCTTCACATTCCACGAACGGGCCTATCAATAGTCCTAAAAAAGTTTCGTTGTATCTCCATTGGTCAGCTTCTTCCCAAGAATCCTTGAAAGCTGGCAGAAGATGTGGTCAAACCAGTGATGTAGTGGTGGTGAGCCCCACCCTGTCACTCGGCTTCTTTGCAGGAACGACCCTCTGCAAAAAGTCCAGCACGGCCACCGCACGGCCCCCATTCCATCTTTCTACATTTGCACTGTTTTGGTGCTCAGCGGAAGAAGCAGCTGTAAGGAGCTGCCGGTTGCCCAAAAAGGAATCCTGACGGCCTGATGCCAGATGCGAGCCAAACAGTTGATCGACCCTTCTGCATGCTCCACATTGTTGCCTCTGAGTGGACAGGTGAGTCCCCTTCCGAAAGTGTTTCAGCTGTGGCGCATCTGATTGTTGCAGCCCCTGGACTCGCAGAAGAGCAAGCGGTTGTGACCAGCAGGAAACTGCCGCCATTTGGTCTGCTTTTCAGAGCTCGATCAATGCTGCTGATGGCAGTGATGTATGCAGTGGTATGCAGTGGTATGCTGCTGATGGCAGTGATGCTGCTTGGTGCAAGGTGGCTGGCCCTGGCCCTGGCCCTGGGCCTGGGTATACCTTACTCGGCATTTCTTGGCCGGCGGCCAGGCTCACTAAGCTAGCGAGCGCGCGCGAAAACTCTCAAGAAAGATAATAGTAAGCCAAGATAATAGTAAGCTCCGACTGACACTAAAAACCCTAACTTTAAATGAAACACCCGATCTGAACCCGTACCCACCCTAACCATTATACTAACCCTACCCGTCACAGTACGGTTACCTTACTATTATCTGAGCTTACTATTATTTTTCTTGAGTTTCATGCGCGCGCGGTGCCTGGCGCCGGGCGGGGGCCGTGGTCGCCACGCGGCGCGTGGCAGCGCTCGCGGCTGCCTCAGAGGCGCGGCGCTGGAAAAAGACGTTTGAACTTTGATCTGGTACGTAAGGCGGAAGAATATGGTTGATCTGGGTTGATCGCAAGATTGGTCCTGACCTAACCTTTCTTGACCCCAACCTTGCTTGCTTAGGTCCATCCGTGCTTTTAAAGTACAGAAATGCCCTCCTTCTTTGTGAGCCAAGTTTCTTTTGCAGAACAATTGGGAATGGACGAAATCTTACTAGCAGAATTCACCACTTCAGCGCGCTTACACATGGTCGCTTAAGTAGGCTAAAGTACCACAGAGGACTACAAGCAGGTACGAAGATACTAGATGAAAGTTTGGAATGATCATATTGAGAAATTCGTAAGGCGATAGATAAGGTGAAAGGGCTGACGGCTGCTGGCTGGATGAACGCCGCTTCAGAGCCAATCGTCAAGCCCATGGTTGGTTCAGCTGTGAAGGGGCGTCCAAATACCTCTAAATCACAATTGACTGATCCTTACCTTTTGCTAGCCTGACTAGCTCTACATAATTGGCTCCAAATGCCTATCATACGGTGCTGCTGATCATGAAGAAGCTGCTGGTCAACAAGCCAAGCTCTGCGGAGCTTTTCAGTCTGAGTCAAACGTCTATGGACTCAACGAGGTAAGTCGTCTTTCGTACGCTGTCCACAGTCTCTGTTTTCGAATTGATGATCGATCTCTAGAGAAACGACGCATTCTTGAGAAAGGTCTTCAATGGGATGCTCGTGAACGAGTCTCGGACATTGAAGCCTTGCCTTTCTTTCGCTTGCAGATTTGGCGTTTCTGGTAGAGGCGGGTCTCAACAGCATGGCTTACCTGGCGGAGTACCAGCTCCTGCGGGCGCACGAGGTCTCTCCAAACAACCTGGCTTGCCTCGACCTCCTCTGACGATGCAAGGAAACCCGCAGATCCAACTGTCACAAAGCCAAAACACGTTCTCGCAGTTCTCACAGAACGATGAGCAGTACCAACTAATGATTGTGAAGTCTCAGGAAGAGAGCAGGACGCAAGATGAGGTAAGCGGCTGCTTTTGGAAAAAGTTGAGAATGGTGCCCCTTAAATAGAGCTTTTCCTCTTGGCGGATAAGTCATCACTTCGATCTTTGAAGCATCAGATACTCAAAGACCCGAGTTCTTTCGTGTAACCAAGCTGCACAAGCGAGTATTTTGAGAATGCAAATGTCCTCTATTTCATCCATAGTGGCGCAGCAACTCGCAAGTCCTACGAGACCCTTCCACGAGACGACCTCCTTCGCCTTACTCATCAGCATACGCCTCTCTTCCACCCGTCTTCAATCGACCATCGGTCGATACAAGACCTCTAACGGCACCGGGTATAGCAGCGAGCCTGGTTCAATCAGGTTTGCAGACAGCAAACGACTTTCGTGGTGAGTAAAGATCGCCGTGAGCTTGCAAAGCACTCTGAGTCCATTGCAGGAAACGCTGACAGCTTCACCAGTCCTAGGGATGTTTCCAGAAAGAGGCAAGATTGATAAAAGACGTCTTCAAACTTCGATGGCCATTCTTGCAGCCATCTGCAAAGAAACATAGAGAAATGCTCGTTCTGTTGGCTGCAGGAAACGCTGCGGATGTCGAACGGCGTCTGGACGCACTGGACACTTGTTTAGAGACCATAAAACACGACATCAAGCAGATAAAGCTGAACCTACAGGAAGTCAAAGAAAGGGAAGATTCCTCAAAAGGGAATGAAGGTGCGTAGTCCTTATGTGTGATTATGCTCAGCAAGAGGCCTGAACCCGCTCATTATCAAAACGGTGGAATTTATACAATCATCCTAAAAGGCTGATTTGCAATCTTCGTTTTTGCAGATGAAGTCGCAAAAGAGGCCGATGCAATTCGAGAGGTCTCTCTGAAGTCACTGGTAAGGCGTGAGGAGTCATCGTTTACAGATAGACACCGTCTTCTTTTATCGACCGTGTTGGCATCAAGACTCCTCAAACCCTCTGAGCTATATCATCTTTTCGAAATTTATTCACTCCGCACTGCACTTCAGAACTACTGTAGTAGTATTTGGAAGGTGACTCATGCAACGTCGTGATCGATAATTACATGCCATGATTGACACTTTTGTCAAACATAGTTCCTTCCTGCAGGTCGAGATGAGAGAAGAGCTCCAGAATGTCGTGGACAAGATGCCAGCACTTTTCGTGGAAACATTCGGGAAATTCAAAACGGAGATCTCGGAAACTGTGCGGTCTCAAACACAGGTAGGGACGGGCACAAGTTCCTGAGTAGAACCTGGTCCTACGACTGCAATGATGCTCACACGTTTGAATGTGATCAGAGGAAGAAGTATTCTTGAGAGGATGTAAGACTGTTCTGAAAAACCCGACGCAGGAGTTGACCTCAGCAAACAAGACAGTTTCTTCTTCCCCTCCGGAGAAGACCCTGAAGCTTGACGGAAAAGAACGTGAGCACGTGGTCACGAGTCCGCTGCAGCAGAAAATAACAAGCTTCTTACCAGTGGTCAAAAGGTCCAGCGGTGGGGCGCAAAAACGTTCCTCCCCTAGGTCAAGGTATGCCACCGTGCTCCCTCCAGCAATGAAAAATGAGCTCTCGGACGCAGCTCTGCATTGCTTCTTTCCCTTTCCTTCATTATGCAGACGGTCCGTGCTTCAGGATGTGTATTTGTATGCCATGCAAATCGAACTGAAGGATGCGATTGAAAACTTGCAGAAAATCAACTCCTCGAAGTAGGAGAAGGTCAGGAGTATCCACATCTGGTGAAAGTAAGTGATCCACCTTCGCCAGCGCTCCTCTCTATTCCTGATAAGAATGCGCTTCACCACCAGACTAGATGTCAGATCAAAGATGAAAGGCACTTACTGACGAGTTGCGACTCATTGACGTCACACCTTCAACTGCAGGTGCTGTACAAGGTCACTCTCCTACAAGTGCCGACAGAGAAGCTCGGCGGAGCTCAGTAAGAACCACCAAGACGATTCCACAAAGAAGCAGCCAACTGCCTGATTGTACTCAATTCTTGAGGGCATTTGTGACGCTGTTTGTCAAGGTGCAATTGTCGAAAGTGAAAAATTCCTTCTTCTAACCTGAAGCACCTTTGCATCCAGCGCAAATCACCCGCTGAAATCTCGACGGCCAAGAGGAAGAGCTCGTGCGACTCTTTCGATTTCGACCTGGAAGAAGACCCTCCAGCGGCCAGCAACGGTGGGACAAAAACGATCAAGAAACGGCTTCCGTTGCAATCTGATGTCTTGCTCAAATGCTTCTTGTATCGAAATCACTCTCGACTGTGTAAATTTCACAGTGTTTTGATCTCTCTGCCTACTGTAGTGTTTGAGACCAACGAAACGAAAATAGGGGCTGGACATCGAGTCTGTTCTTGAATCCCATGTCAAAATCTGAAGAGAAAAATGTTCTGATCGTGTAGGTGGAAGGGGTGAGCGTCGTTCCTCCGCTCCACTTCATGTCGATTCCCAAGTCGTCGAAGACGAGATTGACATCGAGACCCAGAAGAAGCTTCTTCGAGCAAGGCGAAAGCGCCAGAGAGCTTTGAAGAAGTAGAATCATCCAATAGCACAAGGGAGATCGAGCTGGGCTTACGTAAAAGCGATCTTAAAAAGTAAAGTAGAGGATTCATTAAAACCTCAATGTGATGCCACCAATTTGCCTTTCACCTGGCTGTGGAATTGGTTATGTTGGACAGGATAGACGCACAGCCGACCGAGGCTTTGTGCTCACTCGGTGCATGCAGCACAAATTGAATGAGCATATAAGATCAACTCGAATATAGGCGTTTGCAACCCGTCCTTTCGCAGGAACTGACGAGGCAACAGCGCAAGATGAGAGTCACTTCCGACGTAGAAATATTCGGCGAAAAGGCTTCTCTATTTGTGGACCTTAATCGTTTTGCCATCGACCTGCAACTTTTGACCTGCATAGACAGACCGGGCCCGCATGCTGTGACATGCAACTAATGAATTATGAAAGTTGCTTCTAGCTTGAGTCGATGGTTTCGACCTAAGCATGCGCGCGTAACGTCAATATGACATTGTGGCGGTCATGGATGCAGATCCAAGACGTACCGCAATAAACGCATACATATGCATGATGATAAAAAGACTAAAGTGAGGCACGGCCAGTGCCGCGCCTGGCGGCAGTGACAATACACTAACCCTGAAACCATGCATATTTCCTTTGTATACAATTCTCCTTGCCGATGAGTGCCACTACGTAGGCGCGTGAGATGACGCGGTGTCATTTTGCGTCCACATACACCGCGTCCAACTTGAAGTCGATCGAAAGCGTTCGGTTTGTTGAATTAGTCGTGTACAGATATCCAGTCCCGGCACTGATTGAAGTACATATCAGTGGCCCAACATATAGTTACCAGCCACCCAAAGATTCGGTTCTTACATACACTTAACCATTGGAAGATATACACACAATGCGTGCATGAAATCTTCAAAGCCGCGAGATATGGTCGAACTTAGATAGCGTCAAACTTTACTTCCATAAGGATTGCAGAAAGAAGAACGCTCTATCAGGGACTGTATGCCGGGCGGGCGGCTGTTCACAATTATACAGGCTTCTGGCACAGGGTTTACTTTGTAATCTTCTATTCAGTAGCGCTGGTACAACAGCAGGAGCAAGAGCTACATCCTCTACCTGTTCAACTCGTCCAGCGAGCTCAATCAACGTAATGACATACCTTTACAGACAAATGAGATTCTTTTTTAAGGAGAAGTTATCCCAAGACTTTGCGGTAATCAGTACTGTCGTGGAGGCGGATATGCAGGGTACACTGGACCCCTCTGACTAGGCTGTTCAAATGGAGGGTTAGAGACTGGGGGAGGTGGGTATGACGGGTAATCTTGCACCCGCCTTGTTTCTGGCCCGTGGCCTGAAGGCCCGTACTGAACGCCCTGCCAGTACGGAGCCTGCATCCCTTCCCGCTGGAGGGATTGTATGGTCCTGCACCAATTGGTGAATATGTTAGTGGGCGGAAATCTAGTTCCGCGTTGAGCCGTTCCAAATACAGTCCCGACATTTCGCATATTGCTTCGAGCAAGTAGAGAAAACCTGAGCATTATCGAGGCTCTAAATTGATGGAGGCTTCAAAAAGAGCGGTAGCAAAGAAAGTCAGAGGAAGCTGGTCGATGCAAGAGGTGCGAGAAGCCTGGTCGACTCGAGGGAGAGAACAAAGCACGAAGCAACGAACTCGGAAAATGGATGCATGCAACGGGCCAGTTGGGTGGTTCAGGGGTGCTTACTCGGCTGAAATGTTTTGCCGGTAGATCAGCTGGCCGGTCTGCTGTCGTTTTTTCCGAGCTGCAAGCACGGACAAGTCAACCCGTCAGGAATTCATCAAGCAACAACGCATGTCAGAACAGGCAACCAAGAATCAGCATTCCGGAGCTATGCACGAAAACCAGCCTGTGTGCAAAGTCAGCCAGACGCTTCTGGGTAACGCAGCGGGACTAGAAGATACGCATCTTGATTTCATTTCAAACTGCTCTCTTGTCTCACTTTGACCGCTTTCAACGCAACCCTCCCAGCATCGGACGCACCATGGTGTTCACTCTCCCGTCACAAACCACATAAGCCCACGCCTTGGACCATAAGCTATGGCGAGCGTCTCACCTCCTATACTGGAGCACAGGCAGCAGAAGAGGCAGAGCGCGACGGCCCCCCCGCCAATCGCCGCCCACCAGAACCACCGAAGGTTGAACAGCTTCCCGTCCGTAAATATCCTGGAATTGCCGTTGGACGGATTCAGATTCGCCTGTGTCGTGGCCGCCGTAGCGCGCACGTTGGAGGCGTTGACCGCGCCAGCTGGCAACGTCTGGAAGTAGGGGTCGGCCGCGAAGATTGCCCCTGGGTTGGAACTGCGAAGAGGAGATGTAGTGGTGAGGAAACGCAAGGTTATCCGTCGTGGGTGAGGTGTCAAAGGTGGGGTCAGTAACTGAACTTCAAAGGTCAGCCCGTGTCTCTGACTGACAGTGCTTTTACTCGAGCTTAGAAATCAGTTTTGTCGAACGTAGGCTCCCTCAGCATGTTCAAATCAGGTTAGCCATCCAAGAGACGTTAAAACTGCAATCGGCAGACGAGTCGATGATCTCTCAGCCTGGCATCCGCTCTCTCAGAGAGGAGCCATCAGAAGGGCAGGTCCTTCAACGAACACTCCAAGTTTGGCTTTCTGGAACAAATGCTCAAACATTCATGGCTAATTCGTACGGGAAGGGTACCTGATGGAGTTGACCAGCCGATCTGCCTCAGCGTACGTCCGAGCACTCAGCAGAGCGGTCGTCGAGTCGACAATAATGCTGCCTTGCCGGAAGCCGTCAATGACCACCTGTTAAGATACAAACCAAACGCCTCGATGCTGCCAGTAAGGCGATTGGAAATAAAGAACGGCGGGAATAGCATGTGATGTCGAATTGTTCACACACGACAGACTGAAGTGCCTTCAGATTGCCAGTGCATGCTTCAGACTATCTCCGGTTGAGAACGGACGAATTTGGCGGGGGCAACGTCCAGCTTTTGGAGGCGTGGGTCTCAAAATAACATCAGGCGTTAACGCAAGAAAACGCAACAGGAGAGCACACGTACATAGTTGCATACCGCAGAGCTTCTCATCCCTGACTCGAGACGGTTTCCCGCACCAAAGCACTTACCAACTCGTAAACGGCCACAAAAAGCGACTTTGAAAAGGACCACCAAGAATCTGAGTTGGTTAGCCGGTTGCGTGCCTACCTGAACCTGTCCCGAGTAGCCCGCGGCCCGAACAGCGGCGGCCATGTCCGCCGTAAAGTTTGACTGCAGAGGGAACGGCGAGACGTGTAAGCAACCATGGTCAAGACAGCTGTTCCATCTTTGAAGAGAGGAGCGCTCTGGTCATTGGAACCGCAAAACCTAACGTGAACGAGCACTCAAAAGTGGAATTGGACGTGCCGCTGGTGACAGTAGCGCGTGTCCGCCCACCGTTCACAGCCTGGTAGGCATTGACAAATGACTCCCATCAACCCAGGAATCCGATACAAAACAAAGCCAAACCGCCCTGGCTCGCACAACCTCAGACACTCTTCGTCCAATTCTCCATGCGGCAACATCAGAGCCTCACCTCGAAATAGAGCCGGTTCTGCGTGTTTGTCATTTGACTAATCTGGCCTCCCCCGAAGCTGATGGTGGAGATAACGAGTACCCCCTGCGTCGGTTGGGGCCGAGTGTCGGTGGGGCTGAGCTGACCGCTCGGGGGGGTCGATACGGAGGCGGAAATGGGCCCCGGAGAGGCGACCCCGACTTTTGACGGGTCATACGCGGTCGGAGTTGGAACTGCATCAGTTGGAGAGGCGGCTTTCGGATGCAAGTCATCGGTGGAGAACGTTAAAATGCACTAGATAGCAAAGAGGGGAGAGCTCTAACCGCCAGTCGGAATCGCAAGCGAGAAGGAGGTCTGGAAATTTGGAGCCTGGCAAGTGAGCCAGCTATGCTTACCTAGGAATATAATAACGATTCGAAGGGCCTTTTAGGCGGTTGCTTTTGAAAGTCAAACGCGGATTCTCAAGTTCGAACAATCCGCATGATGGTGGAACCTTGGGCCAGCTTGAGGACTCACGGCTTGGTTCTTTTGTGGTTATCCTACACGTTACCAGGCCCCTTCGAGCAGGTCAAACCTTTTGCTTTTTCTTGTCTGAAGCGTGCATTTAAACCCCACGTCGGGCGGAGAAAGACTACTGTCACGTTACTTGCAACGAGCCGCTTCTATTGGTGGGCAAACTTGAGCGTCAAGATATCAATATTCGAAAAAGCAGAAAGCAAGCTTCAAGGGGGAACGCACCGGCAGCTCCCAGGGGCGCTGCAGCGGTGCCGTTGCCTGTGGGCGCAGTAATAATGGTGGAAGGGGTTCCCGCGGCCCCAGTCGTGGCGGCGCCGCACGTTTTGGTGGCCAGGTTGCAGGTGGACCCGGTGTCCGAGCACTGGGAGTCTTGGGAGCAGGTGCGCTGCAGAAAAAAAGAACACGTTTATGAAGGTGGAAACGAGAAAAGTGTGCTCAACCGTGCATGTTGAAGGGGGTTCCTGCAAAGAGAACCTTAAAAGTCTCTCCGTTTACGAGCACCACGCTGGAGCCCTGAGCAAGTCGCAAAACTGGCATTCTCCAGACGTCGCTCTGAAGAAGCCCTGAACTAGTGCCTTCAACAGGTTCCTGTGGAACCAGTAGAACGCCCGTTGATATGAGCTGAGAAATAAGAGTCCAAAGTGATGAATACCAGACCCGTGAAAAGGCAATCTGAACGACAGACTGGGAAAAACCACAGCTGTGCGATTAGGAAACCATAGATGAAAGTACGTCCGCACCTGGCTGCAGTCCGCGCCCGCATGGCCCGGGTCGCACATGCACACGCCCAAGTAGCACTTGCCGAAGCCGCTACAGCTGTTTGGACACGTGGCAAAGCGACAGAAGTCGGCGGCAACGGGGCAGGGGCCGAGGCGGCCCTGGGAGAAGCCGGCGCTCGTCAAGTCGACCATTTGGTTGTCCACGCACTGCACCCAGTTTCCAGTGCCGACCTGGACCTGCGATTGAGGAGTCGGGGCCAGTTTAGGAACGAGGTTTGAGCTGGATAAGCGGCAAAAAGGAGAAACGATTTGAATAAGGAAAGGGGACAAATCAAGACACGACTGCGTTACAAAGTTAACCGAGTTTGCGACGGAACAAGAGGCAGGAGGCAAAGCGAAATCTGATGTTGGCAACAACAAAAATCAATGGTTTGAAACCACAACGAGAAGAGAGATGGCGAGGGTGAGATCTTTGACCAATCATAGCATGGACAACACATCTCGGACGCATGTCGAGCTCAAATTCCAAAAACAACAAACTATAAGCTCAGCGGACCATCGAAGTAAGAAGATTTTGTCCCTAGTGGGGTCAATACCGCCTGACATCCCGTCCCAGCAGACGGCACCATACAACATAAACCCCTGACGACGCTTCAGCAACTGCTTCGTAAACACACGATAGTCAGGGCACACGTTGTCAAATCTCACACAAACGCCGCAGATTTCCTACCTGCAAGCTGAACTGCCCCCCGGCAGTGAGCGAGCACCGGTTGCTGAAGCAGCCGGCGCCTGAGGCGCTCAGGATCTGCTGGCCCTTGACCCAGAACTGGTCGCCCTGGAGGAAGCAGCGCGAGTCGAGGCCGTATGCGCGGCCCCAGCTGGTGTCGAGCGCGTTCGCGTTTGCTGGGTCCGTGCATAGCTTATTGGAGTAGCTGGTGGATCGGAGCACCGAGAATTAGCAAGAGTGGGGGAATTTGAGAACGCAAGACTAAATATACAAACAGATATAGAGGAGTAAAACGGGGTTGAATGTAGTGGCGGTCGAAGTTAGAGACCGTATGCGCGGCCCCAGCTGGTGTCGAGCGCGTTCCGCGTTTGCTGGATCCGTGCATAGCTTATTGGAGTAGCTGGCAAAATTGGAGCACCGCAGTAGCAAAAGTTGGGGATAGGGGTACGGGAGACTACAAAATATTAAAGAGGAAAAAGAGGTCGAATGGTAGGCGACCAGAATGAAGAGACTGATCGCACGGCCCCAAAAGGTTTCAAAAATACTATTTGCCGGGACCGTGCATAGCATATTGGAGGAGGAAAAGTTGAAGATTAGCAAGGGGGAAGGTTCCGGGACTGAGGGAGGCAGAAGGACTTTCACAAGATAGAGACGGAAGGGGATGAATCTAGTGGCAGATAGGTCGAGAAAGGTGAAAGTCCGGCTCGATCAGGGAAAATCAAAGAAGGACAAATAAGAATAGGGGGGGTGAAAGTTGGTCTAAGAGCGATGTATGAAAACAGAGGATGCTTTCCGAGGTTGTCTTTACATTCCGTTGAGCATTACAAGAGACAGAACGTTTCTTTGAGAAGGGTCGAAGCTGAATCACGTGACAGATCGTTCGAGGGCAACAGATGCGATACGTACATCCATGCAGTCTTTTGCTCAGGAAAGATTTGTGCTTCTGACGAAAGCCTCCAGCTTCGACCATCAAAGGCACGCAGCAAAACCATATTAAGACACCCAAACTTACCCTGTGATTGCGTTACAACCATCAGTATTGCAAGTGGCATCGATGCAGGTGCTGCAGAAGCCTACCGCAAGGGAATCATATGTACAGCTTTGGGCCTGGAGAAAGCGGAACGTAGTGTAAGGCGGTGTTTTGAGTTTTGACAATTGATAGTTCTCTTCCTTTTGATTCGTTTACTTCGTGCTTCGTCGACTTTTCCCCGGGAACACCTTGCAGAAGGTAAAATTTCCTGATTGGTTTCCCGGCAATGCATATAATCTGAAGATCACCGCACCAGTGCATGAAAAGGCTTGCAATTGTGGACAATTCAGGCACGAAACTCGTCAGCGAAGAGACGCTGTAGAAACAAAGAAAGGCCCAGCCAGCTGAAATCTAAGAATCTTCACAAAAGAAACGTTGCCATGCAATCACTATATGGCAAAGGACGAATCTGAAGAGGACGGCTCACCACGGGGGTCGTGATTGTGTTTCCGGAAGGGCCCGGCCCGGTTTGTGTGCGCTGCGTGCCGTTGCAGTAGTACGTGTTGAAGACAGCCGGCATGGCTGCACGGGTAAGCAAAAGCCTGTTGTTGCATGTTTCGAAACAGCTAAGTTTTCGAGGACCACGGGTGAGAGCAAGGTAAAGCATTCCTTGGCGGTCCATCAAAAAGCAGAAGGCTTCCTAGCAAAGCAGTAACGCTGACTATTGAGTTTGATGCCCTCCGCCACTCCCGAAGCAATGCTAGCACGGAACCAAACAATGACCTGCACTATATGCATGCACAGCAACGTGACAAAACGGAACTCTTCCGGCTGCTTTCAACCGCCGGGAAGCAAGAAGACATCCTAAAGTCCTCCATGCGCAGGCGAAGTTCCAGTGGGGAAGGCTCCCAGCAACACCTTCTTTGTAAAGGACCAGAACGCCGTGCTCTAGCATTAAATCCCGGGGGACTAACGTTCACTGCTAACGGAACCGCTGCACCTCGAAATCCACGATGCAAGCTCAGCCGTCGGGCGCAATTTTTTTGTGAAGGACCAGAAGGGCATGACGCTAGCTGCCGACAGAAGCGCTGCGTTCTGAAAAGCACGACGCAAGCTCACCCGTCGGGGCGCAAGAGAGGAGCGGGAAGTTGCAGCCAAGGCCGAACCCCGACTGCAGGAACTCGGCCATCTGGAAGTTGACGTTGTACCACCCCGAGTCTTGCAGCAGCGCCAGGGTCAGGTTCGAGAACACGGCCTCCTGACCCAGCACCCCCAACTGCAAGAGGAGACGGGTTTTAATCAAGATTTCGCAAAGGACTTTCCGACGTGATCCTAGTAATCCGATTTAAATGCACCTTTACCTCGGAAGTTAAGTCGCATCTTGAACGTGATTAACAAGCCCTAGTCTGCTTGGCAGTTCTCGAGAAAGACCGAAGACCTCGAGCAAGATGGACATGCGTTTCGATCCTTTTCTTAAGCGTGGCTGTTGGACGGTTGCTCGAAAGGGCAACCGACGAAGGCCGCCTCAAACGAAGTACCTTCGGAGATTTTTTGGAAGACGGAATGGAGATGATTCACGTCGGTGATGTCGAGCAGGTACTTGAGCCGTTATTCATGCAGGAGCTAGCATCATCTTGGAACTAACCGAGAGAGAAAAGTGGTTTTACAGCATCAAGTGATTCTTGGAGAGCAATCCAGTAGGTGCTCAATGCGGAGCTCAATGGAGTGCTCCGAATGGCAGACTTTTGTCGGGATACAGCCCTGTAAAGATGTCAGCTATTTGCCGCTTATTCGCCGACATTTGATCTTCTTTCAATCACTTGAATACAGCAGAGCCCAGAAAATCCTCTTACCTTTTTTACCCCCTCCTTTCTGAAACCCGAAACTTAACCCGCGAAATGTTCTGGTCCCGAATCCTTCGATCGGGCGTCCTCTTCACCCCGGAACCCTACACGATAACCCTGCACCTGATTTTCAACATCCTCAATTCAGAAAAGACTGACAACCGCAACTCTAGAAAAGCAAGAATGCTGCCTCACCATAGCCTCCCCTTGGAAAATGCGCGCCTCCCAGTGGCTGAGCGCAGTGCCATTCCCCCCGTCGTTCTCCAACTCGGCGCCGTTCAGGGTGGAACACCCGAAGTGGGTGCGAGCCATTGCAAGCGTCGTGGGTGCCACGACCTTGGTGACTGTGTGCCCCCTCTCGGTGAAGGAAGCCGTGACCGCCGACAGAGGGTTGCCTGCCATAGCGTATTGCAACAGTTTGGAATAAAGAACTAGGATTGAATCCATGAGCTTTTCTTTCGCTCTTCTATCTTCTCCGCCATTGCAAAGTTTGGACGTCTCTCGGAGATGTGTCCAAAGAACCGTGCTTGCAGACGGTTGTCCAAGCAGTTTGATGGTTCGGTCCAAAGTGGATGCGAAAGACTGAACAAGTACCAAACAACCTGCCGGGTAAAGGATTGGTGCGAAAGGTTCCAAGCCATTCTGGCAGGAGAAGGGTCCGGCTAAACGAGCCGATTGTATTGTGGCTAAATGTGGGGACGTGCTGCAAGCATCTCTCAAGAAGACGTGTTGCTCTTTCCTTCAACCACTATGTGCTACTCCGCTACACAATCGCATAGGATGCCGAAGCTTTTAACATGGGACATGCATCTGTCACATTCGTAGTGCTCGGTCGCGATCAAACGGCCTTCTGAAAAATCAGACAAAATGGGACGGAGGGACGGGTAAGTACCTGTGGCGTCTCTGTAAAAGGGGAAGAGGGAGTCGCTGAAGCCCAGGGCGTGAAGCATCTCGTGGACGGCAATCAGCGTCTGCCAGCGCACGAAGAATGGTGTCAGCCACGCCATACGAAGCTTGGAGGCGCATGTTTTAACACAATATGCTGATTGTTGCCGACTCGAAGCAACACAAAATGACATCGTCTTCTACTTTGAAGGCCTTGTGTTAACGCAAATGCACTGGGCTCACTTTACATCGCAAATACCCATTAAACCCAAGGAGTGAAAAGCTCGAACAAGAACACTTCGAGTCGAAAACTTTCTCAAACATGTTGAAGCAACTGCGTTGGCATGAGCCTTGACCTGATTTTGATCGAGCAATAACTCTCAGATACACCAAAATCTTGTCCAGCTTTGAACGGTAAAGCGAAACCCGTATTCAAACCGAAGCCCCACCTGACGATCCCGCAGCGCCGCGTTCACTGCCGAGGGGCAAAAGTTGACGTTCCCGGCGAGCGGCCGGTCGGTCTCGGGGTCCTGGTAGCAGTAGGAGGAGTGCGCCAGAGTTGATGCCTGGCACGCTTCGGTGGTCTGGGCCGTAAACATAAGTAGAAAGTCGGTGTTGTTGGCACCGGCACCGGCAGGGGTGACGGTGCACTGCCCGATAGCGTTGCCGGTGCACGTGGAGTATTGGGCGAAGAAGGTGGCGGGAATCGTGGCGATCTGCGAGTGGAGGCGAAGTCAGAGTCAGAAGAGGGAGGGCAGCGGAAATGTTGGTGTATGGAGAAAGAAGGTTGAAGAGGAAGGGAGGAAAGAAGCAGAAGGAAGGGCAATCTCAAGGCAGGAAAAAGAGTCCTAGGAAACGGGAACCGGAAGATGATGGAAAAACTGGCGGCGAAATGATAGTAAAGACGGGTGTGGAGGGGTTGCAACCTTAGTTCGATGAGTTGCTAAAAAGTTCGCCGAAGTTGGCAATCAAAAGCAGCGTGCCCGTTTCTGGCCGTCTGCAGAGATTCGAAGATATGGAGGCTGCTCTGCAGCACTGACAGAGGGAAAAACGAGCAAGAAAAGTTGCGCAGTTGAGAGGTGCAGTAGAGCCCATAAGTAAAGGGCTCGGAACTTTTGCAAATGCGTTAAATTGTCTGACGACGCGCGCCAGAAGGGGCGTGTCATTCGTCCCAGGCTGCTGTCCAACAACGGCTTGCTCTGACCCACCGCTTTTAAGACAGTTTGCCGAACTCCCATAAAGAGCCGTCTCTTCGAACGCCATTTCCGTTGACAGACCTGTTGCGTTCGGCTCACCTGACAAGAACCACTGTCCCATTGCAGGCACTCCTGCGTCCGCGTGGATCCGCTGGTCCAGATTCGATACTGGAGACAGTTCCTTTGGAGAAGCAGAGGCCCCGAGGGGGGCGCCCTCACAGACAACACCTGGCTGAGGTAACTGCACGGGATGGACAAAGTGCTCTCAGGAGCTGGCAGATACGGTGGGAAACAATCGAAAGTTCGTCCGCAGATGAATCATGTATCCACGAAGAGGGTGTGGGTCTGGTTTAAACAAATATTGGAGTTCAGCCAGGGAGCTTTCACTGTGCTTGCTTGAGAGGCCTCGACTGGGGCACAGTGGGGGAAGTCTTAACCGACTCGCAAGTAGAACGCATGATCTTCGAACCGTGAACTGCCAAGCTGCACGATAAAACTCATTCCAGAGGATCAGACTTGCTTTGATGTACTCTGTTTCAGAATCACATCTTCGTAACCTGGTTTGCACTGGTTACTGGCCAAGGAATTTGTGTCTCGACCCTTTCCAAGTAACAAGCTTGCCACTCGACGAACATTCCTCCAATGTACAGGTTCAGGCTTCGAGAAAGGCAGCAAAGTAAAATTAGGAGGAAGCAGCAACTAGAAGTCAGTGATTGCTTACTTGACAGCCGCAGGCACCATTGTGTTCGTGATGAAGGCGGTCGTTGCAGCATTGAGCCCTGATAGTTGGAAGACCTGGCACAGGAATGCAAGAACCTCAAAGGAGGTCGTTTGAAAGTTCCAAAGATGAATCATTCCAAAACCTTCAGAAAAGGGAGTTCAAAGAAGTTCGAAACACTCCCAGACAGTATCTGCATTAAGAGCTCAAACGAGGAGACGACTCGTAGGGCACTGCACCATATGTGCAGCTGTGGTTTCAGAGAGTACTTTGATACCAATGAGATTTCGACTATGGCGTTAAGCGAGCTCAGCACCTAGTTCACGAGTATGACCCTTTACTCACGGGTTGTATCCGCATGGGGACAGGGGTAGAAGTTGCAGTGTCAGCGAGCCTCCGCCTTCCTTCTTCTGGTAATCCAAACCTGCAACAGGATTGTCTGTGAGGCCTCATTGGAGTAGAATCTTCCAAACACCCAGAGCACAGTCCCTGCCTAGCAAAGATAGCCCTTCAACTGTCTTTAGTTAATTACTTTTGGATTCATAGAGCAGGATTGGTTCCCCATGTCCCTGCTGTGGATTCACAATATTACTAATAGCATACTGCCACTAGGAATCTACGGTTGTTGGTTGACTTTCAGAAATTGGCGTTTCGTCCAACCGCCCTCAAATGTTGTGCCAGTGCTGCAGCCGTCTGTTCGAATGACTACTTGGAGTGCCTTTTGTCACAAAGATAGCACGCGTAAGCTTTCTATGGCAGTCAGTGTGAGGAATTGAAATCTCACTTCAAGTGTTTGGAAGAAACATGTCTAGATCCATGCAATCTTCCAAGAGTGCGCTAAATTGTCAAAAAAATCGGCGCTCTTGCAAAGTGGTTTTCAGATTGGCTAATATAAATTGTGATCCTGATTATCAAGGAGAGCAAGTCAGCAATGGGTGACCATAAGCAAGTAAGGCTCCAACTACTTGTGCAAGACTCACCCGGCCAGCAGCGAGGCCTGCCGCTGTTCCTGCAGCTTATGGAGTGTTGGCGAAACGTGGCTGTCATGGACGCACCGATGCTCCAAATCCATAGTGCCTTCAACCGAGCACACTCTCCAAACTGCACCAAAGATTGGGCGGACATTGAGCCCCTCACCCAGGGAGTCTTGGTGTTTCGCCCAAAAATGAACGGCTAAAACAACTCACACATATAAGAGGAGGTCTGTTTCGTCAGCTTTTGAATCCCTTGAACTCAGGAGATGCTGATGGATGCAGAATGGGCAATAACTTCAGGAGCACTGCCCTAGCAAAACTTGACCCATGCATATGCAGCACCTTCAGGATTTCAAGGCCCAAGCTGTCCTCTGACATTTAGTTGCTGGAACCTTCTTCAAGTGTGGCACTTGTGGCATTTTCTGACAGGGAGCAGAGATTGATACTTCCAAACTTGTCATCGAACAAGCACAGGCAGCTCCGAAGCATTGACATTAGGGTTAGGGTTCAACAGCATTGCACTAGCACTTCATCAACAGCCCTGTTAATTGTAGCGCTTCATGCAGTGCGAACTAAACTTTCGAGCACAAGACTAGAGCTCAGTATGGATTGGCACAATGATGTCTTATTGCTGAAAAGCCAATAAGCCGTGAGCAGAGAATGAAGAGTCAGCGGATCGGAAAGGCTCAAGGGACTGCCCGAACAAACAGATCTAGATCCCGCCGGTAGCTACCAACTGCAACATGTGTCAGCTTCGGGTTGTCAAAGGTTACAGCTGGACAAGGCAGACAAGTTGAAGAACTCATACAGAAGAGCAACAACTCACCGCAGCAAAGAAGTAACATCAAGCAGCAACCGCGCACGGCCAATGCCATCCTGGAAGGTTGCAAGAATATTCTGACAACTTGAAAGGCCAACACCCCCACTTTCTGAGGTCCCTCCTTAGTCCACACAGTAATTCGTGGGTTCAAGGACCACTAGATGGCCAACGATGCGACTTTTGAGGACATAGGGACCGATCGCATAAGGATTCAAAGGATGCTTCGTCTCTTTTCCGGAGCAGAGAACCGCCTGTGTAGAAGAGCTCGCCAAGCTCAAACGGGGCTGAAAGCCAGGTCTGTGCCCCATTCCAAAGGCCCATGCGGTTCGCCTGTACATTGCCACACCACCAGACACTGGAATAGCATGGCGGCCCCCGCACCTTTTCACCTGATCTAGTCCTGGGCCCGACTTCTGAATCTTACTGCATGACATTGAGACTCAGACTCATCGGAGTCAGAGTCATCATCATGCATGGAGTTGGAACAGCTTCATGTGGTGACTCTCAACAGCCTACATTCTAGGGGGGCCCGAGCAAGCAAACGAAGTTAGACCTACCTGGTTCAGTAACCCAATGAGCATAGGCTATTATCCCTCGTTGGCCTCAACGCAAACCAGGGTCAGTTGGTTCCAGGTCATGCCCCCCAGGCAATGCAGGCTAGCTAACACGTGCAAATCAGATTAGGTTTACCGGCCTCATAGGTGGATACACGTGCAATATTGACGGCTTAAAGAGAAGGGCGTGCCATCGACGGCCCATCAAAATCAAACAGCTCCCAAATGAAACTCCAAGGCTTTTCTCAGCCGTCCTTATTTTTACAAGTGATGGGCGGTCATATATAGGCGCCGACTTGAGCGCGCGCCGTGCTTGGCATGTGCCAGCATCGTAGAGACTCTGATACGACTTGACGGTCAAGATCATCTCGGCAGCTTGCTGATGGGCGATTGACGCAAGCATTACATCAGCAGATCGGTGAACCGTCGATGACAAGCTCTGGAATCGCCACGTGTATGCACACAAATGGCAACCGCTCAGCCTCCACTGCCAGACCGTCTGCAACCACTAGTGACCAGCTCACTACGGGTCATGCCGCGTGCGGGGTAAAAAGGGTGTATAATTCCTCGTAAGTCGAGGTCGTCGCCGCCTCCCAGGGGCCGCCGTGCGGTTTGGCACCCGCGCTCCGGCGACCATCGCCAGGTATAGGAGTCCCACGTCTCCAGCTGATGAGCGTGGTGTCCTCAGATTGTTCATCCTTTTTTTACTAGTGACCAGCTCACTGCAGCCTGACTGCGGTAAATTGCAATCTGTGCAAGGCGGCACAATTCTTCATGGGCGGCTTATCTGCTTCAGACTTCTAAGTTTTGCTGCTTCATTGCGGCCGTGGGATACAGAGTGCTAGGACCTATTGGTGGCCGTCTGAAAGATCTTCACGCGATGCGCTTAAGATAGAAGTTTAGAGCAAGCCCCTCCGCAAATGCACAGCAGACTGCCATTCTGGACGGGGTTGAAATTTGCAACCGAAAGAGGGAGAGCAACTGGAAATTGGAGAAGTTGTTCACATTGCGCCAGTCCATCTTTTTGACACTGACGTGATTGAATTTGCTGCCCTTGACATCGAGACACAGCATGGGCACCCCGGCGCAAGAGTCTGACAACTTTGTTGTGCAGCTGGGGGCTGCTGAAGGAGCTGAGGAAGTTAGTTTGTTGGAGCCTGTTCCCCCGGATCGCCAGCTGATTCTGTCTTTTCAACAGATCAATGGCCATGTGCCAGTGTTGTCTATTGGCAACCAGCGGGGCCTGGTGGAGAAACTGTTCAAGCGGAAGAAGCTGCAGGATGAGGAAAAGGCAGTGAAGAAGCCTCAGGCGAGACAGGTGAAGATGTTCTCTCTTCCAGTTGTTTGAACTCGTTATTGTCACCTGAAAGTAGCCCAGTCATGACAAGATGAAGTGTTCGGAAGATGTTTCGAGGTGTCCTAGACATGCGCAACTGTGTCTGCATTGCTTTCAGGCTGCTGATCTGTGCACAGTGGAGATCCTTGAACGCTTCTGACACTGTTCTAGTGTTCAAGAGCCCGCGAGTGCATGTGACATTCAGGGCCCTCAAAACTTTCCTCATGTTGATTCCTTATCAAAGAACATGCTGCATTCTCAATTTTGGTGCAGTATTGTTGTAGTGCAAACTTCCAAATCAATGCTGCTAAGGGCTAAAAGCGCAGGTCAAGGAAAGTGATCAGATCTCGTATCCACCGCCATTACGGTGCAGTCAATGTGTCTCATATTTTCGAGGCATCACCAATGCTCCTGAATGAAAAGGATGTGGGCTTACTATCCTCAGATAGGTATGTGGGGCAGCTTTTAGAAGGTTCCCAACTAAGAGAATGAAGGCAGCACGAAACAGCTTCGGCCCGTTGATTATTTTTAGCTGCATTGATTAGGCTGCGCTGCTGCTTTGGATGCCCCGCAACAAGGACTGATCATTCCTTAGCTGGGAGAAAATCCCTGGTCTCACAACTGCCTTCCTTTCCGCAGATCATGCACGACTTGACTGGGGAATGCAGGCCGGGAGAAGTTCTCGCCCTCATGGGTCCGTCTGGTAAGGACACACGTTCCTGGGACTTCCTATTCCTGTAGCTGTACATGAACCAGTGCTCCTAGTGGATCATCTGGAATGGTTTCAGCCTGGTTTGGCTACTGGCCTTTACGCGTCAAAAGTTCTCTTGACAGAACACGGTTCCCCTCAATAGCAGAGCGTGCTTGCACTTTTCAGTGATGCAGTGGGGGGTAGCTCTCTTTCTTTTTCCTTACTAAACATGCCCCTGGGCGTGCCCTGCAGGATCCTCAAAAACCTCGCTGCTGTCTGTGTTGGGGGGGCGCACTCCTAGGTGAGTTCTGTCACAGATCACAGAAGCGCTCTGCTCTGTGCCCTTCTCAACGCTGGAAGATCTTACCTACATCGGCCACTCACACTGTGTCTTCACTAGTGCAACCTTCTCTGTCCTGTTGCTGTTGCATCGCAGAGTGTATGGTTGGGACGGATTTTTGGATATAATCCAATTGCTATATTCAGAGATCCAATGCTTTATGTGGAGCAAAATTACGGTCGTGATTCTGTTGCCTTGATTTGCAGCTCGTTGACAATGACTGGAGAGGTACTGTACAACGGCGAAAAGCTGACCAAGAAGTCGAAGAGGAACATCGGCTATGTCCTTCAGGTGACTTGGGACTCCTTACAACTTCCATGGAAATCTAAGTTACAGATTACAGATTTGATCATGCCCTTGATTCAGGTAGCGTACTCTTTAGTGTTATTCTTTTTTTGACTGTGCCTGTCGGGAACACTTTTGTGATCTTAATCGGTGCACTTTTGGGCTCTAGAAGCATGGGCGCTGAACTGGAAAGAAGTGCGCTTGAATTGATGCTGCCCCCCTCAGACCGTACTTTCATTTGACAGCAATGATTGCTAGCTGTATGGGCTTATACTGCAATATTGAAAGCCAACTCTAAAGTTCGTCCACCATCTGGAAGGTGGAGCTAATGTTCTTTGAACCGTTTTCCTTTGCCAGGACGATGTTCTATACGAGAGCCTGACTGTCCACGAGACGCTGTACTACGCGGCCATGCTCCGCCTGCCTCAGGACATGAGCAAGGCTCAGAAACTAGACCGGGTTGACAAAACAATCACTGCGCTGGGGCTCAAAAAGTGCCAGAACACGATAATTGGTGAGGCGTTTCTAGCTTTGTTTTTTGAAATTGGAGTGCCTAAATTGGCCTTTTCAAAGCCTGCCCGGCTGTGTGAATTGCTGCGAGCGGATGTCATGAGGCACGGAGCAGGAGTTCATCGGTGTTCTCGTCGTTGACAGAAGGCAGTGAAGGGGGCAGTCAGAAACTGCCCCACTTCCACCTTCTCGGAAATGGGCTACTTTTGCTTGATTTCAACCTGATTGTATTTCAGACCGAGTGTCAGTACCTGATTCGACTCGTTCGATCTTGATGTAGTCCCAGAAAGTTTGGCGATCTGTTTGTTGACGCGCTCTCCAACCTGGTTCTGCAGGGGGCTTCTTCCACAAGGGCATCTCCGGTGGCGAGCGGAAGCGCGTCTCGGTCGGTCACGAGTTGCTGATGAACCCGAGTTGGTGAGGCCCGCCTGCCACCCTTGCATCCAATGTTTGCTTCAGTGCATAGTTTTCATAAGGAGGTTTTGGTCTGAAAAGGCTGTGGGCGATCCTCGGGATGGCACTTATCGAGGCCCCTCAAGTCGGTCATTTGTCGTTAATCTTTACGAGTTTGCGCGATGGAGAATTCATTCTTAAACCGGGCAGTCTCGTGACTCGCCTTGCACTGGTGCCTTTTGATAACCTGCTTCACAGTCTGTTTCTGGACGAGCCGACATCCGGCCTCGACAGCACGACTGCAATGCACCTGGTGGCGGCGCAAGCTGGCGCTCTCAGAACCCTCAACCATTTAGTACCCAGTTTCTTCACAATTCGCAACTACCTTTTTGATCAACCTGTTTAACCCTGGTTCGCAGTTTGTTGTTGGACGAGCCGACGTCCGGCCTGGACAGCACGACCGCGATGCACCTGGTGGTGACGCTGCGCCAGCTGGCACTCGGGGGCCGCGCCGTGGTGACGACCATCCACCAGCCGTCGTCGCGCCTCTACCAGCAGCTGGACAAGCTGCTGCTGCTCAGCGAGGGCCACTGCATGTACTACGGTGAGTTTGAGTCGGATCATGAGAGGAGGGAGTTCGTTGCAGAAGTGTTTCACAGTTAAATCTTTAACCTCCGCATCTAGACGAAGGCATAGACTATGTTCGGTGTTGTTGGCATCTGCACGTTCGGTGTTGTTGGCATCCGCAGATAGGTCGCGATTAACGTTCGTTTATGGGCAGTGAAGCGTAGGGATCTGCATATTCTTATCGTGTCTTATGCCAGCATGTTTTTGAAGGGCAGACTGGTTAGCCTGCTTTCAGGCACCTCGATCAGCCCTGTTTCCTTCGAAAGTGGGACTTAAGAACGGGCTGCGATCTACGAGCTCCTGAATGAATCCGATTCCGTCTCCTGGTTGTCGAATATTCAAAACTTGGAAGCTTGTTCTTACGAGTCTTCATTTCCGATCTCCAGGCGAGGGCCAGAAGGCCGCGGAGTGGTTCGAGAAGCTGGGCTACAAGATGCCGTACGGGATCAACACCGCCGACTTCATCCTCGACCTCGCGTCGGGTGACGTGGCCACGCACAAGCTGAAGGGCGAGGGGACACGTCAGCACCTCATCCAGTGCGCGGAAAAGTACCTGGGTGCGAACCCGGGGGGTTTCCGGAGGGACGGAAAGGAACTGACCGAGAAGACGATGGGGCGGGAACTTTGGGCGGCCGCACAGGTATGAATGGGCTCGTGTCGGTGGCAGGGGCGGAAATACTCATTGCTGTGTGGAACATTTGCATGTGTGCAATTCACTCTTTGGCGGGCATTTGATGACGGTTACGAATCCAGGTTGCAACTTGAGTTTGCTGCCCCTTCCCGTCCGTCAGGGGGTGCAAAAAGTTTGGGTGGTGTACGCTTGAGCCCTTGTATGAGCGGGTCGGTGTCAGGTTTTCACCAAGTTGCCGGTATGCTAGGCGAGATCAACGACGCGTTGGCTTCCACTCAAGATATTAGAAGCTTTGCTTTAGAAACGAGGAAGAGCAATCTAATTAAAAACTGGCGAACTGATTGTCCCAGCGGATACATGTCACGCATGCATTTCAAATCTTGTACACTTCACGCAGCACACTTGATTGTACGCTCACTGACAAATGCTCTACGTTTTTGCTTGCAGAGCCGCTTGCATCTGTACGATTCTCAGAAGGGCAGCTTCTCTGACTCCCCCCGCGCCTCCATGGACGTCGAACAAGGCTCCATGAACGCCGCGCCAAGCGGGAGCGGCAGGTAGGCCGCCTTTATCTTTTTTCCAGTGAGACTTTCCTTTGGCTTCCCCGTCGCTATCAAGTTGTCTGTTTGAAAAGAGAAAGTGTATGTCAAGGCCCCGCGTGTCAATCCCCTTAATTGGCTCCATCGCTCCGTCCAATTGATTGTTGCCACCGACAGGTCAAGGCCGCGTCCAGGCAATCGACAATCTTCTCGTTCTCAAGTCTTATTCACGGTGACGTTCTTCTGAAGTCACAAATGCCAATACCGGCTAAGCTCATTTGCATCCCTCCGGACATCTTGGCGTTTGGCTGGTCAGTGTTCCCACTTTGACGCGGCTTGTTGAAAAGCAGTCCTCATTGAGACTCATCCGGTTTGTGCGACTTTCTTTTGGCATCGACTTTACTGCAACCGCAAGTATCATGATATTTCTGGATCTCGCTAGCGGTGGAAGCATCTCTTCTGCTGATCACTCTGTTGTCGTGCTGACGCGTCGCTGACGTCATCGCAGGGCGGGCGGGTCGCTGAAGGCGGGCCCCCGGTGGGGCGCGCCCTACTGGCTGCAGTTTCGCATCCTGCTGCAGCGCTCGTTCAAGGTGCGCCGCTTCGAGAGCCTCAGCAAGTGGGACTTCGGGCAGTATATCACCGTTGGGCTGCTTGCAGGTGAGCTTGTGCTCCGATTCCTTGTTGTAAACCTACAGGTTTTGTCCGTGTTCAACTTTGTCACTTCGGGTCAATGTTCATGCTTTTCAAAAGCAGGCAGTTTGGAGTTGTCTTACAGCAAGTGGGACTTCGGGCAGTACATGACTGTCGGGCTGCTCGCGGGTGAGCTTTATGTCCGTTCCCGTTGGTTCAAACCAAGGTCGACTTCTTCAGGATAAAACTTTATTGCAGCCAGTGGGACGTCGAGCATCATCTCACAGCGGGGCTGCTCGCGGGTAAGCTGGTTCTCCATCGCTATGGTTGTTAAGTTCTTACGAGTTGACCTTCTGAGTCTCGGAATGAGGCTTTCCGAACTGTCTTCCGCCGGATAATGCTCAGGGTCGTACGAACACTTGTTCTGTATTGCACAGAGCAAGGTTGTTGCGCCTTTTCCCTTTTTCGCCACGTCTTTGATTCTTTTGAGTTGTCGATAAGGCACACGAATCCCGTCCCTTCAAAGCACCGTCGCTTGACAGCGTCTTTGAGACGCGCCTTACTCACTGATGATACTGGAGACGTTGGTCTGTTTTCTTTCTCCGCATCGTTAACCACGCAACCCACCCTCAATTGTCCGTCGTATCTGGACCACTTCTGACACCAGAATAGGAGGATCATAGCGAACTTCCTTCGCAGCATTAACCTCTATCTTTTCCATTCGGCCAGGCCTCTTCTGGCTGCAAAAGGGCCAGAACCCGACGGTCGCGGACGCCCAGAACCTTCGCGGGCTGCTCTTCTTCGAGATGATGTTCCTGTCCATACGGTCCATGATCGGCGCGCTGCTGACGTTCAGCAGCGTCTTTAAGATGGTGGTCAAGGAGCGCGCGAGCGGGATGTACCACCTGAGCGCGTTCTTCTTCGCGCGCATGGCGTCGGACCTGCCCGTCGACAGCACGCTGCCCACCATCTTCATTGCAATCATCTACTTCATGGCTGGGCTTAGGTGGGTTTCTGCTCTCTTTCGTGCTTCGTCTGCAGCCTTTTCTTCCGTGCTGCAACTTTTTCGGAAGTCTATTTCTGTAACCAGCATTTACTAGTTGTAGTCGTCATTCTGCAAACGAGCGTTTACATCGGTTCCACCAAACCCAAGGCTGCTGATTGTTAGTCAAGCTTCACGCTCATTTGATAATTGTATTTGCCGGTACGATGCACGGTCGTTTTTGCCAACTGGGCGTCCTTGGTTCTGCCTTTAGCACATAAAGCCGCTTCATCGATTCCAAGATTAGATCTTTGGATTGACAGTAATCCGGAAGTGTGTCTGCAGATACGACGCGTGGTCGTTCTTTGCCAACCGGGCGTCATTAATCTTGCCTTAAAGTCCGTGATTCATTTAACACATCCAAGTGCAACTCTTTGAATTAATAGCAAACCGGAACTGTGTCCGCAGGTACGACGCATGGCCGTTCTTCGCCAACTGTGCGTCCTTGGTCCTGCCTTTAGTCCATAAATCCGCTCGAATACATCCCAAGTTCAACTCTTGAAGTTTACCAACTCGAATTGCGTCCGCAGGTACGACGCGTGGTCGTTCTTCGCCAACTGGGCGTCCGTGATCCTGGTCATGCTGACCGCGCAGTCGCTGGGCCTGCTCGTCGGCGCGCTCGTGACCAACCCCAAGATCGGGCAGACCATCGTCTCCGTTGTGGCGCTCAGCATGGTGCTGGTGAGTCGGGCTGAACTTTTGCCCATATCTGTTGTTTTTGTAGTTTCTGGAACTCCTAAAATCTGAACTTTGAAAGTAAATTTTCTGGGCAACCCCGAGATTGGGCTAACCATTGTCTTCGGCGGGGCGCTCAGCATGGTGCCGATCACCCCGCCCGAAAAATCTGTAGTTTCGAATGTTCCGGAATCAGAATTGCAGAACCTGCTTTTAACTCCGCTTTCTTTCAGATTCTTCACGCTGATTAGACAGTGCGCAAGATTGCAGTTTTTCTGTTGTCTCCTATTGAGTCCCTGTTTCGCCGCCCTCCTTCTAACGATTTCTTTGCGCACGTTAGCCTTACACGTTGTCCGCACCCCACTCGTCGCATCATGCTCCTCCAACCCAATCTATCTTCAAGGTTTTATTGCTCAAATTTCAGAGGACACCACGGCGCAGGCGGTCGAGCAACACGGTCAATCGGCCTGGCTCAAATACATTTCACCTTTGTTATTTCTAAAATAATGTCTCCCTTTCTTCGCAGGTCGCCGGCTTCTTCGTGCAAGGCATCCACGCGTGGATCGCGTGGCTCAAGTACTTCTCGTTCATCTACTACGGCTACAACTTGCTGCAAAAGATCCAGTTCCATGACACGCCGCTCTACGACTGCGGAGCCGCTGGTGCGGTCTCCAGCCCGCAGAACCACCCCGACATCTGCACGCGCCTCGAGGATCCCTCAGCCGCGCTGAACCTGCAGGTGGGTAAACAAATTGCTCTGATAGCAGAGTTGCTCAGAAGTTACAGATTTATTATTGCAGAAACAGAAGTCAAGGACTGGAGGATTTCCTTCACAACAGTCTTCCCTTGAAGCATGGGATTCCACCATTGATCAGTCGGATGGGCGGATGCCGATGTTACCTTAGGAGACGAGAGCAACCAGATTAGATACATCACTTTTTGGAAGAAGACGTCCGTCCTGTTCTGACTGGTGAAACCGGCACTCGACGGCTTCCGCTTCCTGATCTGCAGCCTCTAATTTAAACCTGCGGAAATCTATTCGTCCTTGGGTACAGTTTTTGGAATGCCCAATGAGTTAGATGTGAAGCCAAAGGATTGGTTGTCTTGTGGTTAGCAGCCTCACCTGCTAATAAAGTTCTAGTACTGGAACCCTCAGTCCGAGAACGCTGTTCAAAGAAGATTTTCCTACAAGCGAGCCGACGTAGAAAGAGGTACTGTGTCTCAACCCTTCCAACTCCGTCTTTTGCAGAGAGATGCGAACGAGTGGCCTTGGGAGCCGTTGGTGCTCATCGGTTGGATGGTGCTGTATCGGTTGTTCGTTTACCTGGCCCTCCGGAAAAGGACGAAGAGCAAAGTGCGATAGTTGTGAAGATGGGGGCTTCCAAGGGTGTAGCCTTACAGCGAAAATAAGCTTCGGTCGTCACTCCTGCTACGCAAGCTCCTGGTATCGGAGCCTTAATCCTATCTTTTGCACTAGCATTCTAACACGAGTGTTGGTTGTGTACAGTATGTTAGCACGCTCGATTAAACCCACGTTTTCCCGCGGACTTAGCGTGTTTGATACACTTTTGTGCCCTTTGCGGTGAACCTGAAAGCATGGGACGCGGACCAGTTGTACGGAGGAAGGATTTGCTAAACTTTGTGTACAAAAATATTGTCGCTAGCTTAAAGCTTTTGAATCTGCTTGCGAATGATGACCTTCAGAATGACAGACCCACTTCTTATGTATCATGAGTAGCCGTAGCCTGTGGCCTCTGGACTTGCAGCTATGGCGTTTTGGATTGAAACCTAAAAAGCATGCATCATAATTACCGTCGTGCATGGTCGATCTACATTGATCAGCCAGCAGATTAAGACACTCGAACATGTGCCAACAATTGCATGAGCGTGCACCGCTTACGCATAGATTGACGCGGTATTGTGAGATCCATGCAAGATATCAAACTATCTTTAGTCGCAGATCTATCATTGAGTTTTGCTCAAGTTCAGGGTCACTCATGTCTTGCATGATGTTGACGTTGACTTAGCATAGACGGTCGCGCTCATTCAGTCGACTCTTGATCATATTGAGCGCGACTCTTGCCAAGGCTCGGGCCATCATGTGGCAACTGGACTTGCACCGCTGATGCCGGCCACTTATGCAACCGACTTAGCATGTGCATGATGCATCCGGGTGAACTTGATGTATATCAACCATGCAGATCACTGATATAGTTGTATATATTTAAGATGAGAAGTCAATTAGCATATATATCAAGTTGGAAATGTTGATTCCGAGTGCTTGTAGAAGATGTTTACGTCGGCCGCCAAATTTTCTGACATCGCGCTGAGAGTGGAGGACTTTGCCGCAATACATTTCTCCAAGATCCGGAAAGAGTTGATCGACGAGGAGGTGATCACCGACTGAGCTGTTCTGCATCACAAGTGAGTTGAATTCCTTAGGCCGACTCAAATTCAGGTTTCTCCGATTAGCTATAGTAAGAAACTAAGAGCGTGTCAGCAATGATCGACACCGATCAACCCATTGGTCAAGCAAGCAACGGACTCTGCACGTTGCATGACTCAGTTATAACTGGTGTTGCGGCATCATTACAATGGTAGCAGTTGAAGCATCTCACTAGGGGGTGGATCACATACCAGCGCTTAACAAAGAAATGGAGTTTGGCGCAGTCGCCCACGCTGCCATCCTTGATGAAAAGGAGGTCGGCAGAAGTGATTGGGACCGGGGCAAACTCTGGTGGCGCAGCCCCACCCGCCATCTCAATCAGGCGGTTCTGGCTTGGTGTGAACGCCCACTGCAGAGTCGAGGCGACCGGCATAAATAGAAAAGAATCGACCAAGGTCAGTGTATGTTGTATATACATCAGATCTAGCATATTCTAGCGCCTTAGTGTCGAACGCAATGTGCACTGGCTGTTAGAAACCCCAAACCTTTGTGAGTGCAGAATTTTGTTATATTCATGTTCATCTTCACGTGAGGCTCTACTGATTATGGATGTATTCAGACAGCAGATCTGAACCAAGCAGTCAAAAGAGTGATTGCCAACAGTGGGCCCAATCTAGTTGACACAAATTTCTTTGTTGTCCCTCCTGCAGACCATGCCAGTGCGTCACATTCTCCACATCCGCATGCTCGTTTACATTCGAAACCACAAACCTTCCATTAATAGACAAACTTCCAAGCAACTTGTCCACGTGCTCTAGTAGCTTCATCAGGCGCACTATCTGCACACTGTCCTCCACACACAACAGCGTAAAAGAACCCGCCATTGATTACTCACTGTCTCGGAATCTCTAAATTTCTTGAAGTAGCAGGCCTTCGTGACCTTTTGATCCTGAGTACCCGCAAAGGTTTCGACGCGGGCCCCATAGTGAGTGAACGCCCCGTCAAGGGCCTGCAATGCTTCAGCGGGTGTCAACTGCACGGTTTCTGCACGGGCTTGTATCTCAGCCATGTTAAAGACCACAAGGAGGCACGGGTGCGCTGCATCCGCCTTGGACCTCAGCTGCTTCAGTGCGTGGGCACGGCTGTATGCAATCCAAGACTCCACCTGCACAGGCAAAAGAGTAAACAAGGAGTTAACCAACCACTTCACCTGACCTTAAACCAGCCCTGAGAATGTAGATACAGGTTTTAACCACCATTTCAAAGGATGTCATGAACCACATGTGGAGCTGACCTGAACTGAAACCAGGTCTGGAGAGAAAACAAGGGTTCACTACTTCAATTGATGTCACGAGTTGACCTGCCCTTGAAGCAAGTTTAAGCAGCTCTCCGGGGCCTGAGAAGCTCCAAATCGCGGTTCCACAGCATCTGATGGCGCAGCCTAGAGCTCAGGGGCCAGGAAGCATGAGATGAGCAGCAGTGTACTCTTCTGATGTCAGAAACGTTATTTGAACGGGAATGAAGTATGCTCTGGAAGATCTCCAGCCTTTAAACCGTGTGCTTTGTGCTGGCAGCTGCCTGCAAAAGTAGAGCGCACAAGATGCAGAACGTAAAATCACCTCAAGATGCCGCTTCAGATATTTGGCTAATGCTCCGGTTGTCTTGAGCTGGGGCACAACATTCAACTCGTTTTGAATGTCTTTGAAGGGAGTCTTAGGCCTAACATTCACCTGGTCGTCCGCCATGAGGCCATGGTCAGCACCAAAGATTTGCCTCGTCAATGGTCATCCTTCAGCGAGCGACGGCATGGGTGATTAGTAGATTAGCTAGACGCAATGCATGACGAACTTTTATGTAGACGAGCTGCTAAACGGCATAGGCCGTAGCCTCAGCTGGTCCTCCTCAATTACAGTTCAAGCCTTAATCAAACTGAGCTATCCCTGAACAAGCGAGGAACAAGCTCTCTCGAGCGATTCCGCACTTGACAGTGACTTGAGCCGTCCGAGAGAGGGATCCCGCTCGCGTCACTCTGACGCCGGCAGCTCCATACAGTGACACTGCATTGCATGCATGCTCAGGTTCAACTCATGCAAAACAGGCTGAGCTGCATTTCACAGCGGCAGCGACACTGAAGGACGCCCTTGCCCTTGCTCTTGTAGGGCTCTTGTTGCAGAAGAGAATCAAGACAATTGCGTGTACGGTATTTCAGTATGCAGCCCTTGGAATCTGCGGGGCATTGACGATGAACAATTTTTGAGTACACTTAAAGTAATCTTCTGCCACTCAAGAAGTTGAGGGCGGCGTGCCAACTTGCAGATCGTTATTGAGGAGGCTGCTGTGGTTGGTTGTTGCCAGTCAAAGTGGACAGAGCTGAGCAGGAGTCCAGAGACTCCTTCGTGCCTTCCCACTGTCAGTCCCACAACATGGACTCTCTTTCTGAATCAGGCAACCAGGGACGAGTTTTTGTGTTGCCCCTCGTGTGCTCAAATGGCATTTTAGCAGACGACCTGACTGTCGAATTCAGCCCTGCATTTGACCGTTCACCACATCCAGACCCTGGACTTGAGAGCTCCATTGATCAGACCTGGGAGGCAAGACTGGCCCGGCAGCCGTCTCTATTCAATGGGTCCAAATTCCGGGTAAGCTTAAAAAGCAATGTCAGTCTTTGCGAAACCGCGCACAAGCCTTGGGTCCGTGCCACGAGCACTACTAGCATACAAACTTTGCTCGTTGTTGTTGAGGGGCATGGAAACGTCTACTGCACACTTCAGCAGCATCATATTAGGTGCAAATGTAAGGAACAGCAGCCAAGAGGAGGACATCTTAATGTTAGGGTGGGGGTGGAAGCAGCTCATATCCAACTATCTTGTGAAGCTTTTTGTCGCCAATATCTCCTTGGATGCTAAGAAGATCTCTGTCGCTTCAACTGTTCTGTTTTGCCACAGATGCTTGTGGTAGCTATGCAGAGAACACCAACAGTAAATGGTTGGTGGCTCACTTGCCACTACATCTATCAAAAGGCATCGCATATTGTAGCCATCACGCTCTCCACAAGTTGCCTTGTTGCCTAGGTCCTGCTGCTGTCCTGTCGTGCGATACCATCATACGGATGCGTCAGCATCGCTCGGCACCTTCTCACATCCTTACTCTTCCTTATCTGACTTGCAGTATGGTGGGTGCAAAATCCTAGAATCCCAGGATGGTCATCCGAGCAGAGTCTGCCTGCAGCTGGGCCTGACAGACTACAAGCACCATGTGGGGACGGCCCTCTGTCCTCGCTGGCAAGAGTTCGTGGTTCCGGAGGCCCAAGGTACCTATGGTTGCTTTAGATGATCTGAGGATGGACTTTTCTCGCTTGCTTTCCAGTTGGTTCGCAGATTCTCTATTCATGTGGTCTTTCTAGCTGCCTCCAACTTCTATCCAGGCAGCCTCTTGTTCTGGAAGGTACGACATTGTGGGATTGTATAATACGTAGTCTGAGAGGAATTGGTTGGAGAAGATGCACCAGCTTGACATTCTGACCTCATCTGAAGCTACCTGGAGCCGTGCCTGCCCACACTTCCTTGACTTCTACCGTGCTCTTACAGATGATGTGGCCTTGTGTCGCCACATCGCCAGCAACTTAGGCAACGGCGCAATAGTCGAAACATCGGACAACAGAGTAATTGTGTTGCAAAGAGGGACCGATGTTGGCGAGTGCCCAGGCCAGCCTGTCTTTCCTGGCGGCCATCCAGAGGTACGCGCTCTCTTCCATTCTTGCTTCTAACTATTCTTTGCTCCTCCGTTCAGTCTCCCAGAAGCAAGTAATAGTCCATGCCAGTTTGGCTTTATCGGTCCTTTAAGGTTCTGCTGATTAGTTTCTCGAGGTTGTGGAGGCCAACGCTGTGAGAAAGGCTATTGGTTGCGGACTGGAACTAGTTATATCTCCGTCCAGGCACAAAGCCTGGATCTCTGATGAGGTTCACATGTGCATTCTGCCAGAACCTTGCCAGCACATAGTCGTCTTGTGGTTGAGCAGCATCAATTTTCAGATTCAGATTGCCGTCTACCTGTAGGGGGGGTCCTTACGAAGCAGCAAGCATTGATGGTGCGCCTTCTCTTGGGTTTCCTGGTCGTTCTTTCAACCAGCGGGTTCTATCGTTAGTAGCTTTTTGTCCAGAATACGAGCGTTGAAAAGTCCCTATTCCTAATACATCTGTCCGAAAAGCAATTTAGCCAAGTCACAAATTATGCTAGCTTGCGCGTCCCAGCTTGCAGCACCTCGCCTCGTCTCCCATTGCCGCTACCCCCTCGCTTCTTCCGTGCAGTCTTGAGGCACAACCTAACTCAACCAGGGCTGGTTGATTACTCTTGTGACGCCATCGACAGTCTCCATCTGAGCAGCTTCTAATACTTTTGCAGCCGAAGGTGGTCGGGATTGCTGGGCATGACATTGAGCCAGGGACCTCTGCGTCGGAGCGGAATGCTGCCATCAGCAGAGAGATGTTCAATGCAATTCTCCTCGAGATTTTGGAAGAGACAGGCATCCCCTTAGACACGTTGGTACGTGTATACCTTTCTTGAGCATCAACTTTGTCTTCTTCCGAGCAGACTTTCTAAATTGAAGTTTTTCAAGTTGGAGTTTCATGGAGACGACTCCCTCCCATGGCCGGTGATCGCCTTAGCCTGTCTCCATAATTTGTATACTTCTTCCTTGACAAATTTTCAAACTAGCAACTGTGGTCACGTCAGCTGGCAGGAAGTCTAGCCTAGGGGTATAACCTGCACGTACCGGTGTTCCTCTCAAGAAACTCTTTTCAGGCTTTTGTACTGTACTCTGGTTTACGTTCTGCTCAAGAGATCTACATAAAAGGTATCCATCTGAGAATGAAAGGGACGAACAAGGCAAGGGCTTTACTACGCCTTTCAACGTCAAGTCTTCCTCTAGCCCCTTTTGCAACGCTGTTCCAAATGCGGCAACTTTCCCTCAAACTTCTCTCCCCTTCTACTTATCATGGTAATGCTCGGGCTTGTCTTCTCCCCTCAAATGATGCGATGCATCGCTGCTTTTCTGCAGTCCCCTCCCGTCTTCCTTGGCATCAGTCGACGGAAAACGAGCATGCGGCCCACGGCCTTCTTCTACGTTCAATGCGCTCTCTCCTCCTCCGAGATTCAACAGCACTATGCCACCGCAATGGACAAGAACGAGTCCACGAAGCTGACTGCTTGCACGCAGGTGAGCTTTCTGACTCTGTCTTCAAGCGAGCTCGCCGATAAACCAGAAACTGAAGAGAGTGCCTTCACTTCTGCACGGTCTGCAATCGAAGTAAACGCTGCTTGATTAGCTTCATTCACAAGCCGCAGACGTATGTAAGCCTGCGGGAATCGCTGGCAAGAGATCACTCTCGTCATCCTCAAGGGTACGGATCCTCTTGGCCAACATCTCAAGAGTGGGTCAGACCCTGCACTTATCAGTTGACATTTGCCAGGGGTGTCCTCTGAGTCGGCTTAAAATTCTTAAAGGGACGGTAGTAGTGAGCCAAAAAGAACAAACGAGGATCGACTTTAAGTCCTTCCGCTATGAGAATGCATATCGAGCTGGAGAAGGTGCTGGTTTCTGCTCTTGGCTGTTGCCTTTATCGTGCTCCTGGTGACGTATCATGCAGGAGGAAGTGGACATTGAAGCGCCGAAAATGCCAGGATGCCACGAGGGGGGCGCTGAGTTGTACAGGTTATTTCTTAGAGCGAAGGGCCTCGCGCATTGACTGATCGAAAGCAACAAGGCGAGACGGGTTCTTCAACAAGCCAAGTTGCTCGCACACTGTTACTTATCATTTATATCGTGTATAAAGATAGCACATTCGCATCTGATTGTCTACATGACAATTGCGCTTCCATGCGGGGGTCAATTGAAGTTTCTGGTCGATCGAGTTTTGAAAGATCGGGTGTGCATATATATGCATGGAAACATGACCTGATGTGTTGGCATACGCAGAGCGACCGCGTCGTCGGCAGCTATAAGACGGTGCTTGTCGATCGTCGAACAGTTGGCCCATGCACACCGCAGCCGCGGGCATGTGACCGTATATAGGTACATGTGTGCAATTCTGTGTGCCAGCTGCAGTATCCTTCGTTTGCGGCGCACGCATGCTGCGTATGACCCAACTTCTGACAAATTTGCGCGGCCGGCCTTTGTAGTAAGATAGGCATACACGACTCACGAGTAGGATACGCTCAGATTCATGTGGGCATGGGTCTCTAGCATCGTCAAACATAGACGGTCTTGCACTGACGATCCGCACACGATGTGGCCGCATGCTTACGGAATGACTACACACTAGGTTTATGGCCGTCTGGTACAATCATTTTAAGGTCATTATGACTCCATATGGCATGGACATGAGCTGTCGGACTGCAGTACATTGTACGACAAATACGACAGTAGCTGTACACGAAGGACATCTGCACACTTGAGTTTCTCAAAACCAGAAGGTTTCTTTCATTCGGCCCGTTTTGATATGCTTATCTTTCCTCCTGAAGCCCCAATCAGCGCCTGCACGCAAACCGATACCGGGTGTTCAGTGGAGTAATAAAGATTCTAAGACACTCATCTAGAAAGGTTGCCGCTCTAAGTCATCGTTGCGCTCTGATAAGAGAGTGCACCAAGGCAACATTAGAGGCATGAGAACGTGCCAAATGCCAGCAGATAATCAACAAACACGCCCAACTACAGAGACCAGCCCGCCATTTGAATCAAACTGGTGCATTGCTCTGTTTATCCAATTCAAGCGCCTGTCGACCCTTCAGTCAGCTACAAAGAGATTGATCTCTATATCGACGCAGCACAGGCGCAACACCTACCACACTCTCTGATGCTTCCGCATCAACAAAATTTTCTCATCTTGTCCCGCCAGGCCTGTCATCAGAAGCTCTCACACCCGCCGTTGAGACAATCGTAACGATCGCCACTTACCCGGAACTGATTGAGCTTTGCCTGTTCCGCTGCTTCGTATGCCGTCACCTTTTCCGCAACGGCGTCGGCCTTTGCCGCAACGCGCTTCTCTCGCCGCTGCCTTTCTCGTGCTAGCCGCTGCTGGAAATCGTCCCCGCCTCCCAGCAAGTCCTTGTCCCGCATCAGCTCCGGGCTGGAGGCAGCAAACAACGGTCGGAGTTAAGAAGACGTCTCCGATCAGTTCTAGTGACGGTTCGTAAACTGAAGCTAACTCAGAACGCCAGCAACAGCTTTCGTTTCACTGTCGGATTGTCTAACGTTCATACCCTGTGTCCAGGACACATATCACATCAATATCATACAACCTCGGATAAAGGGAGCAAAGGTATCTGGAGGGCGTTGCTGACTTTGACAAGCATTTGACACTCGCAAAGCCGACGAAAAGACGCCCGATTAGTGGCCCGCTGAGATTCGTTCCAATTATCATGCCGTTTTCGTCAGAGCAGGACCGAGTCCTTGCGTCATACGAGACCAGAATTCGCCCGAAAGGAACACGCGAAGAACGAACAGGACAAGACGTGCAGCTAGTTTGTTGTGGCCAACGTGCTTTCAGTTCCAATATCGTCGAGGTGGTGTTGCAGTTCCGTTTCCTTGTCTCCTTCTACTTGTGCAACGCCCAATCTCTGAGTGACCTCTGACTGACAAACTTGAAGGATCGCAAAGTCACGTGCGCCCCTACTAATAGCGTCTAAGAAAACTTACTTTGCGGAAATAGAAGTCTTGACGATGTAACCAAACCCCACAAAATGCCCCTCCAGACAGAGATTGACAACTTATAAACAAGGGCGATGGGATACGGAGACGACGTGAGGCGGAAACAAAATTGAGAACAGACAAGGGAAAACAGAATGCGGGAATTAAGGAGAACAGGAACACGACCCTGCGCACCTGTCTTCCCTGCCCCGCTGCTGTTCTCTGCGCGCCGCCTTCTTCTCGAGAGCGGCCTCCCGCCCCGTCGCCTTAGGCAGCATCTCGTCCAGTAACAGCTCCTGATCCTGCATCCATTTCTTCCGCTCTAGTTTCCCTCGGCCAGCTTCGGCCGCCCGCCGGTCCTCCTCCGCCATGATGTCTGCACAGCAAGCACATGGTTGCCGGTTAACACACGCGCAAAGTAGAGGCGGTTGAGCGATATCTTTCACATGGTTTCAAGCACGGTCTCAGCTGAACCTGATCTTTATCATCAAACAACAAACGAAGCCCCAAGAAGTCTCAATCCTCACGGCTGTATTTCATGCGGGCCCCCCTCCCCTAATCGCTCGGATCATTCCTCCAGTGAGGTTTCTGCGGTACGCGAAGAACCAACGTTGATCTTCGAACATCGCTTCTCGAACAAAATTACGATTTGCAGAAAGCTTCTCGTGCTGAGTTTCGGCCTCGATCGCTTTGCTGGTCTCCCACCGGCACAATGATGTGCAGATTCGCGAAACGGCCTGGGTCGAGTTGAGTGTATGACAATCGAAAAGGATGCTCAATGATTCATAGAGCTTCGAGCCTCAGTAAAGCGCTGTCACTCCTCCTTCCTACTGAGGGCAGTCGTCTTGTCGCAAAAACAGAGAAAAACCTCCAAACGCTCCTATCGTGGTCCCCAAAACACGTCCTCAGAGTGGTTCGTACGCGGCAAACGATTACTTTTGAATGATCTGTAGCTTCGTTAAAAGCCTTGAGTCAGCTTCCATCCATTCGAAGTGCTATGCCGTTCTTACCTTCTCCTGTATCACCACGACCCTTGATGGCCCATGTAAAGCCTGAACGCTTCGCATGGGTGCTGGTGATTCCATCGTAGTACTTCTCTGCATCGAACGGACCCAACAGTCAGCCAAGAGAACCCCCCCTAAGTCTGACCATCCCATGTAAGTTCTCAATCATTGCACGTCTACTGTGTTTGCACACTGTTGCATCAAAAAAAGCAACTGCTCATAACATCCAAAGCAGATTGCCACCACAAAATCTAGGATCTTGCGGTGAAGGATAAAACGGCTTCGTTTCGACCATCCAATCTGCACGAACTCTTCCCTACAGTATGATGTTCGCCAAAGAACTGATACAGCAAGCAGTATAAAAGAACGACAGCGGCTTGTACCTGGCAGCTTTCCTTCGTTGTAAACAGTTACGAAGGCATCAAACAGCGCATGCGCCTGATCTGATGAGAGGTCTGAGAAGAAGATGCCGCGACCCTCCCGGAGCCAGGTGGCAAATTCGGCATTCTTCTGGAAGTAGTCCCCTGTCGAGATTGGTTCCACCTGCGAAAGAGCAGAAGGGATTAAGGGGCTAATAAGCGAAATTGGGTGGCCTAAGCGACTGCTTGAGTAGCAAGTTCTGAGTTACTGTCTCTTCTGCCGAATCACTGGGTGCAAGCAGAACATAGTCATGATGGTTAGTCTGCTATTTATTGCACCTTATAGCAGAAGTGTGACTGGGGCACTACATGGTGATAATGACTGTAGTGATTGCACGATCAAAACTCCTCCAACATGCATTCGAGGCCTTGTGAAACGCTGACTGGCTTCAGATAGTGAGCACACTGAATTTGTGAATGTTTCCTCGAAGTGCACAGAACAGCTTTTTCAGCTGTTGAGGCAGAAACCGAACTTTGAAAACACCTTGAAGTGTTATCGACTCCCAACCGACGGGGTATGTCAAGCACGTACGACTTTGTTCCATACTGTGGGCGATGATGAAAGTGGGCGGCAAGAGCCAGGAGTGCGAGCCTGCCCTTCTTCCTTGTCATCAGCATCCTGCCAATTTCACAATCTCCTTCCAGCAAGGTCTCATGCCAGTGATCCAGTATTCAGAATCCAGGCAACACCAAGCAGTCCCTGATGATCTAGAGTGTCCATTAGCAGTGACAGTATCTCATCCCAACACTTTCCATTTGAGCCAGTGTTGAAGACTAACCTTTCGACCGACGGCACTCAGCACCAGCTCTTGGCCCCCCTTGCTGGAATGCTCTGCAGAACAAGGTACTTCCTTTCTGAGGGGTGGGGTAACCTTCTGGCATGATTGAAAATTTGAAGCTTCAAGACAAATTTTTTGAAGCTTCAAGACAAATTTTGCGGCTGTTCTGGACTTCCTTCAACACCCTTGAAAGTAAGGAGCTATCAGAACAGGGTTCACAGCCGTCCTAGACTTGCTTCGATTCCCCTTGCAATCAACTGCATGGGGCTCTAAGAGGAAGATGTCACATGTAAGGATAAGCCTAGTTTTAAACCATGACGAGACTTGTCAGCCTTCTTAAAACCTTTCCCTGTCAATCAGTCCGTCAAGTCAGCCATAATTGAGTGAGCCAAAATCATACTTGAAAGATTATGATGCCCATTCGAAGACTCGCTCATCAACGTGCAAACACCACTTCTCAGGGAATCACTTACTTTTCAGAAACTTTTTTGCCTCTTTCAGCAGCCTCTTCTTTGTCTTCTCATCTTCACCACTCCCACTATCGTTATTCGTGCCCCCCTTGGACCGGCTTTTCTTTTCTTTCTTGAGCTTCTTTTCCTCTCGCCTGCGCCGCTTCTCCTTCCTTCTTTTTCTTCGCTCCCTCCTCTCCTCCTCTGAATCGTCGCTCTCACTATCTGTGTCACTCCTCTCCTTCCGCTTCCGTCGGTTCCGTTTATCTTGCCTTTCTCCTTCTGACTCCTCGCCAGTGTCTGATGAAGAGCCGCGCTCTTCGTTTCTCCGCCGGTGCTTTTCGCCCTTCCTGTCCCTCCCCCTATGTTCTCCCTTTCTAACATGTTCCGGTGAGCGGCCCGCAACAGACGGTTCGTCAGGCCATTCTTTTCTACTGTGGCGATGATCCTGGCCAGACTTTACTCGCTGTTCCTCCATCTGACTACAAACTTCTGCTCAATCCTCGTCAAGACTTTCTGACTCTGCTCTCCCTGTTCTCTTACCTTTCTGGCTTCTCTGCTTCTGTTCTCTGCGCTGATCAAAATGTACCTGTGCCCTAGCTAGGAATAGGTAGCTCCTGGAGGGGAGAAAGGCAAAATGATCGATTTCTCATGCTGTCGTGCAGAACCATGGGTTTGGACGATAGGTTTTGAGGTTGAGGCCCTCAAGACCTCAAGAAGTTCCTGACCAAGTGCCTTGTACAACGCGTGCTGGTGGAAAGCTTCAAGAGTTCACTGGACTGTTAAACCTCGCCTCAACCCAATTTGCAATCTGCAAAACCGGTGTCCAGGCGCTTGAAGTTGCACTACAAATTCCCCGAAAATTGATTTTGCAGTCAGCGTTCTCCCCGCACTCTCATGATCGCCCTCTTTGCTAGCCGCGAAAGTGGCGCAGGCTGCTGGGCGGGTCGCTCTTCTGCTTCATCTGCCACTCACAGGAAGCTATTCTGCTGGTGATGGTGATTGATCTGGTGCTGGTTGATCCCTGTGGCCGCTGCATCCTCAGGTGAGTGCCGATGCTGGGACTTAGGAGTATTTTTACGCAGGACATGCTCTCAACGGTGGTAAACCTTGATGAAACGGTGGTGAAGCAGATGAAAGAGGTCTGAACCTGTTAGCTTTCTTCCAGCATCTCCTAGTATGTCTCGCTCTTTTGAGCTTCCATTCTCCATTTCTCAGCAGCAGAATTGCATACTTATAAACCAATGCTTTCAAGCATCATTACCAAAGCACTTCAGCTTAGCCAAGATACATATATCAGCATTGGTTGCCTCTATTTCCTCTTTTGGTGGTAACAGTCTAGTTATCCCCGTCTTGGATCGCTTGGCTCTGCCTACTACTCTGTTTTGTTGAGTCTCTCGAAGAAGCAGCCGCGTGTGTACAATGGTTCGAGTTCCTTGTGCGAACCAATTGAAGTGCTGGCTGCAAGAACGAAACTGGGAATGGGCAGTGCCGCTCTTATGCGCCAGGTCTCTGACAGGGCCTGACGTGAGATGAAGTGGGACAATCATTCTCCGGATATTTCCCAAAACTTCATATCAAACAGCACTCATCTGAGTAGTTTGAATGATTCGTCTGAATTCCATTTATGCTTCTGACAAAGCCAGTCCATCCTGCAGGAACCAGTGTGCATCATGTGAGGAAAAGCTTTGATGGAAGAGAGAGCTTCGAGCAAATGGCAGCGGCGCAACATTATTACACTGAGGTAACGGTCGGCCACATTGCATGCTTCAAGGATACTTTTGATGGTCCTTTCTGCACGTTTGGATTTACTTACTAGTGTTGTTGGGGTATTAAGGCACTAGAGGCATCTAAGGCACTTCTTTGCTCCTGGATTGTACATGATCAGGCGTCGCAGCAGACAGTTTGTCCAAGTTGACCGAGAACGGAAGGTCATTGAATATTCCAAGCCTCATCCTAGCAGAGCGTCTGAGCCGCCATTGGCAATGGTTCTGAGCGTTTTGAAGTGGGGCGAGAACAAAGGACATCCCAACTCCGGGGTAGGGTAGTGCCACCTCTATGGCAAAGGCACCGGAACAACCTCGAACGGGGCGCCCACATTTGCTGCACCATTGCCTGCCAGTGGTACCCAAGGAGCAATCGTGCCGGTAATTGCTCAAAGAACACTGTGTTTTTTGCAGATTGAAGACTGACCAGGATCTTCCTCTACTGCGCTTCCTCCTGCTCCGCAGTCAGGTATGCTCCACTCCCCAGTGGTTATGCATGTGTGGTGCTTTAGCCGTATTTGGGGATTTCTATCTCATCTTTGAACAGTCTCTTTTCCTTATGACAACACCTGCTGGCACTGCTTGCTTGATTGAACGACAAATGCACCCTACCACTGTTGTTCGGGTGACGTTCTACCCTTTTTGTACCACCACTGTCTTCAGCCTCAAGAGCTTCGAAGAATCCCTAGAAAAGATGAGATTGGTGAAATCTATGAAACTGGTGTGCTGAGCTATGATGAGACAAACAACCAGTATAAGCCAGTTCTGCTGCTGATCAACCGTGATCGAGACACTGGTCCTTTGTCTGAGCTCAGTCCCAAGAGAACTTGAGGATACCTGCAAGTTGTGTTCTGCCTGGTTGCTCTGACAGGGTCTTGCGTGGATGCTGTTGAGTGGTGTTTCGCATGGTGCGTGCTTTGTGTATCAGAGATTCTCTTCATTGGTTGCTTGTCGTACATCGGAACATTTTCTTCTTTTGAGCAAATCATATAGCTACATGGGTTGTAGGCCTGACTGTATTGTAACCAATCCTCAATAATCCTGCACTTGCTACCAATCAAGGTTCTCAAAGATCAAGGGGTTTTGCGATGATGATGAACTATCCGCGCTTCCGAGGCTTCGGCTACTGAAGACAAGGATATTATGGTTGAATTTCTTTAGCTGAGCAACCCCCTCTGCATTGAGGTTTAGCCAATAAATGTTGCGCTTACTGCTCTCGCTCTAAAGTTCTTGTATCTGCTGGATTCTGGCAGTACTTATGCATTCAAAACCTTGTGTGTTGGACGAATACTTTGTCAGTATCTCGTTTATATTAATCCAGACGGAAGACTGGCTTCTGCTCTAGATTTGTTGAACCATTACCAGAGGCCTGCAGGTAGAGTGCCAAGAGCCCTGTTCTTACTACTCTCAAGATGCTTCTGGTTGCCTGATTGCCACTTCCCTTTTAACACTGCCTCTCGAGTCAGCGTGCAAGCATTCACCCATTCCCAGTTACAACTCAGCATGTCCATTATCTGAATCCACTCTTCTGCTTCTCTTCCCTCAGGATGGTCTGCCGCCCTGCGCCTGCGCTTCTCGTCCTCATCTCGCTTGTCGCTCTCGTCTTGGGGGTCTCTTCCTCCAGCCTTTTCATCCCCCACGCGCGAGTTGACACCCCTTTCCTCACACAAGCCTCGCACTGGTTCAACCAGACTCGAGACCACTTCTCCCCGATCCCAGTCGGCACCTTCACTCAGCGCTTCTACGAGTTCTTCGACCATTTCCACGCCCCCAACGGGCCAGTCTTTCTCCTCATCTGTGGGGAGGCCCCCTGCGGCGGGATCCCCAATGACTACCTCCGAGTTCTGGCTGAGAAATTGGGGGCAGGTATTGTGGCCCTGGAGCACCGGTTTTACGGGGAGAGCTTCCCGGCACCTGACACGAGCGCTGCCTCCCTTCGTCTGCTGTCCTCCAAGCAAGCGCTTGCAGACTTGGCGGCGTTCAGAAACTTCTATCAAGGGGTGTTGAGTCAGAAGTACGGGGTGAGCGAGAACCAGTGGGTCAGCGTGGGGATAAGCTATGCCGGGGCGCTGAGCGCGTGGTTTCGGCTGAAGTACCCGCACCTAGTTACTGCGGCGCTCTCCAGCAGCGGGGTGATCCAAGCGATCTTGGAATTCCCAGAGTTCGACGAGCAGATTGCCACGTCAGCAGGGCCGAACTGCAGCGCCGCGTTGAGGGCCGCGACAGCGGCGCTCGAAGCGGCGGTTGTCAAGAACGAGGCGCTGGTTAAGGCGCGATTCGGAGCGGACGGGTTTTCGGACGGTGACTTCTTTTACCTGGTGGCGGACGCAGCGGCGCTCGCCATCCAGTACGGCCACCCCGACGAGTTATGTGACCCTCTGGTGGCTGCTTATGGCGCGGGCAGCGATATGGCGGAGACTTTTTTGAGCTATACGAGGTCGTTCTTCTACAAGGATATGGGGAACGATCCGTTGTCTTATGGCATGCAGAATGTGAAGGACGAGAGTGTACATAGCCGGTTCGCATCGGATAGGTGCTGGTGGTGGCAAAAGTGTACAGAAGTTGCGTATTTCCAAGTAGCTCCTGTAAATGGTAGCATCCGCTCGCAGAAAGTAGATTTGCAGTATCATCTTGATAGATGTAAATATTTTTTTGGGGATGCTGTTTTCCCGCAGGTTGATGCTACAAACGTAGAGTATGGGGGAAAAGCCATCAGGGCAAAGAAAGTTTTTTTTACTAACGGGTCGCAAGATCCCTGGCGCCATGCCAGCAAGGACCAACCTTCAGAAGACCTGCCCGCTCAGGTGATGCAGTGTCATAATTGTGGGCATGGTACAGACTTTAGGGGCTGCCCGCAAAGTCCATCGCAGCCAAACGGCAATAGCAGCAAGTGCGAGCATCCTGCTGCAGTTGACAAAGTAAGAGCTGATGTAGAGGCGCAATTGAAAGGGTGGTTGAACGTCAAATATTCTGAGTTTGTGATATAGACATCATATTGTTGTGAGATTCGGTGAAATTAAATCGAAAACGCAGTGTACGCCTGGCCCAATCGTGCTATACATTTTCTGCCACTGTCCGCCATTACCAATTTCAATTGGCGCATGTCCGACTCATCATTCGTGCGTCATCGATGCATGAAGGACCTCGATTTGCAGTCTGGCACGCGTGCATTCACGAATGACCTCGATTTGCAGTCTGGCACGCGTGCATTCACGAATGATGCATGCATATAGGCCAATTTATTTCTGCATATAAGCCATTCGCATGATCCATGCATATACTGATTGCAGAGACGAGCGACAGGCTCGCGCGACACACTTGCTAAAGCAACTTAAGCTAGATTGAACGTGGCCGCGCGGGATCACTGTTCTCATGCAATCTGGCCGCATGGACAGGCTTGACCCACGTGTTCATTGCTCTTATAATCAACACAGTTTGTGCAACCAACATAATCATGCAGGCTCTGGCGTGGCACCTACCTACTAAAGGGGGTTCCTACGTACAATTCTGGCTTTCTTAAGTGAAGAAATCTGTTTCGAAAGTCAAAACTTCTATTCCTACGAATATTAATACAGGATTGCGGATAAAGTACCTCAAATCTATGGTCGCATTGCACATAGGGATATTTGGTTCGTGCTTTGAATGTGGGTTATCACTCCCGAGCTCGCTATACCTGCCTGTATGGTACAAACTAGGTCCAAACTTCCTGACGTTGCCATTCCTTTGTCTTAAGCCTCCCAAAAGCTTGCCTTTCGAGAACGCTATGTCCGATCAGGTTTTTTTGTTTTTAATACCTAGCCAAAAAATTCTAACGTGGCAGACCTAACAAGCACCCAACGGTTGGTTTCTGAGTGACTTACCCGGACGGTCCTATGCCTCATGTATACAGCTGTTCATGCGCTCAAAGTTCAGCAAGTGCCTTCCCGTGGATACCTCAATGAACGACTCAAGTTGTTGCGTGTGATCGCTTAATGGATGTGCTCTCGAAGATGTTGTCCGCATTCCCAACTTCGAAACCTTCTCTGCGGTGACAATCGTAGATCTGCGAGCATATTGCGTTCGTTACGGTTTGGAGAATGCATCTGAGTGTGAGCGTTGACGCGTGCATGCTACTAGGCGTCGTGTGCGGGATGCAGTCGCTGAAACGCTGATCAGAGGCATTGGAATGAATTCTCAAAAAGAAACTTGGAAAAGAGTACATGAACTCGACGCACCGCAACTCAAGACACCAATCTGGAGTGCAGCTGGCTTAGCATTTGAGGGAACGTGCAGGCTCAATCAGCAAAGCTGGATTTGACAGCATAGCTTTCAGTTTGGAAGTACTCGGAGGCTTCGAAAAAACTTTCAGCACTCTATGAGGATTTTCTGGGTCCAAACAGCCATCAGTCGTATACAGAACATAATTACTTGTGAAACCTGCAGCACGGATCAGGGGCAGGTTTCCCAACAGGCTGACCAACAAAGCGCATTTCATCCTGTTGCGTGTTCCCCGCTGTTCCCAGGATTCCGTCCACCCCTCCGTCGAGCAAAGCCGTTCAGGCGGCAGCCCTCTCTCAAACTTTCAAATAATCGAGCTTCGAGCTCAACTCATTACATCAACAGCCCGAGGAACATAACAAACATAAGAAAAGTCGTCATGCCCCAAGGCTTCGTCGTTGTCAAAAACAAGAATGGGCGCACCTCTTCCAGGGGGAGGTTCTCGAACTCGGGCAGGACTTCGCGGTGGGCGAACTCAATGTACGACAAAGGAACGTCCGCCACGTGGCCGCCGGCGAAGGTGAAGGGCGCGATGTCCGCTTCCGTGGAGGCTTGGAGGAGCAGTTTGTCCGGGCTGACTGCGGAACGGACAGAAAGCAGTATGAGAAAGAGATATGTAAGCCTTAATTTATTGCCTTTGGGGCCGGTGTCTCCGTGAAGAAGGCCGTAGAGAAGCGTATCGAAAGACTGTGTTTCAAGATCGCGGACCTGAAGAGTTCACAAAGAGTAATCACAGGACCTAAGACCGGAACTCACCGTTGATGAGGGATCCCCCTGCACCGTTCAAGGCGATCTGCTCCCTGTAGAGGAAGTTCACGACGTCGCGCAGGGCCATGCCTGGGCCCATGGTGAAATTGACGAAGTCGTGGCAGGTGATGGTGGTGTGGTTCAGGGCGTAACCGTTCACCAGGGTCCACGCGGCGTACTCACTCTCCCTGGCACGGATTCAAAAACTTTGTTGCAGTTCATTCTGCATGTGATAGAGCTTTTTGCGTCGAACTTTTTTAACAGTTCATTGTCCCATTTTATAGAGCTCTTTGTCTCGAAGTTCTTCGAATACTGGAAAGGCTTCCAACGGCTCAAGGTTGTGAACCACAAAATCTGGGGTGGTATATCTGGTGCAAAGAGCTGTACTTTTGATCGACATCTGGCAGCACAGATGGATCATGCTCTGGATGCGTTCGCACAGTTTACCGGTTCAGCTGAACGGAGAGCACCAAACCCACCGTCTCGATGCAACACAATCAGATACCCCCTGATCAAGCAGATGAGCGAGGCTCACGTGAAGAGTCAGACTTCGCAGTTTGAGCAATCAGCTCAACCGGCTCAAGAGCCACACTTCTCGACGGATTGACTGCTTTGACTGCCCGGGGAAAACTGGGGCTCTCAGGTGTATCACGAAAATTGCTTCCAGAAACTTTCTTACCTGGTCAGCTCGACGTAGTCCTTGAGCTCTGGCGTGCGCCAAGGGAGGCCGTGCACTAGACTCGACAGGGCTGCATGGCCGGCCAGCTGCCGGCCCTCTGACGTGTACTTCTTGATGATCGCCTGCAGCAGGATGCACCGTGACGTCAGCAGAGGAGCTTGGCAGCCGCAGGTGAGTATATTTTCAGGTGACATGGGTTGTCGGGACTCCGACAAAGATGAAGGATGGTACAAAAAAGCAGATCGTAAGGATTTCTCCTTTGTGGGTACAGATTTCGGAAGATGTCAGCGGACGAAGACGTCAACACCTACGACCGCTGACCAAGAGAGCGCGTTTCGCATTAACTCATTCTCTCGTTATGAAGATGAGCGTTGTAGGATTGCCCAAGCGGAGGGAGCCAGTTAATAAGCGTCTCACAACGGACTCGAGGCAGCTGAAATCTCTTCTTCAAAGAATCCAGCAGAAGAGGAGAGATGGCGCAGACGTCTATCCGATAGCACCATCAGAACCCTGTTGGAAAGCGCATCAGAACGCCGTCGGAAAATAGTCAAGCACGCGTGCCACTGCCCAGCTGTCTACCTGCGCTTTCTCGCTCAGCTGGTCCACCAGGAGCTCAGAGATGAAGACACGTGGCAGTGGACCGTCAGTCATGCTTGCGCCAGACTCCTCCACGGCTTCTTTCGGGGGGGAGTACCAGTAGGCGCGCAGCTTCTTGGCAGGGAAGCGAAGCTCGTCCCGCTGACGGTACCCCAGGTCAAGGAACATCTTGGCGATTGAATCGATGCCGTAGCCTTCCACCTGTGGGTTGAGTCAGCAGTGTGTGGCTGAGCAATGCTTTGATGTACGCGGTGTATTTGAGCTCGTTTGTAGAAACTCAGCAGACTTTCAGGGCTTCTTATGGTCTCATATTATCCGTACAATTTGCACGGGTAGACCCAAGGACCTCGAGGTGAGCATCAAGCGCAAAAGGTATTTGACTTTAATCCAGCCAGTCAAACAAGGTTTCACACTGTGCATCACACTGACTCCCGAAATAAAGCCAAATAGAAAATGCACAAGAAGACAGTAAAGACTAAGACAGATCCGACAGAAACGTTTCTCCAAACGGAAGGCTTTTTCTTGAGAAGCAGAGCGCAGCACATTTGACATCGCAGGGGTTTTTCTCATGGTGGATATAGAAAGGCTTTAAGAACCTCGATATGGGATCCTGACAAACAGCAGATATGTTCCTCACAGGGAACGCATTGAGTGCAGTTGACAGAAGACGTATTCGTTGCAAGTCTCCTGGAAGACTCACCCCAAAGGTTCTGAATGCGAAATGGTCAAAGCGAATTAACTCCCGCTCGCCAAGGATTGACATGACTTGTGCAGCTGTGGGGTTTCGCTTGACGTATGGTTTGAGCATGCCTTTGAGGATCTTCCGTAAGAGGGGATGAGCCGTCTGTAGAAACAAAGGTTCAGCAATCAGAGGATGGGATGGTCTGGTTGTAAGCAACCAAGCGCTGTTGGGCAGTATGCAGGAAGCCTGCCACTTGATTAAAGCAAAAAGTGACAGCATAACGGTGCGAATAAGCCTGTAAAGACCTGTCTGCTCTGCAGGAAGAAAGGAAGCATGGGACCAAACTCCAAGATACAGGACATGTTAGCTGATTCCGTTTCATCGTGGCTCATCAATATTAGGATGGAGTTGCTTGCGAAAAGCTCATTAGCTCATTTACAAATGCCTTTTAATCCTAGATACTTACATGACAAATTTCAGCTGAAAAGACAATATATACTGTGAAGTTTAGAGTTTCACCTCGCAGTCTGCAACTTCGCCCCCTGGAGTTTTGAGGGGCGCCTTTGCTTCCATACTGCATCCTCTGCGCGTCTCACTGACTGCATGTCCCTTTTCTCTGGCGAACGCCTTTGGAAGCTGAACAGGTGTACCGGTGAAGGAGCTGCTGGTCAATTGTGGTGCAGTCTGCCCCCCTGAATGCATCAGTATATGAGCAGAACTTAAATGTGCAGCATAGCAGCCTGTAGATAAGACCACTACCTAATGAAAATCATCAAAGATGGACCTTCTTTTCGAATGTTACACGTTGATCATGAAAATTTGCAGATCAACAGTCAGATTCCAAGGACCTTATATGAGAGACACTCATCTGCGAGTTTCTTCCGACATTTGTAAGCTTCTGCAGTTGGACTACTCCTGCTGCAGGGCACATAGTAGATCTCAGACTGCACCAGGGTCCAGTGGTCTCACAAATGGAAATGCAATTGCGTTCTTGGTTTGATAATTCTCTCAAGTTCTCAGATTGATGCTGAGCATGGAAAGACTCTGGGCTACTGAGTAATTGGTGATTGGCAAGACGAGGGTGGTTGACAGGTTTACCAGAAAAGACGTCAGCCAGTATCAGTATACACACCTTGGATATTGCTTGGTGCAAAGAAGTAGCGGTGCAGCCTCTCTGTGCCTCCCCCACCTAAAGTCGCTTGCAAGCTCATGGAGAGAACAGCGGGGGTGCGGGTAAACAAAGTCTCCATCTTTCTGCTCGCAGAGTGGCTACCTCTCTTATTTAGGTGTCCTTTGAAGCCTTTTTGGAAAGCACGTAGGACCAGGTAGATGGGACGCGTCAAAGACAATTTTGAGAAAAGGTGGTGGTAGAAGCGCCGCCTTTGCTTCTGATTGTTCTGTACCGAAGATTATATTTGGTTAGGTAGCTGGAGCACCTTGCAACGGCCTCACTTCAAATCATTGAATGCAAGCTCTCGAGGGCAACTGTTTGAGCTGGCGCCACCTCAGCTTCCAAAATTAGGGTTTGGCCTTTCATCCAAACCCTAATTTTGTCACCGTAGCAGCGCCAATCTTGATTTTGATATGTGGGTAACCTTGTTCGTCCTAGACGATCGTACGTTGCTGCTTGTGATATCAGCCATTCGAAACTTTCTAAAGGACCTTTCGGTTCGCTCACAAACAAGCGAAAAGCCAAAAGCTGTTCAGGTGAGGGAAAGCGACGTTTGAAAAGGGCGCCATGTTGAGGGCGACTTGCATGGGGCAACTCGAGCAATGCTCATTGCATCCAGAAAACTCCTGAGAAGTTGTTGGGATGGCCTGATAGGGTGGTCATTGAGCTGCCCCTGGTGGTAGTGGTGGTCATCAATCGTTGACGTCCCATGCGAGCCGTATACTTCTTGCTCCCTCAGCACTGACACCATGTCAAGCGGACAAGAGGGTGGTGGCCTAGAAACCTCGCAAGCAAGCAGAACTTATCAGCCTTCACTAGATTGGGACAAAGGCGTGTCTCAGTACCTGGCCAAAGCATTTGGCGAGGAGCGCTTGGCGGCTATTACCAGGGCGCTTTGGTACGTCAAAACTTTTGGTTCACTGTTGCACTTTCGGACAGTTCGTGTTGCGTTCATGTTCCAAACTCTTGACATTTCCTAAAATAATGTTTAAAAACATGTTCCCGGCAATGCAACTGTCCTGCCACCACTTGGCACTGGGAAAAAGCCAGCCTGGAAAAGCTGCACGCCAATGCCATGCTAGTCAGGCATATGAAGTCTGCTATAGTGGGCTGAACCGTTATGTAGGGATAAAGTCAGGGCAACTTGTGAAGGCAAATCATAGAAGGGGATCCCAAGGCTGTTACTTGAACGCCCCACTTCTTTTCATCTGCTAAGTGGAAACATCGCACCTGTTGCTGGCCAAGGACTGCTCTTTTCAGATTGTACTATGAACTTTCCATTACTATTGCCTGCGGTCTTTTCTTGGTCAGTATTGCATTCCTTTCAAACATCAAAATGCAGTGGCGCTGCTAAACCATCTGCGCACCAAGAGTGACCGTTCCAACTCCGCCACTGCAGCCACCCTTCCAAGACATCGTGCCTGCGTGTGAACACACTCACCACCACCAGCCAAGAAGTGATAGCACGCCTGGAGCAAGAATGTCGAACACAACAAACAGGAAGTGGCGTGGAGGGACAAGCTGCATTCCGTTGTTGGGAGCATGATCTAGTGCCAGGGGTTGTGATGGTCGCCGGATGGCCCCATACTGTAGATTACAGCGACAAAGATGGATTGCCCCTGAAAGAGGTGCTTGTGAGCAGGAAGTGCGGTGAAGCCGTTCTGAGGGGGGCAGAAGTGAGTTCTCTCAGGGGATGTCACTTCTCACATCCTAAGAACTCAAGGAACTATCTGACGTCTCTGGATCTTCCTGTGCAACAAGTCATGCTTTTTAACGGCTCAAGCTCAGCAGAACTCCACGTTTGAAGCGGGGCAGACTATTGGAAATCGTTGTCAAAACAGAAAGGTCAAAGCCTAGAGTTTCGGAAACAGCTTATTTTAGAGAACTTGGTTTCATTGTTCCGAGCTGAGACCTTCCGTCGACAAATTTCATCTCATACCTTTGTATCTACTCCACTTACTCGCTTTCAATGGGCCATATCCTGTGGCATATGCCTTTGTCCCTAGGGCCCTCAAGTAGGACACCGGCATTAAGAAAGTTAATTGAACGATTTTCTTCACGATCTCATTTTCAAGGCTATCATCATTCCATCCGTTTCGTTGAACCCAGGTCCACCCATCTCAAAGCTCTCTCAGAACTAACTTTTCTCCTTCCGCTAGGTCTTTGTCCCTGGAGTCCTGGCCTGCGAGGCTGCCATCAACGCAGGCGACGAGGTCGCTGTCTCCGTGCACGTCGAGAGCCTCTTCCCCGCCCCGACACGCGGCACCACTCTCGGCAGCTCTCACGACGCCGCCACTCCCTCCCGGGACCGCTGGTTCATTGGGCGGGGCCGAGCGCTCCTTTCCCGCGCCGCGATCTTCCGTCAGGAGCAGGGGATCGCGGTGGAAATGGTGCACAGAGTGTATTCACACCCGTCGCTGTATGACCTGACGACGCAGTGGGCGGAAGGGGTGTTCCTGCAGCATTTGCCCAGCGTGGTCGCCGCTTGTGTGCTCGGTGAGGAGTCATATGTTTTTTTCTGTCTCACGTGCTTAGCTCTTGACGATTACGAATGTAGGTGTCTGCAACTCTCCTACTTGTGCTTCCCGCTTAACTTTTCGTGGGGGCTCTGTTTTCTTTCGAATTGGATTGCTTTCAAATTTCTTTTGAATTGACTGATGGCTGTCAGAATGGCTGCCTGTCTCTACTATGAGAGCGGTCCAACGTCGGTGTGGATTGGCGGCCTCAGGTGTAAGTGCGCTAAGGCCCTCATATCTTTTAGTTGAACAGTCACGTTCTCAAGCCGTATCGAAGGGGCTTCAGCCTGAGTTTGGACGTATTGAAGCCTCTCAAGAACAACGCCATCATGACGTTGCCTGCCGCAGGTCCGAAGCCTGGCGAGCGCATCCTCGACATGTGCGCGTCTCCTGGGGGAAAGACCACCGCGATTGGCATTCTCATGAAGAACAAGGGGGAGATCATTGCGCTGGATCGTTCCCAGAGCAAGGTAAGTGGCCGACTCACTGGACTACTCTTTCGGGCGACCGAGTTGACGGTTTGATGCAATCTGCAATGGACCTGCTAAGGTCTCAAACATTATGATCGGTTGAAGCTATGCACCGATTGTTTCAGGGTCAGCCCTTGATACAACAAGTCTGCTCCTTGGAATCGGAGTCGACATCGTGACGCTCCGAGCTTTCCGCTTTTGGAACGTATTATTGAGAATTGTGGATCAGCGCGATCACAGTGCAGGCGTATAAGGTTGCTGATATCTTTCTCAGTTGAGCTCCCTCTCTGCATCATCGACCCTGTAACAAATGAATCAAAGACTGTATGTTGCACGCTAACACTAACCCCTGCCGAAGATCCCGCAGCTACGGCAATGGGTTCTGCAGATTGCCCCCTACTAAAAATGTAAGAAGTTTCCAACAGCTGGTCATACTGTTTCGCAGGTACAGCAGATTGAGAGGCTCGCGAGCCAGATGGGGCTGACCTGCATCAAAGCGTTCAAGATGGACGCCACGTTGTGCGTCCGAGAGCCGGCCAAACCGGACAGCGTTGCTGGCATGGCAGTCAGTGATTCTAAGGAAGCGGGGCGCAAAAAAGTATCGGAAACGGTGGAAGAAAATGGTGAAATAGACGGGATACCAACTCGACCAGAGCCATGCACTTCTGAAGAACTCATCGATGGTGGCCTTGAGAATAGGACGGACAGCTCCTCGAACGGTGTTGCAGAACCGGAGAGCGCGGGCGAGACTGGCCTTGCTGCGGAGTGGCGGTTAGCGGAGGTGCCAGTTGGAGTGGACGGAAAGGAAGGATCGGCCGATAGGAGAAATAGTAGCGAAGAAGCTGAGCTAGGGTCTAGCCAGGCGCTGAGTAAACAACTTGACCCAGAGAGGAGGCATGCTAATTGTGCCATCGAATCGCGAGAAGTCTCGCCTGGGGATTCGCCTAGTATTAGAATAGTACAAACTGGACAGACAAATCCAAGGGAGAGTAGCGTACATTCGAAGCCGGACAACACGGGCGATGAAACGGGAAACAATTACCGAGGGGAAACTTACGAAAGCGGAGAGCCTTGCCACAAGCATGCCGTCTCAGGAAGCGCGGACGTCCGAGTGGCCACTGATCCTGGCCATTCAGAACCCGGTCCAAGCCCCCAGGCGGAACCGGCCAACGTGAGAGCAGATTCTATCACACCTCCAACCATCGAATCTCTGAACACTTCCAGCGCGCCTAGAGTGTGCGACCGCCGGGGCTCAACGCTCGAGAAGCGAGCTCAGCGGAAAGAAGCACGCTGGCTGCGGTCCAATCAGAAGAGCGCCAAGCTCGACAAGCTGGAGCCCGGGAGCTTCGACCGGGTGCTGCTGGACGCGCCGTGCTCCGCGCTGGGGCTGCGGCCGCGGCTGTTCGTGGGCGGGGTGAGTTGCCCCGACCACTTTGCCCACTCTCTGCGAAGATCTCTCTACATCACTGATTCTCAGGTTGTGACCTGCCCATCACCTCGTAAACGACGCCGATGCTTTGCTGCTTGCGGCATGCCTATGCCACTTGAAAAGGAGTTTTGGCCCTCTTTTTCAAGGAACGGATGGCCATTTGCTCGGTGTTACGTGTGAAAGAAGACGACTTTGCACTACCAATTTTTGGAAACGCATTAGCACATACTGTCCTGGCTCTGGTTCAGGTCACTTTGCAATCTCTGCGTCAAGACGGAGTGTACAAGCGGCGCTTCTTGGACCAGGCGGTTAAGTTAGTCAAACCCGGGGGGTTTATTGTGTACTCAACGTGCACGCTTAACCCCGGGGAAAACGAAGCACTCGTCCGGTATGCCCTCGAAACGTACCCGTGCCTTCGCCTCGTGCCGCAAGTAAGAACCACGCCTGCGCTTTTGCTCGCAATCATTTTTGCTGGAACCCGTTCCAAGTTTTCGCAAGGATCTGATGCAGGGTTCCTCCAGGTTGACAATACGGATCTGGTCGTTGAATATCTTACAGAACGCGCTTCGTCTTACTTGTGTGAACGTTTTCAAAGTAGCAAATGCCGCTGTTGTTATCCCTTCGCAGATGCACGCAGATCCGATCCTCTTTTATCCTCTTTGCTTCGTCGACGTCCTGCTATTCAGCAGGATCTGCTTGAAACCAAGCAACGTCACCAAGTCCAGTACTTTATGCGGTACCGGGCAAAATGCTCTTGTCGACTTGCCTCCTCAGATCGGATGGAAACGAGTTTTGTCGGTCGTAAACCGACAGCCCGTTTTCCTATCCAACATCGTCCTGGTATATATGAAGGTTCTGATCAACTGTCAAATGGAAGAGAATTCCATAATTCACCCTCTTGCAGGAGCCACGGCTTGGAGGTCCGGGACTGGTTGGTGGTGGTGACGTCTTTGACGGTACAGGTTACAGGTACGCTTCACGCCAGACATTGATCATCTCGGTCGCAGCTGTCGAGAGGCTTCCGTTGTTGTCGTCCTCTGATCCACTCTCTAATAGTCCTTACTGAATGTCGTTGATCGCGTTTCTCTCACTGCCTTGATAGGGGCAGTTTCTCAGGGGGTCATCTGGACTTCACCTCCTAGGCTTTCTATCAATCATGCAATCAACTCTAATCAAGGTCTACAATTAAGCAGCTAAAAACATGTTGAAGCACTGAAGCGGGTTCCTTGTCCAGGGAATGGCTGCGGGAGGGGGAGCAAAACTCGGTCCAGCGATTCGACCCAGATGGACCGTTGGATACTATTGGTTTCTTCATTGCCAAGTTTCAGAAATCTGGAGCCCAAACTTGACTCTAAGAGCTCCATGAACGATTGTACGAGGACAGCAAGGATTTGCCGTTGCACGTTGCTTACATAGGATTTGTAGTTGAAAGCATTTGTGCAGACAAAGTTATAGCTCGATGGTATGTGCCCACTCATCCTTTGCATCATGAAAATTCAACAAGTTTTGATCCGTCCAGACACGGATCAAAGCTTGCGGGATGCGTGAACCGGCACGTGATCTGGCACGACCTAGGTACAGATCAATGCGAGCTAGGAGATTTGTGATCGAGAAGCTCTAGGTTCGCCCATGCACACGCTCTTTAGATGGTCATGACTGATGATTATGCTCTCGAGATGTAATGTCGAAAGTGTTTGTAGATCATCTTGATGATGCAAGTGGCTGCATCGTTCAATCTATTGTTCCATCGTGATAGCTGGCTAGATGCTCAATCTGCCGTCGCGCGAGGAATTCGCGAGGGGCGAACTGCTGATAAACCGCTGAATCATAATGCTGCGACCCTGGGCCTGGGCTTTTCCAGCAAGCGAACAGTGGGATCCCTCGCATCGGACGGTGCACATTCCTGAGTTCCTACAGATCGACGGTTGTGAGGCCTACTTGCCACACAGTACAAGTGCCGGTCTTGGTCTTAGGGCGCGAGAGTGTAATTTTGCGAAGTTCCGTCGTCTTTGGCCCTTACAAAAGTCAAAGGGAAAGGGCGCTAAGACGGAAATTGGTGCCCTTTCAGCGGCAGCCATCAGCAGGTTTCACCACCCCGCAAGCAGGCTGAGCAGCCGGATTACTTAATACGGCGGCATGACGCAGAATGGACATCTGCAATGAAGCAGCCGCAAGCAATGTTCCAGGTGATCGGTGCAGCTTTTCTATTCGTATGGTACTGGTGCACATTCTCTGTATGATCATTGTTCTTGCCCTTCTGAGTTTGATGCAAAGGTGGTGCAAGATTTTCTTTTTGCTGCAGCTTTTGTTGATTCAAGTTTCTTTGTTCTTATGATGCGAGCAAGACAACAAGAGTAAGGGCTGTGATCTTTGCAGCGAGCATAGGACCTTCCTGAAGAGCTTCTGGTACTTGAAGAGACGAGCATTGAAGATCTTGAAAACCTACGGCACGAGATGGGTTTCATTGCTTCCTGTGTGCAAAGATCTCACTAAAGATTCTCCTCTTGCATAGTTGTGTCGCTCAGAGTTCGAGCGAACCGTTCCCAGAAAGCCACTCTAAGACCGCGACTTCCAGCCAGTGGTGAATCAATGAGGTCCACGTCACGTCTAACTTTGATACCACATCCTCAATCAGGGACTTTCAACATATTCGCAGGCGCCACCGCGCTTGCCCCTCAAGAACCACGCCCAATGCCCCCCATGGCAGAGCAGCCGCTCCAGCCAGAGTATGATGTGACTGTCGGGCATGGCGGCGGGTATGGCTACGGATTTGCAGGTAAGGGAAAGCTGCCTTTTAAAGCACATTTTAGCAAGCAGCTCTTCATTTGACTAGCTGAGAACAAGCAACGTCGATCTCCTTGCCCAGTAAGATCTTACGCTTTTCTGAATGATGCCATAGACGTTGGCAAAGCAGGCCAGCAACGTTCCTGGTCTTTAAAGGCTGCAGATTAAAGTTAGCAAGCTCGCCCTTTCTGATCCGCAGAGTTTTCTAATCTGCAGAAGCCATGGGGCACAGCCCTGTGCCTGGAACAGAGGACCTTGTTGCAGTCTGGGCCATGCCAAGTACAGCCACAATTGGACCCCAGGAACCACCAAGAACTCTGGAAAAGGTGCGCTTCACAGCGCTCACTGCTAGTCTCATCCCCAGCAGTCCCTTGTGTTCCTAGCAGGAGGCTTATTTGGGACGGTCAATAAGAAACATGTCAAAGAAGAGTTGGATGACTCCAAACAATGAAGGGCTTTGGTACATGAAAATCTTTACAGCTTCTGGTTCTGCTGATGAGCTGAGACTGGAGCTGGAATATGCATATCTTTGCTTTAGGAAATTCACAACCAGTCTTGTCAGTTGCGCCGCAATAGCATTCTTTAGAAATCTCAGTAGTGGGAGCTGTCAGTCCTGCGACAGAATAGAGGAGCTATGTTAGAAGTAGTGGGAAAGCGTCTATGAACCACCTTCCATACCAAACAGACAGACCAACAGCAAGATATGCCACTGCTGTCAGGTCCACCTTTTGGCTGCCAGAGGCGAAAAGGAAAGTGTCCAGATAGCGCTGCGGCCGCGATGCGCGTGGGGCCCATCGGATGGGGGCCAAGGAGGCGAGGTGGAGATCCACGTGTCAGACTTTCATTCGAGCAGTGGCGAGTGCCTGCGGATAGGAGAGCACGTGACGCTGCGCAGGGTGCTGCCAATGTGTGGCGTGCCGGATGCGCTGGTGCCCATGCAGGTGCCAACCTCATGCTTGCATCTGCCCCATGGGTGAGAGTCGCTGAACAAATGATGAGGGGAGAGAACAGCAAAATAGGTCCCCTTTCATGATGCTCAGGTCTGGTCATTTCGGAAATGGTGAGGGATGTTTAAATGCGAGGGCTGCAGGGGAAGGGCCAGTGCTACTTGATTTGTGTGGCTTCCGGTGTTCTCCCTGGAATCTCAACGCCGAGGCTGCTTGATTGCGGTCACCGGCTCATCCCAAGACACATATGCTTGCGCCCTTGCGCTGACGTCCATCATTTGATCGGAGCATGAGGTGAAAGAAGCCCTCAAAAAGACGTTCTTCTGTCAGAGGAGTTGCTGAAGTGCCCAGCTCTATAAAGCCAGGATTACAGTACCTATGGTGACCAGCGCCTACTGATTCTAAAGCAAGGCCTTTCTGTTCGAGTACACTTACATCTCCAAGATAGTTCGGTTCCTTAACCTGCAGGGAAACTGCAGCCCTGTGGCTCTCGTTGGCTGTTCCCTCCGGACTGAGTCCAGGCGTTTACGAAGGGGAGGTGGTGGTTGAGCCTGTTGTTGATGATACTGGGTGAGGACGTCGAGAATGAGGAAAAATCTCATGTCCAAAAACACGGTTTACGTTGGTGCCATGCTTTGTCAACGCATCTGGGTTTCCCCTTACTAAGATCTGTGCCAACGTTCCAACGACCTGCCCAAATTCTGCTCAAAATTATCCCAGCTTTGCTCAAGTATTTTGAAGATGCGTTCCAAGGTGTTCTTCAAGCTGTAAAGCTGTCAGACACCGAGATACTGACAGTGAATACTAATCTAAGCAGTTTTGTCAACGCAAAACTCTTCTATGTGGACTTTCATGACCATCGAGATCATGGAAAAAAGTCTCTCAAACGTATACGAAGTCTGTCACCACTTCCTTCGAACCTCGGAGCGCGTCTTGCTGAATCCAGTGGAAGATTGGGGTTTTGCTGCATGATGGCTGAGCTGCATGCTGATTCTGCTTTGGCAACTCCCCCAGGTCAGAGCCGATGGAAGTTAACGGCCGCGCGGACTCCCTTCGAGACGGGCTTTGCGAAATTGTCGACGAGTTGGGGCAACGACTGGCGACTGGTGAAGATGCTTCGGACCGTCAGGTGAGCAGGCTGTGAACTCAGCCCGAGTTTGCTTGACCACTGAAAAGTCCTGGTCAACTAGTGCGAGAGCCGGACTCCCCGGTCGGTTGTCCGTGGGGTCTGGCGGAGCAAGAATTGCTCGCCGACTTCTTCTGGCCCTGAGGTCGAGCTCGACAGCAGTTTTTTCCATCAGGCTGCGGAAGCGAAAGCTGTTCTTTGCCTTGAGTCGCCACAAGGGGTCTATTAAGCTGAACTGAAGACCCAGCCCCTCACGTCAGGGTGGTTGAAAGGGCCACGGTTGCTTTCGTCAGCTGCACTGAACATTGTTTGCAGGGGAGAGCTTAATAATCTTCAAGCAGCTTCACATATGGCGAAGCGAAATTTGAGACAGGAAGATCCTTCCAGAGTACCCATGAGTCATCAAAGTGCAAACCGTCTTGTCCGCTTTAGTTGGGTTGAAAACAGTGAACGCTTCCAGACAGGACTGTACCGATTAACTGGGTTTCTGATCACTTTCTTTGCTTATTGAACACCGTTGCCGGGCCAACCTAAGCACTCTTCTCGGCTTTCCGGACGTTGCACTTCCGTCTCTTAGTCGAGCTTTTCAGAATCCTATGATAGAGCCTAGACCCCAAACCTCTCCTTCTCCGCAGGAACTGCACTCCGTCGAGCGCCGCCTGCGCACATTACTCCGCCAATCGGAGCCCGTTCACACCCCCAAATCCGAGCCCGTTAACACCCTCAAACCCCTCACCAACGGGCACGCCCACCCGCCCCCCGACGGCCCGCGCTCTTCGCAGAGCATCCGCTTGCCCATCTCGATCGTCGTGTGGGACTTCGTCCTTCCGACCACTCCTAGCCTGCCAGCTGTCATGGGTGTCAGCGACAGCGTGATCGAAGACCGCTTCCAGGCAAGCCGACGTCATTATTCCTTTTCCATTATGAATCTTTCTGTGATTCTTTTCCGTTCGTCCTCTTCGGAAGCTTTTCACGCCGGATTCGGCTCTTCTTGCCCTCCGTCACGTACTTTCAACATAAGAACTGCAAGCAGAGAGCAAGTAGGGTCGTGCTCCGGGCCGGTGGATGTCACGATTCCCAGCTGGGCCGGAACGCTGTCATTTGTTCGATCTACAGCCGATTTGCGTGTGACCTAGCCCTAAAAGCTCTGATACCTATCGGGACCATAACCAGGCTTGCGAGCCAGTTCGGGTAAGCTTATCAATCGCAGCTGTTCCACCCAAGGCGACGGCGAAACTGACCGTTTGATAATCTCGGTCACCCGAGAACTTGAACACCAATTTCTTGCTTGGCGTCTGTAGCTATCCCGGGGGACGGACGATTGGTGCGCGGCGCTCGACGCGCATTTCCAGTGGCTGCTGCCGTTCCGGGTCAGCCCCTACTTCTGCCGCTGGGAGCGGGAGATGCAGGTCTACACGTACACGTGCCCCTGGCCAGGTCAGAAGAACCTGCATTTCGGGTCGATATTACTTTGTCAATTATTATGATCGACAATTTGGCATTCTGAATGTGCTCGCAGTAGAAAAAGGTGCGACTATCCGGGGTCTCACTTATCAGGTAGCAGGACTTTGATGCATGTGGGCCCTCGTTTGATTTGATGGCCGCCGCTATGGGCTGATGGCCGCCACTGTAAGCAGGGTCGTCAATGTGGTGATTCAACGGCTACGAGAACGTTTTCACAGGGCGTCTCCATTCTCGCAGCTTGGAAGGGGAAATGGAATCCTTCTGGCATTGTTTTAGACATAGTCTTGAATCCGATACATCCTATTCGTGTGCCTCCAGTCGATCACCCTCGAGCGGAGGCGTACTATTCGGACCCCCGGTTGTCCGCATACGCCCTGCCGTACGCCGGAATGGACGCCCGCGGCTACCCGGTGGAGGGCAAGGAAGCGCTGCTGAAGTTGCTGGGGGCGCTCAAGGACCGACCGCACTTCAAGAAGGCGTACTTGTGAGCACCCCTCGTCGCAAAAGCATCCTTGCTCCCTTCGGCTGATGTGCCTTTCGGCTGATGTGATTGTCAAAAGTCGATTGCATTTTTAGCGCCCCTCCAGGTATCGGTTGGTTTTGACTCAAGCCACATTATCATGTCCTGATTTTTCCATCTTAGTGCCTCATCTGTACGTGAATTTGGGCATTCAAATTGTGAATTCATCGTAGTCTACTATCACACAAACGACGAAAATGACCTCCCGGCAAAGGTCAATCAGGAAACAAACTCTTATTTGCTCGTCCTCGTATCATCGCGTCCCACATTCATGCAACTCTCCGGCGTTGTTCGTACCAACGTTTGCGTCACTTGCCGTCGTTGTTCTTACCGACGCTGACGTCACTCCCCGCAGCTACCTGTGGGACGAGCCCACCACGTCCGTGCAGCACGCGCGCATCCGCGAGATGGCGGCCGAAATCCACGCGGCCGCGCCCGGCGCGCGCGTGCTTACGACCTACTACTCGGGCGCACGCGACGGCGCGGTCGGCCCGCAGACCATCGACAGCCTGCTGAGCGTCCCGGAGATGCTGCGGCCCCACTGCCAGGTTCATTTTATTTGTGGTCTTTTTCGTCGTTTTCAATATAAGCGGGGTTGTCGAAGGTCTTGATTCTTTCAGCAGGCATGTCAATCTTCAACCCGTTTCGTCCGAGCTGTGCTGCCTATTGAAGTCATTTGGTGTAGAATCTGCTACAGTGTGTGTCTCATACTGTTTGAAATCTCCGGCCGACTGGAAACACCGACTTCTTTCGAATTTGGCTGCAATATCGTGACGGGTTTGGAATTGGTGCAACCGTGACATGCGTATGCTTTTCGTCAGGTGCACTGCGTCAGCCAGTGGGCATTGGCGGGGCGCGAGGATGCGGCGGAGGCGATGGGGGCAAAAGTCCGGGCGGAGGAGGGAGAGGTAGGTTCAGAATTGATTACGCTTAAGGCTATGCAGGGACTTACATCCAAGGCTTTTGCAAGCTTGCCAGGAAGCTTCGTCTTTTTCTTCTATCTCTTGACATTGGGCGTGGCGAGGGTCAGTGCAGGGCGAGATAAAACAAGTGATGTCGGCGCTGCGCTCGGATTGTTGTGTTCAGGAGGAAGGGATAAAACCAGGGGCTTACTGTTTCAGTCGGTCTAAAAGGAATTAATGCAGAATCCTCTGCTGTTTTGAGGAGCCTTCCGTTGGTGTGCCTGCTATTTCCTAGGGACCGTCACCTTCTCTCATCGACTGTCAAAATTCGGGGAGCGAGAAGGTCTGCCTACGCAGTCCCCGCCACCCGTGCAGTTCGCCGGCCAAGCATTCTCGAGCCGCTGTCGGTCATGAACTGCCACTGCGGAACATCGTGGGCCAGTCGCCCGCGACATGCTGAGCGTTGCAGCGTAAAAGAGACAAAGGCTCCAACTTTTCATACGCATTGGTGAATTACTTTGGAAGACATCTCAAGAAGTACTCGAGAAAAAGGCCTCAATTGCTGAGCTTTGCGTATTTTCCCGTCAGGAGTGGTGGTCGCACGTGTGCATGCGCCCCGGCGACCCGCAGCCCAACCAGTCGCCCGCAACATGCTGAGCTTGCAACGTCTGGGAAACACTTTCCAGTCTGCTTATGGATCACCTTGAAAGACATTCTGTCAACACACCTGAAAAGTCCCCTAAGAGTCCTGAGCTGTGCCCTCTCTCCCGCCAGCAGTGGTGGTCGTACGTGTGCATGGGTCCCGGCGACCCGCAGCCCAACCTGCATTTGGGCATGCGCGGCACCCAGCAGCGGGCCGTCCTCTGGCGGGTCTGGAAGGAGGGGGGAACCGGGTTCCTCTACTGGGGCACCAACTGCTACGACAAGGCGCGCGCGCCCTCCGCCGAGGTGAGATTGAAGCTCTTTGTTGAGTGCAATTCACTCAAGTGACGCTGCTGACATGTGAGGCGGTAAACGAAGACTCGTCCAGATTGCTGCTCGGGGGTTGGAAGTCGATGTCGGAAGCGTGACTTTCCGTGCTTATCACTCACGCAGTATTGGGTCTCAAGTTTCTACTGGTCACTCCCTGCGGTGTTGGTTCTGAGTTGAGCAACGATTGAGCTTAAGCGCTGCCTTCGCCATGACGATCCAATACAGCAAAACTTCAGCCTGGTGATTGTTGCAGCGCTTTGGACCGCCTATCTGTCAACGCGCAGAGATTGGGAGACTTGCGCTTTGGAACCTCTCGCCGACCTGCCTAGCCCGTCTCATATCCATTTTCTCAACCCTCTTAGCACAGATTTCTTACACCCCTGCCTTCGCCCCCGTGTCAAAACTCGCCTCACCCAGTTGGGAGTCAACCGTGTCCTTCCTCCCGGCTGAACCTTCCTGTCATTTCTGCGTCCGCAGATCCGCTTCCGGCCGGGGCTGCCTTTCGGCGATGGCGTTCTCTTCTATCCGGGCCAGGCTTTCTCCCCTGAGAACACCGAACCCGTCGCTTCGTGTCGCCTTGAGCGCTTCCTTAGTGGAATGCAGGTAAAAAGTGCAAACCTGTTCGTTTGTCAACGGACCTTGGCGTCTTGGCCTTGCTCTTTCCGTCATCTGCCTCTTTAGGCTCCCCTATTGCGAGGTCTCGTTTTGGTTCAACAGACTCTTGTGTATTGTCATCATCTAAGCAATATCTGCACGAAAGAATGCTTCCAGTCTCTGGAAAGGGAGCGGAGGTTTGCAACATTCCGTGCTTGCTTCTACGGTGCGTTGTCTTCCTTGACGAGCAGTGAAGACTGCCTTCGGTCGAGAATCCGAAACGGACGTGGAAGCAGCTTGATGACCAGTGGCGCGACGAGGGTGCTCCACCCTTGAATCTATCAATCATCTTGGCGCATACTTGCGATGACAAGAAGCATACAGGTCCAAAAGCTTTGGGCACGCCTTCCCATTTCCTCGTGCTATAATTTGGATCCTGGTCCAACCAAAACCTTCGGGTAACCGACTAGACGCCCGATCTACTGCCCGGTATTGGGATTCGCCCTTGCCGGTTGTTCCATGGACGACTACGTAGCCGAGGCTTGAACGCGTTACTCATTCCGCCCCCCTATCAGAGCACACACCTTTCACTTTCAACCAAGTTCTACCACATAGCAGACCCTTGTCAAAAGGTCCTCGAAGAAAGGAGTTCTGCTGAGACACTGCTTCCTTTCTGTGCAGGATTATGAGTATCTAACACTTTACGCACGCATGTACGGCCGACCAGCCGCTCAGTCTTTGCTCGCGAACTCCGGAGTGTATCTGAACCCTGGCGTTTGGACCCCGGAACATGGGCCCGTGGACAACTTACGAGACGAAATTGCCAGAGCTTGCTCAACGCTTCTTGCATAGTGATTCCTTGACGTTGAACAGGGCACACAGTCTTGCAGCGCAGACTTGTTGTGTCTTTTATACAGTGGAGATCAATGAGCTACGATTGTGAATCCGAGGGGGACAGGTCGATAACCAGATAGAGCCGTTATTGAGATTACTTACTTGCAGAGTAAACTCGATGTTGTAAGAGCTGTGGTAACATTTGTGTACTGTATGTGGCCCTCCATTCTGTGCTATAGAGTTTGCAACTTTTGGGACTTGGTGTACAGGGATCTGCCTCCACAGATGGATCAGAGGTATGTGCAACAGACACATCACTGTAGATCTTGCTGAGCGCGAGTTCATAGGGCCATAGTCAAAGGTCATACATAAATCTGAACTGGGGGAACTTTGCTCATTCAGTTGAGGTGTATCTTTTCGCATGCACTGCCGTTATCAGCATCCGTGGCTTATGTATGCCCCGTCGCTTTCAAATTGATCTTTTTCCATGTAACATACTACGACGCCCCTACGACGTGTGCTGTTGACTCATGTGACGTATCTCTGCAATCTGCCTGCGAGCACGACTGAAGAAGAGATCACTAGTCTCGCACTCCTCCGATGCGCTCGCGGGAGGCAAACAAGTATGTGAAGGCTGAATTTCGGAAGTATGCTCGTTTTGAGGGGGAAGGCCGAGAATTGTGCACGCGGGCCTGCATGTACTCACCGTACGTGCGTGAGGCCACTTTAGCAACCTTCTTGGAGGTATTATCAAACATGCTACGCCGCTCGCAAGTTTCTGTTCTGTATCCGGACTGACGGTGACTCTGGTAATGGCAGAGGCCCGCGCGGCGGCGCGGCCGGCGCGCCATCCGACGCCGTCGGCCGGCACGTAAGACTTCCGGCAGGCTGAGGCCAGCCTGCAAGCAGCAATGTGCGCGGCGACCAAACATGTAAAGGTAAGCTCCGTACTGACTCCAGCACCGCGAGTGTGGTCGCCGCCAGCAGGAGGCGAAAGCCTGAGTCTACTTGCAACTAGGGCGGTGTGCAACTACAGAGTAGTGGCGGTAATGGCGACAAAAGGTTGGAGAAGCCGATCTGCATTGGAAAGTGCTGGAGCGCAGCGCAGCCGCCGCCGCAGCGACAAAGGATGCCGCTCGTTTCTTTCACAAGTTTCAGTTTCAGCAACGCGTTGGGAGAGACGTGGGAGTGTGCTGCTTTAATTCCGAGCAGCTCAGGTATGTCATTCTCAAACTTTGCCAGTCTTGTAGTGTGCTCAATTGGAGAGTGGCAGTGTTATGCACCAATCTGCGTCTTTGTTGATTATAGTCTGCGAAGGGGGTACCAAAGAGATGCCATCACGCAACGCTTTGAGCCTCCTTCTTGCTGCTCCGTGCTGCTGTTGCTCCTTATGTTGACCAGCAGCACATCTATTTGCTTTCGACAACCATCCCTCGAAGCGTTTGAGGAGGTCTGTTATTTTGCCGCAATGCTGAGTCCTGTCGCTTGGGTTGTAACATCCTTCTTTTCTGTATCTTTCTGTGAAACCAGATTTTGCAGTCAGCTCTGAATATGGCACATTTACAAGCAGCCAAGCTCCAGATGATGACAGTTTCCTTCCTGAGGTTTCTTTGGAAACACTGCAGGAAAATATAATGAACTTCTCTGATGGACGCTTGGTTGTGCTCTTCTTTAATTGCTCATGCCACCAATGTCCAGAGCCCCACCCCTCTCTCCTGCCCGCCTTTTTGCATTAGAGTTTCGATTTCGATTCCTAGCAACCATTTGAAAGCAGCAAGAAGTTTTTGGCAGGTTTGTTATTTGGATGTGAATGATAGACTCTGGCTATTCCTGTCTTGCTTCTGCCACAACTGGTGATGACAAATTCAACAAAACCGGAGCTTACGAGCTGTGGGGATTATCATATCTACTCAAACCCCTGAGGTTATGGCAGTAAAGCTGAGAGAGTCAGTGTCTCCATTTGTGGCAGCTTACTGTATGCTCGATAATGGACAAGACCAAGAAGATGGCGTGAAAGTTGAAACCACAAGGAGGATCTGTGTCGCGTTGCTCTCCATTTGACTGTGTCAAGAATGTGCTGGGATTACTTGGCCAAAGTCCTCACTTGTGCATCCATAGTCCTCACTTGTGCATCCATTACCACTGCAGATTAGTACTCACTGGCGCATTGCGTCTGTTCACGGGTTCGTTAGTCTATCGGTTAGACGCATTGAATTCCTTCAAGTGGTTTGTTCATGGTGAAGCTAGCAAAGTTCCATCCAGATTGTTGACTGATCAATAGTCTGGCCTACCTTTGCTGAGAGTAAAGCTCAGTACCAATCTGTCCTGCCTGGAGGGGTGAACCCATTGAGTTGTCGGGGCTGACCTGTCTTTGACTGCTTGCAGTTGTCTGATTAGGGGTTGACGCTGACATTGTAAATGCCCACTGGATTGATTCTTACACAACCTGCTCCATTGTTTACAAATGTCAGGTTGTTTCATCTTGCAGGTGTGGTCTGGCAACCATCAAGGGTAGACTTCTCAGATTGTGAGTGTTTAGTTTATTGGCGCTAACTTGGATCGCAGATAGCAGGCTTGATATTGGTTTCCTGATGTTGACTTCTGGCGATGTCATCTGTAGACACCTTCCTTTTCAATCCTCGCGTACAATTTCGATCTTCGTGTACAGTTCTTCTCATGCTTGTGGTGGATTGTGTCTACAAGGAATGGCATGCAATTCTGGACGCTTTCTAGATCAAGCGAAAACGTGTATGCATATGCAGGGATTCCGAATACTTGTCCAGGTGTGATCCGCCATATTCAGTGACGATATATCCACGATTGCAATGTTTAGACAAAATGTGACCGAGGTTGATAATAGCTGTATACTCCTTCATTTACCGGGGTACTTTTGACTATTTTGATTCGAGCAAGCTGTGTAAAATCTGCCAACACTGGCGTCAACTCGCACAGTAAGGGTGCTCATACTGTGACATACCTAGCGCGGCCTATAGCTGCATAGGTAGATTTTTATAGCTGGCATTATACGCACGTAGCGCAACCATTAGTGTAGCCGCTCAGCATGGGTGACCACATGTAGTCCAATCACGCTCGTTGGAGGGCTTGTACATGTTCGAAATTGGATGTATATTTATTCGACGAATTGCATTGACCGGCGCAAGTGACTTATGCCACATGGTTCTGACCATGGACAGCGGAGCTAGCCAGATGTTTTGCGGCCACTGTGCTACGGTTCATTCACACCAATATTAATCGCATACGAGCGAAGTTTCAAAATTGAATTGCGGCAGTTCATTTGACTTGTGATTGAATGTGCAATGCCTGTATTACGCATGCTACCCTCCATGGAAGTTCTAGGCTTGATTTGAATGCCTCTAAATGAAGTTTAGGGGCACACATTAATCATGATAAATTTGTAATGTTGCAACACGCAAATTCCTGATGAGTCAACAAGCCTGCAAGGCATTAGTAGAGACGTTCACTCTCACCCGCTTCGTGATCACCTTGACTGCCTATACTTGATTACGACCGCGGTCCCAAGCCCACCACTCGAGCCTACTTGTACGTACAACTCAATGCAAGTTGGGACACACTCCCTTGAAGGGATCAGGACATCGAGCATTTACAAAGTATCTTGCTGCGAAAGTTATGCATATCACAGTGCGCAATCAGGCTTGATCTTGAGTGACAAGGCCTTTGCGCAATCTACAACTGACGAATCAATCCAAAGCAATGTAATTCACGCTCCACCCGTTTTCTATAGGGGCACAAAAGCCCTTCTGTATGCAGGTAAGCAGGTCAAACCAACATGCCGTACTCGACTCCCTGTACTAATATGCACACCGCTTGACCATTGCTTCTAGTTGAAACTTCATTGCCCCCACCATTCCATCAACCTTCTTACCCCCTTTGTAGATGTGAAATGTGGGCATAGAGCGCACCCCCGCTTCTTCTGCCACCTCCGGCACTTTGTCAACATCCACTTTCAAAAACTTGACATGCTCGTACTTGGAAGAGAGCGCGTAATACGTCGGTGCTGGATGGAGAGGGGGCCCAGGCACGTTAGGCTCTGGTTGAAGCTTTCATTTTCCCATCAAACAACGGCAGATTAAACCGGAAGTCACTAACGGGAACAACTTTCTTCTGACCGTCAAAACCAACAATGGAGTCAGCGAGTACTGTAGGCGATTGAGGAGCAAGGCCAGTTTGAGATACTGTGGTAGACAGAGGGTGGAAATGGACAAGGTGCAAGAAACTTTGAGCTTCAGCCCTCAAAACATCGCTCACGGAACAAGGGTATGACGTGGTGCAGCCAGCTGGCAGGGACTTGCGTTGGTCGATTGGAAGACACAGATGCAGGAAGACCACCAAGATTCACGTCATCTGAAGCTGAAGCACACTCACCTATTGTTTTACAGGGCCCGCACCAAGATGCTGTGAAGTCGACGACCACCGGCGTTGTCCCAGCACTTCTAAGTTTGCTGTCCCACTCAAACTTTGATCGGATTTCTTCCACGCGCCCGTGGTCTTGAACCTGCTCGACAGGAATGGATCAGCAAAATCCCAAAACTAGGACAGCGTAGACCCTCAACAAAAGGCCAATGCGGGAAACTGGTCCATAGGACGATACCTACAATTGCAACGTGTGCAACAACGTTTCTCTGCATCACTGCGGTGGCCAGTGCTAAACAAATATGCAACCTTCAACGTCACAAATAAACTAATATGCAACCTTCAACGTCACAAATACAAGAGACTTGAGGTGTAGCATGTTTGCATGATTGAAAGAATTGCAAGTCGTGGCGGGTTCACACAATAAAGATACGTGGCCCCTGATCAACTCTCAATGTGAGGATTTTGAGCAGGATGATGATCTGACCTCTGTCTCAGCTGCCGGCAGGTCATAACCAAACAAGGAGGCAAAAAAGTGCTGCATCACAGAAACATAACACTTTGTCATTGAAGCATTGAAGCATTGTGCAGATGCATTGAAGCTCTTCTTGGGGTGGTTCACAGAAGTGAGTGCAGCGAGCTTGTAAACAATTGAAATCAACCACAGCCCCCCAATGTTATGCTTTGACTGCCCCTGCCCCTGTCCGCTTGTGCTAATCTCCATGTTTAGAATCAAACGTTTGCAACAATTTGGTACTTTCTGAGTGACAAGGTTAGAGAGTGATCCATACGCACAGAGGCAAGGCCTCTCAATGAACGCAGCACAATCAGACTTTTTGCGACCAGGACAGACTGCTTCATTGCTCTATCTTCGAGACCCTACTTTCTACAAGGAAATTTCCAAGTTTCACTCTGCCCACTGGCACATCATCTTACTGCCAGTGGATCCGTCTGAACCCCGTTTGCTCAATTTGCTGACTCAAGCTGCATGAGATGGTGGTGCTATGAATGGGTCCACTCTTACCTGGATAAAGTTCCACAGTCCAATGAAGATTCTCGGAAACATGATCGCGAAAGGGATAACAAGGGGGTACAAGCACGCCACGCAGACCTGTTTTGCAGAGGAAGATGACAAGCAAGTCGATGATTAGTTCCTTTCATAGACAAAGTTGAGTTTTCAGCTTACATTGAAAGTGCATAAGCACAGCAATAGAAGACGAAGCAGAGGCATATGACCATACAAAGATACTCGAAGCAAATGACTGGAAGCTCTGCAATCAACGAGCCTTGTCCAAGCAAAGGACCTTGCCACTGCAGTGCGTATGCAGATTCAGTGCTCACCATGGCGGTCGCCTCCTGCCTTGATCAGCGGACTTTTGAGAATGGCAAAATGACTGATCCTGCACCTGGAATTAGGGCTACCTTTCCCTACACTGTGACTAGGCGTGCAAAATTTTGCGGGATCCCGTGGTGTTCTACCGTGGGGGGTACGTTATATCCACATATCCGGTGGGAGCTCGGCCTGGCCTACTGCCTTGTGAGCAAGAAGCCCCTCAATTCGGCACCTTCGTATTGCCAGTGGCTGGTAAGCGGCGTGCTGTCTCAATTGAGGGGGGGGCTTGAACATGACGCATGAGTGGTGCATCAGCTAGAACTTAGAAGATTGATCACCAGGTCAGGTGATTTTAGGGTTTGAGGAAGCAGAAGAAGGGATGCAAAGGGAGGGTAGGAAATGTCGTTCCAATATGCATATAATAATATGTGCGACTATGAGTAGTGCCCTTCTGCCGGGCCTTCTCAGGCTTCTGCATTGGGAGTCTGAGAAGTAACATTCGATGCGGTGAGGCATTGTGGTCGCCTACATACAGACAGACACAAAGACTCCGTTTTGATGTTACAGGAGCGCTCCGGATAAATCATCTTGGGTAATGTGGGAGAATGCCCGCTCAAAGCATGGGAATGCCTGAAGAGACCGAGGCTGCAGGGACAAAGCGCCAAACTGCGAACGTACTTTGGTCTGGTATTGCGGATGAAGACGAGGTATGTTTGCCTGTCCACATTGCTTAAACCTTGATAATTGCTTCTCTGATGGTTGCTTCGCTCTTTTGTCGCCTCCGTTGCTCTCACTCAGTCCCTAAACTTAAAACTGTCCTCCAATGAGACGCTTCAATATGTGCCGGCAGAGCCTTCTGTGGTGCTCTGACTTCTCCCCATCCGTGTGTAGAAGCTTGGTGGCAAACAAGTGTTCCTTTGCATCAATCCATTTCAAGTCAAGACGCTACTCATGGATCAAGACCGTTCACTAAGCTAACTTCTGATGCAGCAGCGGACGCCTCCCTGGCTTTCGCTTGTGATCCCCTGGGGCTTGGCGCCCGGGGTCTTTGCAGCTTTTAGCAACATTGTGTGGGCAGTACAAACCCGGAGTCCTTATGGTTACGCAGCCATCATTGGTAAGTACCGTCTCTTCCTCAAAATAGGTCCTGAAGATGGTGTTCGAATCTGGAGAGCCAAAGTAGCAAGAGTCTTAAGCGGAGGCTTGGGATTCGAGTAGCATTCCATTCACAGACTGGCTGGCATCAAGAAATTCCTTCGCAGCAATTCTTAAAAGCCATCTGCCTCAGCTGAGCTGTGGACGATGTTCTGTGATCAAGACAAGCCAGCTTCACTGCCGAGGCGCCTTAGTTGGCTTCAAAGGAAGCTTGTGCTTGTCTTCAAATGCCAGGACGGCCTGACCTTTTGTCTTACTCAGAAGAGATCAAGGCAGCTCAGAATCTTCTGCCACTGTTTAATGGAAGCTCCCCTTAACCATCCTCTTGACCCTTCTGCTTACAGCCCTGAACCATCCTGTTCCATCTCATAACCTCGACCGTCCTGATGACCGTTTACCCTCGGGTGCAGCTGCTCTTGGCGCCGGCCTATTGTGGTGGTCCCAATGGAAGAAGGGCGTATACAGTTACACAGCAGCGTTTCTCCCCAGCTACATAGGAGCATGCATAGCAACGTCATTCGCCACTTACATATTGTTAATCCGAGAAGGTGAGCTGCTTCTGGCATTGTCAGCAATCTGAAGACCCTGTTCAAGCAGACGCAAATCAGCAGAAGGCCGGATGCAACACAGAAGCGCGTCACTTGACTTCATTATACACGTCACAGAAAACATCGTCTCCGCAGGCCAACACGCTGAATCCAAAAATCAATGCAGTTCGTCGAGCCTGCTTGGCTAGATTCTGCAGGTCGGAGTTGTCTTGTCGTGACCATATGGCTGCCACCCGTTCTGCGTCAGAGCACTATGCTTTCTCTGCCGCTAGCAGCCGTCTTTGCTCTGAAGTCATGTCACCTTACGACTTGAAGACAAAGGAAGAGTGGACTGCATTACCCTGACAGACGATAAGGTGCTTCGCAGGAACCCCCGCCTGGTTGGACATCTCGTTCAACCTGTCGGTCGTTGCTCTTATCTGCGCCTTTCTGGGGTGAGTAAACATCACAATTGCTTTCTAGGCTTGTTCAATGCTAATATGCATCCCGTCAAGCCTGCATACTTTCGGGTTGAGCTAAGCAGTTATAGTCAGACACTTGGCGAAACGGTTCATCTTTCCTGCCATTATCTTAGCAAGGGCCAGAAACCGTCACAGCTTAGCCTTTTTCCTTGGGTACTGCAGCCTTATCTTCAAGGACCCCGGCCGCATCCCCCTTCCCCGCGTCAGCATGTCGAGCGAGAACGACAGCGTCGAGGACCCCGCCACGCGCCGCGAATCCGATGCTGACGGGAGCCTCCCGAGATTGTCAAATCACGTCAGCATCAGCATGGACGGGTACGGCGGTAGGGAGAACCGGCGGGGCCCAGGGCGGGCGGTGGAGAGCCACCCGAGCAGTCCCAGGAGCCCCACCTTTCCGTATAGCCCACCCCTGTCAGCCATAAGGCCGGGATCACGCGCGTCGAGGATGTCGCCACTCTCGTCCACCCCGCCGAAGAACGGGGCGGAGCTGGGGAGGAACAGTCGCGTGTTTGAGCTGCCGCAGCGGGTGTCTGATGAGCTGCTCGAACGGGAGAACGGGTTTGAGCTGCACCGTTTGAGCGACGGGGGGCTGCGGTGGGGGGGGTCGAATCTGAAGGGGCCGACGGGGAGAGGGACCGCCGTCGATGCGCTGTTGTCGGAGGACGAGGGGCATGACACGACGCCCAAGCCTCGGCCGCCCTACTGCCATATTTGCAAGGTGGGTGCTTTCAAACGAGCTCGTCGATGTTTCAGCTTCTGAAGGACTTTGAAGCATGATGATGCGGTACAGACTCAGGTGTTTGCACTAAGGGACCGATCATTTGTCAACATCAGTGACACAGGATCTTCTGTGTCACTGCTTCAACATCCTTGTTTAAATTATGGCATTAGTGGCTGGTGTTCGAACGGCTGATTGCAACGGCTCTGTGCGCTCACCACTCCAGGGAGTTGATATTTGAGGCTGCCAGCTTGGGTTCATACTGGACTGCTTTTCGGAGTTGTTATGGCCAAGGGGGTTTCCGTCGCCGTGAAGAGTGGCCTTGATCCCTTTCCCGTCTCGCTTGGAATCTCCTGAAGCCTTCCTTCTTCTTTACAGAGGAGTTTGCCGGCTAGTATCAGAAAAGGACTGTGAAGGATCCCCCCCCGAGAAGCCGAGCACTCGATTTCTACATATTTTCAATTGCCTGCTTGGACCGACGGCTTTCGCAATGCCTGATATGTGTTTGCAGGCTGCGAAACCGCCCCGCTCAAAGCACTGCCCCGTCTGTGACGTATGTATAGAAAAGTTCCACCACCACTGCTCTGCGGTCAACAACTGCGTAGGTGAGGGGTCGCCGCGCTAGCTGTCCTGTAGCTTTGACGATTGCTGCCGGCTTTTAGCAAACCGGTTTGGTAGGTCTATTGTCCGGTGGTAGGTCTATTGTCCGGTGAGACTTCTGCAATAAGCGCAAAATGTGCGTTCTGCGCTGGGAAGCAGCCTTCGCCTCGGGAACGAGTGTCGTCGTCTCCGGCTCAGCCCTCCTGCTTTCTATAGAGTCCAATTTTATAACAGCTGTTGTTCTGGGAGGACTCCGTTCTCGGAGGAGTCCGCTTTTAGATCACCGATTGAGGTTCTATAAATTGCGCTTGGTCCTGATACTACCGATTTTTACTCTGCAGGCCAAAGAAACCACTTTCTTTTCGTAGTCATGCTTCTCCTGTTCATCCTAGCGGAGTATTTTCTAGACGAAGCAGCAGTACAGTGTAAGTTGCTTCTTTCAATTTGTCTTGCAATCACCTTGACTCTCTGTGTGCTTTGCTGCATTCGGAAGACTTTGTCCGTACTTCCCGCATCTTGCCACACCGCTCGATCACCAGGCATCTCGTGTATTTCGCGAGGAACGTGGTCCTGTCTACTTTCGGTCAGACCTACGATCATCATTCTTCACGAAGTTCAGGAATCAAGGGTTCAGGACGAGATCATTGCCGCGTCCTTTGTCTGCTTCGATCCCGTTTGGATTTATTGGACCCCCCTTTTGTCCCCTTCTCGGTAATCCGTGAACAGCACGAAACCGCTAACGCGTGACTCACTGCTTTTCCGCAGTCTTTGATCGGCGTGGGTCTCTGGAGCTGCCAGAGGAACTGACGCTGGTCTCAGAAAGTGAGTCGACGCACATGCTCAGAACAGGACCGTACTCCGCCCTTAGCCGGTCGTGCCCAAGCACAGACCCTTCCCGAGCGTTGATACGTTGTAGGAGCAAGGCGGCGACGGAGCTTCGCTTGGATAGCAACGAACTTTGTCAGATTGCCGCTGAAAACGAAAGTGCTTCCAACCAGAAAAAATCGTCGAAGCGGTCTGCGAAGCGCCTTTTCCCTCTGCAAAGTCCCGCTCCACAGGAAAGTAAAGACCACAGATTGGTTTGCTTAGAAACCAGACTGCTGAGCAGTTGCGCGATCCAAATGATCACGGAAAGGCCTCCGCTTTTGCGTCACTTTCAGCTTTCGCTCCTTGCTGGTCAGAAGTCTCACAGAGACTGATCATCAGAACTTGTGCTGATCTGGCCGTTCGCTCCGTGCAGGCGAGACGCTAGCAAACATCGAAAGGATGATCCTGGTGTCGTTGCTGATCGTCGGCAAGCATCCCTGGGTGTCCTCGATCTCATTTTTTGCACGAATACAGCTACTATGGCAGGTATGTTTATCGATTCAAACGCCTTCGACTTTTTCTCGCAAGAGCTAGTATGCCCGGAAGCGCTGGTAGATTCGGATGCTGAAAGCAGAAGCGCTGTTGGTGCTTATCACGGCCGCCTTTCAGTATTGAGCAACCGAATGGGGCTCGCCAGGTTTATATCTTACTGCAGTGCTTGCATCTGTCGACAGGAACCATGGTGTCTTTGAAAGGTAAAGGAGATGAAGAGTCAAGAGGTTTTCAACCTGCGCAGACGAAGGTTGATAAGTGCTGAGCCAGTGACCACCTTTGCAGGTGCCATTATTGATATTCCACGTTTACTGCGCCGCCGTCAACCTGACAGCATACGAGTTTGTGAGTCCTGCTCCTCAGGTTATCATTCTACTGCTGGATTAGGTCGCCCTGTGTATGCTTCTTCGGTCTTACCCCTTGGCCAATTAGAAGAACCGGGTTGCTAACCGTTAGGCCCCTCGAGAGCGCGCTATCTTGCTTGCACGTCGGGTCCACATATCCACTGAATGGTTCATTGAGCCCTGGAGACAGTACAACGTCGAGCATGTTCGCTGGCATGACATGGATGGTTTGTGCTTGCAGAGGAACTGGAAAAAGTGTCCAGATTTGTACGTGCTCGCGCCCAGCAGATCAGGTATGTGCGAGCAGGAGCCTGGTCGGTGACGATTGAGCACAGGCAGTCTGCACTATCAGCGTGCTCCAAAAAGGTCACAAATCTGCAGAAGTACAGCTTGCGATCTTATGCAGCTGGTTGTTTGCTGCCTCTTTCCTGGCGTTGGAACGTTTCTGCTTACACACGCTTAAGAGGTTTTTTACAGATTCTTTCAAATAGCTTGCTTTCAGCTGCTTTGCCTCTCTGCTTGTAGTCTGAGTTCTGCTCTGTGCATGCAGCGGGTGCGGCTGCAACGAGGAGGTTTGTCAACACGCATAGTCGAGGTCTAGCAAACAACCTGCTGGCTTTCATTCGAGGTGGGGAGGACTTGCGACCGGGTTTTTGATAACATGGAAAAGGATTGACTAACACGGACTTCAATAGTATCAACTCGCTTGACGCTTCAGTAGTCCGTTTGCAAAGGGGACAAATGCGAATCCTCGTTGGAACCCAATGAGCATCTGCACGGCAGTAGGCCTCATTGCCGTCCTTCGTGCTCGAATGACGCACGAATAGTAGCTGAGATGACATGCGCATGATGATCCTTCGACTGTACTGCCCGTCGAAGTGCATATAGTAACATCATGCGGCGTTTGTGCGTGCATGCGATCACTCAAGGGCCGGCTGACCATTCTATGATGAAGTGTATGGCCGGCTACTTGAACAATAATGTACGACGTTTAGAAGTTGCAATCAACTGCAAAGTGGACGCGCGCACGAGGTTTTCGTCATTGTACAGAATTAGCGGCTTAATGATGATTAGAAAGAATATTGACAAAGCTCATGATTGCGCATGTTTTTAACAAACTGTGCATATGCGCATGCTCTGATCAGAAGCACGATCTTCACACGACATCAGCCATGCAGGCTCGGTCGATCATTGCTTTACAGACGACGGTTCAACCGAGAGGCCATGCAAAGCTTGACGAGCTGTTAATTTGAATTGCGGTTCACTTTCCATAAAAAACCTGCACACACAGTAAGATTATGTGCCAGCCGACTTCCGCTCAAACACTGCAGCCGTTCATGTGTACGTATGTTTGAGCTGCCGACGGTATGGATAGCAATGAGCGGCACAGTATGGGCACAATATGGGGGGCTTGCCAATCGCGACGGTGAAAAGTCAAGTTGCAATGTTTTCAAGGCCTATAAGACATGGATATCAAGAGCCATGGCCAAATGTCCGCCGACTCTCAAGGATCATGACTTCTCAAAGGTTTTGAAGATAATCATTGCTGACGCGTTGCTGTGAGTCTAAGTTTGAATTTGCTTGCCGAAACTTTCAGGCAGCCCAAGAACTTCGAAGAGCTGGGACGAAGTATTACTTGCTGACTAGAAATGGACGCTCACTTTCGAAGTAGGTCCAAGCATCCCCACCCTTCTGCACCCGCCTTGTTGAGTTCGAAGAGTTCAACGTTGGCAATTTACGAAAACTGTAGCTCGAAAATAACACACCGTGTTAAAGTTTTAAAACACCTCGATTGCGTCGTCAAGCGTCACAAGCGCGGCAGAGCACAGGATGGAAGGGTTGCAGGGAGCTCAATGGATATCCTGGTCCAGACACGCTGGACCTGCAAGTTTCCTCCAAGATGCCGTCTTACCTCGAAACTAGCTGAGGTTTCCATCCCTGAGGCCTTCCATAGCAGAGCCCTAATCCGAGGCGAACATTGGAAGAAGGTGCCGGCGGCATATTCTTGAAAGATGGCTTCTTCAGGAGAGAAGGCTTCACATACAGGAAGAAGACATACCAGAAAATGGATTTTCAAGTAGACCAAGCGAGGGGCAACCTGCTTGCGCGAAAGCTGAGACCAGAGTATTTTTCAGAAAGGTCTGCGATTTACGTGCAATCGATCCTGCAAAGCACCGCTCATGGCGACGTGGCAGGACTCTCTCTCTCCCTGGGTTGCTCGAGGGAAGAGTCTTTCGCTTCCAACTTTCCAGATGGTTGCAAGAAATATGGAACGTAGGTGAACAGGGTGTAGGAGCTGAGAAGGGTGCGGGGCTCGCTCTAAATCGTTAAGGCCATCAGAGTTCTGCAAGAACCTCTTGGTTGTGCATCCTCTCCATGGAGATGGCTACATCAGTGCTGCATCTGCCCCTAAAATTTGCGGCACACAACCTAGTTCCGGATGGCTTGGAGGCGTTATGGCTCAAGACCGCTGGCATGCCTAGCGATCTGATTGTGAATATTGCGGAGGCGGGGTTGCACCTCCACAGATTCCCTCTTTACTCAAGGTCGAGCAAGTTTGCGGAGATCGCGGAAATTGACAAGCATTCAGGGCAGACCTTCGTCAGGTAAAGGAAACTGAAAAGGATGTTCGCAGCAAGAAATGAGTCACAGTGTGTCAATCAAAATGGGTGCGCTCCTGATGCAGCAAATAGGGCCAGAAACGTAAATGGCTTCCATCTTGAGCTACTGTCAGCCAGGACCACCAACCGCAGTCGATGATTTTGATATCTGCTGTTTTTCCTGAACGACCACTTAAATTTGTAATTGTCTCATCATGAAATTACAATTTTGCATTGCTAGTCAGCATTTGAGCGAACATACTGCTACCTAGGAGGGTGTCTTTGGGGACCTCATTGCATGAAGGTTTGTTTGGAATTTTTGCTTCTCCGTTTGATTTCCAGTCAGACCAGCTATGATACTCTCGGAATCCTGATTGGACAAGAGTACATATTTTAATCATTACGACTATGCATGAAGACTCCATCGTTCAAAGGCTGTTGCAAATTTTGTCCGATAGGAATCTTTGATAACCGCAGACTTGGTAAAGTCTTCAAGCTCCTGTTCAGGGTTCTACACTTGCTCTGCAAGAAGAGTGCAGGCTTCAGTCATTCAATCTGTTGGTGTGGCCGCTCGGCATCTCGTTCCAGTGGATGAGTTCCCCTTCCTTCTTCTCTTTCCATCATAAGACTTGAAATGCTAGATCTGCTTCGGTAATCCTGTCGGCTCACGACAGACCCTTGAATCCCTACTGAGATCACAATCTGCCTTCCCCATCGCTTCCCAAGACAATCTCCCCAACTAGGTGCAGCCAACCAAAGCTTACAGGTAACGGGTAACCATCGCACACGGGCATTGGACCATTCATCAACCAGGTGATTTCTGACGGTACGTTAACCTCTGATTGCAGTCTCGATGACCTTCCGGGGGGACTCCCCGCCTTTCTGGTGGTGGCGAACTTCTGCTATGGGTTGGACGTCCGCCTCACGCCGGACAACGTGGCAGCCGTCCGGTGCGCCGCGGCGTTCCTCCGTATGGACGAAGCCTCCCACTCGCTGCAGGTGTCACTTCTCCCTGTTCAGTTGTGCCTTTCCAGTCTGGTTAGAATGAGGATAATTAAGTCGCTGAAAAGATCCCGATTGGGATCGCTTCTGGCTGCATCCTCTCAAAATAGGGAAAGAACAATTTTCTTTTCCCCCCCTCTCCCCACGTAAGAAATTCCTCAAAGGAGGTCAGCGATCAATGTTCGTAATGTCCTTTTGACAGCAAAGTGCGACAGGAAGCGCCGGGCTTCCTCAATTCGCTAGTCCAGGCTGGACGAAAGATGGCTTGCGAGGCGGTATGAGCCCCTGCGGACAGTCTTGACAGCAACCTCGGCTCCATGTTCACTCGGGCGAAACCCTCTGAATTGCAGGGCGGTGCGAGAACCCTCGCGGACTACGCGGACCGGAAGCTGGAGCAGATGCTCGCGAGCGTCGGCGACGCGATGGCGGTGACGCGCAGCTGCGAGGCGCTGATGCCGCTGGCCGAAGAGCTGGGGATCGTGAAGCGGTGCGTCGAGGCGGTGGCGGGGGCCACCGTTGAGAAGCTTGGGGCCGGCGGTAAGGAGTTTTGTATAGTAATATGACGTCACGCTGACGTAAGAAGCGATTCTGCATGGTGCTGCCCCTGCTAAGTAGACGAGTCAGAGTGATTCGTTTTCGATGCAGATGGAACAACTGCAAACTTGGGGAGCCTTTTTGTTATGGATGATGGTTCAGATGACGGCGAGAAGTAGGGAGCACCAGCAGGACTTGCTCGAGAGGAGTTGCGGCAAACGTTTTTAGAAAATGGCCTGGCAAACAGACGCTTCGTGGACGCCTTGCAAGATGGATTGTATATCAAGCCGTTTCGGATCGCAGACACTTTTATTTAGAAATCGCCCATTACACTGGTGTCCTGCTCCCTCAGGTGAAATGAGCCCCCTCGACACGGAGTCAATCATCAGCTTGGGGCTTGTCATGTTTTCCAAGGTGGGCATTATAACCGTCTTTGTTAGCGAGTCCCCATGCTCTGTTCATTTCCATTGTGTTCTTGCACGTTGAAACACTGTTCCTGGCTGCCTTGTACCACATACTGGACTCAATCAGAAAAACGTTAACGCTGTCTGAGGCGCGCAGAATCGCACAGAAACCGTTTGATTTCAAGTATCTGCAGAGCGTCAGAGACCTTTTGCTTAGAACAATAGATGTTCGAGGAGTCCCCAATTCGAGTTTCTCATACCTTTTACCTTGCTTACAATTTACTAGACTGCGGAGCCCACTTTCCGTTACGTACGTCCTCTTCACAATTGAACTCAATAAAGATACTATTAAGTCGAGGTGATAACAAGGCAACCGCACTCAAACTGCTAGGGTTAGTTTGATGGTTAGAGTGGGTACGGGTGACGGAGCAGGATTTTGGGCTAGGTTTTTTTTAGTGTAGTCGGAGCTTGTTATTAACTTAGCTTACTATTATCTTTCTTGAGAAATATCTGTTAGCACTGCCCCACTCTGCCCCCAGATGGTCGAGGGCCTGCGCGCGCACGGCGTCCCGGGCCCCGTCGCGGGCCGTCTCATCGAGGAGTACGGCAAGAAGTGGCTGCCGCTGCACACGGACGAGGGCGAGATCACCAAGGAGCTGTGCTACGAGGCCTCCAAAACTCTGCAAACCCTGGTGGACCTGCTGCCGCCGCTGCGCCGGGAGGGCGGCGAGGCGGCCGAGAGCCGCCACCTCATGCGGCTGCTCAAGGTGGCCATCCGCTTCGGGGCAACCACGGAGTGCCGGGAGAAGATACAGGTGGGAGGACCGGTCCTAGCGGAACGATCGTCTCGAGCGTTGATTATGTGCGAGATTGACTGCAGCGGTAAGGACGCTTTTGAATCGATGAAGATTTTCGACGCCGACACGTAAAGAAGTACACGACGGACTTCGATGGCTCGAGCTCCTGCTACCGGTTCTGATAGAAGCCTCGAATTTGTGCTCAACAGTGATCCCCACCGTTGGGAGGATCTGTAAATTGTGTGTTTCAAAGTTGCACCCGACAACGGAAGGTAGACTCGCTTGGCCTTTTCTAAAGAGCGTCTGTCAGCTGCCAAATCGAACTTGCTGAGACTTTAATTCCTACTTCCCAGCTCTACATTCAGGAGATTGCTCAAAGTGGAGACTGCTCTTGGAAAAATCTGCTTTTCGTCACCAAATAGTTGCGAAGTGCAACGTTCTTCCCTTTCCGACGACTCCCCTTTCCTGACAGGACCGTGCCGGTTCCGTCCTGGACCACGCTTCTCTCGAGGACGTCCTGACGCTGGAGCCAGCGGAATTGCAAGCGTTGGCGGAAGCCTTCCTTTTCGAGGAGAACACGCGCACTCTGAGCGCGCCCATGGAATCGCTGCGCGCTGTGGCGACCCTGATCGATGGCTACCTGCGGCGCCGCGTGGCTAAGGGAATGACCGTCAACTCGTTTTACCGGTGGGTACCTGTCACAATCATCAGTCCCGTCTCTGCTTAACCTCTGCTTGTACAGCATCTGAAGTCCTTCCGAGCATGAAACATTAGCGGGATCGAGTCTCATGGTCGACACGGACTCTCTCTTTTAGCAGGGGTTTATGCTACGAAAAAGCTTTGGCATGCTACATGGGCTCCTAATCCAGGGCGTTCGAGTCTCCCTTTCGAGGTGCCCTGAATGGAACCGCAGGCACACAACCACATGTTGCTACTTGCAATCTTCCACGTAGCCCTGCCTTGACGACGTTTTCAACAGCTCTGGGCTTCAGTCCCACCGAAGCATTTGCTCACGTACTCTACCACTGTTCTTATAAACCTCCAACCGTCAAAATCTGGCTTCCGCGCAGACTGGCCATGGTCCTCCCCCCCGAGTCCCGCGCCTCCCACGACGAGCTGTTCCACGCGATGATGGAGTTCCTGCGCGCGGGCAACAAGCAGCTGACGGACATGGAGCGCCTCGGGCTGTGCGAAACCATAAACCCCGCCAAGCTGTCCGACGCAGCCGCGGAGCAGGCGCTAATGAGCGACGACGTCCCGATCGCGTACGTCGCCCAGATCCTCATGGCGCAGAAGGTGAGGCGCGGCCGCCAGACGTGCGGGGTTTGGGGGCAGACGGGTGGGATTCATGCAGTTTTGGATGATCTTGATCATGAGAAGCTCCTTGATGCAGAAGAGCAAAGAGCTGGAAGCGGCTCGATGTGGAGTCGTTTGCGATGGTCCGCGGAATGGGAACGATAGCATCCGTCCGTGACATAGATAGATGCTGGGCGCCTGTAAGCGAGGAAAAATCACGATCGGTCCTGCTTCGTAGCCGATACTGCCAGAAGACAGAACCGTCTTCCGTGCTCGGTAAGGTTTCCTTTCTGGTGTCTGGAGATCCACGGCTGCCCAGGACAAAGTTGCCCCAAGTCAAAAATTAGGGCCACGAGATTTGAGACCTGAAGGGGGTCCTTGCTGCGAAGTCACACCGCAAATGGTTTTTGGCAGCTTCGCTGGCAACGACCTCGCCTGCGCGTCCGTCAGATGTTCGACGCTATGAAAGGACACGTGCCACTCCGTGTCGCCCTCCGCAGGCCAAGCTCGTGCAGCAGCTAAACGCCAAGCGCGCCGAGGACGGTTCCGCTGAGATTGCTGCTCTCAAAGACGAGAACGCGCGGCTGAAGGAGGAAAGCGAGAAGGCGCGGTCCAAGCTGAATGCGGCCGCGCTTTCGTACACGGCAGTGCGTGCGGCGATGCGGGAGGAGAACCAGGTGAGGCATGTCACCAGGCTGACGATGCGCAGGAAACATATAAGGAACCCATGGAAAGGGTTCGTCCAGCGTGTCAGCTTTCATTTCAAAACCTGTCAACAGACTTGAGAAACTTAGGATGACCGAAGACATACCTGCAACACGTTTGAAATGTTTTCAAAATCAACTGACGTGCGCCGCCAGCATTTACAGGGAAGCCAACTTGGACGAACTTGTGAAGCTTCGCCTCAAATGCTCAATACACAGACTTGAACATCCGAGATCCTAGTCAACCGAATGTCTTTTCAGGGTAGTTTTGCATTGCATGACAGGGTTCCGATCACTTTGTATCATGCTCTCAAACTCTTGTGCGAACGCATCAAGCAGTCCAAGCAGGTCGGCTCGCCATGTCTTTGAAGCAAGCGCTGTGGTTCTTCTGTCTGTTCAGAGGTTTTACTTGGGTCAGTGCATTCTTTTGAAACGGTCCCTGGCCCTTCACCTGCCCCTACAGAGCAGGTGTCCTTCAAAAGCAAAGTAGGACGTCCTGAGAAAGATTGGGATCGGGAATAAAACTGGAATGATGGGATTAATTGGCGATTCATTCGATGTAGAGAAGAAAACCGTGATGTCCATGTGGGTCAGTGCAGTCTTTGGAAACGGTCCCACGCCCTTCACCCATCTTCATAGAGCAAATCGTTCATAGAGCAAATCTTCATAGGCAAACTAGGATTCCGAATCTTATCACGGTTCCTCGTATGTATTCCTGACTCGCCGCATGCTTCTCTATCGAAGGCCCTTCAGACGGAGCTGGTCTCCTTGCGGATGGCCTACGAGGAGCTCGAGCAGCGCCTGCAAGGGACCCCCAAAGTACCGGTCGCCTTCAGCCCCTCGGGGGTGGGTCTAAGCCCCCCAACCGGAGCTCATCCCACCAGGCACCCCACCACGACGGTCCCTGCTCGCAACCCAGCCCAGGTCAACGTTAACCCCAGTCTTCGGCAGTTGGTTTTCAAGGCGCCGGTCAGGGATCCCTCTTCCGTTCATTGGGCGCAAGGAAAGGCTCCGGGCGCCGTTGGATTGGATCAGCCAGCTGGAGACGCCCGTGAAGAGCGGGACGGGGGTGGAATTGGGCGCTACAAAGAGCCCCCTCAAGAGTTTGAGCCGGAGCAGGCGCCCAACAAGGGCCGTCTCCGGCGGTTGACGAGGAATGGGAAGTAGCTTTGCTCTTCCAGGTTCTTCCGGGCTCCATGAGGTCCATCCCAAGTGACTTGATATTAAAGCCGGATAAGGGAATCAACTAGGGTGAGAAATGATGTAAAGTTAAACGGTCTGACAAATTAGAGTTGCTTACGTCATCGTATTGCCAGGTCATTGCAGCACATTACGTCCACGTATCTGTGGTTGACCTTCTTAAGCTCATTGCTTCTTCAGCTAGGCGCCAGCAGAGCAGGGTAAGATTAGCTGGCTGCTGTAGTATACAGGGAGAGCTTGGCTGGGCGATCTCGCCGGCAGCCAGTCTGTCACTGTGAACCAACTGTGACAGTTCCATCCGATCGATGATGCTCTCGACAACTCTCAGACTTTGCAGTGCTCTTTGAAATTTTGGCAATCAAGCCCAGGAATTGAAAAGCTAGTCACGAGGTTAGAGGACGCGAAGTGCGAGAGGAAAGGACTGAGCTGGCTGATAGAAGAGGCTTCAACCCACGAAAGTAGGCGGTCACTCTTATCAGACTGACCAGTCAGCAGACTGGCCACCAACCTTCGGGCCCGCAATCTGTCGCCTGGAGGAGCCTTGCGGAGGAGAGGTTTAGAGCGTAAAGATTTAATCATGTAGTATGCGAGCATGCGATGACACCGTCTGATCGCGGGGAGTCTGGCGCCAATCCTCCGGCCGTACGTACCGCTTTTCGCATGCTGGCGCCGCCCGCATGCATGGGGCATGCGGTCATAGGGCATGCTCAAAGAGCTGAGCGAATCTAAACCACATGGAGGATCGGACGAATGGAGGATCATCCCGGCCTAGGCCACTGCACGCCAGCGGCATTGATGCAGTGCTCTATCTGCTCCGTACAGCCGGAAAGGACCGTACGGTTGACCGAGGACCCTGCCACGTGGGGCGTGCAAGGAAACCTCTCGGCCGATCGATCTGTTCGGAGCTTTCATCGAACGGTGTTCAGGATGCAACATATACGCGCGCGCAGAGCGACGGGTTCTCGGATTGCATCGCATCGGGACGTTGGAAGGCCCCACATTGTATATAATGCATTCGCTGTCTGTAGCCTGGCATCTGCTGCTAGCCAACTCAGCACTAGGTATCTGCTGACAGCTCATAGCGACTCTAGGCATTCCGACGCTCATGCCGACTAGAGGCGGCCTCACGATTAAAGCCTACCAATTGTTGTACAGGGTGTACACTGTACATGACCAGCTGGTAAGCAATGACCAGCGGGCGGCGCCTAACTTAAGTACCCGGTGACCGTCGCCTTCCGACCGTCGGACGCAGTCCAACGTCCAACGGTCTACCGGCGGCGGTCGCCACTACGTGATACTACCAGGGACCGACTCGGACCAGTACGGTGTCAGAGCCGAAATTGCCGATCTGCCGAGTCTATTTACAGTCCGATGATCGATCCATTCGCCGCCAGGCCGCGAACTTCTCAACCGTCACGGATACCAAGCTTCTCTCAGTCAAAGCGCAAGCTGGACTGCAATATAGCGGACATGGAATGCAGGTTCTTCCTACAGGTGGCAATACTCTGACAAACTGGTCTGACATCATTGGTGCTCTGCAAGTGCATGCACAGCTTGTATCTCAACTTTCGCCAAGACTGACACTGTTGAATACACAGACTGCAGCCGACGCAAGGACGCATTTAACCTGATTTGGGATCAGTTCATCTGCGTGGTGTTTCAGCCCTGGTTTGCATCATGAAGAAGGGGAGCACCTCGATCTCTTCCATTGACAACGCATCTAGTGCCGTTCCCCGTGTGCTCGATCATAGCATGTTGAGCGGCAAGCACCATATGCCAAGTGATAGTGATTCAATAAAGATTCGTCAATTTGGGTGCAACTGCTCCGGTGGTCGAGATGAACCCGCGTTTGCAAGAAGCTGAACTGGACAAGGGATGTAGAACTTCATCGAGAAAATAGCAGGATGTCTCTGGGGAAATCGAGAACAGGGCAGCCAAAGTTGGGAGTCTGACAAACGTTGTGACAGGGCTAAGTATGCAGGAGGACGGAGGGTGTCACCATTCTGCCGAGAATATCCTCGCCAGATTTGTTGGCTGCTGGCCAATAACCGCATAATGAATACCACAATAGACAGACCGAGTTCCTTTCTGCATGAATGTAGCCGATGGTGCTTAGGACAAGCTCCTCATGCGGCGCGAGAGGCGTTCTCGCTTTCCAAGAATGAAAACTGAGGTATAATGTGGAAGTCACCAAGGCAAGAATCTGAAATATTTTATGTGGATTGAGACTGTAGCCTCACAAAGGTTTAGATGGAGGTCTCCGTCCAGCAATCCTGGGCGCTTCAGGGGCTCTTTGACGGCGAGACTGGCAGGCTCATTACAGTGAGCAGGGGCCTGCTGGGGGCTGCCGGTTTGGAGGCGGAAGGCGGAGTACCACAGGTGGATGGTTCTGGCAATCCTGTTCCTTCACTATATAGTGCTCACAGATTTCCCCTGATTACATTTGACCAGATCAGGCACTTTACCAATCATTACAATCGGCTTGCTTTGAATGGTCATGAGCATACACCAATCACAACCTTCTAAGACAGCTCTTTGGAAGAAACATCAATCATATTGGCCAGTGCCCGGATGTTGGCGGCAGGGTTGAGATCTCTTGTGCCCAACTGAGTACCCGCGCTTCGGCTGCTCGCAAACTATTTCCTTGTGTGAGCACCTTGTTAGATAGTAGACTCAACCCTCACAGTCAACTTGTCCAAACAGAACATGATCACGGTCTACACTAGTGGTTCTGAGACAAGGAGGCTCAATCTCTAGGTTGTGTGGAAGTTCCGCCAAAGTTCACGCAAAATTGCTTGAAGATTCTCACGTCATGTGTCCTTGCAGCAGGACGTCACCCTGTTTGACCTGCTGCCCTCATTGACCGCGCCCCAGTTCCGTCAGTATGTGAAGCAGCTCAAGGCCCATAAGCGGAGCCTGGCCGCATTCCCCTCCGCACTGCGCAAGCAGAGCAGATGCTCAGAAACGACCTCTCGGAGCAGTCTCAGCGAGACTGGTGGGCTGCGGCAACGAAACAGCAGCGGGGTAACGGCAGAAGATGGCTTGGGCTCCCAGAGTAGGACGGCGGCAGAGCAAGGGAGTTTTGCGGAGACCTCCGCTGAGCAACAAAGGGGTACAAGTGCCAGCGAGGAATCACGGAGGGTTTCGTGGGGTGTGACGAGACCCGTGAAAGTGCGTCCAGAAAGCTGCGAACAGGCAATCCCGGAAACCACCGTGGGGGAGACAATTGGGAGCACGGAAGCAGACGAGGGAGCGAAGAAGGCATCTCGGATAGTGACTCGACGAGAAACATTATTAAGGTCGTTCAGTTGGCAGCCGCAGCGAAGCGGAAAGTTGATCGTAGCCAACCTTCCCATAGAACGGGAGCAGAATCCGAGGGAGTTCGACCAAGCACAAGGGGGCACTCGGGACGTAGACGAAGTAGAGAGGAGGAATACTAATCATTTGCCGCCAGCAGACGCGAGCCGTGTGACAATGCGAACGAAGCAGTCTTGGGTGTGGGGAGGCGTAGACACTCGCAAGAGCTTCAACGACAGTGACGTGTGCGTTCAGGTCGAGTTACAGCTCGTGACGTCAGGGTCAGAGACGGGGCGACACGGTTCCGACCCAACGAGTATAGACGACGGGCAGAACCGGGGGATCCCCCCGGGGGCTCCTCTGGTGCTCGCGAGCTTTTGCCACGTGCCCGCGCTGCAGAAGCTGGTCCGAAGAGTGCGCGACCTGCGGCGCGACGTGCGCAAGGCGACGGTCGTCATCCCGAACCTGGTGCCGCGCAAAAAGGCGCTCGAGGTGAGCTGTGGGGCTGGTTGGCTGCTCGAAAAAGCCTTGCTCCTTTACTCCTTTTTCCTCTCTTTCTGCTTTCCAGATCACCGCAATCAATCAGAGGGCTCCCTGTGTTGTGCTTTATCTGCTTGTCACCATATGCATGCTAAATGAACGGGACTTTGGTCCAGAACAATGAGCATACTATTACAGGAGCTCCGGCCTAGCCACAGTCCGCGCACGTCTCCGAGTCTTCGATTCTCAGGGTGCTTAGCACTTGAGAGGAAAGAACAAGTGTCCGGCAGAAAGTGTTACATTGTCAATTTATCAAAAGTGTCTGCTTGCAGGGCTACCTCAAGAAGCCGAGATCCAGCGTCTCGCGCAAGACTTCGCTGAGCGGAAGTCTGCCGGGTGAAAAGTACAGTCATGAGAAACTCTTGGCTGGAGAAATTGTCCCTGACGAACAAGAGGTGAGCATCTTCTGAAACATTCGGTTCGACTTGTCCTAAAAAGGACCATATTTACGTAAAGCCAACGGTTTTGGCCTCCTTACAATCCAAGTCCGATCGCGCTTGTTCCACTGCAAACCCATCTTACACCAACATCAGAGGCGCCCCTCCGCGCTCCGACTGCAAACCTTGTCAGCCCAGGGCGAGTCGAACAGACCCATCGGCCGCTACAGAAGTCAGTTCGCGCTGCCTGAGGGCCGTCATTAAGCCTTTGTTTTCGATAAACTAAGGCTTCCGACTGTGCAGTGCGGCGACCCGTTTGAGATGGAGCCCGAGATCTCGGCGCTCAAGGACGTCGTGCGCGCGCTGACGTACCGCAAGGCGCGCTACCGGTCGCTGCTGGACATCGCGGGCGTGGGGACGGCGCTGGTGGATCTGTCCACGTGCGTCATTGCTGAGGCCAGCAAGGCCATGGCGCGGATCCTGGGGTACACGCCCGGCGAGCTGACGGGGTGGCGCTTCCGCGACCTGGTGGCGCCGGAAGACCGGGCCAAGTACCTCACGGTGCGCCTTTTGAGAAAACGTTTGCGTTTTAGCGATGTGACGCAATACGAGTTTCCCCGTCAGAAGTGCCCGAATTTTTTCATAAGATTACCTTTTCTATCAGTCCCGGAAGCTCAGGGGGAACTTGAGTCTTATGAAGTTGACGGAAGATGCATATACATGCAAATGAGTCCAATCGGAGTAGATATTCGAGCTAAAATTTCGAGGAGTCTTACAAATCAAGGGCCTCTTCCCTACAGAACATCCAGCGCTTCATTGACAGCAAGGTGGAATGCGCCAACCAGGAGGTGCAGTGCCTGCACGAGGATGGCACTCGCATCTGGGTCCGCCTGACAAGCGTCCGGTGCGCACCCGAGGACATGCGAGGGCAAGTCGACATTCGAGCCTTCCAACCCCGTGTGCGATATTCATTTATCATGCTTGGGATTCAACGATGTGATCTCCTGGCTCACTCCACGTTGAATCTTAGCATACTGAATGCCTTGCAACAGTTAAAGCTGGCACTCTTTCAAGCTTCTGTCTGCAGCTTGACAGCTTGAGAACAAGTGATTACAGCACCTCCAAGGATCGAAACCAAGATTTTGTCATTCATGATCGAAACATAGAGACTATAGCAGCCTCTTCTTCACAAGCATGTTAAGCTGCTGCAATCAGCTCAAAAATCACAACGGAAAATGATTTAAAGGAATCATTCTGACTTCCGATCACGAAGAGTCGACCTCGTGATTGCTTGCAGTCACGGAACCTTCGTTGTGGAGGACATTCGCAAGGCGAAGCGCGCCTTGGAGATGACTGCACAAGCTGCTGAACGGTTGCGGCTCATGGTGGAAGGCCTCACAGTTGGTGCTGTGCATGTGAGTAGATGATGAAGCTGCTTATCTTTCACAAGGCTGGCTGCTATACGTCAGGACCCTGAATCTGAGCATGAAGTGCAGCTTCGACCAGTTGGAGTAATTGGAATCCGTCCAGCGCGCCCGGAAGTTGCAGCACCTTAACGCGACGTGTGTTGGAAGCCGCTTTCGACGTGTAATACTTTTTTGATTTGGCTTTCTGGTTACGTCTGAAGGAAGGGGCCTCCGGCAAAATCAATCTAGCAGTTTTCATGTTCTCATCGTGTCTCCCTCAGTTTATTCCAATAGACAAAGAGTTTCAACTAAAATGGAAGTTTGAGAACCACCTTGACATTCAGCTTCAGCATGCGCTCAGTGGACACTGTAAAATTTCTGAATCAGTTGGTTCTACCCTAGTGGCGGCTTGCAAGCATAGGCTTCGAAATGCCCTTTAAGCAGGCCGGCTCGCATCGTAGCCTGGGACGAAATCACAATTCCAAGAGGCGGTTAAAATGAAGGTTTCTGCATTTCTTGCAGATCTACCGGGGCGACAACCCTGCGGATCCGCTCGTTCACGTCAACCCCGTTGTTGAGAAGCTGCTAGGATTGTGCCAGGATGACGTCCGAAGTCTTCCTGCTCTTTTCAAAGCGCTGTATCGTCAAGGGGCTGAGGAAGCCTTGGAGAATTACCACAAGCTCTATCTTGGCGTGAGTCTTGCATACTGCATGCATTGCACCCATAGTTTGTCTCTATTAGCATTATCTTGTCTAGCGTTGACAGTTTTTACACGATCAAAGTTCCGTGCAAATTAATGATCAGCTTTGACATCCAACGTCAACCTGCAGACAGCAATCGCTGGTCCAATAGTGTTGATGTCGAGCATGCTCCCTATTGTAGTCAATAGTACACCATACAGAACATACCGGTCCAATAAATCTCAAAAGAATCTGAAATACAGCATTCTTTGCATCTGACAAAGCTTGGGCACTCATCGTAACATTGTACGACCTCCATGTTTCCATTGCAGGTCGTGGAACCTCCCAAGGTGATCGAAGTCTTCTGCAGAGATGGACACAAGATCCTACTCGATTTTGGGTTGAGCATCCAACCGCATGGGGAGGTATTGACTTCGCAATCACTCTATTGTTACGTCCGCTTTCGTTGTTCAAAGAAAGTCGGCTGATGTTCTTCAATCACACACTCCTCTTCTCAATGGGGTCCTATTGGTATCATACGCCACAATCACTTTGTAAACGACTTATTGAGAAAGACTCTGAGTAAACGTTAAACGATCAATCACTAAATGGATCTCATCGAAACCATTGGTATCAGTGCTTTGTTCCCTTTGAGTCTCGAATCCTTCTTCAGGACTTGATCTTCTTCTCATGTCCTTCGCTTTGCAGAACGTGAGCTTGCAATTTTCTTCTATCTGCTTGGGACATGCGCTTGCCCCGGAGCGATCATTCAGGAACTCAAGCAGATCTCAAGCATGACTTACTGTTTGCACTTCCAATTGCAGGTTTGGGTTGTTCACGATGCGACGGAACGCCAGTCAGCAACCGAAAAGTTCAAGAAGATTTTCGAGTTGACGAAGGTGGGTCCAAGATCCGCATGATATTCAGGCCCAAAAGATATCTTTTTTGAAAAGGAAAGCTGTTCATATGTGGCTGAACATCAATGCTCATAAAGACTATCTTTTAATGCCAGCACGCGAGTCAACGGAAGCACATGTACTTGAACCGTTGAAAGCGGCTTCCTGTCTGGAAGGCACGGAAACAGTCATCAATATCATTTCTGAAGGAATGAAATACTTCGCAGAGAGCTCTGTGAGCCAAGCTGATCGAGTAAAGCTGCAAGCTGTTTTCGAGGCTGACAGTTGTTAAAAGGGGTCCTCTTTCGGTGTTCCAAAGACAATATCCATGTTTGTTGCCGCTGGATGTCTTGGTGCAAAACTCGTTAAACAAGACGATATGCGCTAAGCCGTTTCCTCGCAACACCTAGCTTGAAACACATTAAATTGAAATCCTCCCAGGATCCTTACCTGATTTTCCGTGGACAAACGATTTTGGAGTGCAACGACGCCGCTGTGGCGATCTTGGGCTTTCAAAGTAGGAGCGATCTCATCTCCTTGAACCTTGGAGACATCAATCCACCGTTTCAAGCGGATGGTAGGCCATCAGCAGAGGGGGTGAGTCGTCTTGATTTTGATTGGTTTGGAAGTGACCCTGACAGTCGATTGACTCTAGTTTTGTCGGTGATTGTCGCATACGTCCTCATTTGACGAAACTTCAACAGATGCTTTTCAAGTGATATTGGAGCGATTCAAGGCTGTCAACCAAATATCTCGGCCACTTCTCGAGATCGGCAACCGAGGATCCGGCAACTCAAAACATCACAATGCCTATGACAAGTCTGTTTTTGACACCAAGCTCATACACCTCAGAGATTTCTGGTAACTTGATCGCGCAGCCTTGACCTCAGCTCGAGTGAGGAATCTTAAAGAAAATCGTTTTCCTTGCCCGTTTACAGAGTCTAGAAAAAGCTCGAATAGCGAGCGAGCAAGGCTACTGCAACTTTGAGTGGGCCCACCAGAAGCGCGACGGGACACCGCTTCTCGTCGATGTGCACATCACTTCCTGCGTCTTGGAGGGAGTCACGGTGAGATCAGGCTTGTACATCGAAGCGCCTAATGAGGTCCAAGTATTATGTAGTCCGAATATAAAGCTTTTGATTTGTTGCACTCAATCTGAAATGGTTTAGAGCCAAAGCTCCTTTTGGACGATTCGGGGCAACCTCCGGTGACATTTATGACTTCGACACAGAGACGTCGGACATCCCTCACTGATGCTCAATGGACTCTTCTCTTCAAGCCCGTGCGCGTATGAAAGGCATGGGGCGGTGTACAGGTACAATGGCATTGTTAGTGCATAGTTCGCACGGACATGTTCTAACAATGATCGTCGACACTGACAAGCCTCCGGGACCAGGAATCTAGACGGCGTTTGCACTAACCACTCTTAGCGGCCAACAGGCTTTACATGTTATACAACAAAAGAAACACTGCTGCCCCGAGAGCTATGCTCGTGCACTGAAGTTCTTGGTCGGGTTCGTTGGAGGATCGCGATGGAGCGTCGTTGACTGCACGCCCCTGCTAGTACCGGAAGCGGTGGCATCATTTGAATAGCACCTCGCACACAAGGGGCCTAAGTCGTCATGGCTGGCAGCTTTGAGGGCTTGGAACCTTAAGAGAGATCTGCGCAGAAGTCAACAAGCAGCAGCGGCAGGGGCACTGGCCCCTCGCTTCGGGTCACTGGAATTTCTGCGCTTGTATACAGATCTGTTTATGTAGAAACATACCCTCATTGCAGACCGTCGTGCGCTAGAATAAGAATAAGAATAATCAGAGGTGCCAAATCAAATTATCAAAGTTGAAGAATTTTTCCCTTGGTCAAAGGGTACCTAACATAGAGCTAGCCACGGTCGACCAGCCTTGTTCCTCCCAGGTGCTGATGACGGTGTGGCACGACCTGACGGAACGGAAGAAGTCCGAAGCCGCCTTGAGAGCTGCCAAGGAGGCGGCGGAAGATGCGAGCAAGGCCAAGTCTCACTTCCTGTCTAACTGCAGCCACGAGATTAGGACGCCTATGAACGGTTAGTGGTCATGCTGTGAAAAGGTTCCAAATGGAAGACTCCGCTTAGGCTGGCAGACCAGACTGAGTTTATTCAGAGCTTTTTGAGGCCAGATAAAACAATGCGGGATTCCGCTGCCACTATTGATGCTATCGCAGAAAGTTTTTGCGACTAACCATGCTTGGTGAAGGGGTGTCTGAATTTGAATCATTAATAGTTCCTGGTTTGCCGGCACCACTCTAGAATCTTAACAAGCTGCGTGATTATCAATCTTTCATATGTCGTTTAAAGCAGCCTCAAACCATTGCCCTGTATACCTTTTCTCTGAAAATCTGAATCAGCGGGTAATGCTGGGACCTGTATCCCCGTTTCATTCAGCTACATAAAGTCGTATAATGCAACATCGGCGCGCCCTGCAGGCGTCATTGGGGTCGCGGAGCTTCTTCTCCAGACGGATCTCACAACCGAGCAGCGAGGTTACGTTGAAACCATCATTTCGAGCGGCGACACGCTCCTTGCTTTGATCAACGATGTCCTGGACTTCTCGAAGGTGAGGATCACGAGCGAAGACCTTGCTTCTTCATCTCAGCCTTTGAAGACAGCCTTGCAACCAATGTTTGTCCAGCTAGAGTTTGATCTGACGAGGAACGACCGAAGAGAGCGGGATGCGGTTGACTTAGGGCTTGCTTGAACATGTCACCAACGTAACAGCTTCAGCTCTCCAGCACCTGTTGTGAATTTTGGGCCTGTTCATGAGGGGTCCCAAGAATTGGATGCTTGATGGCCGCAATTTCTGTACGCGACGCTTACGTCCGGTCGCTGGTCTCTTTCTGCAGATAGAGAGCCGAAACATGCGTCTCGAGAGCGTCCGATTCTCCTTGCGCCGGGAGATCCAGCAGACCTTGACCCTGCTCGCGGTGAATGCTACCAGGAAGGGTATCAAAATCTCGTGCTCCATCGACGATTCGGTGCCAAAGAATCTCATTGGGGACCCCATGCGCATCCGACAGATCTTGCTCAACCTGGCAAGCAACTCGCTCAAGTTCACCGAGAGGTAACACTCGACACAGTCTCTAGTCTCTTGCAGTGCTTCTGATCCACTACTCAACTCAGTCCTCTGTCTTCGATTCTAGCGGAGTCATTCAGTCGAAGCGGTTATTCATGCATACGGCGTCCTCGTTTCCCGGAAGAAACACGAAGCCTCCAACAGTATGACTCCTGGCAGCTTCATCAAGCCCAAACCCGATGCCGATCGGACTTGTGTTTCCAGAATCATATTAATACGCGAAAGATTCATATGTATCTTGGTCCGCCCAAAATCTCCTTCCACTTACGTCTCGCCTGGAGCCACGTGCAGGGGCGAGATCAACATACTGGTGAGCCTGGCCACCGACCAACCGCCCGCCATCATGCCCGGGGAGCTCTTCACCAGCGATTCGCCGAGACCGAGTCGACGGTGCACAAGCCCTCCCCAGGCCAACCCCGCGGTCCTCCGGCTGCAGCGCCACTACAGCACAAAACTGACACCGCCGTCATCCAGACGGCAGACGCACTCTGCCGGCGACTCTGGCTTCATCCCGTCGGGGGCGACAAGCGCCCCGTCGCTCTATTTGCCGCTGGACATGGCGAACGTGCTGCTGCTGGTGGAGGTGAGGGACACCGGGATTGGGATTCCGGAGGAGGCGCAGGGCCGGCTGTTCCAGGCGTTCATGCAAGCAGACGCGTCCACGTCACGCCGCTACGGTGAGCGGGGCACCCTTTAGATGTCTCCCCAATGTAGCAAAAGTAAGCTCTAGCGAAAGTGAGCTCCTAAAGTGAAACTAAAAGATTAAACCCATAAATTCACCCGCTCCGCACCCGTACCCACCCTAATCCCCCAACCTAACGCCACCCGTTCCAGGTTGGTCAGCTCACCTTTGCTTGATCGAAGCTTCGTACCGTTCAGCTTCCCGGCCTCCTTCACGTGCAGCCGGTCTGTGCACTGTCAAGAAAAAGACCGTCGAACAAGACGAAGCTTAGGTTGTGCTGTATCAACGCTCCTGCTCGCCACAGGGCTATTAGCTGAGCTTTCAAGTATTTCGTCTGTAGTAGTATTAGTCAATATCAGTATTAGCCTTCATTACTGTTACTCTGTATTAGTATTAGCCCACTTACTCGCTTTCACATGCGCATGCTTGAAATTTTTCGGGTCTCAAGAGGTTACGAATTCCAGGTGGCACGGGTCTCGGCTTGTGCATCTCCAAATCGCTCGCGAACCAGATGGGAGGCGACATGTGGCTCAAAAGCAAAGTGGACGTCGGGACGTCGTTCTACTTCACGGTCCGCCTGGGGCTCATCCGGGAGACAGGGCCACCAGGACGGGTGCGTAAACGGTCTTGTCACGGCGTCAAAACCACCGGCCGATTCTGGTTGCTGCTATCCTTTGCGCTCGAGGAGAAGCTCTTTGTCCACTTCCTGGTGCTGCCTGGTGCTTCAGATTGACCTTTGGGTCGGACGTTATGAGAATGACGTGGCGGATGAGTTTGTGAAGCTCCAATAAGAGCGGGCGCTCCATGATTGCAAGTTGAGAGGAGCCCAGGGTCCGAAAGGTTCCTATAGGAGATTTGCCATGCGTCTGAAATGGAGGAGACAGGATTCAAAAATGCTTCAACCTCTTCCGCAACGCTTCTCCCTCCCATGAGAGGCCAAGGCCCGAAGCGGGCTTTTTCACTACAAGCGAGCGTCGTTTGAACCAATCTCCGTCTATCACAACTCGGGTGCACCTTTCAAGCATAGGCCTTTGGACCTACTCCGGCACGTAGTGAAACGTCTGCCGTTCTGCCCTTATGCCGGGCACCTATTGACCGGCTCCATTCCTTGAGGAATCAGTGACGTTTCCAGGACTCAAGGACTGCAAGAAGCGGTAATACTGAAGCCGCTCTTCTTTGCTCTGATACAGAAGTCGTCGTCCGACATGGGGCTGCGCATTGTCCTCCCCCCCGGCAGCGGGACCCCGGAGGCATCTCCCAAAGCATTCGGTCGCGTTCGAGAATACGGAGACGACTCGCACACGCCTCCCATCGAGCTACACAAGCTGAAAAGTTTCAAGGGTCTGCGGGTTCTCGTAGCAGAGGTAAATTAGCGACTTGGGGTCTCGTTGTGCAGGCACCTTTACATCTGTGTTGTGCTTTGCCTTGGACCGGAAACCCACGATGTGAATTCCACAAAAGAAAGTTGCTTACATTGCCATTGAGGATCGGTGCTACGTGTTTCTGGCTGAAACGACGGTTTTTCAAAGGTAGAAAATGCCCCTCGATCGTCAATGGTTTTGCCTAAGCTGTTTGGTGAAGGCCTCGAGAACGTCAACGCATGGTTGAGAATCGTTGTCCTGATCAAATTGGTATCAATGCCAATCTGAATGCGTGCCAATACTAAACGTTGGCGCTCAAGAGTTTTTGGCGACCTTGCAGGATAACAAGGTGAACCAGCTGGTCGCCACGCGGATCCTGCACAACCTGGGCTGCGATTTCGAAGTCGTGGACAACGGCCGTAAGGCAGTGGAGGCCTCGCGAGAGACGCACTTCGACCTCATCCTCATGGATTGCCACATGCCGGAGATGGTAAGCTCTCTGCACAAGGCCCCTGGAAACTGAAAACGAATCCTGCTACAATGCAGATTGTTCAGTTTATGAAAGTCAAAAAGCTGCGGGATGATTTATTTGCATCAGCACGCTACTAAGGACATAAGGAGAGCTTAAGGAACTCCGCTGAACAAAGTGTTTGACGACTGAGGACGTTCAGAAGTCCAGAAGCGCAGAAGCGCAGTACTCGAGTCCGAAGTTGTGCTCATCTGCAACGGAGTTATTCTATATCAGAGCAGCGGAGAGGCAGTCCGCCGCTTGAAATCCCGTGGAGGCGGCTCCGAAGCAGGCACTCGAGACCGCAAATTGTTTCTCAATCATAGCCTGCTGGACTGGTCCTACTGAAACATACGATTCTTTTCTAAGAGCTCGTTAACGATAAAGCGGATTGACTTGACGTGCGTTATTCGCAACGAAACTTCCACTCTCTCACTGAGTATCCAGCGGCAGGTCGCCAAAAGCACAGGATCAATTTTTCTCACAGGACGGCTACGAGGCCACCAAACAGATCCGAATGAGGGAGCGGGAGAAAGGGCGGCGGCAGCTTATCGTCGCCCTGACCGCCTCGGTTCTGGATAACGACGAGGCAAAGTGCCGTGCAGCTGGTAAGCGGAGCACAATGGACATTCTCTTCATTTTTTCAAGTCACACAGATGCCCATCGAGGTGCCGACAAACGGGGCTACAGCTGCCCTTCTGGAGTCTTTTAGGATTGCTGTCACGCACAATCCGTCGACGGTTCTTTTGGGAGGTCGACCAAGACCTGTCCGCAAGCTCGGCGCGTCGTCGTCCTTGGTATCGTGTCGATCAGGATGCATATGACGCTTTGTTTGAAGTATTTTGGTCAAAGCCACAAAGCACTGCGGTGAAGATCGCGAGTGGTGACGGGTTGCCTCCCAGTTCTCCAAAGTTGAGGACGCAGCTTGTTGCAAACGCGTAACCAGCTTTGCCCGCAGGCATGGACGGTTTCTTGAGCAAGCCTGTTCGGCACGCCGACCTCGAGAAGGTCATCCTGGAGCACTACGTCCCCGTCAACGGCACTGTTGCAGCAGCAACGGAGGCCTCCTGAAGAGATCAAGAATGTTCAAGGCCTCGCCTGGGACTTCCAATCATGCGCTAGGCCACTCCTAAGTAGCGACGCCGGGTAGATTAGCCTGGTCCGACATGTAAGGTAGGAATTTTAACCACTGATCTTAACCACTGATCGACCAACTTCGTTAGCGACAGGGGCGCGTCTCAACGATTCAGGCTGCGAGAGGTCCTTGTATGAAGTGCGGTCTGATTAAGCCTTAAAGATTATTGCAACTGTGTGTGCACTCAGAGCTTTTGGCTTCTCAAAGACAATCATTTGAGTAGAAGTCATAAGCTAGTTGTAGACTAATTCATTGATGTAGACAGTATCAATATAACGTGAGACCGTATAATTTATCTATATGAGGATATACGTTATTGATAGTTAGAAGTAGTCGGAATTGAGAGGACAGAAACGGAACGTCTGATTCAGCTACTAGAGCATGGACGAACTACCTTGCAGATCAAAATAGGTTTGCAGGCAGGCGGCCTGGTTTGCGCCATGACCGCGCGAATTTATTGAAATATGTAGCAGCTCTCTTGAAATTGACACCATATATGTAACGGCTATACATTGTGGTTGCAATCATGCACGTACGTTGCCAAAGCTTAAAGAGCTAGCGAGGGCTGGCACACATAAGTACTAAACCAGGTACGTAAAATTGTAGCTACTAGCTACGACTAGAAATCATGTCGTGCCGTAATGAGTCGAGGCTGTGCCGTGTCGGGTGCGCTCAACATATGCAGTCGAAGCGAAAAAGCATGATGCCTATGTAATAAGCTACGTGAAATAGCAAAATCTTATCTCACTTTT